CCTTCATTCTTAGAACTAGGCTTCCGTTACAGGATCACGAAGAGTGGAGGGAAATGGGTCTCGAGATATACACTAGAGCTTATCATGTTATGCTCTAGAAGATTAATGGCGCATTGGCAAGAGGAAATGGTAATGCAACAATTGGTCACGGGTAGGACGGCGCGCAGATCATTAACAGGTTACGTTGATTGCAGCATGTTGATGTAATCCGGAGCACCCGGGGCCCACGAACCAAAGAAATCACGTAGGATGTGCTTAGGATAGTCATCGGCTTGTTCGAGGCTGCTGTGGATGGTGCCGACAAGCCTACTATAAACCTTTCCATAGGAAACTGGGAGAAAGTACTCGGTACACTTGACTAAATCAATCAAATAGGTATTACTACAGTGACTCTTGTTTTCAAGGTATGGTTGGTAAGGCCTTGAAGCAGAGCTTGGACTCTGTTTTGACTAATTTTTATACTGTCCAATAGATCACAATGGCATGGTTGACTTACTCTTCACCGCTCTTCGTTTACCCAACCTGGAGCTTTCGCTTGCTTGCCATTTGTAGTTCAGTATGCGGCTACCCCTCCGGTCTGATATATACGCGGTTTTTTCAACGAAGAGATTGGATACCCGGTTAGCCTATTACTATCGAACATCACATAAGGGAAACTTAGACCGGCGAAAAAAAGCGGGTTTGACAGAATGAAGCAATGCAGAATTTCTGTGATGACTGCGAGCGGCCAACCGGTTAGGGCGGGATGCGACAAATGTCGTCAAAGGGTATAAGAGCTGGCTACAACCATAGCCCTCCAACCACAGTTCAGTAATTCCCATTCCCTAGCAACCGACTTCCCACACCTTCGAAAGCCTTTTAGTCTTTTACTATGCAAGAACCAACCTACGATCCCCAGTAAGTCTCGCGAAAGCTATAATCATCAGTCCTAGATGCAGCTCACATCTGAAACCTTCACAAGGTGTCCTTTGGCGACCACCACCATCACTTACCAGTACAAGTTGGTAAATTGCCCCGGAAAGACCATCGTTGGAATGCTCGTCGAATATCCTCCGAACGGTGCGACGCCCCCTCACCGTCATGGAGGTGCTTCTGTCTCCGCCTACGTGATACATGGATCTGTCTTAAATAAAATGAATGATGATCCGATGAGGATTATCGAGAAGGGTGATTCTTGGTATGAGGCGCCGGGATGTCACCACCGGATTAGTGCCAATGCGAGCCAGACCGAGTCGGCGGCGTTCTTCGTGACTTTTGTACTTGACTCGGAGAAGTTGGAGCGAGAGGGTCCATCAGTCCTTGTCCAATATGACGAGGAGTATAAGGATATTGTCGCAAGAAAAATGTTGGCATAGGCCATGAATTGGCGGGTGTCAAATGCCATGGAATTTCTTCCCTTTCATTTGCGTATCCTCCAATAGCCGGTCGTGATCTTGTTCTATGGATATGAGGTGCCTATGCAGGCCTTACGGACACAGCGGAAATAATCCTGGAGGAGAGGTATACTTCGATTCTACCTTGTCTGACATAGGGGCATCTGTATCACTAACACTCGTGCGAGCCATCTCAATAACTGCCATGGCAAAAGCGATTATTGCTCATTCTAACTGTTTGAAGAATACTGAGTAGCACACACCCTGGAAAATTCTTGTAAGATACTCCTTGTATAGAACAAAATCAACATCACGACAAATTTCTCCCTACTTCGTCCTTGCTCTTTCCCCACAGGTCTATATGATAACCGAACATTTGCGTCGGTTTGTGGTGGTGAAGCTTTTGCCTCCAGAACCGAGTAAGTGTCTGACCGACTTTCTTTAAAATACTATAGGATCACTCAGTTCATTGGGACTCTGTTCACGATAGGCGAGACTTAGCTTACCTTGGAGATGTCTTCATAAATGATTTATGTGCGTAAGAGATTGCACTGCTTGGCCCTGGCCATCGGTGGTTTGGATAAATACCCTGTTGTATTGTTTCTTGGTCTGACATGCTTCTCAAAAATGGGATCAGAATATTATGAGACAACATCTCTGAAATGTGGCAGAAAGCTGAGTCTAAATTCTCTGGCCGTGGTGGTGAGACAATTGGGTTATGACTGAGCAGCTGATTGCGTATTGTCGATGGCAGGTTGATTTCTTTGACGGAGCCCGGAGCAATGAATGTGCCCATTAAGTGTCTCCATTCTCCCCCCCAGACGCGCATTTTGTCGAGTCGTCATTTGGTGGAAGGAAGGTTGCAACGTGGCATACTGCTCATAATAATCGTGAGCCCTCACAATAAAGTCTAAAGATTCGGTGCAGTGCCTGCAAGATACAAAATCAAAAAAGGCATCTGCCGTATAGGGTCTCGGCGCCTTATCAGACAATATATCCTCCAGAATGGTAGGTAGGCAGTTAGGCTCCACTTCCGTTTGTTGTTCTGCCGAAGATCGATTGAGCGACATGTTTGGATGCTGACCTGGACATATTTGACCAGTTATAAAGAGTTTAGACGTCGACTCAACTTTCAAACCGAAGAGACTGCTGCCATGTAGCTGGACGTATCAGTCGTGTTATGAGGTTCATATTTAAATATCATATGTATTAATCATCCTGGCCGGCCAGCCACCCATCCCTATTGCTCTTACATGTAATATTTGTGTGAACTAAACCTTATTTCGCTATAAGTATCGTGTTGGTAAGCTGCTCCGCCACTAGGTTCACCTATCCATGGTAAAGAAATCCATCAGTCAGACCATGAATTCACTCTGCCTTCTGCCTGTTACCGAAGACAACGGATTGCTGGTACCACTGGACGACTTTTATTGGGATTCTTAAAAGGTAAAATGATTCGGCCTAATGCCGCCAGGTGTGAAAATGCTCAACGGCCCACTACCTATGCTAGATTCTCTCGGTTTCTGAAGCACTGGTGGAGGTCAAGAATACCTATCGTGAAATCAAAGTCAAATTACCCCACCTTCCTAACTGAATGGTATAGTCATGCGCGCTCACCTCCGCGCGGAGAAAGCGGAAGTCTTATCCTTGATAGCATTCGGAGTTAACGCTCATGCGGGGTCTCTTTTTGAGATGACCCACCATATAGGATCTCTGGCCAATGTGCTCACGGTAGTTCATTTTACCAATCGAGTGCTACGAATCATAATCCCTAATCACATCCGTCAGGGCCATAGTGTGTCTATATATGATGAATGGAACTCAGGTTTTTACGAATAGGTTAATCATGCTTGGTGAACAACTATTTGGGGTAAAGCCAAGGTTTAATATAAGCCGCTATTTGAGCCAAGTTCGACTTTAACCATGTTCAGGATAGAATTCTACATATTTAACATAGCGTAAACATATTGTATTCAGCGGCAGATGTGAAATTTCTCAAAATGGCGGCCCGAACCCTTCGATGCTATAGTGATGTTGACGCAGAAAGGGAAGACTTATGCCAGCCCAGATAGTTACAAGAATAACCAATAAAATACAGATGATTATGCCGCATGGGACAATTCTAGAAGAATGGCTATATTATCCATCTGTTAAATTTTGGTCCTGGGGTTTTTACCTGTGATGAGTCTCGTGGGACGAATAGTAATGTTTCTGCCGGTAGAAGATAGTTCTTCTGCATAGCGAAGGCTTTACGACCACTAGAGCGTGACATGACATTGCACCAAACCACGTCGTTGACCGTATTGACTCACTTTCCTCTCTTCGCTGTAATAGATACAGTGTATGCCTTTCCCATCTTCTATTTGAACTAACGCTACGTGAACTAAATTCCAACGCCCTACACCGGTCGCTACCTGATTTGGACTGAGTAATGAACGGATGACCGTACCATGACTCACGGGAAATACGAGAGTAGCTTCACTTAGGTTCCATTTCCCCGTTTCCCTTATTACTTGATACGCTGAAAATTGAAATCTGGCTACTCATACTGTACTATATACCCTCCTTATATCTAAGCACAGGCAATATTCAGGGGGAAAGGCATAAGGCTGTAAGAAAATGCCAAGGGAACTGGTAGGGAAATCCTTCGCATATACTATATATAAAGAATGGGAATAATAGTACATACTTCCAATAGCTCACTGGCCAACATTACAGTTTGTTCTCTTGCAGTGGCGATATAAGCAGATACCAGCCAGGATTTGGGCAGTGCAAAAGCGAAACTCACCTGCACTTCGATCTAGAACGTGAAATGCAGCGCCTGGGGCTGGATTCGGAGAAAAACCAACAGTCATCAAAACAAATGGAAGGAGGTGTGCACCAGAAAACGCTGGGATTATCCTTCAATGTGCCTCTGCGCTTGGTATGGATTGGTGCCAAGCTTAACAGAGGCTGACTATGGCGGATTCACCACATCTTTCGGTGATACAGCAACCATGCACATCCTTTTAATAATGATATGGTAGCTTTGACCATTGCCGGAGAATCATGATACATTGCGTAGCCTCGTCCAACTAATCCAGAGACACTTGCTAATCCACATCAACCGGCAATGGCCATCCTCGGTACAGGTGTGAACGGATCTCCAACTATCTGACAAATATTTTATGCCGCAACGACCGATTGCGTTATGGTTTGAGATTACGTGATGCCATGGCTCATAGCGCATGTCATGATAAAGTTTCGACTGCGGAATACCAGACTCGGCTGGGCTTCTACGTTACCAAGTCCTGCATTACGAAGTCATCCCGTAGCTTTCATTGGAGAATTTATGACTCGAATGAATAAATGCAGGCACTCGAGCGTGGTTAGCCTTTGCCCATTTAGATTAATCATGGAAACCATGACTGAATGGCTTGATCTGGCGTTGGCGTGAGGATGAGGGGCATATTTGTCAATAAAATGGTCTAGAAAGGTGAGCAGGCAACCGAAGCGGGCTTAAGTAGTTAGCGGGTTATATCTCCTTTGATATCCGTAGCCAGTCGATGGGCGAGAAAACGAACTACCTTGATTTACAGGGCCTTTTAAAACAGCATCTGTCATCCATAACACCCCGAGCTAGCGACGATGGAGCTCATCAACGTGCTCAGAATCTTAGCTGCGGCCCTATTTCTACACATGATTCACGCGCTTTATGCGTCATGGCATTATTCCCGCAAGGCTCGTAGCTTGGGCTGTCTTAATCTCCCCCTTTTACCTTCCATGGATCCGATAGGCGTCACGCACTTGTTGCAGTCATTATCCGCTGATAGAGTGAAGCTCTTGCCAGAGTTATTCGAACGCAGATTTCGGACTATGAGTGAGCTGCAGAAAGGATACGTCTCCACGTTTATGATACGTAGCCTGGGACAACACATTGTCATCACGGCCGATCCGAAAAACATTCAATCACTACTCGCTACACAATTTTCGAACTTCGAGCTTGGTAGTGTTCGACGGGATAGTTTGTGTCCGCTCTTGGGTAATGGAATAGTAAGCCTCATCATTGGCATTCCTTTGGTGCAATATATACTGACCCGTACTTTAGTTCACGGCTAATGGAGAGCAATGGTCGCACTCACGCGCTCTACTCCGGCCTCAGTTTACGCGCAATCAGATCAGCCAGCTCGACCTAGAAGAGAAACATGTCCTCAGAGCTATGGACGCAATTCACGTTGGTCCCACAGGATGGACTACCAGTACAGATATCCAGTGTATCTTTTTTCGGTTGACTTTGGATACTGCAACAGAGTTTTTGTTTGGTGAAAGTGCCGATAGCCAACTACATTATTTGGAAGGTCGCCAATGCCCAGAAGTCTCTTTCGCCTATTCATTCGATGATTCGCAAGCTGTATGTGCTCAGCGTCTTCGATTTGGATGGGTTGCTTCCTTGTTGAACTGCCTAAGAGCCCGGCAATCAGACAGGGAGGTCCATGCATTTGTTGATAGATTTGTGCATAAGGCACTTCAATCCCAGCGAGAAGAAGCCAATATCAGACACGCTGACAAGACGCGATACGTCTTTCTCGATGCATTGGTTGCAGAAACTCAGGATCCCATAGAACTAGGCTCGCAGTGTTTGAACATTCTCCTCGCAGGGGCGCGATACCACTGCTTCACTTCTGAGCTGGACCGTTCTGTTATTGGCGCGCCACTCGGCGGTTTTCAACAAACTCCGAGAAGAAATCATTCAAAATTTTGGCACCTATGGCTCGCCTCGGGATATAAACTTCTCCTCATTAAAGTCATGCCAGTTTTTGCAATTTTGCCTGAACGAGTCACTTCGTCTGTTCCTGTGGTCCCATTCAACCGCCGTTCGGCTGTTTCAGACACAGCATTGCCACATGGAGGGGGCGCAGACGGTAAGTCACCTGTGTTTATAAAGAGAGGTCAAATTGTTATGTACAGTACTCACGTCATGCACCGTCGCAAGGACATTTGGGGATCTGACGCTGATAGCTTCGATCCGGAGCGATGGCGTGGACGGAAAGTTGGGTGGGAGTATCTTCCTTTTAACGGGGGGGCCACGCGTCTGCATTGGACAGCAATTTGCCCTCACTGAAGCAGGATATACTCTGGTTCGTCTGATACAGCGTTTCGATCAAATTGAGGACGTTTATCCTGAGCGCCAGATTCGCTACGGCCTAAGCTTGACAAGTTGCCCGGCGGACTCAGTGACTGTACGCATGCACCAAGCGTAGGATGAATGAAACCAGTCCTCATGCTATAAAAAAGCGACTGTCAGCTTTAAAGAATGAACACTCAAATTTCAACACCTAATTACATTAGCTTCGCAGCCAATACATATCTCGCGCGCTTTCGTAACGGTTGGTCAGGAAAAGCGGTGGTTATCCGCCAGGTCAATTATAATCTAGTTCAAATTGTTCATATATGTCTCCCAATGTCAGGCCAATTCCAGCCGACATCTACTTGTGGACATTTAGAACAGGAAAGCCCTATATTGAAGGGGAAATATGGTATATATAGCTACCTAGGTAGAACATGATTTTCGCGCCACGATCGTGGCCCACCCACCTGGGGCACCCCTGTTTGTACTAGTACCTATCAGAGCTCTCTTTGAAAGTCACTTCCGGCCAACCGCACTCCCACCTTGCCAGTAGTACTTACATCCTCTACAGAAGTAAGGAGTATGTATCTTACTGATCGTAGTGTTTTAAGAAGCAGGAGGTCAGAAGGGGATCAGACATATTAGCTTTCATCACTTAGGTCTTAGGCACTAAGATAGACTATGCCAAGCGGAAAAAATGTAATGTGGGAAATCTTCAGCAAAATCTTCAAGTTAAGATAGTAGTAACAATTACCGGCAAGAACGCATATTCATAAATCATACCATCCGATTGAGTGTGATGCTTCTCAACCCTGGACAAGGTCCCGCGTTCTCGATCTAACACGCGAATAGGCCCGTTCAACCACATCCTTCGGCAAAGCAGGAATGACTTCGCCCTGCGAAGGGTCCTCAGTCAAGGGGACCTTGGCGCCAGCGCCATCGTCCTGATTTTCAGTATCCTCTTCATTACCAAGAGCACCTTCAAGTTGGCCGCCCGACACACGCAGGAATTCTACCTGCATCGGCGCACGACCGATGCCGGGCCAGATATCGGATGGCAAGAAATCACCCTGTTCGACGCGGAAGGCTTCGCGGGCGGAGACGTCTTCCTCGTAGAGTTGGCTTAGTTTATGCTGAGTGTCCTGAATGACTTTCTCCACGCGTTTTCGAACGTGCGCTCGGCGGGCGACTTCCAGGATCAGACTATCATACGCATTCAGGAAGCCTTCGTACAGGGCATGGAGATCGGATAGTTCGGTCAGACCTGAGTTAATGCGGTCGTTCTCTTCGCTCCAGACGTGGGTGAAGTTATGCGCTTGGGCAATGTAGCGTGGAAGGCCGGTGGATGCGAGTGTGGATAGATGGCGATGGACTTCCAGTGTGGCGTTGGAGATGGATAAGAGTGCGTCGCGCTGGATCATGACTTGTTCAAAGATGGATTCCATGTCGTTAATGCGGTCTTGGAATTCCACCACCACGTCTTCTGCGACGGGGGTGTCGTTTACAATGACCTGTAGCATATCTCGATATTCTTTCTGCGAGATGGGGGCTTGGGGTGCATCGAGAGTCTCCTCGATTTTAAGAACGCCCTCGCCGCTGACATCTGTGGGCATATCCCCGGTGATGGACCGCGCTGCGGCACCACCACCTTCTGTATGTTTCAGTACTTTCACGCAGAGATCAAAATGGTTAGCAAGAGATTCAAGGTTCCTAGCCATTTTTCGCGCATGTTCCTCTAACGATTGCAGCATGCCCGGTATGGAGGAGACGGCCTGGAGGTCCGATTCGGAAGCAGACGGCGATGACGAAGACACCGAGGCACGGGACGAAGCCAATTTGGTGGCTGAGCGATACCGATGGAGTGCCTGCCGGATCGACTCAAGCTCGTCATCGAATTCGCGATTGGAGGTATCTAATTCTCCGCGGGCGGAATTCGTGCGGTCAATGGAGTCCTTCATGGCGGTGTGCAGTTCCTCCACTCCGCGCTCGTCTACAAAGTCATGTAGAGTCCTGGACTCCTCATCCTTTGGTCGAAAGGAGGCATGGACGATTGTCTCTCGGAGAAGGTCTAGAGTGTCCCGTAGGCGCGCATCGGCGGCGTCTAGGTTCTTCAACGCATCTGCGAAGTCACTTCGGCCTCGTTTTGATATCTCCGCGACCTCGGATCGGACATTGTAGAGCAGCCGAAGCTGGCTGTTCAAGCCACGGCGCAGAAATGTGGTCCGGGATGACACGGCCACGCTATCTTCCAGGGCGGTCCGGGCCTCGGTGACGATCTCGTTGGCCCGCCAGACATAATGATATGAGGACAAGCCACGCTTGGCTACAATGAGATAAGACACGAGAGTCTCCAGGTTGGGCAACGCGTCCGGATCGCTGTGTTCGGTATCACCCTGAGCGATGGAGGCCGAGGAAGACTGGGATGACATTCTGTCGGTGAGGGGCGTGGCACCAGTCGAGCCGGTTTACTGGCAATGTCGAGCAAGGATGAAGAATGGTGTGCGATGACGAGATGGTTTCAAAAAGTTTCCGGGTTCAAGGTAGCCGCCGGGGCTCCGGAGTGATTTACAATGTAAACTGGCCGAGCCTTTGGTCTAGATCGCCCCCTATTGAGATGGGTTGTTTAGCTGGAGGTCTCACGGGTGTATTGATAGATCAGAAGGGTTCAACGCTCAGGCTTCCCTAGGGTTGCCCAGCTGTAAGGATAGCTCTCCACCAGTGATAAGCCAGTAGTATACTGGACGGGAGTGTTATGGTCAGCCCACTTGGGATGCAAGGCAAACAGGTCAATACTGTGGGTTTGAAATGACAGTTCCGAATGCAGTAGTCACCCAGTACTTTGGACAGAGGGCTCGCTGAGAGGTCAAAAAAAAAAAAGCTTACCTGGAGCTTTGTAGATCACCTCATCGGCCGAGAGACAAAGGGAGGAGAAGAGGGATGATGTGCGCGATGGGCGGTGGGTCTGGAGTGGCAGAATAGAGAGCAAAGGGACGGGGAGCTATGGGAGTGGTACACTGTACAGTACTAGGGCAGGTTGAAAGAAAGTACGGAGTACGGGAGTAAGAAAGTACCAAGTACCTTGGGGAAAAGGCGGTCTAGAATACCCCGGTCGATCCTTCCTTCCAATTTCCACTTTTTTGTACTTTCCCAGCGCCGGAGTCCCGGGATGAGGGATAATGGGCTGAGGAACTGAGGAAGGCACGTCGGCACCGGGTCGTCGCTCCCTTGTACTCCGTACTGAAGTGATGGCAGGCGCTGGGGAAATTGCGCCATCACGTGGGGCGATTACCATCGACAGAGTGTGTTGCCCCAATTTCAGCCAGTGAAAGATCTGATTGTCATTAGGTAACCCTCCACCGCCTTCCCTTTCCACTTTGCCTCCCCCATTCCCGCTGTTGGTGCGCAGATGGTGTGATTGCACTCTGCACTCTTCCATGTCGCATCTGTCACTTCGAGCTCGATGTCGCAATCTTGCTGAGCCGCCCTTCGTTATTCTTTAAATCCGTCTCTCGTCTCTTCCTCTCTCGCCTCTCCCTTCCACTGATCACACCTACATCAACATCTTCGAGGGCTTTCATATCTGCCAGGGTACTCGTCATTCTACTACTCCCGCTCCGCTATACTCGTCCTCCCTCCTCGACAATTGACTACCTTGTGGACGCTGGCAATTCTATTTGAACACCACCAATACCCCGTATCTCCGGTTCTGATATCGGTCTTCGTCTCGACCTATCACCCATTGCAATCGCCGCGAGCTACAAGCAACATTGGGAACCACCAAAGTCTTATCACCCTCTTTGTCTCAACCCTTCCGCGGCCAACTGAGTCTGCCGCTTGGCGATACCTTCGGCCAAGAACACGCCTGGTCGGCGCAAAGCCACATCGGAATTCGCAATGGAACCAAACACCGAGGTTTCAAATCCCCCGAAGGATTTTGTTGAAGCGACTACTGAAGCGGGGACTCCTGTCGCCAACTCCGAGGCCAACCGCACCACCCCTCACGATACCACGGAGACTACCAAGGAGACCACCACCACTTCGGAAACTCTTGCGCAGCTGGCAAAGCAGAACGTCGCTCCTTTTCTCACAAAATACCACCCACGGCAATATGCGCCTCTTCGCTCCGAGGACGGCACTCCTGCCATCCCCCGTGCTGTGAACGCTGGCTACTGCTACCGTCACCAGCCAGATTCGAAATGCAGTCGTCAAGCAGATGAGAAATCTATGCGTCAACTTCAACAGGTATGTTCACCTACCCTCTTCTGATCCTAACCCACTCGCTAATCCAACCAGGAACTGGAGACCCTCCCTCAGGATGATCAACAGGGAATCGCCCATGTTTGGTCACTGTTTTCCGCCGCCCCAGCAAAGCAGCGCAAACTGATGCTCCAGGGCGTCCTGGCACAATGCTGCTTTCCTCAACTGTCTTTCATCTCTGCCAGCGTCCGCGAACTGATCCGAATCGATTATTTGACCGCCCTCCCCGCTGAGCTTTCCTTCAAAATTCTGCGTTATCTCGACACCGCCTCTCTCTGCCGCGCTGCCCAAGTATCTCCCCGCTGGAGGGCATTGGCCGATGATGATGTCGTCTGGCATCGCATGTGCGAACAGCATATCCGACGAAAGTGCAACAAGTGTGGTTGGGGCTTGCCTCTATTGGACCGAAAGCGCCTGCGTGAATCGAAGCGCGAGATTGAACTACGCGCCAGCAACTGGGGTAACGAGTCTACGAACCAAGGTTTAAATCCGCCCGCGGATGGTGCTCCAAATGGAACTTGTTCGGTGGTCACATTGCCGAAGGATAATAAACGCAAAATTGAAGATGAACACAGCTGTCATCAGATCAAGAGGCATTGCGTGTCACCTGCCTACAAGCCCGTTGCCGATGATGATTACTACAAGACTCGCTATCGCCCATGGAAAGATGTTTATCGTGATCGCTTCGAGGTTGGTCTGAACTGGAAGCATCGACGTTGTTCGGTTAAAGTTCTCCGTGGCCACACCGACAGTGTTATGTGCCTTCAATTCGAGGATAATATTCTCATGACCGGCTCCTATGACGCGACGGTCAAGATCTGGGACATGGAGACTGGCCAAGAACTACGTACACTCAGAGGCCACACCGCTGGAGTTCGTTGTCTCCAATTCGACGATACCAAATTGATCACTGGCAGTCTTGATCGAAGCATCCGAGTGTGGAACTGGCGCACTGGAGAATGTCTCTCCAAGTACAATGGTCACGCCGAGGCAGTTATCGCTCTGCACTTTGATTCCACCCTTCTTGCCTCTGCCTCAGTCGACCGAACTGTAAAGGTCTGGAACTTCAAAGATAAATCGACCTTCATCCTTCCTCACCCCGAAGGCGTCAACGCTGTCAAGATTGATACATCTTCGCGTACTGTCTTGACTGCCTGTGATGATGGCGCCGCTCGCCTGTGGGACCTTGACACCAAGACCTGCATTCGTGTGTTTAACAACCACATCGGTGCAGTGCAACAAGTCATCCCTCTACCACGCGAGATTGAGCTGGAACACCTCGGAGACTGTGAAAACGACCATGTCAGCACAGCTTCCAACAATGGTGACGCTCCCGTGAACATTCTCTCCCCCATCCTAGAGGCCAGGGCTCTCCATGGCCAACCTTCTTCATTCGGTTCATCCTTCGATCAAGATGAAGGCCGCAAAGAACCACCACGCTACATCATCACTAGCGGTGTCGATGCAACCATTCGTCTCTGGGAAACTAACACCGGTAGATGTCTCCGGACATTCTTCGGTCATTTGGAAGGTATCTGGGCCCTATCTGCCGATACCTTGCGCATCGCCTCAGGCGGTATGGACCGCATGGTAAAGATCTGGGATCCACGCATCCCCACCTGCCAAGAGACATACGAAGGCCACTCCGCAGCTGTCAACTGCATCGGCCTGAGCGACAGTCGTTTCATCACCGGAGGCGATGATTACCACGTCCGCATTCACGACTTCCGCGCCTAATTGTCCACCCTAGCGCCATCTCCCTACCCCGCCTATTACATTCCTCTCTGCCCTTTCGTCATCCGGGGCAGCTTGCATTTTTACTTACCCATTTTTCCACGTTGTGGCACACTATGAAATTATTGATGGTCGGATACCCTGGGCGCCCTTTTTCAAGTCGATTTCGCTTTCGCTGTACAATTTCAAATATCGATCTTCGGTGCTATTATTTTCTCACGGGTTATTGTTGCATTCAAGGCGCGAGAGTATTTTACTTATTATCATTTCGATACCTTTTGTTTACCTTTTCGGGCTTCAAAAATATGCTATCTAATCAAAGATTTCTTACTTATTTACTTTCTTTCTTGTTCTTCTGAACCGTGTAGCCTTGGTTACTAGTAGTGTGGAAGTTCAAAGAGTTCAAGTCGTGTCTCCATGTTAGTATCGAGTAGCTGCATGTTCGAAGCAATACTAGTCTTCCCAACTTTAATTTTGTACCATTTAGATACATCTATGGATTACTTTGCGACTCTTGTCTAATTTTAGCAATTAATAAGGATTTTAACTTCAATTTTGACTACCAGTGCTCCGATCTGGCGGTATTGAAGTTGTGATATATCCAGGGCCCTGGCCTGATTCGGAGATGAATATATGGCCATTCACACCTCTGATAGTAGTGCTACGAGTTGGTTAAATAGAACTTCAAGTCCAACTTCTAGATAAATTTACCATTTGCATGCTAATTAGCCTATTTTGCCTGCTTCAAGTTCAAGTTCAAATTTCTAACAGCCTCTCGTCTTCAATTTTCCGCGGAGCCCTAGAATCCCGTATATCCCGAAGATAGGGTTCAAGCCGCCATCTTGTAGATTCTTTCCTCTTTAGTCCACCATTCTCGTATTACTTAGTGCTAAGATGTGAGTTTCGCCTCAAGTCCATATCTTATTCGCTGCCTGGCCTAATTGTAAGTCAACCTTGAAGGTTAATCTGAGCCTTTTGCATCGAATGGATTCCAGCGCGAGAGGGAGGGGAAACAGGGGTTCATAAGCGGACCACAGCCCTAGGCGGCTTGCCAGCATTCTAGCGATACGACTAGCACCTACCACCTGTTAAGCCAGGAAAAAGGCGATAATAAAACTACAAAATGTCGACCACTCTACTCTCCCTGCTTTTAATACTTTCCAGAGCCGATTTGTCCTCGCAAGAGGAAATTGTGCCGCGCACCGTCTCCCCTTCCACAACGACCGATTCCAGCCCCGATTTAAGTCCCAAGCCGACGACGTTCGATCTTTCAAAAAGGACCGATCATATCCCCCCGAATTTCTGCGGCTGGTATTCGGGTTCAGGATATGGTATGTACTTTTGTCAAGTTCATTTTGGGGTCCTAAATTCAAGCACTTCTCAACGCGAGACTAACCCTATATTTCCACGATCTCCCCAGATAACAGATGGACCTACAATGATCCCTCGGTAACATGTTTCTGGAACAGCGATGCCAAATTCGTCGGTGATCCGACTCAACCACAGACGGCTTGTATAGGGAACGCTGAATTGAGTACATGGTCATGTAGTGGCTCTGGCTGCTCTACGAGTGTCGCAAAGTGGTATGTTAGCGCGTACAACATAGGACTGATCCTGATCCTGATCCTCCCCGATAATCCTATTAACATCACTTCTGCAATCCAGCACCGGTACCCAACCATACTGCGTGACATTTTCCTACGGTTTAGATTACCTGTCCTTCGTATGCTCTGAGGAAGAGGGCATCAAGTATCAAATGGAGCCCTACTGGAGCGGATTTACCAGCCCAATTGCATTTCCCGTTTACACCGGAGCAAAGGGCATCTCGACTGGAACGCAATATCCGGCCGGTTACTCGACGCCATCATCGACGAGTTCGAATTCTGATTCTGGCTCTGGCTCTAGTATAGACTCTAACACTAACTCCGACTCCGCCTCCGCCTCCTACATCACAGCATACAGCTCGGGGACAGCTGTTTCGAATCCATCCCAGCATCGTGGGAGCTCTACACCAGTTGGCCCTATTGTCGGTGGTGTTATCGGTGGTCTGATATTCATCAGTCTGAGTGTGGGACTCAGTGTCTATTTCGCCGTGATTCGTCGAAGGAGAGAAAGGAGAGCAGCTCAGGGGCAGGGACAGCCTCAACCTCCGAGTCAACCCCAGCAACCACCTGGATTCCCACCTGGTTCTCAAACGTATCCCTCTCCGTATCAGTATCCGCCAAACCAGCCGATGGCTCCATTCGGTCCTGCGAAATTAGGAGTTCCGCAAAGTCCTCCGCCTCATCACCCCTTGCGGTATGAGGTTGAAACGCAATATAATAAGCCCGAGCTGGATATTTCGAGACAGCAGTCTGAGCCGGTTTATTCGAGTCAGACTCAGCATGCTGAGTTACCGGGTATGCAGCCTATTCAGCCGGAATATGTTTCGATGGCGCAGCGGCCTTCTAAAGCTGAGATTTGATTCTTGGGGTGGTTCTAGGGTTGATAAATAGGTAGGTAGGGTCCTGGGGTGGCGTTGGTTAAAGTGGGTCTCCTGGGAAGGAGATTCCAGGCGATCTAGTTATATTTACTAGTTAATTATGAAAGTGAATGTCTTGCGGTGATAATATGCAGTTGGAGGGGATAATGTTGGAACTTAACGACCGGGATTTTGGTAAAGCATCAAATCAAGATTTTCATTAATAATCACATTTAAACCTTGGAATAATCAAATTGCTTTGGATTTGCATAATGTTTCACTGTTACTTTTGCGACTGAATATAATTGGTTGGATGGAAGAAAACGAGGTGTGAGGGTTGAGGGTGAAAACTTGCGGTTGAGGAATAACCCATATCGACAATCTTGTTGTGTACTTTTAGTACGATTTGATAAAACAATGACATTCCAGAAACAGCAATTGCCGATAGATAGGCCTACTCCTGAACAGAAGACTATGAGAAAGCCAAAGAAGACGAAGAGGAGAACCGGGGTTGCCGATCCTCCCCTGATAGTCCCGTTCGGGGCATGCCCGTATGCCGCTTAGGTACTAACTGGTATTGTGAATATAATTCCGAGCCGGAGAGGGAGACAGTGGAATAGTATGCATCCAGATACGCCATGCACAAGCAAGAAAAATAAAAGCAAGCCAGATGTGACCTATGTGCTCTCCTACGTTGGACTAGCCCGGAATACTCCGAATATACACACCGAGACTGGGATGCATGTATGAATCGGAGGCATGCTCCACTCATTCGGACACGTCGAGCAACCTTCACTGCACGTGCGTAGGGTAGCAAAACGTCTACTTGCTTATGGCTTAGTACTTTTCAAAATACTAGAATCAGAGTGGATCTCACAATTCAGCTCAGGCATTGATGTGATCATCGTCAGGTCCCAATTTGGAATGAATATACGGCGTAGTATGCAGAATGGTAGGGCTTCATCTTCATGGGATGGTCAATCCAGAGGTCAACTTGCTTTTCCGAGCCTTCAATCTTACAGATACTGTGATGATGCCATGAGAACCTGATTTGAAATCGATATTACTACCAATATCTCCGCCCCCCACTATCATTGTGTCCGGGTGTTGATCATCTTGAGATGAAACAATATTATGCGCTAGTTATAGCCTTTTACAACTCCTGGGGATTACATGGGATGGGGGATCGGCATTTCAACCAACGGGGTAAGTCTAGGCAGACGTGTTTGACACTATTCGCAAGAATGATGGACCCGATGTAAGCCCGTTATTGGGGTGGAGTATCTAGATCGGGATCAAACATCCATATATACTAACCACAGGCTATCAATCCCCACCACTCCCCCCTCAGATCAATCTAGACTAGAATCACAACCCATGGGACATCAATCGTATCCTTCCAGATTTCATCATTCATCTTCATCTCATTCATCCAGATGTTCACCCCTTAGTCGCCAAGACTCGGGTTCCCCCCCGGAGCAAGACACAGCCACGTCGAAGGGCCAGATCCACGGCGGAGGCCGCTTGGCGTCAAGTCCCGCCGAAACCTTACCCGGCGTCTTGTCACCTCCGCGTCGATCATCCTGGCTAACTTCTTGGCTGGAATCCATTAGGAAGGGCTGCCAGCCCCAGATATATGGCAGCTGTGCCGAATGAAAGTTGGGCCCAGGGTTCAAGGAGGCGCTTTTCTTGGCACACCTGACGATCTGCACCAGTGTAATGCCGTCAGCCTCCTCCCTCGACCTCTCAGCGTCCGACGATAAGTCAACCGCCGATTGCGGATGTTCGCCAAGGGTGCCAAGTTCAATATTGCAAGAACCAAGGCAATCTGCAACCATTGGGCCGGAATGAGCAATGGTGATGCAGTGTTTCTTGACGCAACTGCAGAATAGATTTGTCTCGCCGGTCGTGAGACCTACCTGACAACCACATGGGCGTTAGCCTAACGATCGGCCCCGGCCTATAGAGCAAACCGTATTGTTGTTCTAAATGGCGGGATCTTATCGGCATAGGAAGGATTCATGAATTGGATTGCGCTTTGATATTGCCCAATTTTATGTCTTCCTGCCGGAGTGGCGCCCCCTGCGTCCTTCCGAGACGTCCAAGCCAAAGCATCAAGATGGCATCAGCGTTCATACCAAGGAAAACCGGTGGAGAAAATCCGAGATTCCAAGACTCCGACGAAAACTGTCCGCTCATGGATCCCTGCCAGGCGTCATAATTTGCCATTTTCCCTTCGCGGACCATATTCGGAGATCGATTCTAAAAGAAGGACGACGTCGTCCCGGGCCCAGCCCATCATCTTCCTTGGTCTCGCACTTGCATTTGCGCCAGGCACATTGTCTATAGACATATTTTCAAAAATGAATGCCTCCATGCGATCCCTCTCTTCTGCTACTACTGAAGAAGGCAATGATGCGAAGAATCTCTCTGGAGACGGCGTGCAAAGGAGTCAGACTGCCTCTGTTGATAATGGCACCGATTTACCTTATCCCGGAACTGCGGTTTCTGCCACAGGGACTGGATATGACTCTTCTTCATCCAAGCTATCTCAATACTTCTTCACGGAACTCAATCCAAAACGTGCGGATATCATTTTAATAATCTGCGGGTTCGTCGGCGGCCTGGTCGATGGCCTATCATTCAACGCATGGGGAAGTTTTTCAAGTATGCAAACAGGTATGTATTACCCCTTATATTCCAAGCATCAAATCGCCACTGTGCCTCGCCCTGACCCAAACTAGGCAATACCGTATTCATCGCCCTAGGTGTATCCGGGCAACCAGAATACCCAGCGTACCTGTGGGCAAAGTCCCTCATCGCCCTAACTGTCTTTCTACTCGGCAACCTTTTTTTCATTCACCTTTCCCGCGCCCTGACTCCGCTTCGACGATCAACACTCGTCCTCTCTTTCGGCCTGCAGACTGCTTGCCTCATTATTGCCGCCGCCGTTGTCCAGGCCGGCATCGTCAGCCCCAAACCAGAAGACCCCCGGGCCCCGATTCAATGGATGCAAATCCTCCCAATCACCCTGCTCGCCTTCCAGGCCGCTGGCCAGATAGTCGCATCCCGCATCTTGGCTTTCGATGAGATTCCCACTGTTGTCCTCACTACCCTTCTGTGTGACCTGCTCGTCGACACCAAGCTGTATACACGCCCTTGGTCGGCTAACCCAAAGAGAAACCGGAGAATCGCGGCATTTCTGGCGCTTTTCATCGGTGCTATGACTGCTGGCGGTCTAGCGAAAACCACTTCTATGTCGAGTAGCTTGTGGTTGGCGGTTGGTCTCAAAGGATCCATTACCTTGTCTTGGTTTGTTTGGAAAGACATATCCGACTCGAAGACGCCGAAGCAAGAGAGCCCTGTTTAGTTATGGCTTTGACACTCCTTGACAACTCCTCTATTTAGGCTTTCTCCTTGTTTTGTGCTCATATCTAATTTTCTTTTGCTGTGGCGATCTAGCGATTGATGTTCACGTTCACCATAATGTTACTATGCCTGCTAGATTACTAAAATACCTTTCCTTGTTGTCTGACGAGCAATAAAATATCAGACCTTTTGATAAATTTCTACCTTCAATCAATATTATGGCCCTTGGGATTGTCAAAATTCATTTTAGAATCTCTAGATGGCTGCTAAATGGGCTTGTTTTATACTTCAAAATAGTTTCGTATTAGGAGCATACCTGCGCCGGGTGGACGAATTGGTAGACTCGCCTTATCAAACCGAAATTTCATAATGGTTGTTGGTTTGAATCCAGCCCCGGTATCTACCTATAAATCAGAGAAAGAGCAGTGCATACCGACCGGTCTACAGGCAAGGTCCGGTCACTGGAAGAGTCACACCCGACCTCTTTCTAACCTCGGAATACTTCCTAAACCTGGAACCTGAACAAACACCGGGATTTCCTCATATTTTGAGAGATCTGGAGAGGTGAAGACCTCCAGATTATATCTCACATAAATCTTCATGTGGAAGAGCAACGGCATACAAGCTGGGCGCCACAACCCCGTTTTGTTGCTTCCACATCATTGCACCACGTTCCCTGGGCTCGATTCAAGTTGCGAATGTGTTCAATAATTGGATGTGTTATGTTTTATGGAATATGTCTGTTCAGTTGCCATACAGCTTTTTGGTTTAAGCTCTAATATAAAAACGTCAACATTCAATTGCAGGTGTTGTCTTACCAGCAGCCCCCGCGATCGGCCACAACGGCCAACAATCACCCCTACACGTCTGAATTGCTCAAAAATGCAAAGAGAAAACTTGAAGCATACACTATTTTCTTTCCGAAAAAAAATTGGCTTATCATCCACTTTTTATAGCTCCTAAACGGCCGTCTCATACTCCCCTCGAGTAGCGATAAGTCTTGTAGAAGACTGTGATTTGACCTCCTGAGTTTGTGTGTAAAGATTCAAGATAGCAAACAGTGACGAATATCTCAGTCTCTCTGCTGCGATGTCGCAATGCCGGATTTTGGGAGTGTATATTTCTACTAAGCCAACATGGTCTATAACAATCTGTCTAAGGCTTCCTGGCCTTTCTCGTCCAGATTTGGGTACGGCCTCGAATTACACATATCAGTCCAGAATGCCTTAGAATTTTCGTGCGCCTCGCCATGTGCGTCTAAGCGCTCTCGGAGCAATCTTTTCCATTCCACATCCATCTCTTTTAATCCAAAAGAGGCCGAAACATACTCATGCCAAATAGGGAAGAATGCAGCGTATTCCCAGTCAAGTATACCAACAACCTTTCCGTCTTGAACCATAATATTTCCCAAATTGAGATTGCAGTGAGTAAGCACATAGGACTCGCACTTTGTTTGGCGCTTTTTTAAGTTCTCCAAGACATTTTGAGGAAGGTAGCGAAGGTTCAGGGCAAGAGTATTCCAGAGCTCTTGGTCTGAGTGAAACGGCCCACGGGGCTCAAGATCGAAGAATAAGAAGCCTGGGTAGCATGGGCTTTAATCGGCACACTGAATAGAGGCTGAAGTGATAGATCGAAGCTGCTTTCCTACTCTCACAACTTAATCTGCAATATCTATTTTTTAGGTTTCTGACAGAGAAGTCTATCCCCTCCTCGAGTGTCTGGCCACTGATGCGTTCGTTCAAAATGAAGTAGCGCCCATCTCGATCGACCCAGTCTCGTAAGACCTTCGGGATGGGAATATCAGAATTCTTATTGCTCCCTAGATAGTCCAAAGTTTTGACTTCAATTTTTGCCTTTGGACCTTCATCGGGCCGGTCTTTCAGGACCACATCTGATCCGATAGACCAGACGCCCCATGTAGATGCACCATAGAGGAGCTTGAGGTGGCTGGTATAATGGCACCGTCTTTCTTTGTCGAGTGTCCACCTACATGCGACACAACCTTTCTCGAGCGATTCACCCATTGTAGACAGTTTGTAGGTTAATTTGTTTCGACGGAAGAGTTTAGACTGAGGATTAAAAACAAAGTGGAGAGCCCCTTGCGTATACTCTAAGGGGCTGACCGCCATTGAATGTACTTAAATATTTACCCCGTCTAAGCGCCAGCTGATAGAGCATTCAAAAGCAAGTGGCGTGCGATAACCCGGCAAGAGGTGCATGGTGTCACATAAGCTCACGCGGCTTCTATCGTCGCATCACATTCCAGATGGAACTTCATGAATTTTACTCCACATCCATCTTCTATAAGGCAACATTTGACATCAATCTTACGAATCAGCCATTCTCGATGTCGATTTCCCAGGTCCTCATATTCTAACTAGTTGTAATCATTACTACGCACATTGCTATCTATCGCAGTATTCTACCCAGTTATAGTTATACTACTATATACTCAGTACCATGAATTGTTAGGATCAATGAGAAATTAGTGCTAGTACTAGTGCCATTACCATATTCCAATATGAATTCTGTCATCATTATCATATCGGTTCCCATCTTGAGGTCGGTCAATAGTAGGTTTAGCCATAAGGTAACCTTGGAACGCGCGATCTCCCGCCGAGCCCTAGCGCTTCAGCGACTACCCGATTGGACGACTCTAGATCGGACGTACTTGCTCCAAATTGGACGAGTTTATCCCAACGCAGGGGCGGACATTGACATGAACCCGTCATATGAATGTACAAGTAGCTTTTTTTCTAATCGGAAATTCTCCCAAAAGATTTCCTCTCGTCCATCACCCTCGACTTCAACTATTGCCCCCAGTACTTTTTTTATACTGCTTTCCTTCGAGTATCTATCAAAATGGAATTTGAATTCAATCACTCGAACCCTCACCCAGGCAAGATGGGTGAGATCTACGAAGACCAGCTTTACCATGTAATGTCCGGTAAGTACCCAACTTACCATCGGATAACTCTGCCCCAACCTCAAGACCAGACTAACAAGTAACAGAAATCAGGTATGGCTCTGAAGACGGGCGCCCGACCGTCGATATTAGCGGTATGCCTCCTCTGGTAATTACAGAGAGGAACCCCATTCGTCTTCCGGAAGTTTGTAAATTTTCACTTTTGGCATTACCCTTGTGAATACTATACTGACTATTGGCAGTGGCGAGCTGGAAACGAAAGATCCTGCGGCCATTTATTCGGAAGCGCGTTGGTAAGGGGAAGCAGCCGATGAGATCGCCCGAAGAGTCAGAGACCCCGAACGAGGAGCCGGGAACTCCAGCCGAGGAGTCAGAGGGATCGGGGAAAGTATTGGGGAGCCCTGGTGAATCGAGAAAAGGATCCCTCTCCTCTTTGTCCTTGTCTGTTGGGAACGGGTTGAAGAGTGTAACCAAGCCATTCCGTCGTTAGAGGATGGTTGGTTTCGATGGAGGGAAGTCGAGCCATTTGTTGCGGCTTTGCTATGTTCTGTGATCTGATATCTGACTTGCTCCTGCTTTTGCTGTTTCTGGTGCTAGAATGGTACCCTCTCACCGGCCTGGTAAGGTACTTTGGGATAAAAAGTTGTATGATAGCTGAAATTTGAGATATTCCAGCAGCCCTGTTTGGTATATATACAAATATGCCTCTATTTGACTTCACTAACTCATAAATACAATATCTCCGGAAGACATGTTGTTACAGGCCTATCTTTACCCTAGGCAAGTCCATGAGAGTATAATAAATGACCGATGGAATGATAGCAAGGATATCTGTCTGACAGGAGCTAAAAGAACAAGAAAGGCCAGGGACATTGAACAGATCAAACTTTCTGACAGAAAATCGAAACAACGGCTATTTCCATGCCGCTCGGTTTGTGGGTGAGATGGACGGAGTTTGAGCCACTCGAATCCGGTCGTGAAGCCTCCGCATACCCTTCCGCACACTCCTCCCTCCTACTCACAGATCAAAACTTGTTCTTCCCAACATCACTGCATACATTGGTTCATTTCATCTGCAGTCAAACCTGCTTTGAGAATATCCTGAAGATAAAAGGTAAACATCTGCGACCTGATCTTGTCTTCATCCCTACCATTCTCATTCACGAATCAAAGCTTGTCACAACATCGAAACTGGTTCATCTCATCTGCAATCGCACCGGCCTTGAGAACACCCTGAAAAAAGGAGAAAACATCTCTGAGCTGATATTGTCTTCCTCTCTACCATTCCCTCTCCAATCTCTACGCTTTGGTACGTTCGTCAACATATGCTCCTAATCAACAATGAGAGTACTCACAGCTCATAGCTCTAGACACCAAGACACCAACCTCACATTCATCATGGGACCGAAACGCCTAGCCACACAACCGTACAGCAAAGAGCGGTTCGAATCGGCCAAGAAGCTCTTTTTGCCTGGCAAGAGAAGCGCCACACATCGCATGAATGACCCCGACCACTTCACCAAGGGTCCTTACACACTGAGAAGCCGCAGCAAGATGACGCTCGTGAAAATCAACCCTACCTGGATCGATCATGACAATGATGCCGATTATGATCCATCTCCTCGTAGGGCCCGCAAGCGCAAAAATGGCGGCAAATGCAGCCAGCCACGCAAGAAGCAAGCAAAGATCAATACACCCGGTATCATATTAGGGGTCAGTGAGGATGAGAACATCGATGCCAGCACTTCAGTTGCAAGCTCTCATATGACATTTACTTCCGTTGAGTCAAATGAGCAGACCATGGGACAACTTCTTGTTGACGCAACGGCATTCAATATGCCTGAATCATCTAGGGTGGAAGGGAATAGAGTGAGCACCGAACTCCCCTACAGCCTTTCAGACTACTTCCCCGCAAGTCAGCCATCTAGCGAAGCTATCTCCGACTTGGCCCTTCCAGTTGCAACTTACTGGGGGCTTGACCCCCGTTGTTATTCTATGCTTGACCGATGCCAAGATACTCCTGGGAGACAACCATTCCGTGACAACAAACCAAGAGAAGAATGAAAGATTTGACAGAAGTGAAAGGATATCTAGAAACGTGATTCCTTTTGGGCGTTTTGATGTTTGCCAAAGTGCTTCTATGCTTTTTGTGGTGTTGAGTTGATCACCAAACTGTTCTACTGCATACCCCATTTCATACTTCGGTACTGTGAATCCAGATCCATTGAGATATCGTCACCTTCTCTCCTTGACTTGACCAGGAATTACTTACTCAGGCTCGCTTAGTGAAGAAAGGCTTTCACTATTCATTCCAATCCATTTCAATCTACTTCAATTGGTGGTGCATCCTGGGAGTGGTTGGTTCAAGGTATGCATCCTCACTAAAACCAGATATTTGGCTGACTTCACCACGCCCAGTTCTCAGTTTTGGGTTTATCATCTCATCTATTGCTTCTGAATTATTCTCCCGGTGCATACAATCCCTTGGGACCCCATATCTACGAGAAACAATGAATAGGGCTTAAAACCGGCGACCGCCAGCGAAGAAAAAAAAGAAAAATCCGAATCGGGAGGGATTTTCTGCCAAAAAAAAAAATCCGCAGCAAAAGTTGCAGTTGACTTGCATTTGCACCTTCAAACCTTCACCCGCCTCTTTCTCCTCCTTCTCACTTTCTAACCTGGGACCTTTCTCGCGGAAGCCTGGCCGTGGGGATTATTGCAAAGTCATTCATTCATTCCTTCAGTGCCCCGAGCTGCCGCCGACGTGCGCAGCTCCTCGCCACGACGTCTCCGACAAAGCGTCGCAAGGTCTCCCCGAGCAGTCCAGGAGAGACACAACGTCACGCCCAAGCTCCCTCTGACCCTCCGGCGCCCTCAGTCCCCTCATTGCCTCCTCGGCGCGTTCCTTCGTCTCGCAGTGCAACCTCCACCTCCTCGCCCGAACCACAACCGCCTCGCTACGTGCCCGCCCACCTGCAGTCGCACGTCCCCGGCACTCGATCCCACAACGGCGCCCGATCACCCACTCCCGCGACCGCCACCGCTGGCCTCACCTTGACCAGTGAACGCGAACGTGAATCTGAACCCTCCGACATGCCGACTGGTGACGATACTGACGCCCGATCTCCCTCCCCTGGTGTCAAGCGCCCTGCTTCTGAGGTGGTCGACTCCGATCCCGATCCCGATCACGAAGGAGGGGTGAGCACCATGGATACCAATGGTGATGGCCGGCCTTCAATCGATGAGCAGATTGCCCAGGTCCAGGCGACCATGATGTCAGCACTCAAGGACCGTCAAAAGGGCTATGTGGTATCGATGAACTGGCTGAAGACCATCCTCGCGCGAAGCTCCTCCCACTCCGAACAAGCCGGCGGCGAATCGCAAGACAACGAACTTGGCCCTGTCGACAACTCCGATCTCGTGCTCGATGTTGGCCCGGCAAATGAGAAGTTCAGGGACGAGAGAAGCGATCCATTCACACCTTTGCGCCCGGGCTTGAAACAAGGCGAAGACTTCGAGGTCGTTCCGCAGGAAGGATGGGATAAGATCAAGAGCTGGTATGGCCTCGCCGACCAGTCGCCGGTCATCGTACGCTACGCACACAACGTCAACCAGCGCCATGAGGACGAGAAGATCGAATACGAACTCAACCCCCAGATCTACACCATCTACAAGCTCGGCGTCTCCTCCAACATTACCACGAAGATCCTGAAAGAAAAGAACCGCAAGCCCGTCAAGGTCTTGGCGCACGCCACTAAAAACTTCCAGAAATGGCTGAAGGAAGCTAAGAAAGAGACTGGAATTGACAAGTCGACCAAGGTCCGCGTATGGAAAATTGCCGGCAGCATCCCCAGTGCCAACGCCTCCGCCGTGACGACCCCCGCCGTGTCCCGCACTGTCTCCCCCGCGCCTCCGTCGGGTCTTCTCGCCACCAGCAAACACCTGAACGTCGACCCTAATGCTTTCCTCTCGTTAGCTGAAGGAAACGAGCGAGAGCTCCTCAATGAGCAGATCAAGGATCAGACTGACAACCCAAAGTACAATGGCACCATGAACTTGCGCATGGCGGGCCTCGTTGGCACGGATGTCATTATCCTTGAGGAGCAGGTGGGTAAGAATGGAAAATGGGCATCCGAGGTGTTGGAGAAGAAGCTCAAGGCAAACGGACTGAGCGTGGAGAAACCTAAGAAAGACCTGAGCACACTCGTTGCCAAATCACCCTTGAGCAGTGGCAGATCGACCCCGGCGCAAGAGACCAAACCTGAGCGTGGTCGTCCCCGAGGACCCCCCAATGGGAAAAACTGGCCTTGACAACCTCGGCAATACCTGCTACATGAATGCAGCGACGCAGTGTCTTCGAAATGTCGAGGAACTGACCTACTACTTCCTGAGTATGTTTCCTCCTTTGATCTTCTAGCCCGATCTACCAATGCTAATGACGCTTCAAGGCGGCAAGCACAAGTCTGAGTTGAACTTTGATAACCCTCTGGGTTTCCGTGGAGCGCTTGCCAGTGCTTACGGAGCTTTGCTGGGTCAAATTCATCGCCAGCCCCCGCCTCCATTTGTGGACCCTAGGAAGTTTCGCAATGTGATTAAGCGGACCCATCCGTTCATGGACAGCTACGAGCAGCAGGACAGCCAAGAATATTTGATGGCTTTGATGGACGGTGTGGCTGAGGATCTAAACCGCATTGTGAAGAAGCCTGCTGTCGAGAAACCCGATTCCACAGATGAAATGGTGACTAACCGGGAGGCCTTGGAGAAGTTCGCTGCCACATCTTGGGAGTTGTACAAAGTTCGCAACGATTCCGTCATGACAGACCTATTTGCCGGCATGTACAAGTCAACTTTGCATTGTCCCAACTGCGAGAAGGTTAGCATTAGCTTCGACCCATTCATCAACCTGACTCTGCCGATTCCGAACCGACAAATTATCTTCCGTGAAGTCATTGTGCAGAAGATCGGGCAGACCCCAGTGAAGATTATTGTGGAAGTCGACGCGTCTCAGTCGCTGCTTGCTTTCAAGAAAGAAGTCGCCAAGCGCTCTGGAATCAGCCACAACCGACTTGTCGGCGGCGAGGTTTACAACGGTACCTTCTACCAATATCTTAATGAGGCCAACAGGTCCTTCCGCGAGGTCAACCTCAAGGCTGAGGATGATGTGCTCTTCATGGAGGTGGAAGGCGCCGTTCAAGATCGCATCTTGATCCCAGTCTTTAACCGCTATCACTCCGGTACCAACCACAACAGTGGTAAACCCAGTTTCAAGCCATTCGCGTTGCCATTCATGATCTCTCTCACCCAGGAAGAAACCCGTGACGTTGAAGCCATCTACAACAAGGTCCTGAAACAGGTTGCTGCGCTGACGACTCGCGATATCTTTAACGAGAAGGAACCTGAGACGAACAACGCCGATTCGAATATTAACAGTGAAGATGAGGATGAAACTGCCTCGCACCCGTTGGCCGGCAAGATATTGCAAAGTCTTCTGCGTCTTTTCGATATGAAGGTTCTCGCTGGCCAGGCCTTCGGCAAGACGCTTCCATTAGGACGTAATCTCGATAACAGCCGTGATTATGCCCTGCTCACTTCCCGCATCCCGGCGCCTGCTCAACCAAAGGAGTCTGATAATACCTCTGAAGGCTCAACCGATGGCAATAGCGATGCCAGCGGCGAAGCCGAGGCGCCCCGGAGCCCGGCCAGCGAAATTGTCGATGACTGGTTCCTCGTGGAGCCATCGGAGGCTTTGCTCCTTGACTGGAATGATGACGCCAAGGATGCCCTTTTCGGTGGAAAGGATTATGATGATGAGGATGTGCGTGGAAAAGCTACCTACCTGAAGCCTGAACTTCTTAGCGACCCTGAGATCTTGAAACGCAAGTCGGAGTGGGATACCCGGAGAACCAAGGGTGTCTCTCTTGACGAGTGTCTGGATGAGTTTGGCAAGGAGGAGATTCTCGAAGAGCAGGAGTCATGGTTCTGCCCTCGCTGCAAGACACATACCAGGGCCAAGAAGAAGTTCGATCTTTGGTCAACCCCCGATGTGTTGGTTGTTCACCTCAAGCGTTTCTGTATCATCAACCGTTACCGTCGCATGAAGCTGGATACCCTTGTCGACTTTCCTCTCGAGGAATTGGACCTGTCAAGGTATATCACTGGTCCCGACGATGGCAAGCCTATGAAGTATGATCTTATTGGCGTCGACAACCACTCTGGCAGCATGAATGGCGGGCACTACACTGCCTACTGTAAGAACTTCGAAGATGGTCGTTGGTACGATTTCAACGGTATGCATACTTCAGTTCTGGTGTTTGGTTTTCGTCGCACTTACTGACAACCTTTTCTAGATTCATCTGTTTACGATATCGATAACAACAAGGCCCGAGTCGTGTCGTCTCGGGCTTACCTTCTCTTCTACCGTCGCCGCTCTCCCGAACCCCTCGGTGGCCCCGTTATTCGAGAAATCGTACAGAACTACAAGAACCCCCCCGCCGGAGAGTGACAATGAATCCAACCACGCAGCCGACGATGGCCAACGCCTTGGCTCCCCTGTCCAAAATGGTATCTCCTTGGACGCTCATATGTCGAGCTCAGATGAAAGCGACCATGAGACCAGCCAGATGAGTCTTCTCAATGAAGGTCCTTCTTGGTCATTTGGCGCCATGGATGTCCCCACTCGCCGCTTTGATGATGAACATAATGAAAAGGCCAACAATGGCGATGATGACTTGTTTGAGGATGACGACAGTAATGTTGCTGTTGGCAGCTCGGAGGCGGGAGACCGCATGGAAGACCTTCGCTCCGGCATTACTTCTGATCATGATGTTTCCTTCGAGGATGTCCCTCCTCTGCAAGATGATGGATCGGACGATGAGTTGCCTGTAAAGGAGCTTCACGTCGATGAGATCGATAAGATGGATATCTGAGCTACAGTCCCCGTCCGATCGTCCCATCGATCTGTATCTCCACCCTTGTTCCTCGGTTTTGGATGAATACCTTATCCATTCCACCCTTCTTTACATGCACATGAAAAAAACACCAGTTTTCGATTTACCCGGCGCATTCGGCGTTATTAATGGAAATACAAAAAACGGGGTTGGTGTCGAACGAAGCATCCCATACACCATGGAAAGGCCTCCTCTCCTCGCGTGGATGTTTGAATTGTTACGTTATCTATCATCTTGGGATTGTTTTAATTTTCTTACCTTGCCTTACCTTGTCTTACCTTAGGGTTTTGTTTTTACTCACGTCCTGTTCCCCCATCTTTCTGTCCGATGGCAATTGCAGATTCCTCGATATGCGTGATGACTCCTTTCTCCTTTTCCTTTTTCCTTTTCCTTTTCATTTTCCTTCTCTCTTTCTCTCTGTGTACTACCTTATGCCCTCTCCCTCTTCGCATGGCCGGGCTTCTCATCCTCTTCCATCTCATCTTTTGCATCGTCGGTCACCGCGGAGAATCCGCATCGCATATGGAGGGAATCGAGATTTGCATAGATTGGCGAGAGCTGCTAGAATTACACTGCCTCTGCTTGCCTGAGTATCATGATCATGATATCTTCACTTACCTTACTGTAGTAGTTGCCTAGAGTGTCCTAGATAACTTGAAGATGTCCTGCCTTCACTGTCAGTCACTTCTTCCATCGAACACCCCCCATCACACCTTCTCCTTGATTCACTCCACTCATATTTGTTTATTTCCTTCCTTCCTCGCAATTCCGTTCGACTGTCATCCACTTCGGTTAACCCGTGTGGACTATCCAACTCCCCTTCCACCATGCCCAAAATGTTAGCCCTCACTCATGGCTTCGACTATTAGCATTCATCCAGTTGACCAACCCACCTCCCAACCCTCACCCTCACCACCTCTCAACCCAGAAGACCCTCTCGGCCTTTTAACAGAAAATTACACGTACGAGCCAACCAGTTACCCGCCTCTCTTCGGCTCCTACCCAGCAATGTCATCACAACTACCATCATCTCGATCTTCGGCCTCATCTCACCCTCACACCCATGTACTGAGAGGCGACAGTGAAATAAGCAGCCTCGACCTTAACCTTTCATCTGAAGCATCTCAAGCAGGCCCCTCCCATTCTCGCACCCAATCATCTCACCCTCAAGCTCGCCGCGAAAATGAAGGAACCCCTCGACGTCGAAGTCGTCCATCACCGGGCTTGCATATCGATCTCCCCCCTCATCCACAGCCACTTGTGACAGGAGGTACTGGCACTCGCCGTGGAAATGAAGGAAATACCCGACCCCGAAATCGTCCCTCTCCGGGCTTACATATCGATCTCCCCCCCTCGTCCACAGCCACTTCGTGCCGAAGACCTGCAATCGGAAGCTGTTACTTCCGGAAGCATGACCTATCAAAATGGGCACTCACATCTGTTAGCAAATCGGGACCGTCGCCACAATGAAATGATTCAAACTACCGACGCAACTGCAATTCTGGACTTATTGAGAAATACCATATCTTCCGAAATTCGTCAAGATGTTTATGAGTCTCCGGAAAACTATGAGGACGGTGCTACCAGGCAACATCAGCATCGGCAATCTAGAAGCGAACCCTCCTCCTACCGTTGTAGCTCGCAACCACGTTCCCAACGCAGCAGCAGCGAACAATCCAGCAGCAGACCAAGAACCCTTCTAACCGGTGATCTCTACGGCGTCGGATACGGCTACGGCTTCGAAGGCCATGCCGGGACTAGAAACAACAATAACTCCGAATTCACCACCTCCTCCTCCTCGCAGCGGACCGAACCATCGACGACTTTCTTCGAAGATACCCTTTTCGAACTACGTTCTTCAAGTCCAATCTACGCACGCGAATCGTCGACACTGTCTACCCGTCCGGATATTCATAATTCCATGGCACCTTTTCAGGGTGTTGATCCGGATTTTGCGCAGTATCAGGCGGCGGAGTTGGCTAGGCATGTTGAGCAGACTCAGACGCCCGTGCAGACTGACTCGAGTCCGAGTTTGTCGGAGCTTAGTTCGGTCATTTCTTTTGAGTCTAGCGATTATGAGATGTAGTTGGGTCGGGGTGGCAGTGGAGGTGAGACTGGACTGGACTTTGAAATGAAGAAGGGTGTTGTCAGGTTGAATAGCTAGTTTTAGACTCTTGTGTCATTGACATGGTGCATTTATCAAAGAAAGCGCATTTATCTATCAGGACTGCATTTATCTCAATGTAGACATTGTAATTGAGCGGGATTACCCAAAGCCGCTAGATGAGGGAGAGTAGGGCTCATTGTACTTCCTTAACCGTGACCATCGAGATCATGTCTCCTGTTTTGTTGATAGCTCTTTGTATGAGATGTGCCAAGTATCTGGATCTTCCATAATGCACGATTGAAAAGCTCAAACGGTTTAATTTTGTATCGCTCTCCCTTCAAATAAGAGATATTGCGTTCTCGCAATTTCTCAAACGACTCGGGGGCCTGGCTCTCATAGCAGAGGTTGGGACTTTTGGCCTTTGTATCTTTTATGCTCAGCAGGTAGATAACTTGCCCGGTATTGTAGCGAAAGAGGGCAGAACCAGCGGCATGATATGTCCATAATGGATCCTTGTGATCAAGCCCGGGACCTAGATTGACCCACCTCGTCTTTACCAAGGCGATCCTAGAGTCACCTTACTCTAAGGCTTCAATCACGCAAACTGTATTGCAAACCTGACAAGTCTCGGGCCAAAACTTCTGTTCTCTATCTCGAATCCTTTGTAACTCTACCCTTATTCCGATGCTATCTTTGCATAAAGACGTGGCGTGAGATCTGGTACATCCCTAGAGGTCCTACATCTGGATCAAGTTCGAAATTCCACGGTTCATCAAATAGTAATATACCCTACATGTGGATATAAAGGCCAAGTTGCTCAGGGCATACTTGTGCTTCGATTGAGAATAATGTGGGAACTTGCGTGTCCGGTGGCAAAATAGGCGATACCAGTTATGTTACTCCGATTCCATTTACGGGCCAGGGATACTAATGATCAATGCCCTGCCTGAAAATTAGGGTTAGTCACAATCACAGCAAGGCAGTCATGGGAGGAACCTTGAAAGGCAGCACCAGGCTACTACCAACTAGTTACACCGTGACCTTGCAGTATGCAGTTATACCAGGACCATATATACGGAAGGGACGACCCTGGAGTAAACAATACTAGTAAACAAATTACCCCCCTTCTCCCTCTTTCGCTCACGTCCATTCCTTTCTTCCTTCTCCTCCTCTCTTCGTGATCAGTATTTCAACTTTAGCCCCAGATACCACCAGAAGTCGACAAGCCCACCCTAAACTGCCAAAGGGGTAGTAGTGCGTCTTGCAGCCCTGACTGTCATATAATTTTATACGATTCTCGCCGTACCAGAACGATCACAACAATGAACGCGATACCTTGCCAGGGATCGCATTTGCAAATCCTACCTTCAAGAAAATGCTTCAAAGCCATCCAGCTGTTGTGCATGTGCGGTCATCGATCCAATGAAGAGCGATCAAAGCAGATCCATGGATTCCAATCGCGGACTTTGAGATGTCATGAAGACCGAGAAACCGGACAAGACTTCAGCGTCTTCCGGTCTTGACAACGGCTGAACTACCCAAGCATGTGGGCCGGAGGAAATGAGAAATCCAAGGCGATCTTGACCGTCTCAAAGCCGACGCGAATAAAAAAGGACCGCGGTGACTCTCGTGCGCTCGCTCATACCTGAGATCTAATCATTTGTTGTGAAATCTGCCATCACCGCCCACCAACTCACACGATTGAGCTCAGGACAAACTTCATCGAAATCAGGATCATTATATTTTCGTTCATTCTAACATTTTACGAAAATATGGAATCTTCTCTTGTTAAAATGGCAGCTTGGATGGTATTTTGCACATTTATCATGCAGTTATTTATACCCGTGCGATGCTCGCACAAGACCAACACATTTCGCTCTTGAAAAATGACTCAATACGAGTACCGAAAAGCGAAAAGGTTCTGATGACTTCCAATTCCTTTATCCCTCGGAGCTTGAGGTGTAAAAGGGGATGTTGTGCCTGAAAATTTCGTGGTAGTGTGTGGGGGTCGGGGGTCACATAATCCTCCTGCCTTATCTAGCTAGATAGTTACTTTCGGAATATCATCATCTTACACCTCCGAGTACTCTCCTATAGCTGGTTTCCAGCATAGTGCTTAGATATAGATTTCTTTGAGGTCGGGAGCGTTTTATTAGACGCCCAGATGACCATAGGCCTTGATTTTCATAGGTCCTTCTTCTTTAGTTTTCATCCTATCTTCATCCATCGGAATACACTCAGTTCACTGCTGCTTCTCCAATTTCTCTCTTCGGTGTGTCAAGCATCGCCTTTTTGCGCCCTTGCTGTTGAAATTTGAGGGTTCAGACTCATTGTGCTTTGTACATGTACCTAGGTATAGATAGAGCCTCAGCTAGTTTCTTCCCATAGCACGCATATATCCATTACATCTCATGCCATCCAGTCCCTCTGTATCCACCACTTACTATGCTGCTTTCTCTCGAATGCTCATACGGAAGGAATATCATGCTATCACTGGCCCATGAGCGGGTAACTTACAAAATGGAGCATTAATTGCACATGACGGGTGATTGATTGGTAGATTGTTGCCTTTCATTCGTGTTCTTGCTCTGGTCAATGAACAACGCATTTGCCAGCTCCCTGATGCCTTTGAGTCCAAAGGGAAAGTAAGGTTCTTCTGAATTCCAAAATTTCACTATGTATGGACCACTCTGTGCAGTTGTCGACGTCTTCGATCGCTGCTATTCTAGAATCTTGACTTACGGAGGAAATACCCTCTGTTCAAGCTGGAGTCAGTGGCCGGCAATGCTCTGGATGCCAGGATAAACCTTCACAGATAACGAACGAAGGTCTCCCAATTGCGTTGGAGAGTTGATTATGGGAGGGAAAGACTCTTGAGGAACGTGTTGAGTCCTTCTATCGAGGCTATCTAGATCAGCCGTGCATTCATGGAGAACCTACGAGATGAAGCACCGTCGATCTCTTCCACCACAACAGCTCGGAGGTCTGATAATCGATTGTATTTCAAAACAAACACTATCAGTACATTTATCCAATTCATTTTTTTTTCATTTACATTTCTACTAGTAGTAATATCATCTTCCAGGTATGTCACCTTCCGAGGCGAGGAAGTAGACAAAACAAGTTCAAGTTGAAGCCAGAAATAACGTAATGTAAAGGCAAAAGTCTATTACGATTCCTATGTATGGTACCAATCTCGCTCCTCCACTCTATATATGGCAAGTAAGTAACCATATGTACAAACTTGAAACAACCTTCTATACCCAGTAACGCCGCTAGAGTAAACAAGAGCCAGGCCAGGTCAAAGCGACGTATTAGACCCAGCAAGAAAAGACAGAGTAGAAATAGGAAAATATCCAGACGCCGCCAGAATGCAAATAATGAACAACTCTTTTGAGTGGGATCCAGATCGAGGTCGAGTTGGTTGATCAGATCAGGGCCCGCGCGGTCGATTATGTGGGCACTTTTCTAGATGTGAGCGACGAGCCGAAAGAGAAATGTAGACTAGACTAGACAGCTAGTCATCGATGGTGGAATGAATATTACGGCGATTATAGATTCGGTAAAATGAATGGTGCATGTCGGCTTTTGGGTAAATTAATATCGAAATTGTTGACTTTTGGACGATCGGATGATCATCGCGAAGAGGGACGCGATGTGAAACAATCAAGCTTGAGCAACGGGCCATCCGTTGACGTACTTCAGTGGATTAAATCCAAGGAAGGCATCCTGGAGAGGGGAGTGTTAGTCCATATATCATATCTCGATGACGTTGCGGAAGGGGCAGGGGGTAATGTAATGAAGGAGGATCGGCAAGGGTGTGGCGGTTCACTTTCCCGATCCACCGATCTACAAGCCTGCCATGCCATTCATTATGGGGTACTCACTGCGAATGCGACTCCGATTGTTTTGTTTTCTGCAGTGGAGTTAGCACAGAGCTTCTTTTATGACGAGTAACATCTTTGCGCTTTGAGTGAGGGCAGTTAGACTCACGATAATGGTAGTAGAGCATGTCGGTCTCGCCGACGCGGATCACGCCTTGGCCGCCGGGGGCATAGGTTTCGTCATTAGAGCCGTAGACAATGGTGCCGCCGCCATCGACGAGGTCTTTGCCGGCTTTGTCGATGAAGGGTCCGCGGACTGACGTGGACCGACCGACGCGAATGCTGTATCTGGGAGGTTGTCAATACACTGGCAGAAGTATAATGGGAGTACATCGAGCAACATACTCTTTTCCAGCTGGTGGCAGATTCTTTATATCAAGATTGCAGCAGTTGCCGTGACTGAACCATAGATAGTAGAAGCCATCATGGTATGACGTGTAAGCACCTTCTATAGCATGGGGCCCGGTGGGGTCGCCGCAGAGAGTGGTTGCTTTCCGGTTCGGAGTACTGATGGCATTGGGTTCGTAGGCGAGATGTCGAGAATCGGGCTCAGTCGTGCTCATGGGAGAAATCAGGTCACTGGCAAGTGGGATCTGATAGATTCCCTTCCAGTAGCTACCGAAGGTGAGGTAGGCTTGTCCATCGGGTGTGACCATGGTGGCGGGGTCAATGGCGTTGGAATCTGTGTATGGAGCCACTTCGGATCCGTTGCCTGTTCCTGTCTGGACGATGATACCGTGATCATGCCAATTGCCGGGTCCAGGTGTGCTGGAGGTTGCAACTCCAACGGCACTATCACGACATCCGGCTCGACTGACACTGTAGTAACAATAGTATACGCCATCTACAGCAATGACGGTAGGTGCCCACGGAGCAGCACGATCACCCTTTCCAATCACACTATTTCCGTCCAGCACGCTGCCGACATGCTTCCATGGACCGTCCATGCTTGGGGCGGTATGAATGAAGATATGCTGGCCGACATTGTATAGGTAGAAGGTATCACCCACACGGAGAATGGTCGGATCATGGGTATGTTGATTAGTCTGGCGCGGCGGCGGGAAGCTGACGACAGCATCGTCTTGCTGTAATTGTTGGTCGGAAGCGGTATTATCGATATCATTGACGTCTCGGCGATGCGAATTCAAACTCGCACTCAAGCCCAAAGAAAGAAAGCCAACCAAAGCTAAAAGAATCAACATCTTGACCCAGCGTCGAGGAACCAAAAAATGCCAAAGTAACCGAATTATCCACCCCTGTCGAAAGTCGTCTACATTGCCAAATGGTGGCACCCCCGGCCGTGATAAGTGCCCGCTCCTGACGATCATCCTGCCCGCCATGGATCCAGGTACTCATCGTTTTCAGTCACGACGCACGGCGGGCCACGCCTGGGCAGGGTGTGTTTGCGATGCGGGATAACCTAGCTGAGGGGTTCGCCGTGAGGGATGCAACGCGGTCCAGTCGGAATCGTCTGGAACTGGATCCACCGATGGGTATGTCAGCAAGGTGTGGAATGCACAATATGTGTACAGAAGGATGTAGATGGATGGAAGTTCTCCGGAAGATTTCTGCGCTGATTGCTCCAAGTTGCTAGGTGTGATGAATGCGGCCCCGGGGGGGCCGGACCCTCATTCGTGGCACGTTTCAGACAGCAGCCAGAATGTAATTGATTGCAGAGTCTGGTAGATGATATCGAAGCCAAACTGCACTGCTCAGGGGAGCTCAAGGCACACTCTCAATGGCACAACTTCGCCCCCATAAGCAATTGACACGAAGCAAGGGCGTTCACAGACATCAGAGAGTCAATGCGAGTCAAGTTGCACGATCGGATGCGGTGTCCCTGTCGATCATCCGTCCTCGTCAAGGAGCCCCACTGACCAACCAGCATCAATCCCCTCCTGTTCCTGTGCTCGAATCTCCTGTGAAGCTGAGCTCCGTCGCCCTGGAATGTGCCCTTGTCCATTCCCGTCAAAGGGCGCACCCCACGTCTTGGCTCCTCTTGGTTTCGGTGCCTTTATTGACAAAACAGAGACATGGTCGCAGACTGCCTCAATATAGGCAAAGGAACAGGCACTAGCATAGGTGCCCGTCCAGTTGGGTGCCTTGTTAGAGATGGAGTTAGGGTGGGGATGAGACGGGAATGAGGTTGGTTGAGGGGAGAAGTTGGACGGGAAACCAAGTTGAGAAGGGGAAGTAAGACAACTCCCTTCCTAGTCCTTTTATTAAGAGTATCTTGAGCCCACCTTACTAACTACCAGTATTTTTCTACTTCGAAATAGTTCCAATTGGGTTACTTACAGTACTACCAAGTCGTACAAAATATAAGCGTTTTCATTTGATATGCAACGGCAGAAGCCACGGCGTGGCCATCCAGCTACATTGATGGCCACTAGTAGAGAATGAGAAGAATCAATGCCACCGAAAGATACCTATAACTCCATAGAACACCGTCTCGCTTGTGAGCACAGATATCGACCGCTGCACTCTACCGCGCAACAATCTTATCCACCTCGTCCTTGGCTTCAGTCCACGTCTCGAGATTCTTCCGCGCCCAATCCAGATGACAGCGGGCATATGCGACCTGCATTGAACCGTGGTTAGTAAACTAAAGTGGAGAACGAGAACCACTCGGGGCGCATCTTGCATACCATATACCGCTGCAGATCAACTTCCTTGTCCTTCTGGAAGCGTCGCAGATCCTGTAACACCCCCGCGCTAGCGTCCTTGACATCCTTGTCTGACACCTCCAGTGCTTGCTCGAGCTGCGTCTTTGCGTTAGAAAGAAGGAAGCTTCACCGAGTACAGCTGGGGGTCCACATACCTGAATGAGACTCTCTTTGGTCTTTCCGATCTGATCGCGACGCGTCCGTTCAGGATCCACATCCGCGAACCCGTGAATTGCATGACTGATGCGACCAAACAGCTTGTTCGACATGAAGCTCCCGCTGGAGGTCTTTCTGTGAGCAGGGGATGTTTGTGATGCGTCCGGTCGCCTCTGTCCAGGGCTCGGAGATCCAGTCGAGGAGGCGATGGGTTCGCCATGAGTGGGAGGGAATTCCGAATCGGTCGAGGCCTCCATAGCACCTCCGCCTTCACTACTGCCAGCAGATGAGGTGGACAGGGAGCGGCGGGGTGTGTTACCGGTAGATTGGGGCGTGGTGCGGTTTAGGTATTGCTCAATTCTCTGCGCCTCGAGCTCGCTCCGCTCCAGGGAATCCAGTAGTGTTTTCTTTTTGGCCAATTCGTCCCGTGTCATGTCTTCCTGTACCCGTTTGAGCACACGATACCGTAATACACCGCGGACTACACTGGCAAACTGGGCACTCTCGCGCATAGGCTCGGCGAAATGGGCACTCAGCGCATTGGACAGCTCCTCGGTCTCTATGTAAGAAGTGTCGGCTGCTTGTCCAATCCGCTCAATAGCCGCTGCAACGGTGGGCGATTGTTCAGACAGCGAAAAGCCATTGTAACGAGCTCCCAACTCCATAAGATCAGATGAGAGGGATGACAGGTGGGACAAGGTACGGCGGTTCACTTTCTCGATATTCCCTTGCAGGAGCAATTCTAGCTCTCGCGTCGATGCCTCAAAGTTCACAAAATACGGGTCCAGTTCCTGTTCACTCAGTTTGCGCGATTCCGGAGGAAATCTACCGAGGATCTCCTGGCCCGGGTTGGGAATTGGAGGTCCATCGGTCTGTTCGTTCGGAGATGGGGGCGATCCTGCGCCTCCGCCAGGGGACGGTGGCACCCCGCCGCCGCCGTGCTTCAGTTTCGCAGAAGAAGAGGGGACAGGTAACCAGCCATGAGCTTGTGTCGGGTTTGCAGGGTCGAGGGGAGGGGCCTTGAGATTATTTTTCGGCACTGAAGAGGCGGGATGGGAATGAAGGACCTCGTTCTGTGCACCAATCAGCTTTCCAACGCTTCTGCCTGGTGAAAGATAACGACACGACTTACCCAGCTCACGTTGGGGTCCAGGAACCGCCACCAAACGCCATCTTCGCGGATCTCTTTCATCCGGCGACACCGGTTCAGGAACACTGCTAGCATGCGCTTGCGCAGTTCGATAATGGCGGTGTCCTCTTTAGCCTTGGTGGGTTTGGCGGCGTAGTCCGCCATACTGTGCTTTTCGGGGATCGGAGGAACAATGAGGGTCGGATGGAGGTTGACCAGGGTCTGTCGTAGAGATGCGAATTCGGAATATCTGCGTCGTACTTCGATATCCTAGAAGGCTCGTCAGTCCCAGCGCGCGCGGAGCTTCCTCGTCGTGGGGTCGAGGCCTACTGCGGTCCGAATCGTGTAAACAATGAAGCTTCCACCACCTTCATGATTTTTTCCCGCGTCTACAATCATAATGGGCATGTCGTGGTTCTCGTAGAGGATCTGCTCGATGCGGCTGTCGTAGGCACTCTTTCGGGGGTATTGTTGACTGGCAGCGCCATAGTCGGCTTCCTCGGGATCGCTGAGATCATCGGCTTGGGAGATGAAGTCAGGGGGATCTATATTAGAGTCGCGGCTTGAAGGTGGAGTGGAGTCATGTTCGTAGATTGCTGTCGAGCATCAGATCAGGGTCAGACGGCCAGGCATCACAATACTAGCAGAGCCAAGCTGGAGGTGTGGAAGCTCACGAGCGGAGAGGGCAGTAGAATGTAACGAGTCCGACAGGTGGGCTTCATGTTGGTCGAAAGCCCCGTAGGGGTTGTTGTCTTCGTCGTTCCACATGATCCAAGGGTAATCGCTTGCGCGAGTGGAAACTTGAAGGGTAGAAGTTGAGAGCTGGGGTGGCTGGACTCAAGTTGGCGTTCGCCGGGGGATCTGCGGGGGGGAAATCAACTCCAACGTCACCGGCCTGTTTACGGTGACCTGCAGAGACCACTTGCGACATTCTCTGCCCTAATAGTTAGGAGTGTACTATGCATACAGTTACTAGTACTACTAGAATATAGTTTGAGATTTGCATATTACTAGTAGCTTGAGGGAAATAATTCATTATGCTTGGTATCTTTCCATTTGTGTAACCTGAACCACTCAACATTGCACTTCAGCATTAGTTACTATCTGGGTTGACCAGATATAAATCCATTTTACACCTGGGCAAGTAGCGAAATATGTTGACCGAATATCTCCTCAACTCAACTTTCTCATGACATGATGTACTAGTCAATTCATGGGATAAGTATGTACCTTCAACAACTTGAAATCCCACACTCTCTTGACACTTCACCATTGCTGCGCGTGAACCTCATCCCGATTCTCATGATTGCCAGTGTCCCATCCCGCATTTGCAGACCCATGGTGGCTGGCCGGAGGATCCCCCTGGACGTTCTCGTTCCAGGGATTCAAGTTGTTAGTCTGCGGATTTTCTTCTTCTTGTTCGACAACGTCCCATTGGCCGAGTACTCCATTGGAAGCATCTTGCTGGCTATGCTGGCTTCGTTGCTGGGACTGTCCCTCTGCATTGCTTCCCCGATTGGACTTATCATTCCATGAATCACCATTGCTTCGCTGGCCATTCCCCGAGCCGTTATCCCATTTGTTGCTTTCCTCCTTCTCGTGCTTTTCTTTTCCCTTCTCCTTTTGTCTCTGCTGCTGCTTCTGCTGTTGCCTCTGCCTCTTCCTCTCCTTCTTGCTCATTTTTGCAGCCTGCTGGGCTCGATTCGACCCATGGTCACTCCGTTGATTCGGTTTAGCTGAAGCGCTCCTCCGGCTGGTCTGTCTATTCTCAACAACGTGGTAGTTCGTGCCTCGGATGTTCATCTTGGTACGTCGAGCTCGCTGATCCTGGGTCGGTCGAACAAAGGTAGTCTGCTGATTCCTCTTCACATATCGGTATGGTGCCAATTGTACTGTGTAGCGGTTGGCATTGAGAGGGCCGAGTTCGACGTCAGTGGTGTTTGGAATACCCTCGCGCGCTCGACGGTAGTAGGCTTTGCTCATGGCGGATTTGCTTTCGATATGTCGTTTCGCAAAGTGAAGACCGATCCAGACCACGATGCAGACTGCGGGGATCATGCAGAGGATGAGCGCGATGGCGGCGGCTGCTTTCATGACGGCTGGTGATACCCGCACCCAGGCCTGGCGATATGCCACGCGTGAGGAAGAGGATCAGTGGGAAGGAAGCCGCGAGGATTGGATCTGTCTTCATTTCCTAGGATGATCTTCGTGGAGAGGGTCAGAGGTGAACGAATGCGCCAGTAATTTGGTGTTACCGGACTGGGTAATATGCTTCGCGAGGGATCTTAGACTCTACCTTATAGAACTTTTCTGTAGTTGCCTTGGGATAGAGTAAGTCTTGGAAGCAGAGGCAGCGTGGAGAGGATTAAAGATAAATGGGACTGCGCGAGAAAAGATGAGTGGTGAGTGTAAACATTGGGTCGGTGGGTGAGGAGAGGAGAGAGAGAGTGTGTGAATCTTCTAGGCAAGCGCAGTGCGGTGCTCCATCGCCGCAATCGACCCAGTGATTTTCTTTCTTAGAGTTAACTTTTAGGGTTGCTTTGAATTTAACATTCGTCTATGGTAATATAAATCAATTGACTTTTTTCTATACCTATTTACAGCCCTGTATCCAATCCAATCTGGATTCTCCGGAGCCATTGCTCATTGACCGAGGCCAATTGACCAAATTCTAGCAACAATTGCAACTGTCCGCGGAGGGCGTGTTGCTCAGCCTCAAGATACTCTGGCACTGCAAAATTCTTGGATGCCAGTGCAACTGAGATGCTGATAACCCGGACCCCGAGCGCGAAAGACTCAGGGTTTGAAAGCCACCCCAGAAGTCCATCCTGTCCAGAATCCTGAGAAACAAGCGATGAAAGATATTGCAGTCCTTCGAAAACCCAACTCGATAGCTGGCGCATGAGCGTCTCAGGACACGCGTTTTTCTTCAAGTTCACAAGCGCTTGGGACCACACGTCGACTTCTCGTACGTAATCAATGAACAGGTTCTGCTTCTCCTCCATAAACAGTACAGTGTGCTCCTGGCGGGACTCGGCGATTAGATCGGACACCGCGACAAGATGAGTCTGGTTATCTGAACCGCTGATTCGAGGTTCCTGTCCGGTCAGGTAGCGTACCGTTCGCCGAGCGAATTGTGCAGAGTCTGAGTAGTGCTCTGTGATGAAGGTGGCAAGCAGTGAGCTCGCGTTTAGGGGACCCAGCACAACGGCAGTTCCTGGGGAGACAGAGGAGTATGAGAGAACCCAGGATGCTGTCGATGCAGCCACTTCTCGGATCTCCTCGTCGTCATCATTCAAGAGGTCATAAAGAATGAGGTAGACGTCTAGAAGTGTAGAGTCGACTCGAGGTGCTTTACCCGAGGGCCGGAATCCCCGAGAAAAGCTTCGGAGTGATGACACTGCAGCATATCGTGTTGTGAATTCCTAGCGAGGAGTTAGTATCCATACAATAGGCCGAGGCTTTCCGCGATTCTTACTGTTTCTTCGCTTAGCGCGGATCGCAGCTTGATGATCCAATCATGGATATCCCGATGAAGCGATGCAAAGTCGAGTTTCTCGCCAGAGGAGTGAACCGCGAGGAAACATCCTTGAAGACGAAGTCCTGCATCTGTAGCTTGTCTGTTCCAATTCTCAAACTCCTTCTGAGGTTGGAAGCTTTGTGCCAGATCCCGAAAAGGCAAATCAAGTTCAGATATCTTCTCTGTGTGCGACGAAAGCGTTCCTTCGAGGATCGACGCCAGATTTGAAGCGGCTAGTATCCTGACCGCTGTTTTGCTCTGGCTTAGCATTACGGAAGCGTACAGACCAGAAACTGGCTTCGTATATTCGACTGCTGTTCCGGTGTCTCATCGAGTTGCTCACAGATCCATGTCGCGGAATCCGGGTCGAAGGAGCTAACTTCGTTGAAGAACACAGGCAAGCCTTCCCATGACTTGCTCGCGAGAGATGTGAGAACCTTGCACCAAGCAAGTGACCTCCTGAGAAGAGAGCACGACCGAGTGGTGCTCGTTAGTTTCCAGTTTAATTCATTGTTGTCGAAAACATGCTTCATAATGCCACCCAGGTCGTGGTCTTCACAGAGAGCTTGGATGAGAAGTGTAGCTCGATCTGAGAACAAAGAGTTAGTTTGAAATCCGTATCGCTATTCTGCTGGTATTTCACTCACCCTCGACATTGGCCTTGAAACTCCGCTCTAGTATGTCGTTCAGGATTTCGACTAGCGCACTCGCAACATATGGAGATTTGGCCACGGGAAATGCAGTTGCCAAAACGTGACGAAGGGTTGAGAGAGTTTGGTCAAGATGAGCTATGTATATTAGCGAGGTTTGGAAAAAATAGTTATATGTTAATTAACTCACAGGTCCAAAAATTATCGGTGGTGGCCGCAAACCGGCGCAAAGAAAATCTGACACAGAGAATAGTTCCATGAATGAAGTTCTCCGTGACTTGTCCACTTAGGCTGTTGGTGAGATTGTGAACGCCATCGAGAATATTCGCCCGTGTAAGGAGAGAGGCATATACACGCGCTGCATGCTCTCTGATTCCCCACACAGGGCTCTTGAAATGTTCGGAAACCAAGCCACAAAGCATCGCATCATTGTTGTCCTCTGGGGTGGGGATCTTCTCTCCGATGAGCTCCAGTGCAGGGAAGATGCGCTCAGTGATAATATCAGTTCCTTCAGCTGTCGCTCCCTCGGAGGTGACCAGGAGATTAGATAGCAATTCCAGGAGACCGGGGTATTTTTGGAAGGAGATTTGAGACCCTGGCTCTGACCCAGAATCACCGCCGAAACCTCCGCCAGTATTAGGCATTGCGCGACACATTCGGGTCAGAAGAGCTCGGAAGAGCATCAGTCCGGAATTTCGGAGAGCCCAGATAGGCGATGCAAGTCGTTCGGCAGAAAGAGTGAGAGCCGACATGACAAAAGGCTCGGTGTGTGGGCCGAGCTTGTTGTTAACGAATATATCCTTCAAACAGTTCATGGCGTGCACTTGGGGAAGTTCTAGATACTGCTTCTCCTTGTTGTATTGCACTTCCAAGCGGGAGATTTCATGCAACTCATTTAATACTTCCTTGAAGAAAGGTGTACCAGGAACCGCGCACAGAACGCCTGTGATCAGTGCTGGAATACCAGCAGATCGGCGAGTAAGCTTAGAAGCCGATTCAAAGATCGTCTTCTTCGCACGCTGATACCATGCTTGGGGAAGTTCTTGGATAGAGGTGTCTTTTGAGTGACTGCAACGTTGGCAGCAGATTGCAAAGGTACTTGAGACTGTGGAAAATGCGCCTCTGTGGCGTAATTCGGCTAACTGAGTGAAACTGCTTTGCCCAACCTGCTCGAAGTCTTCGCGGTTGAGGCCAGCTGCATTGTCCGGGCCATAGGTAGTATTCACCATCGTGGCATGAAGAAGCAAGCTAGTTTCTCGAAGCGCTCTCCACGAGTACGACAGTATGTCCTTAGGGCCCACTGAAAGGTCCTCGATAGGTTCGTCTGTATGGCCTTCGGGGGAGTCAATGCACAAGACAGGCTTGACCTCTTGCCAGACACGATCACAAATATTGACAATTCGACCGTGAATAGATCTCCAGGCTACAGAGTTATCCTCTGATGACACTAGAGCATGGAATTCCGGCATGAGGATGATATATCTCAGACCAGATATGTAACCGTGGAGCGGAACTTCACGCAAACTGGAATTGAACAATCCCTTTGGGGAGGAAAGGCGTTGCTCCAGGTTGGTGATAATCTTGTCAACAACCGAGTATTTAGTTGTCCACCAACCGCTGGCTTCTTCGGAGGAGGTTGGTGGTAGAGCAGCACAGAAGAGGACATGGTATAGTCGAGCCACAGTGTCAGCGTGATCAGCTCGGCTGGTTCTGCTAGCCATGTTTTCAGCACGGGATAGAGCATCGGTCAGGCGCATTCCAGCAGCAGATTGCTGATTAACAGTATTCGAAGATGCACTGAAAAGAATATCTCGTGGGAAGGTGTTTATAATGGAAAGTGCTGTATGTCGGACTTCTTCGAATGGGTCAAGTAAAAGGTCAACCAACAACCGTAGCAAGCGGGTATTGAACACCTCCATATGCGACTTCCAATGAGTTTGCATTTCTGACTTCATCGGTGTAATACCTGCCCTTGGATCCAAACCAGATACTAGCAACAGATTGAGGGCTTTCAGGGCGCTGATGTGGCGCGCGTAGGATGCCGTGACACACAAATCCTTTTGTAGGAAATCGAGATATGTCGCGAGGCATTTCTGGGTCTCGTCATCACTTCTGCTTAGACCCACAGACTGTTTTCCAGGAGCAGAATCAGAAATCTGTGATGCATCCTCATCCTTCACGACACCGCCCTTCAGGCGCAGAATAAATTTGCGGGTGAGACTCATGATCTCTCCTCTGCTGTAGGCATCAGAGTCCGCATGCATGGACGGGAGCCCTCGCAGAATCGCATTTGTAGCAGATGCGGTAAATGGCTTGACCGTCGACAGTCCTGTGATCAACAAGGACAACGCCGCAACTCGGATCTTGGGTTCATTATGGAATAGGAACCGGCCGACAACCTGGCTCCTCAACACCAATTTCGGAAGAGCGTTATCCTTTTTATCATCAGGCTTCGTAGAATCAACTGCAAAAAAAAAGTTAGCAAGAGATATCCGTGAGGAATGAGATGTAGATCTTACAGTCGTCGAGCACAAGATTGGATTTCTTGCCCATTTGAAGGGCTGAGAAAAGCAAAATGAACTCCGATTCCCGAGCGTTACTCATGTCTCCGGCCAGGAAATTCTTAAAAGGAAGGGAATCCACAAATGACCGGAAGCCAGCCGGATCAATTACGAATAGAGGCTCGAGGACTTGGCTGGAGAGAGCCTCGAGGTGGTCCATGCTGCGCAACATGATGTGCTTGACAGGAGCCACCCAGATGTTTGAAAGCTCCTTTGTCGGAGATTCTGTTTTGAGCTTTTGCAAGAAGGTTGATAATAGCCCACCGCCTGTACCAGAAAATTCACGGTTATTGGTCTGAGTCAGAAGACCGAGGAAGAAGATATTAGCGGCGAATTCTTCTGGTAGGTCGGTGACCATCAAATTAGGGGTGGTCTGTAGGTCATTCGAAAAGAGGATATTGAAATCCTTCTCAAAGACAGGTACCCATTCGGCACGATTCTCGAGCAGCCACTGTTGGATTAAATGGATCAATTCGGACGGGAGAATAGCACCCTTGCGAATCACCCACTCTAGGCATACAAGGGAACCTTTCAAGCGAGATCGGGGCTCACCAAGTACAACACTAGGAAATGTAGCTGTGACGATGTTGCGTTGAATAAGAGCTCTTGCCTCTCCTTTGAGGTGCTTGGCTAAGATGGTAGCCAGCGAGCCGAGAAGTAGCTTCAGCGCCTTTGGTTTGGCATCCTCGTATCGGCCCAGGAATATATTGAAAACCGTCATCCAGGTGTCAGTATTTAGTGCCAATTGCTTGGTTCCTTGATGCTTAGCATTGGCGGCGGCATCCAGGAAAGCAGATGTTGCATTGCAAACTGCCATAGTATGGCCGCTGGAGAGAGACGGGGTGGATAGTGTCAAAATTAGGGATTGCCACACCCGTGTGATTTGTCTGCAAGGTCAAGTTAGTGGATATGTATCATGATTGTCTCTTCATCATTACTCACTCGGTATCGGTACAGTTCAATGTCAATTTGACCAACGGGCCCTTGGCAATTGCATTCAAGGTCTTTTCGGGCAACATTTGGACCCTTTGTGCGATCTCCTCCATCTTGGCAGGAGGCGCACTTCCAGTGCTGTGTGATGAATTGCTATCCATGACCAGCGCAAGATCCACCAGGCCCAACAATTGGATATCTCGCAAGTGGCATGAATTGACGCAAAGCATGAAATTTGCCCGCAATCTTCTGTGGCCTGAGGCAGCGACGGGAGTGGGATGTTCCGCGCTAATCCCAACCTGGGTTAGCCCCGGCGTAACAATTCTCCATGGCTCCGCGTCACGGGACCGAAGTTTTTGCTGGCGCCGACATTCGCAGTGGAGCTGTGATTCAAGGGCCTCGTCCTCGTCTTTCCAGTCTCTTCTTCAGTGAATCTTATCTTTCCCATCCTCCTCCCCCCTCCTCCCATATTCTATTCATCATGGCTATCTGGGACTCCCTCGGTGGGCGCAAGGAGGACAACGCCGTCCAAGCATTTGACCCTACCACCACTCAAGATGCCACTGGCTTCCTCTCCGAGGTCGCCGTTTCCGATGCCACCAGACTCCATCCCCTGGCCGGTCTGAACCAGGATACTCTCGATTACCTCTCCCTCGAAGACACCGCACTTGATGAAACCCCCGGCTCCCGCTCTTTCCTGCCTTCCCGCGGCTGGTCCGACGATCTCTGCTACGGTGCCGGCACCACATATCTCGCCGCGCTGACCCTCGGAGGCGCATGGGGTCTCGCCGAAGGTCTCAACAAGACACCCGCCAATGCTCCCCCTAAGATTCGCCTTAACGGTGCTCTCAACTCGATTACCCGTCGCGGTCCGTTCCTCGGTAACTCCGCCGGTGTCGTCGCGATGGTTTACAATGGATTCAACTCTGCCATTGGTGTCGCGCGTGGCAAGCACGATTCTGCCAACAGTGTTGCTGCTGGTGCTTTGAGTGGAATGCTCTTTAAGAGTACGCGCGGTCTTAAGCCGATGATGATCTCTGGAGGCATCGTGGCTTCCATTGCCGGTGCTTGGGCCGTACGTATCCGACCTCATATTTGATCGATTTACATGACCCTGCTAACTATTTCTTCTTAGGTCACACGACGCACCTTCTTCTAGATAAAACTGAACCAACCAGTTAAAACCTCCCATCACCCTTTCTGGTGAACCAACCACACCTCCATACCCGCTCCGCCATCTTCCATGACCCCCCTGGTGGTAACCCGCTCACCTCAACCATTCTCACTTTCACCCGCGATGTATTACAACGGCTTCTTACTATTTTTTCCCTGCGGATCTCTTCACTCTGGCGCTTAAAGCATCCATATTTCGCATTTCTGCGCGGGTTGGGAACGGGGTGTGCAATTGGGTTTGTACTTTTTATTCGCTTTTCCTTCCTTCTGTACATAGAAAAGTCTCTTTGCATATCTGAGGCTAATTGGCTATGACATATAATTTGTGTCTCGTCTTGTATCCTTAATGCTGTCGGTGACTTCCAATAGAGAACTATTACGCCCACTACATGTGCATATTGGTTGGCCGTGTATATGTATTGTACATTTGGCGCTAAATAATTGACAAAAGTTGACGCGAAGACTTGATCTATACCGCATCCGAGAGAAGAAAAACCGATACTACCACATACTATCCCATTCGATATTCGCCACTCACTCAGACAGAAAGCCCAATCATTGAACCAATAAGCAGGACTCCAACCATTCCAAGGGCAGACTTGGATACGGGACGAGGCCGGATATTGCCAGCTCCAGATGTCGAAGTCGAAGTTGCGGTCGAACCACTCGATGTCCCCGAAGCGGTGGAGTCTGCGCCAGTCGTTGTCGCGCCGAGAGTGACCACGCCAGTGCCAGTAGCAGTGGCAGTTGCTGTTGCGGTAGCGTTGGCATTGGTGTTGCACCAAAACTCTCCTGCACCGGCGGCCTTGATGAGACATTCGGCAAGGGTGCCAACGGTCTGGCCCTGAGCTAGACAGTAGTAATCACAGCCGTCGTACTCAACGACCGATGCGGAGGAGCAGCAGTCGCTCATGATGGAGGAGGAGTTGCCCTTAGTGATTGGCAGTGCGCAGGCGGCATCGTGGGTTGGGATGTCGTAGAGCTTGGCATGACAGCTCGAAGTTGCGGTTGCAGCGGTGGTGGTGGTTGTGGTAGACATTATGAGATGGGTGAACGAACGGAATAAGCTGTCGAGACCGCTAAGTGAATACAGAGTCAAGCTGAACGATGTTGCTTGGATGAGGATGGAATTGAGATCGTGGACCTGGCACCGGGGCTTTTTATACTTGAATCATGGTTCGAGAATAGATTATTGCTAGCTTTGATCATTCCTTGGTTATTTCCATCTAAAAAATGGGTCACATCCAGCCTCGATGGCGCTGACGATCTCGGGCCCTGGAGCATTAGCTTTCATTGCTAGTTTTCTTGCTGTTGAACAATAGCTCCACATCTGAAGCTGCATGTTTTCGAATATTGGACATGTCGACCTCATTCAAGCTGGTGTTTATGAGACATTTTAATCAAATACTGGGCTCTAAGTATAGATTACATCTCCTTGGGCATCATATCTCATCATCGATTCCTGGCCCCCTTATACAATGACATTTGGAAGCGAGTTGAGTGTCCTTGATGTCCAATTTCTGAGACATCCAGGGCATCGTGACGCGTCGTGGGAGGAGAAATTGGCCCATCTTGAATCCTTATCGGTATTTAGAGGCATTCAATATTGTTATTCTTACGTTGAATTGGCTAGAGCTGTGGGCTAGGGCATGTATAGTACCATAATGGATAAATCTATAAGACTTCGATGGACCCACACATGGAGGAGACAGTGAGCCTTTAGATACTTGCAAGGCCCTCAGATCCAAGGTCTGCGGCGCCACATTTCTCTCTATTGCGTCGTTCAAAGGCATTCATGAAGGCATTCATGAAAATTACCTCTAGTCCTGAACTCTTTTGCAGACGGGGCACGTTATATCTGCCACTTGGCTCTAGTTTATCGCGGCGCTTTCGTACACCACATTTAAAAGGAGTGAAGATCCCTGGCTAGCACTCGAACTGATAGCTATATGGAAATAAATGCTTTATCTATTGTTAGTATACTGGGGTATATGGAGGTATGCCTATCAATTACCTTCATGCGAGCGTTGAATGCAGCGCAACTTGCATGTCATCTAATAATAGATCCCATCATGTAGTCTTTTTCTAGTAGTATCTTGTCGCTAGATGCCGACTGGAATCAATATTTACCCGGATTTATGACCGAGCCAACCTCCGAGTCGGAGATAAACTGCCAAGGGTAAGTGTGGGCTGTGGGGATCGCCCTTGTTGTGGGACTCCGTGGCGTGTTTGACGTTCCGTCGATCTCATGCTATGGCTGTGGTCCGAGTCTCTTTCGGCATACCGGTTCGTGAACCGGGAACCTTGAAAGAACTGTCATGCAAATGGAGCAGCAAAATTCAAGTTCTTCTCTCTACTATTTCTGAATACGACCTGTTCGCTACCTAAATATTACTAGGCACAGAATCCCGAGTTCACCCTGGCGAGATTTAAGTGGAGATCGCGGAATAATATATAACAGGTGGTATGGACACTGCCAGTGGCAGCAGATCTGATCATAAGGAGTGGTAGAATAAAGGCTGGAATCACTTGAGTACTAGCAGTAGTCTTTCATCTTTATGTAAGCTCCAGGTGATTCCAGACATTTGAAAATTCCAGCGGGAAATAACCAGCGATAACTTTAAGGTAAGCCTTGGCGAGGCGAGTATGATGGATTTGAGAAATGTGAAAATTTCGATCTATCGGGAGCTGAGATTATTTTCTAGTAGACTTGAAAACGAGGGCAGATAAGATGCATATTTGAGATAATCAAGAAAAGCAGAATAGGCTTGATAACTTTCGAATTCGCCTATGAAAAACTATCTCGATATGTTGTGGAGTCTAGATATTTCGACTCTCCCCATGGGGCGAGTGGATGATGCAGTCCAACCGGGAACCACAGACCATGGCCGCGATGTATAGAACGATCAGCTATCATCATATGAGAGGGCCAACACAAAAACCTCGGTATCTGTTCTGGATAGGAAACTAAAATGTAACCATGTCCGTCTCAATACGGAAGTTATAGCCAGAACGGCGGCAGGTGCCGGGCGGGGGGCAAAGATGAATAATTTTGGTTGTCCGCTCTGGAAATCTCAACTTGAACCTCCACCATGACCACCTCGCAGCAGTCTTCGTGGGAATGACGAATAGGACCAAATCTGATAATGTGAAAGCCCCCAAACTACGCACCAAGACATTTACGGGCTGCTGGACGTGCCGGGGCCGCCGGGTCAAGTGTGACGACGAGCGCCCAGCCTGCAGGCGTTGTCTGCGGAGTGGGTGGGTTTGTCAGGGGTATGGATTGCGTCTAGGATGGTCACAATCGCCCGGGACTCGTTCCCATCGCAGGCAGATCTGGTCGGAGACTCCACAATCGACACTGGACTTGTCCTCGGCTGCCGTGACGGCTCTGTTGGCCGAACTTGACGGATGCTCGGCCGAGGGAGAGCCCAGCAACGCGGACCTTTCTCGGTGTTCTCCGCTGCGAGTTCGGCGTCGGACAATGAGGATGTGGACGAGGGATTGAGTGTTCATAATGAACAGTCGCCATCATTACGGGTTACAGATGAGGAATCCGGTAGCCGGACTACACGATCTTTCGAAAATGTGTTGGAAGACGGTGGAATAACCCCTGGCATCGACGAGCCTGTCCAACCTGTGGCATCAACCAGTCCTCTGAGTGGGACTCAAAGTACAGAGTCGCCATCGGTATCATCCGGGGCTCTCACTCAGGCTCAGACTAGTCATGCGGCGAATAATGCGATCTGCTCTGTCGACAAGCAGCATGCATCCAATTACGATCGCCAAAGAAAACCTCTACTACCCGACAGCTCTCCACCAACAGATATGTCTTTCATGATGGCAATAAACCCGATTCAACTCCCTAGACCCGAAACTGAGCTAGTTCATCACTGGGTTGTCTTCCTAAGTGGAAGCATGATGCTGATCGACACTCCCGACAACCCATGTCGGACAATATTTATGCCAATGGCGCTGAAAGGACTTGATACGCCCTCAACAGAATCAAACATCCACCTATCTATATTTCATGCTATATGCGCGTCGTCCGCTTTTAGCCTTTTCCACCTCCGCCGCGACTCGCACTACCAATCGTTGGCAATGCACCACGACCAACTTGCCTTACGACATCTAAGATACAATCTGCAAAAGGCACGGCGCTTGGATGAGCCGACGCTAGCGGCGGTCCTTTCTTGCATTACAGCAGAAGCTATGTCCGGACGGAGAGGTCGTTGGAGAGCACATGTCGCTGGCGGCCTGGGTCTTCTTGAAAACGAATTGAATGGAGGCTGGGTTCGGGGGCCGACAGCTTCACGCTTGCTGCAGAGCTATCTCTCACTTTCGTCTCTCTGCAACCTGCCCATGTCGACGCAGATGATGTCTTTACTCAATGGCCCGTCAGAGCTGCGGCACTATCTCGAAAGATCGCACGGTATAACGACTCCGCTGGTCCAGCTATTAGCACAAATGACGACCATGAACGCTTCAAAAGAGGAAATATCCACAAGGGAACTGGATGAACTGGAGCTGCAGCTTTATCTCAATTTCCCATCTCTATCTGACCCAGACGCCCCAGGGTCGACTACTATCCAACATGCTCTCAACTCTTTCTACTACGCCACGATCATTTACTTCAGACGCACTCTTCGCCACGCGCCCCTCGGTGAGGTACAGGAGCTTGTGGAGAAAGCTGTGCATGAATTGGAGGCGGTGGATATCTTGAAGAACGATAAGGGTGGGTGTGCCTACAATTGGGCTAGCTTTGTTGTTGCGGCCGAGTGTCAGTGTCCGGATCTTCAATCTCGAATGCTGGTCTCATTTGATAAAAAGGCAAAGCACGGGATTGAGAACACAATGGTATTGTTTGAAATTGTGAAGACCCTCTGGGATAGAAGGGCACAGGCCGGAAGTGACGTGGACATTCAATGGCAGGAAATTGCCAAAGAGACCGACTTCGATATTATGCTTGTATAAATATTTAATTCAGAGAGAGAAATTTCATTCCTTTAACACGTGTACTATTGGACCAATAGAGGCAACGTGCTATGCTAGGTACTTCATCTACTGCTCAACTACTAGACAGTGTATCCTCCATCCACGACTAGAGCTGCACCGCACATGTAGCTACTCATGGGCGATGACAGGAATAGAAGCGCATCAGAAATTTCCTCCACCTGTGCCGGCCGACCGACGGGGGTCATCTCAAATGCAGGGTTCATTGAGCCTGATTCGATTTGTTCCTTGATAATAGGCGTATCGACGAATCTAGAATCATATGTCAGTTCAAATCCGCAATTTCAACACCTGAAGTCAATTGAGGATTCATACCCGGGGCAGATCGCATTGATACGGATTCCTTGACGAGAATATGCTTTGGCATCCTATATTAGTATTATTAGTAATGATTGTTCAGCAACTGCATCGATACAGCGTACCATCTTTGTAAGGCCAACAACAGCTGGATAATGTGGTCAGCATATTTCGATTTGTAAATGGCAAGTATCCCAATTTGAACGAACCGTGCTTTGCTGCTGTGTAGTGTGGAATACTGAATGGTCCAGGTGGCCCACTAACGCCAAACATAGAGGAGACATTGACAATCACGCCGCGACCTTCTCGAAATCCGCGAGAGCTATAGATTATTAGCCTTCACCCCATGCTGGTCATATTTAAACTCACTCTTGCTTCAGCATCTGCCGAATCAAAGCCCTCTGGCACAGCCACACGCCTGTCTGGTTCACGTCGATGACCTTCTGCCACTCCACCAGTGACATCTCAGCAGTAGGGGTAGGGATGCCACTGATGCCAGCGCAGTTAATACCGATATCCACACGGCCGAACCGCTGGACTGTCTTCTGAACTGCAGATTCGACGGATTCTTCGTTTGCGACATTCACCTCCAGGATCTCCACTGCGAGGCTTGGGAATTGTGCGCGAAGCTCGTCACGGGTTTTCTCGAGTAGAGGAACATTCATGTCCACTAGAGTCACGGCGCTGAGTCCATTCTGCGCGAGGGCGATTGCGGTACTTTTTCCGATTCCTGATATGTTAGTTTTGGTGTGAGGCTTCGGAGAAATCAGTGCATACCTGATCCACCACCCGTGATGAACGCTGTTCCCTTCACGTTGCATGCCATTTTGAGAGGTATTGACTGATTCAATAATGGTTTCTGTCGATCGCGATCTTCAAAACCCTGCTAGCTTTTGCTGGGAGGTGGTAAATGGAGAAATGAGAAGAAGGTCAAAGTGTTGATATTCGGTAGCGGTGAGAGAAGATGATGAAGCTATCTATAGACGGAAGGACGGAACGGCGGCCTGCAGGCCTAAGGCCGCTGGTGCCTACGCACCCACGCCTCAACAAGAAACATGCTAGCTTTAGTTACTTAGTATATAGCACTCGTAGTAGTTAAACTTTTAAACGCCCACGGCAAGTCAATACCCCGCTGGCCGGGACTTCCAGGTCCGCCACCTGCCTCCGGTCCTTTCGTCGGATGCGGAGGTGGCAGACTCCGGACTGTCAATGAGCATCACTCGCGCAAGGGCCTCCTTAATTTGGATTCCTTCGACACATAGAACAATGCATTGTCGGTTGTGGCGTTCCGTGTCGACTAGATGTATGAAATGTCCCGCATGGTGGGGCGAGTGGAAACCTTCTCGCCATGGACTCCCTTTTTGGGAATCCTCAGTCTATAAGCCAGTGCCAAACAACTTCGGATGCAGAGAAGTGGCCCTTAACGGGCTCGGTATGCCTGTCACCCGAGCCCCAGCCGACGGTACAGGAGCACTTGTACCTTGACTTCGGAAGTTACGCCAAATTTGGCAAATGGCCTGATGTAAAAGCAGCAACACCCCCTGGAGGCATTTTGCCCAGATTTTCAACTTCGAGGGTCTCTTGTCTTTTATTTATCTTCTGCGCAACTCGAATCGTCCAAATGACTCGGACCGGTCCCCATATTGATGTCGACGCCATCGTCATCGGTGGCGGCTTCGGTGGATGCAATTCTCTCTACAAGCTCCGACGCCTCGGCCTTTCAGTGAAGCTTATCGAAGCCGGCAGTGGATTTGGCGGTGTTTGGCATTGGAATCGTTACCCCGGTGCCCGCGTCGATACGGAGATGCCATCTTACCAGTTCAACATTCCTGCTGTGTACAAGGGTTGGAACTGGTCTGAGCGGTTCCCAGGCGACGAAGAACTACGAAGATACTTCCAACATGTTGACAACGTCCTCAACTTGAGCAAGGATACCATTTTCAACACAATCGTCAGTCGTGTCCAATATAATACCGCCACAGCTCGATGGAACGTTCAGACAGAATCTGGACTCTCGGCAACTTGCAAGTACCTCATCGCTGCCACCGGCTCCTCGCATAAAAAGCACTACCCAGCTTTCAACGGGTTGGACACATTCCGGGGTCAATTGGTTCATGCGGCTGATTATCCTGATTCTTTGGATCTGAAGGGAAAGCGCGTCGGCGTGGTTGGAAATGGTGCTTCTGGTCTCCAAATCGTGCAGGATGTCGCGAAGGAAGAGTGTGAGCTTAAAGTTTTCATTCGTACGCCATGCTTCGCGATTCCAATGAAACAGCGTCGGATTTCTCCCGAAGAAGCGGAAATGATGAAGGGTTACTATGATGGAATCTTTGAGCGGAATTACAAGTCCATGTCGGGCTTCCCACACAATACTATTTTCAAATCTGCCCACCAAGCTACACCCGAGGAGCGAAAGGAGTTATTCGACGAACTTTGGGAACGAGGTGGTTATAGTTTCCTGGTATCGAATTACTACGATTTCCTTCTTGACGAAGGCGCCAATTCGATTTTCTACGATTACTGGGTTCAAAAGGTCCGCACCCGCATGACGAATCCTGAGAAAATGAATCTCGTGGCGCCCTTGAAACAGCAAATGTTGGTCGGTACAAAGAGACCCAGTCTGGAGCAGGATTACTATGAAATGATTGACCGATCCAATGTGACCCTCCACGATTTGAAGAAGTCGCCTATCCTAGAGTTCGACACTACCGGAATGGTGACAAGCAACGGTGAAACAACACAGCACCACGATTTAGACGTGATTATCTTTGCGACGGGCTACGATGCTGTTACTGGCAGTTTGCTGGACCTGTCAATCTCAGATAAGAACCAAGTCCCACTGAGCGAGAAGTGGAAGAATGGCGTTCTCACACATCTTGGCATGATGGTTCCGGATACGCCTAATCTGTTCATCGTTTATGGACCTCAAGCTCCCACCTCGCTAGCCAATGGACCACCTTTCATTGAGATGGAGGTTGATTGGATCTGCCAGGCCATTGAAAAGATGCAAAAGGAAGGAATTCAGTCCATCGAACCTACTCAGGCTGCTGCTGAAGCTTGGCGTGATGAGGTCCATGCTGTTAGCCAGTATACTCTTTATCCCAAGGCTGATTCGTGGTATATGGGCTCGAATATTCCTGGGAAGAGACGTGAGCCGCTTGTGTATCTTGGTGGTATGCAGCGTTGGTGGAAGAGCTGTACAGCTGGGGTGGAGAGTTGGCAGGGATTCAGTACTTCTTCTTAAACTCGGGATTTGGATCTATTAGACACATAGAAATTCAAGGCATCTTTAAACATCATGATCCACGTAATTGTTGCTGTATCTTTATGTGAGAAAGTTCTATGCAAGTTTCCTCCGTGGATATTTACTGGCGAGGAGAAGCCGCAATACCTACTACTACCTAGGTGGGTATGGGATCTTCATCATTTGCCAGCGGAAACAATCTACATGCTATAGACTATTACATTCATGCATATCTATGAATACCACTTGTATAGTTTTTAAGAGTTAAGGCCCACGCACTGGCGCAAGGCAAATAGGTCCATTCTCACTCCTAAAGAAGCTTAACACCCACTAACTATCCAGACTCGATCCTCGAATCTCACAGAATAGCAATCGCATTCGGGGGACTCCCAACAGCACCAGGCACATTCAGAGGAGCAGACGTAAGGAGAAACGAATATCTCTTCTTCTCCTCGCACACATCCGCCAACGCCTTCAAATCCCACAACTCACCCAACGGCATCCCGAAAAGCCCAAGACACCACTGATGCAGCACCAGACTCGTGAGAGGAAGAACCTCCTCACCTTCCATAGGCGGCATAGCTTCAACCGCGATATTGTCGCTGGCAATAGCGGCAAAGTGATGATTCCAAAGCCAACGTGCCATCTCAATTGTTCCCTCGATACCACATACGCTGTAACTTGCCATGGCTGCTGCTTGTTCTTCGCCCGTCATGTTTCCTAGTGCTTCTGTGACGCCGAATCGGATGATTAGGATATCACCTTCTTTGAAGGATAGGCCTTGGTAAGCGGCTACTGCTTCGATGTCGGATGGGCTGATTCGGAAGCCTGTGAAGGGGGAGTATGTGATTCCCTTTTTTTCGGCGTAGGATTTGAAGTCGATTAAGACGCCTCTTCCGGTTATGCAGCCGCGTTTGTGCCAGTCTGGGTCGATGTTAGAAATGGTTGTGTTGTGTGGTATGGGGTTGGACTTGCTGTCAAGGGTGGGTAGTTTTTGGGTCGCGGCGGTGGGATCTTCCATCCTGGCGATTGTTGGGGTGACTCCGTTGTATGCTTTTCCTGATGGCAGGTGCATGAAGTGGCCTGGACAGAAGTTAGACATGGTTCAGAGCTTCCATGTTTGATTCACTGACAAAGACTGTCCCACTGGCTGCTTGCTTGGGTATTGAATTCGACCTAGTCCCGTCAGTATGTTTTGACTTCCGAGTCACTTGGGCCAACTATACCTCATCATCGAAGCCATAATGCAAATTAGCCGAAGGATCTTCCAGTTTCATGACCTTGTGTGTGAGACTCTTCCTGAAAAAGCCAGGGATCTTGATGCTCCCGATGGGCCAACTAGAATTAGATCAGATAGTAGTTAGCATCTTCACTTCTCGGAAGGGGAGCACGACAACGAGAGAAAGACAGAACTGACTTCAGCGAAATGGAAATTCCATCCTGTACCTCCTGCGCCGCAGCCTTGACCACATCAGGATTCAAGATATTCAAGGTACCAAAGACGTCCTTCTCGCCATCATGATCGAAAACCCCCCCACGCACAACCCTGAGGCATGCCCTCGACGGGAGGTAATTCGTCGAAACTCGGCAAATGCAGCCGCATCTTGTGGCGTTCGCTGGGTTCGCAGATGATGATGTTGTCGTTGTCTTTGCTGTTGTTGTTGTTGGCGTTGCTGCCGTGGTTAGTGCAAGCCCTCCTCGGTGGAACCATAGACTCACTTCCGTATTGTCTTGATCCTAACAGACTGTTGGTCGGGAGAGTATGAAACCGAATATCCGGCCAAGCAGATGTAGTCGTATCAGGCAGTGAGGTGCGAAGCTAGTCAATCCGCTAAAACGAATCAGGGAGGGTGGATCAATTCTGGGGCGCTCGCCATGGCCTGCCTGAAGTGTTGGTCTCCACTTGTGGGGACTTGATCTGAACAAACCCTCCCTCTCGGATGCGGGTCAGGGTCATTCCGTGAAGAGTGGAATTTGGAGACTTGGATTTCATGGGGCAATTATTGGGTACGTTCTTTTTGATTGGAAGATGTGTGAGCGAAAACGAGCTGGGGTCTACAGTACGAGTTTATTTCATGCTTCTTGAGCCGAGAGTCTTCCATCGTGGGTTTTAGTTAAATGCTTGCTTCTTGGGACGGACTGGGGTGTTGAAGTTTTCTTTGTTTGTTATAACAGACTCCTTCTTTTCTTCTCCCAGGTTGCTCACTTTCTCTCTCCAATCTCTTCTTTTCTCAGCATCTCGTTTTGAACGTCATCCTCATCAATGCCTCTCCAATACGATCCCGAATTCATCAAGGAGGCAGCTCCTACCCTCCATATCCTGGGCAATGCCGGGAAATTCCCAGTCCACGACGTTAAAGGTCGAAGAGCTTACTTCGCAAGTTTCACCAGAGATCTCCCACCACTCCCCGAGAATGTCGAAAAGATCATCCGTCAAGCCCCAGCTCCCGACGGATACCAAGTCCCCATCCATCACATCCGCGTGAAGGGGAAACAACCTGAAGAGACTACTAGTACAAACGGCGACCCAGCCATCATCCATTTCCACGGCGGAGGATACTTCCTCCTCAGCGCCGAAATGTGTCTCCCACCACTCATCCAAGCAGTCTCACAAACCGGAGTCCAAATACTCAGCATCGACTACCGACTCGCCCCCGAAAACCCATACCCCGTCCCATTCAACGACTGCTGGGCTGCACTGCAGTGGGTCTACGCAAATGCAACGGAACTGAATATCGACACCGCTCGCATCGCGGTTATGGGGGAGAGTGCTGGTGGTGGATTGGCTGCTGCTTTGACTCTCAAAGCGCGCGATACGAATCTGTCTCCTCCCCTTGCGAAACAGATTCTGGTTTATCCCATGCTGGATGATAGAACCACTACCAATCACGCGGGGGAATTGGCGATGTGGACGGAAGCGGATAATATTACAGGGTGGACGGCTTATGTTGGAGAGCATCGGGGGACGGAGAAGGTTGAGCCTTATGCTGCTCCGGCGAGAGTGGAGAGTGTGGATGGTCTTCCGTCGCTTTATTTAGATAGTGCCCAGCTGGATATGTTTGTGCATGAGGATCTGGAATATGCGCGGAGATTTGTGACTGCTAATATTCCGGTTGATCTTCATGTTTATCCTGGACTGCCTCATGGGTTTGAGGCGTTTTTGGCGGGGACGAGTGTGACGAAGAGGGCTTATGAGAATCGGTTTAAGGCTATGGTTAGTTTTTAGAGGAAATGAAGAATGAAGTGAGAATATGCATTTAAAGTGGATGATTGGAACGGCTTTCTAAGTTGAGTCTCGGCTTTTAAGATGATTCCCAGTAGTTAATACTTCCAGTTGTTACGAGTGGCCGATGTGAGCTGATGAGGTGGGGGGGGGGGGGTCAATGCCGAGGCTTCAAGTTGGAGTAAACATCTCCCTCGCTGTCAGTTGCTGCGTCGGAAGCGAAATCTCCGAGCCCGAGTGGGGGCGCAGGCAGGTGATGTATAAAGATGAGCTGACATCCTCCAATCTTGGCAGTGCTAGTTGATAGCTCTAGCAAATATTTTCTTCAGTCTGAGAGGTTTCGTCATGGCCACTACTATTCGGCCTACCCCAGACACCGTCCGAAGCAAAGTCGAAGGCAAGGTCGCCATCGTCACCGGTGCAGCCCGCGGTATCGGTTTCGCAACCGCTTCCCTTCTAGCCCAACATGGTGCGCGGGTGGTATTAATCGACCTAAACGAATCCGACCTGAAGAAATCGTGTGCCGAAATTGGGAAACAGGCTTCATACCAGGTGTGCGATGTGAGCAATTGGGAACAACAAGTGACTCTATTCGAGAGCGTGGCGAAAAATATCGGTCCCATCGACTTGCTCGTCTGCAACGCAGCCATCAACCCTGAAATCGCCCTACTACAAGTATCCGACCTAGAAGAGCATTCAAAAATGAACTCGCAAGTGCGCTACAATTACCTCGCAGACGAGAAGAATTCAAATTCAGAGACGTCTCCGAGTCTAATCCGCCCACCAACCCAACTCTTCGACATAAATGTCAATTCAGTACTCTTCGGCTTGAAACTAGGCCTTCATTACATGAAACAGCACGGCGGAGGCCGGATCGTAGTAACGGCATCGGCCGGGTCCTACGTTCCCATCCCATCGCAGCCACTATATGCAGCTAGCAAGCATGCCGTGCTGGGACTTTGTCGGAGCACTGCTCATATGAGTGAGGTTGTGGAGTCCGGGGTTTCTATTTCGTGGATTGCGCCGTGGTTGACGATTACTTCTATGGTTGAGGGTCTTGAGGCTACGACGAACCCGAATACATTGAAGAGTTCGCCGGAGGATGTGGCGTGGGGGATTATTGCGGCTGTGGTGGAGGAGAATTCTAATGGGAAGGGCTATTGGGTTCAGGGGGAGGTTATTAGTGAGGTTGAGGGGGCTTATGGTGAGGTGGCTGGGCGATTGATGCATCCTGAGAATCGATTCTAGGCTGCCAGCAGTGGGAGATCGGGATTACGCGATAACACTACTAATTAGTTAGTAGTTAGTTAGTATACTAGTACTGGTAGTAGTATTAGTTCCCGGGCCTGCGTTACTATTTCGGCAGTGTGCTATCCTGGATGTTAGTACCTAAGGATTAGTTCCCAGGTTATATATTGAGCAACTTGAATACTACATCCTCAGAGTGTACTACTAATTTCCATTTACTAGTACTAGTATATTATTTCCACCGTTGTTAATAAACGGATGTCCACCGAGCCAGGTATCCTCATCTCGCATCCCGAGGTCGTGATATGGCCCCCAAGATGAACCGGTTCTCGTGACGACCCCGAAGGAACTGTTGATGGCGGGGGGCTGGGCAGCTCGATGTCTCCATTTTTCAAGCTTTAGGGTATTCAGTGCACGGTTCCATGGTTCTCGCGGGGATAATTTGGGAAATAGTTAATCGAGGATGGTAAGTTCATGGGTAAGCATGTCTGAATAAATATGCTTAATTTTACCGAAGAAATCGGGGACTCGGGAATCAAAAACAGGTAAAATGAAAACAAAAGGCATGTTGAGATCAGCGAATCTTCACGAGGCATCGTCAGTGGCGCACTGGACACAGATGGCCCCTGCATGGGCGGCGGTAGCGGAACCCCACTGGGCCGGTTATCTTTGGCCGGACGGCTTTCGCAGTGCCAATCATTTCTTGTTTGGCTGTTTTTCGCAGTAAAAATCGTTCAGCAAGGCATGACTTTGCAGATTCTGCACAACCGGATTCTATTTACGGAGTTGGTAATGGTAATAGTATACTGTAGTGGTGTTCTACTCTGTACTATATACTCCGTATACTAGTACCCGGTATAGATCCATGTATGTAGTACCTATACTAATATTGCCGACCGGACTGGACTGGCTTGTTTGCTTCCAACAGTACGATCTGGGCCACATTGACAGTACACAAGCTACGGCGTAGACTAATCTAACAGTAACTATCAGTAAACAAGCTAGTATATTCTAGTATGTATACTATTACTGTGTATACCACTGTCTACTGTGTATCTAAATATAGTCCCCATCTCTCCGAATGCGGGGGAGGCGTCAGCTGACTCCTCCCCGTTTTTTTTTCGAGGCCGCCGGTCTTTGCTTTTGCTTTGCTTTGCTCTGCTTTGCCTTGCTTTTGCCTTGCTGCTTGCGACGACTCTCGACGCTCGACTTTTTGCTTCTCTTCCTTTCCTTCTCCTCCCCTTCCTCCCCTCCAACTCGCCATCATATTCCATACACACCTCCACCAACCTCTCTTGCATGCCCGTGACTCACTCTTAACCCGTTGACCCTCAACGGGTCTCCCCCTCCCACGCTAAGGCCGTTTGGGTGAGGCTGAGACATGACCTTATCTCGTCTCTAATCTCTAATCGCCATTCGCAGGATCCAATCCTCTCGCGGGTTTCGCGGGTTTCCCGTTTTCGGCTCCCTCCATTCCATTCCTCGAGAATATCCCTCGGAATTCCATGGTCGCCCCCGACTCTGCGTCGACCGAGAGGTCTGGCCTTGCCATCGCTTGCGATGAACTTCAACATGCTGCCGTCCCCAGCCATGGCGATGACCAGGCTCCCCTCCAGGGCCATATAGACACCCCGACCATACTTAGTCCCGCTTCCGTGCCCTCCCTCCAGATTCGCACCGATTTTCCCAGTACCGTTCGTCGCCCGTCCACGTCGCGCGATTCCGATCCTCTAGCCTGCCTGAGCGTCTCCTCCGGCAGTGTCCCGCAGCGAACACCAAGTCTCCGCGCCTTGATTGCCCCCATCAGTAGCGCCGGATCTCTATCCCCGGCCTCGTTTATGTCCTCGCCTCAGTTGAATGCTATGGGCGACATCACTCCGTTACCTTCCCCGATCGGTGGTGCTTCTCCGTGGCGCGGCGGTGGTCTGCCCTCCCTGTCGCGTACTTCTTCCACGGCGTCGCGAAGCGGCTCGAGTTTGCGATTGAGCGATTCGTCGCAGATGCTTGGCCCACCATCCCGATCCCATGGGAAACCATATCCTGGTCTGAATGATCTTGGAGAGGAATCTCCAGTTGCGAGTCGAGTCCGTCACGACTCGCCGACCAAGCATGTCCGTAACCGCAGTCTGAGTGACTATGCACCACCGGGTCGCATGTCCATCCCTCGGCCCGTTGCAGTCTCTGGTGCCAGCCCCAGTATTGCTCCCTCTTCCAGTACCGATTCCAAATCGACGGGCCTTCACCGTGAACAATACCTGGCTGTCCATCGCGGTATTGCCCTACCAACGGTTCGTCCCCCTAGCCCCCCCTCGTAGCAGTGGAAGTGGCTATGGGGATAGTGACTCGGAGCCTGTTATCCAACATCCTGCCCCCTTGTCTAAGCTGGACGAAATTTATTCCGTCCGATCAGTGCGCACCCAACAATCTCGGATGTACAGGAAAATACGCGTCCTGGGCCAGGGTACATTCAGTCAAGTTTGCCTTGCGGCACGCGTGGAAGAGGTTGTCCAAACTCCTCTCTCGCCTGTCACAGACACACATGGCGATGTTATCATCCACCCCGCCGCGGGTCAGAAGCTGGTGGCAGTCAAGATCATCGAGCATGGCCCTGCTGGAGGCGCTGACGAGGAGCGATTGGAGGTTTCCCTCAAGCGAGAGGTTGAAATTCTCAAATCTCTCAACCATCCATCTCTGGTGCAACTGAAAGCATTCGGAAGTGATGAGAAACGCGCTCTTCTCGTTCTGGACTATTGCCCTGGTGGAGACCTGTTTGAATTCGCGACAACCGGACCCCGGTCTGATCTCGCCAGGTCTCATTCGACGAATTTTTGCCGAATTGGTCAACGCCGTGCGCTACCTGCACTCACATTATATCGTCCACCGCGATATCAAGTTAGAAAGTATGTTTCGCTGGAACCATCGCGCGATTCACTCGCACTAACCGACTCTTCTCTCAGACGTCCTGATCACCATGCCTCTCCACGCTATGGAGGATATATCTGATTGGCGCACATACGACCGCGCCGTGGTTACTCTCAGTGACCTCGGATTATCACGACGTATCCCCGAACCACCGGAGAGCCCCCTTCTCCAAACCCGCTGCGGCAGTGAAGATTACGCAGCACCCGAGATCCTCATGGGCCAGCCATATGACGGCCGTGCAACCGATGCCTGGGCTCTTGGTGTGCTGCTATACGCCATTATGGAAAACCGACTCCCCTTCGATGTCCTGCCCGGCACTCGCGGCGACCCGGCTAAACTCCGAGCTCGTACACCGCACCGCATTGCACGCTGCGAATGGAGTTGGTACCGCTACGCCGACGAAGATGAAGAGTGGGATGCTGAGAAGGGTCGTGACCTTGAAGGTGGTCGGGACTGTGTCGAGGGTCTTCTCAAGCGCAACACGAAGCGCAAGCATCTCGATGATATCGCTGCTATGCCCTGGGTACGCGACGCAATTGACGTACCCCACGGGATCAAGCGAGGTGACAAAGAAGTGCCGTAGAGCAGGCCTCGCAACGCATTCTTTGATGTTTTGACATATTTTCACAACTTCTCTCGTTTCTCCTCTCCTTTCTCCTTTTCCTTTTCCCCCATCTTATTTATCCTCTCAACATCCTTTCTTTCTCACCACACCCGTTCGAACTATACATATTTTGCCACCCTTTTTACTTGACTACCTTTCATGTTCTCGCTTTCATCCATACACGACCTTATTTTCTCACGCGATATGTTGGCCCATCGAGGTCGTTGGATTCGGGATTTCTCTCTTTCTTTCTGGCTAGACCATTTGTTATACCCCATTTACAATCTGCCTGTGATAGCAGGCTGAAGAAACAATACAAAAACAATGTTTTTTGAACCAGTTCAATTATTGGCCTTTTTTGAGCTCTGAGGTGTCGAGTTCCGTCTGGAATTGAGTGACTAGTGTAGTGTGGTATGGACTGATATTCGTGATGACTGATATGATTTGGACTTTTCTCCCTTCTTTGATCGGTCTCGCATACGGGGGATTTTGGAGGTAACTTTCCGTCAGTCATTGAGTTACATCTTACTAGTACTAGTAATTATGTCTTAAACTGAAATCTATCCCCGAAGTATTTATACCCACAATTACGCCCGATGATCTTCACCGATATCCCATTTCTAGATTCTTCGAACTCGCTCGTTGCTTTATCGGCTTCTTTCCGAGTCGTTATGCTGTATGGGTCGGATTGATCGATAGGGCGCATGTAGATCAATCGAGGCGCAAGGGACAGCAGTGACTCATTTTGGGCCAAATATGACTTCTGTATGAGGCTGTGCTAGCTCTATGGGATAGCTCTGGTAGCTCCCACCGTAAAAGTTATGATATTTCCCCTTTGGGCGAAGTAGGGCTCCGGAGTCGCGGCATGGGGATTGCAGCTGCAAATCGGCCCTAGTGCATGTTTACCGCTAATTACATACAGCTGTAGATACTTGATCAATCAAAAACTTCCGTATAAAACTCACCAATATTTCAATTCAGTGCTACTGTGGAAGATCTCACCTTCTATCAAGTTCTTCTCCTGTAGTGGGTAACGGACATCTCGCCGAGATCAATCGGTCAATTGGGCGAGATATTAAGCAATGAGTCTAGATGCAAGGATGAGACTAGTGCAGTCGTAAATGCACAGCATAAAATGTATTTCTTTTACTCCATAGTCATACATAGTCAAGGCTATACTATACTCCGAACTGCCGATGACAATTGACGAGAGCCGATTGGCTGGAAGGTGCAGTGGAGAATCTACCGGGGAGGAACAGCACAACTCCGACCGCCCGTCCTGGTGATTTTCCTCCGTCTTGACTCGACCCCAGAACCAGAACTGGTTCCCCCACCATCCGTCTCTCACTCTCCTCTCTTCTTATATCCTTGTGTGTGCCGTGATTGAAGCTCTCCCCCAAGCCTCTCTATCACAATGCTCGCTCAATACAGGGCCCGTGTGCCCGCGGCCCTCCGCCTGGCCCGGTCCACCTCCGCGTGAGTCTCCCCCAGCTGGACCTGGACTACCCAAGCTTGACTTGACTCAATTCGAGCTTGGTTTGTCTCAATTGTGTTGCCTTTCCTCCGTTACTGACAATTGCCAATTGATCTTCCAGTCGCGCCCTTTCTACCACCCTCCCCCGCTATGAGAAGGATACCGCCCTTAACAAGGTGTCGCGGAACATCACTCAGCCCATCTCCCAGGGTGCCTCCCAGGCCATGCTGTACGCCGTCGGTCTTACCGAGGAGGACATGAACAAGCCCCAGGTCGGTATCTCATCCGTCTGGTTCAACGGTAACCCCTGCAACATGCACTTGCTCGACCTCAACAACAAGGTCCGCCAGGGTGTGCAAGATCAGAACATGGTCGGCTTCCAGTTCAACACCGTCGGTGTCAGTGATGCTATCAGTATGGGTACCTCGGGTATGCGCTACTCTCTTCAGAGTCGTGACCTGATTGCCGACTCTGTTGAGACTGTCATGGGTGGTCAATGGTACGATGCCAACATCTCCATCCCCGGTTGCGACAAGAACATGCCCGGTGTCCTGATGGCCATGGGCCGCTTCAACCGCCCCAGTATCATGGTCTACGGTGGTACCATTAAGCCTGGTTGCGCCGTCACCCAGGACAATGCCGATATCGACATTGTCTCCGCTTTCCAGGCCTACGGTCAATTCATCGCCAAGGAGATCACCGAGCCCCAGCGCTTCGACGTCATTCGTCACGCCTGCCCCGGTGAGGGTGCCTGCGGTGGTATGTACACTGCCAACACCATGGCCACCGCCATCGAGACCATGGGTATGACCCTGCCCGGTTCTTCCTCCAACCCTGCCAACTCCCAGGCCAAGTACCTCGAGTGTCTGGCTGCTGGTGGTGCCATCAAGAAGCTGCTCGCCGAGGACATCCGCCCCCGCGATATCTTGACCCGCCAGGCCTTCGAGAACGCCATGGTCGTTGTCAACATCACCGGTGGATCTACCAACGCTGTTCTCCACTTGATCGCCATCGCCGACTCCGTCGGCGTGAAGCTCACTATTGACGACTTCCAGGCCGTCTCCGACCGCATTCCCTTCTTGGCTGATCTGAAGCCTTCCGGCAAGTACGTCATGGCCGACCTGTTTGGTATCGGTGGTACTCCCGCCCTGCTGAAGATGCTGCTGAAGGAGGGCCTGATCGATGGATCCGGTATGACTGTCACTGGTGAGACCCTCGCCAAGAACTTGGAGAAGGCCCCCGACTTCCCCGATGACCAGAAGATCATCCGTCCCTTCTCCAACCCCATCAAGTCCACTGGCCACATTCAGATCCTGCGCGGTTCCCTGGCTCCCGGTGGCAGTGTTGGTAAGATCACTGGTAAGGAGGGTACTGTCTTCACCGGTAAGGCCCGCGTGTTCGACACCGAGAACCTCTTCATCGAAGCGCTGGAACGCAACGAGATTAAGAAGGACGAGAAGACCGTTGTTGTCATCCGCTACTGCGGCCCTAAGGGTGGCCCTGGTATGCCTGGTACGTATTATATCAATATCAACTTTCCCAACAATAAACCAGCATAAAAGGCTAACCCACTTCCCTTTTCCAGAAATGCTGAAGCCCTCCGCCGCCCTGATGGGCTATGGTCTCGGCTCCTCATGCGCCCTGATCACCGACGGCCGTTTCTCCGGTGGTTCCCACGGTTTCCTGATCGGCCACATCGTCCCCGAGGCCGCTGTCGGTGGCCCCATCGGTCTCGTCAACGACGGTGATATCATCACCATTGACGCTGACAACCGTCTTCTGGACATCGATGTCTCCGAGTCCGACCTCGCTGTGCGTCGCAAGGACTGGGAGGCTCGCAAGGCTGCTGGCTTGCTGCCTGAGACTGGTCTCACTATGCGTGGTACCCTGGGCAAGTATGCCCGCAATGTCAAGGACGCTAGCCAGGGCTGTGTCACTGATGCTGTAGAGTAAACTTTGTGATGTTGGTGTTTCTTTTTTTGTTCCGTCTAGTCGGATATCCATTCCCGAGTATAAAAGCGTTGTATTTTGGGGCTTGTGTTATATAATATGATTTCAATCAATCTGTTCTATTATATTCATTTGACGATTTTTTAAGTTACCAGTACAAGTTCATAGGTCAGGGCTTAGCTTCCCAATCGGGACGGCTGTCGCCGTTCACTGTATGTACTCTAGAAACTTGAACATCTCTTCTCCTGGTATTTCCTCCGAGTCCTCCCTTTTTTTCTTGCCTTTCGACTCGTTTACTGCGAATCCAAAAACTCAGCACTAAATGGATAATCCGCATATCCATTTTCCTCCATGGCACTGTAAAAGGAATCCCGATGATACTGATTCAACCCAATCCGATGCCGAAGTCGAAACGGCAAATCCGGATTCGCAAGAAAATGACGTCCAAAAACAACAGCGACATCGTTATCCACATACTCACGCGAGGCATCTTCAAAATTCTCCGCATTATATCCCCCCGCCACAAGCACCGGACTCGTCCGACCCCAAATATCGAGCAAAAACGCAATACTCCCCCCCTTTTCACAGTCCACGTTATTAATCACTCTTGACTCAATAACATGGAGATAAGCAAGCTTGAACTCTCTCAATTGTTCAACCAGGTATGTAAATTGAGGAACCGGGTCCGCCATCTTCATCCCCTGCCATGTATTCCACGGACTGATACGGAATCCGACCCGTTCAGAACCAACGGCTTCAATGAGTGCTTTTGTCACTTCCAGCGCGAAGCGAGCGCGGTGGACGATATTTCCGCCCCAATGATCATCTCGCTGATTACTGACGTCTTGTAGGAATTGATCAACGAGATACCCATTCGCACCGTGAACTTCGACGCCGTCAAAACCAGCGCGAATCGCGTTCTTCGCTGCCGTAGCAAAATCTCGGATTATGGACTGGATTTGGTCCTCGTTTAATTCTTTTGGAATTGTCTTGCCTTTTTCCATTGGGATGGGACTTGGAGCGAGAACCTCATATCCACCACCACCCTCTGATTGAAGGGTCGCTGGATCAGCAGCCCGACCCAAAGCAATCAACTGGCAAAAGATGAAACTTCCTTTCGCGTGGACGGCGTTGGTAATTTCTTTCCATTGGGTGATTTGCTCTTCATTCCAGATTCCGGGGCCGTGGGGGATACCGCCTGTCCAGGGGGAGATTTGGGTTGCTTCGGCGATTAAGAGGGTTCCTGGGACGGAGGCGCGTTGTTCGTAGTATTTTGTTGAGATTGGGAGGGGGGTGTGGGTTGTTGAGGATCGGAGGCGTGTTAGGGGTGCCATTATTACTCTGTGATTGAGGTTTATGGGGCCCAGTTGGAGGGGTTTGAAGATTTGGGATTCTGTTGTATCCATTGTTTAAGTTGTGGGTTTGTTGGTATAGTATAGAAGAGAGGGAGTGAGGAGGTTGGTTTGTGTTCAACTGTTATGCTTGTGGGAAGTGAGTAGATAGAGTGGACTGGGCTTTTATATAGTATTCTTTCTATAGTTTATAAATACTATTATGAATATTTACTTGAGTTTGCTTTGAAATCAGAAATAGAAAAACTTGTCTGGTTGTGGATCTCACAATGTAGTCTGATGGAGGTTCTCCAACTCGCCACAAGTACCTCCAACAAACACCTCCACACCTTGAATCTCGGGGACTTACCGGTCGGATGAATTAGAAATTTGGACTCAGTCTTTGAATAAATTGTTCTCAAGATATGCTCTTAAACTTAATCTTTCAGCTCCGGCAGATGATCTACGAGGGACCCTTAATTCGCCGGTTGGTTTCATACGAGTACAACGGAAGAAAATACTATCAAGTCAGTCACTGCAGTCTCCCTACGAGTAAGCATACTATATTGATCGAACAAAATCATCATACTAATACTGGGATGATAGATATGAGCCCCCAGTGGCTACGCGATAGCTTTTTCGGCCAGTGCATGCGACATATTTGCAAACCTGTGTGGTGCGAATATCCCGAAGAAAGTGCGGGATGGATGGAGGCAGCCAATTTTCATAATTTGCCATCTCAGAATGAGAAGTCGATTCGAGTGGAATGGTACTCTGACACCGATGAAGAGAATCCACAGAGCTGGTCACAGGCTAAGAAGGCATTTGTGACTGGGGTTATTGGTGCTTACAGCTTTGTTGTTTACATGTCTGCCCCGATTTACACTCCCGGTGAAAACTCGTTTATGGACGAATTTCATGTGAGTAGTGCGGAGGCTGCGCTCGGGCTTGCTATTTATGTGTAAGTGCACTTACTACCTCCCTGAATTCATTTAATTTTACTCACATGTGTTGTATAACTAGTCTTGGATATGGCGCTGGGCCGCTATTCTTCAGCCCGCTGAGCGAGATCCCCCGTATCGGGCGAAACATCCCATACGTTATATCTTTCGCATTATTCTGTATAATCAGCGTTCCTACTGCGATTGCACCCACGGCAATTGGCTTCTACTTCCTGCGCTTTTTACAGGGCTTTTTCGGAAGTCCATGTCTCGCAACTGGTGGTGCCTCGATTGCGGACATGTATTCTTCCGATGTTTTACCCCATGCTATGTCTACGTGGGGATTTTGCGTATTTTGCGCCCCCGCCATCGGGGCATTGGTCTCTGGATTTGCAATTCCGGTTTTGGGTTGGCGATTTGCAATGTGGGAGATCTTAATGGCTGCAGCCCCGGTTTTAGTTCTGTTGATTTTGATGCCTGAAACTAGTGCAGCGACAATTCTGCACCGACGTGCTCGACGCCTTGAAAAGAACGATAAAGCCAACTTGAACCCAAATACTCGAATCTACCAGACCGCCGCGGATGTTGTCCAAGGAGAAATATCTTTTCACGAGGTTCTTCGAGAGTCGTTGCTGATTCCCTCGAAAATCACATTTCTAGACCCAGCAATGATGTTCTTGAACTGCTATACATCATTGGTTTATGGCATCTATTATTCCTTCTTCGAGGCTTTTCCCATCGTCTACCAAGGAATATACAGGTTCAACCTCGGAGAGATGGGATTGGCATTTCTCGCCATCGTCGTGGGAACTATTATATCATTCGTGGTATACAATTACTACATCCACCGTGTTTTCGTGCCAAAGGCAAGAAACGGGGGCTTTAAAAAGCCGGAGGATGTTCTGGTCCCGGCCCTCTTCGCCTGTTTCGGCCCTTCGATTGGTTTATTTCTTTTTGGTTGGGCTGCACGGCCGGAGATTCACTGGATTGTCCCGACTATTGGAATCGTCATTTATCCTGCTTGTGTCTTTGTCTTGATGCAATGCATTTTTCTTTACATTCCCGCTTGCTATCCGCAATATGCTGCGAGTGTTTTTGCCGCTACTGACTTCACTCGAAGCGCGTTTGCCTGTGGTGCGGTTATTTTCTCGCGCCCTCTTTACCTTAATCTGGGAATTGGTCCGGGATGCAGCTTACTCGCTGGTCTAACTATTGGGTGTGTGGTTGGAATATATGTGTTGTACCATTACGGCGAAGCGTTGCGGTTGAGATCTAAGTTTGTTTCCAAATGGTGATTGTGGAAGATTGGACAGATAGAATGCCCCAGGTGGAAAATCATATCATTAATACTACCATAGATCATCAACCTTAAGTAGTATTAACATCCAAGTTGGAATTTACTAGACGCTGTTCGCAGGTGTTGGCATAGATATCAAGCCCGTCTCCAATGACCTTCAATATGGCCCACTGTTCATTTCCTCTGATAAGGCGCGCCCAAAGCTTGACAACTGCAAATCCTAGATAGTCGCAGGACGATGGATCACCGGCTTGGGGCCAGAGATCATCGTCTCCAGATGTCCGGCCTTCTTCGACGATATCGCTAATCCAGCCTACCAGGCGGGATTCGTGTTCTGCCAAAGAAATTGTTAGTGAGGGATCTCTTTCAAAGATAGTGCGTATAACGGAAAGATTGTCAAGTAGAAGTCCACTGACCATCTAAAGGACGGCTCTTTTGACAATTGGACAAGCAGAACAACCATTTACTTAAGAATATCGCGAACTCCAACCCACAAAGAGAATGCTGGATACTCCATACAAAGGCATGGCTGCGAGCTACAAAGTTAATTCCCAGTCTGACAGGAATACTGAGCGCATGAGTCGCGTGTAAAATTGCCGGGAGGAGATGTGGCCCAGCTGGAAGTCTCGGCATTTCCAAGAGTCGATTCGCAATATCGCTTGGGTTTCGGGATCGAAGTATCTTGTGCGCTCCCAGATCAAGACCTAGTCGAACATAGGCAAGACCAAGCAATGCGGTGGAAGTGAACGTAACAGGTCCGTTTGGATTCCGTGGGTCGAGACTTGATTCAGGGGCTCGTTGCCATTGGGAAGTCCATGCGTGAAGCATAGTCCTGGTCGGCAGTATTTATAGGTTAGGAATAGGGTTTCCTTTTTATCTGTTCATTACCTCGTAGGAGATGTTTACTCACCGCAAGGTTTCCTTTTGTTTGTTGATGAATATACTTTGCTCGTCATCATATAGGCGAAAGGCCTGATAGGAAACGAGGATTTTTTGGATGAGAGCATGTAAAAGAACGTAGTTTGCTAGTGGAGATGGGATCACTTGTGAAATTTGAGGCGGCTGCTCTCGGGACTTCATTAACTGGGAAAGAGCCTGCTGGAACATCATTTGCTGTTGAGGGACTGATCTGCGGACAGCAGACCATTTCTGTTGATTTGGGGCGATCCATTCTAAGCAAGTACATGGGAGGCGCAGATTAATCTCATCGCTCAGGATAACCGGCGGGGTTCCAAATGCAATGGAATGTAGATTCAGAAGAGTGAAGGAGAACAGCTTAAGTCGTCTTTCAAACTCTCTTCTTACCCATGAGCGCCAGTCTAGAGTGCTTTCTGGCTGTTCCGTTTGTTCTTCAAGCTGGCTATCTCGAACACATCTTGCCAAGTGGCTCTGTAAGTTGAATGCTTCATTTATAATACTTTCCTCGCCTTGCCATGTGGCAAACGCAATAAGAAGCAAAGCACAACACCCTTCAAGAGTGGTGTTTTGAGAATCAGAGCCCACGGAAATGTTGCTGTAGAGTTCGGTTCGACCCTTTTCGCGTGAACTTTGTTGTAGTATCTTCCGCGATGCATGGAAAAGTGAAACTGCCTTGCGATGCTCGTGTCGATATTGAGCTCCCAAGGCCGACATAGCCAGAAATATGCCCGGATCACAATCATCAATGCTGAAGGTGGGAATATGGATAATCGGTACGTGGGGATAAAATCCATCGAAGAATCCATTCATGAATCGAGTAAGTGAATGGTGGGATGGCAAGAGACTATCATCGGGTGTGGCATGAGAATCCTTTGACAATGCCAGAAGAAGCCGAGTCCGATGTTGAGGCGTGACGGTAAGGATTGGCAATGTCAAAACTCCAAACTCCGCTACAGGTCCAATTTAGATTGGATCTCATTTAAGCATTCGTTAGGAATGGAGACTTACCGACTGCCTGCCTCTCGGTAGGGAGCTTGCTGAGAGATTGATTTGAGTGAGAGTTTTCTTGCTGAACTGGATAGGGAGAAGAGGGAGTTGGAAGTGAAGTGATCGAAGGTTCCCCAGTGAAGATCTGAGTGATACTAGGTTCGGTTGGTAGATACCAGTCCGTATTAAGACCGAAATTCTGGCTGAAAGATTCAATGTCTTCCAGCGCCAGCAAGTCCTGCTGGTTGAAGAGAGATTGATCTAGTAGTTCAAGTTTCAGTAAGTGAACTCAATAGTAAAAGGCTGCAGATACCCCGCCGGTATCCCTACCTTCATAATGTGCTCCGGTGACTTGCGTTCCTTGTTCAGGTCCTGCTGAGGTGTTGTGATGTAGGTCAGGGATTTCCCACAAAAATCCCCTTCTAATCTGATCCACGGGCAAAGATTCGTCCTGCCATTGGAGATTATCCCCAGTTGAACCGGTCAATGGCGATGGCTGTGCGTCGAGCGTCGAAGGGGTAGCAAGTTCACATTGCCCGGGTTTTTGATGGCGTTTCAGTAGATCACGACGACCAAACGATGAGCCACAGGAACATGTATATGGTTTTTCATTAGTATCTAAGTCCAGTCAGTCCCAGATGTTAAAATTCATCTTGTAAAATGCACATACGAATACGAAGATGTCGTTGGAGGTGTTCGTGTCGTCGGAATTCCCGGCTACAGTATTGACATTTTCGAGGTTTTCTCCGATTGACTGGAGAGTCATTTGGCCTTTCATCAGTTTCCGCTACATTCATTGCCACGGCAGTGGATATTGCGCAAATCTCAATGTGAGTGAGGATCAGAGGGATGTTGGAGGTGAAGTGGAGGCGAAACGATGGAGATGAATTATCTCTTCTCCAACTCCACCTCCCATGTCGTCATGACTTGTGTGGAGAGCATCTCCACACCCACCTCCAACACCTCCAACACCTCCACATGAAACATCCCCTCAAGACTATTCGAATTAGACAACAAATATCTGTCCCGCAAAATGCACGCGGAACTAGCCCGGGGCTTACAGAAGGTACTCAGTACGTTCTTACTAGATAAGAAAGATGTTGCTGTGATACTAATAGAAAGGCATGTAAAGCATTGAACTTTGTGTTTGTACTACATCTAGATACCGAAAGGGAAGCCAAGAGCATTGGAACACTGGAAGGTCCACCACTCGATTCAAATCACCACGCGGAACTTGAGCAAGTCTCTTTGGAGAACGTCCTGTTTCTTCTGCTCCAGCTCCTCCATATCCCAGCTCACCGAGGCAAATCGGCCAGCCAGCCAGTCGCGTCGCTCACGGGCGAGCCACACCAGCGTGTCGGCAGGCAGCTCGGGCGTATCGGTCAGGACTACTTGCCTCTCTGGGGGCATGTTCATGGCCAGCTCGGTCTTGACGGCGCCTGGATGGAGTGAGATGGCGATCAAACCCTGCTGGCTGTATTCTTGATCCATGAATTCGGTGAGGCGGCAGAGTGCGAACTTAGTCGTCTGGTAGGCCGATGCACCCGGGAAGATGGCATGAGCACCGCCACTGCTGATGTTGATGGCCGTCTTGGTCTGCGATTTGAGCAGCAGCGGTACGAAGAAGTGGGCGGCTAGATAGGTTCCTTTGATGTTGACCTCCCAAGTCCGCCACCATTCGCTTGGCTCGGACTCGGTGATGGGCTTCCACTCCTCCAGGTAGCCCGCATTATTGATGAGGACATCGAGGCTTCCACCGAGAATGTCGGACGCAGTCTCGGCAGCCGCTCGCACGGAGTCCTCTGAGGTCACGTCCACCTTCATAGAATGCACGAATGGCTGGGGCCGGTTTGCCTTCATGGCGGCGTTGTGGACGGCTGTCTCGACGTCGGTCAGGTCTGAGCGAGCGAGCAGTATTATCTTCGAGCAGCCCGCGGTGGCGAAACTGATCGCAGTCGCCTTTCCGATGCCCTTGGAGGCGCCCGTAATCAATACTGACTTGCCTGTCAGATCTGCTTTGGCGGGATCAATGAACGGGTAAGTGTCCTTGCGCGCCGAGACATAGCTAGCCACGGCAGGCCAATTCGTCAGGGAAGGATCTTGGGCCGACATGATCTCAAAAGGAACACGAAAATATACAGCCGCGTAAGAGTATGAAGTGAGAGCGTTAGGTGTGGTGGGAACTGCGCTTCGAAGCTGCATTTGCTGTGTATTTATCACCTCGTATAGATCTAAAAGGAAGAAGCCGACCAATCGTCATCCCTCGGAGATTGCGTTTTTAACTCCGTGGTGTACTCTCTTGTCCGTTAACTCCACGGCGGTCAAACACCATATATTGTGGTCAAAACTCTTTATTCTCTTGTCCGTTAACTCCACGGCGATCAAACACCATATATTGTGGTCAAAACTCTCTATTTTGGAAGTAGTATTTCATCCTGAGCTGCTAGTTGCCTCTTCCGTGCCCAGCCAACATAAAACAGCCGGGCAAAATACAGGACTAGAATCGTATCTATCCACTTTGACGCTTTGCTACGGTATGACCGGCAAGCGTCGTTACCGCATTTCATAAACTGGCGGCATATCAGATATTCGAATAGATATGGTGATGCAATGAGATTCTTGTTTACCCCCGGGGAAAGATCATGTGCTACCATGTGATATCCTATCGGGCCTGGGCCTGTTACACCCTCTATGGATGGTTAGCAGGGAAGTAGTAAGGGATATATACAACCCGGTCCAAAAGTATTTACCCACTTCCCGCCCCACCCGTAATCTACACCACCACAACAATTCGCAATGGCACCAGATACGACAAAACTACTCGAAATTGGCAAATTTATTAGTGGAAATCGAAAATAAAACCGCCAATTTACCTATTTCGACACGTTCTGTAATTATAACGGCCATCAAATGTGGCTAATAGTAGTCAGAAGTTGCCCGCTGTTTTAATCTGCCGCGTAAGACTGTATTCAATACTATTCAGTCAACAAAATAATTTTGAATTACGGCCTAAAATAGGGCAGCCTTGAAAATACCTAGGTATGATCATCGAACAAGACGTTATATCTATATGTTAATACGTTGTGATTCTTGTTTATCGTGGGGAGCCTTGGTTGATCTAGCACCTAGTGGTCTCTCAAAATCTATAATTCGCCGAATTTTATGTACATACAAAATGAAAAAATAGAAAAGTTGCAAAAGGATTTCTTTAAAAAAAAAATGATGCCCTCCATCAGAGATAATTAGTAATAAAGCCAAGGGAAGCAAGTAGACACCTAAGAGGGTAAGATAATACGTTCATTTTCAACCCTCTATGAAGTATACTACCGTGAACAACAGGAACATAAGAGGAGAAGAAATTATACGTAGATTCCAGTTCGCCAGTATATCCCGATATCTCGAAATGGAGCGGACGTAGTTTTCGCAAGTAGGTTGAAATGAGTTTCTGTCGAGATATGGAGCGGTAACTTACCGCCAAACAGGGGTTATACGGAGTGACTCACTTTCTCTTAGCTTTTCGTATAGTATCCGATATCTTTGGCATTTCAGTTGTCGTAACACCGAGTACTGGCGCCATTCATGGGGTAGTTCAACCTGCCTAAGTAAAATCATTTCATTTCTTCAATCCATCAACCTTTACAATGAAGATTGGTTTCGCTTGGTCCTAACCTAGATCCCATTCGCTTAATAGAATTACTAGCCATTACAGTCTCGGCTGGATCCTACAGATTCTTTCTCGGAGACCTGGGGTTTGGAGGGTACTAGAACGTGCACGAACCTACGCTTGAGGTTATTGGGACGGCCTCATGGCTAGCCAATAATTTACTCCTACCGTATACCATTTTTTAAACACCAAGTGAGCTGAAAGCATACGTTAAACGATGAAATTATTCCATCTCTGTGCCGTTTCCAACGATTTAATTCCGGTCAAATGGGTCTAATTTTGTTGCCTTGAAACAGTAATGCATTGAATCAAAGTTCTGATCTTGATAGTCTGATTTTCTAGTGTACGCACTGTTTAGATGGGGCCGCATAATATCGGTTATTTGAACGTGGGATCGATGACTCAATTTCTTTTTATTCGGTGATTGAATCTCTCAAGAAACAGAAGAAAAAGTCCGCACTAGCTCACTTAGTTCAACTGTAGATGATGCTCCCCCGTCAATTTAATATTAACAGGATGTTTCTTTACGTGTTCACCTAGAACCGTAATTTGGCTGATCACCACGCTGCCCACATCATAGCGAAACTTGCCAGTCATCGAAAATTCCCCACCGCGGTAATCGAAGTTGACCACCGAAATACGCGGCTGCTCAATGCTGTCGCCGTCGTCGAGATACAGCGTGCCTGATGCCTGGCCCGTTGTGTCGGGAGCAATCACGATTTCAAAATCTTGCTGTCGCAGTTGGGCCGTCGTATTGGCAGAAACGACTCGCTGAGGGATGATATGGCCGCCTTTGTAGTACAAAGGCAGAGTGTCATACCCGATATCATTCAGTGTGACAGTGTCGCCATTCCCACGGACTGGAACGCCGGTATAGAAGTCGTAGAAGAGGTCGTTGGGCATGTAGACAGATACTGTAGTAGAATTCTCCTCTGTGACAGGCGCCACCATGATGCTTGATCCCCAAAAGAACTGGTAAGGGAGGTCCACCGTGTTGCTGTCTTGGGGGTATTCGAAGAACATGGGATTAATCATCGGCGCACCTGTCTGTGCTTGCGTCCACATGGCAGTGTAGGCGTAGTCGAGCAGGCGGTACCGAATGTCAATGGCCGCTCTGGCGGCGGCAGCAGTCATAGGAGTCCGGTAGAACTCATGCGGCGGGGTACCAAGCGACTGATGGTCGCGGAAAAAGGGCGAGAAGGCACCGAGGAAGATCCAGCGAGAGCAGAGTTTATCCGTTGTCACACCACCATAGCCGCAGACGTCACTGCCCACCATGGGGATCTGGTAAAGGGCGACGAATTCTTGCAGCTCGGCAATCGTCCAGCGGTAGTGGTCCCAGTCGGCGTTGTTGTCTCCTAGCCAGTGCCCTACTTTGCTGCCAGCGCCGGCGAAGGTGGATCGTGTGATACTGTCGCACATTAGTAACCAGCTTCGCTAATTTTGATGCAGGAACACTTACACCAGCGGCCGCATGGATGGCCTGCGGTTGAGCATTGCGTTGCGGCTAGCAGCACTCATCATGCTGCCGTAGAAATTGTGCGTGTCGTACAGCTTGAGACCGTTAGAATGAGTGAGATCTGTCCGGATCGTCAAGTTGCTGATCGACCCGGCGGTGTTGTTGATGTGGTAAGGAGGATCGATCAGGTCCCTTCCAGGCAGGCCAAGCATGGGGTTGTCTCGCTTCTGAAGGTCATTGCTAATCACTGGAGAGCGTACGCTAGGCGTTGATTGAGAAACAGGAGACCTCTTCTGTGGACCGGAGCTTGTAGTAATGTTGTCAAAGACCATCTGCACACCAGTGTTGCAATCACCTGTGGTAATTGTACGATTTTTGCTTTCATAGATCCAGTTACCGTCTGACTCCCTGCGGACATACTCATATGTGAATGTTTCATCATGAGGCATTTGTACCGTGACCTGCCACTCTGGGTAGTTGTCTGCGCTCATCGCAACAGAATTGTGGATTTGGCCTTCTCCTAAAGTGGGGGAGCTTCCGAGAAGGTAAATATCTTCTCCATAATAGGTCTCCGCATGGACAGTGAATGAAACGGAGGCAACACATGTTGGTTGGAAATTTGGTCCAAAGCCCGAAATCGGGCGTGGCGCCGATAGACGAACAGCGGGGGGGATTAGGAGGGTCATCATTCTTTTGCGCAAATGCCTCTGGATTTGAACATGGCCATTCACAGAAGTTTGAAGCCTCATTCATGTCGATCCATAGCGCATCAATGTCCACGCCGTTGTCTGGGTCAAAGAATGAAGAGAACTGGTCGTTCCAGTATTCTTGCGTCTTCAGAGCAAACCAGTCGGGAAAAGCAGTAACACCAGGCCAGACGACGCCTTGGTAGACTGACCCGTTTGCATCAGTCAAGAAAACGCCGTCCTGGACGCCTTTTTCAAACGGGGGGTAGTCGGCATAAGCCACGGCCGGGTCGACCATAACGATGTAGTGCTGGTTATGACTGTGCAGGTATGAAACGACCTCGCGAACGAGGTGTAGGGGATAGCGGAGAGGGTCCAAAGTAAACACCTTCCTTAGGTCCATGTAGTCTACATAATTTCTTTTAGCCATGTTTGAACAATGAGGGTCGTATAGTCATATAGCATACCAATATCTGTCCACTGCGTCTCGAGCGGGATATTAGCTGCACTATAGTTAGCAATGACCTCAGCTACCTCGAAGATGTCTTGGTAGCCATATCTGCAGTTATGGAAGCCAAGTCCCCAGTATGGCATCATGGCGGCCTTGCCAACCGTCTCGGAATACTGGACCGCCACATCTCTCGGAGTCGGACCCGCCAGGAAGTAGAAGTCGAGAACCCCGCCCAGGGTGTTGTATTCGAGGTATTGACCGTCAGCATCTTGGTCAACCTTGATATCCATTCCATTGCTGTTTAACAGAAACACACCATGCGTGCCCTGGTGGCGATGGTCAAAGTAGACAGGATGATTGCCATACAAATTGGTGTATTGAGGAGTGAGATAGGCATCGCGAGACCAAAGTGTGCGCATATAGTCGTTCGTCTGCAGCCGGAAGGCATCGGTGCTCTCTCCCAGGCCGTAGAGATTGGGTGAGTCCGGCAGGCTTGTGCGCAGCCGGAGATACTGCGACTCAAAGATCAAGGCATGACCGGATGTGTCAAAAAGAACCTCGCCAGTGGATCGCCGGGTCAATGTAAATGAGAACGGGTTATGCTCAATGGAGACATTCAAGTCCGACGTCGACGGATCGATATTTGTGTTCTTAGGACGAGGAAGAACGGATTCGGGCACCTGGTAGACTTGTTCGGCCGCATCGTAAATCTTGACATGGACTCGGGACTCTGTATCGTTTGTTAATGACTAGAACACGGCAATAATCTCGCCAAACTCTTGATCCTACCCGTCTGGTAATCAATTTCCAGTTTCAGATCGTTCAAATCCGTGCCGTAAACATTACAGGCTGTCCCGGCAAGCGTGAGATCGGCACTGACAACTGTGCCGTGCTTTGTCTTCACATTGCTCGCTTGGTATCCTGGACATGCTGCCGTGCCATTGCTAACCGCCAATACGGCAACATCAGCACAAAGGACGAGACCCAAAACTGCTGCCAAGCACTTCCTCATGATGCAAGCTGGTTGAAGACACGCCCCGCTTGTCTGGCCGTATAAGGAGCATATCGCAGGTCTTTAAATAGCTGCTCCATCTCTGCTATTCCTGTAAAGAAAATAGAAATTAGCCAAACGAGACGCGGGGTTTAGCGAAAGAAGCTCATCAAGCATTTACTAGCCCGTTATGAGTATAGATCTACACCCGTTATTTGCCCGAAATTATCCACAACCCCGATATTTGCCCGCGATCGATCTACGGCAACTTAGTAGATCAGCTCGGACTTGGAGAATGCATATTGTGAGAAAATAGCCTTAACTACCTGTTCCAGTCGAATACCATGGCGGGAAATAATTTGGTGTCAGGGCGATGTTGTCCCTGCAACAGCCAACTGTTGAGGTTGCTAGTCATGCACGGACGCGCTACATAGCGTCCTTCATTCCAAAGGTAGACGCATTGTCGCTCTAAATTTCCATCACTCCAGGATCAGGCTTTGTGAAAAGTTAACAAAAAGTTAAGCCTTGGGAATTTATTCGGCGAAACCATTGACATCATGCGCAGAAGGCTAAATTACCTGATGTTAATGCCCCATGCCTTTTGAACAAGGTTGCGTTGCCTGAAGTCACGTGCACACGCTGAGTTTTAGCTAGACCTCACCAAGTGCGGGTATTATTTATGATACAATCAGTAATCGTAGGCCTGTTGAGTAAAGTGGATTCTAATTATGGGCAGGAAAAGGTTATAATGCATGGACATTCATCGACAGACTCTTGCTTTCATGAAATGGTGGAAGAGGTAATATATGTTCCATCAGAAATTAACGTGACAAACAGGCACTAGAGGAGACCCAGCATCAATTTTCTTCCTGCACGAAAATGCCATGTACCTACAGACTTTCTCCTTGCGAAACTCACTCGATTCTAATGAATTGTTATGTTAGTTAATTGATTGTGGCTTTAGACACGTCTACTTGTTGCATACCTAATTGTAATGGTGTTTCGTGGTATGCGTAGCTCCTGCTTAACAATCCCCCCTAGGAATGTTGGTCCTTAACCTGGAGCTACCTAAATTCGAGGCGCGGCTATCCAAATTTCTGCCGAATGAGGATGGAAAGTCCTTGAGTAAATTCCAATACTCAGCTTCTCCGTGACCGATTTGGCGTCAACTTCGATCCCATATAGTCGTAATCACAATCCCTACGTGGCATATGTGTGTGTGAATTCGAACATGAAATAGAGAACAAGAACGCCAATGGAAAGAAAAAAGTTTAAAGTGCAATGTGAAAGAAGGAATGGGAAGTTCGCCCACCCGACGAATATCTATCTATAAATACCCCCAGGTGCGGCAAATATCCCAGAATTTGTTCATTCCAGTCATACCACTCCTTTTTGGCTTCTAAATCTTTTAACTCTGGTGTATTGCTGCAACCCTTAATTATAATGTGTATCTTCAAAAAGGTCGCAGCGGCATCAATTGCGGCGTTTATAAGTCATACTTTGGCGATTCCGTTGATGGTCCACCCTGGTGGTACGAATGATGTTGTCATCACGTCGCAAGATACTCTCAACGAGACGATATCCAACCACAGCTCTAACCAGGCTGCAACTCCTCTGTCAGCTGGTGATGCCGAGCAGCTCTCAGTCTCTGTGTACAATAATTTCCAGAGCGATTCCATCCACATCTATATCACTGGACTCGATTCCGATGGGAACATTGTCTGTCTTACACCTAGTGGAAGTTGGTATACTCCAACAGGCGATAGCAGCTCCACGACTCTCCAAGAAATCACGGAAGATATTGCCATCCCTATTGGTGCTTATGGATCAACTACTTCCCTTACCCTCCCGAGCTATATTTCATCGGGTCGCATCTGGGTCGCAGCTGGTGACTTGACATTCTGGACTGTAATATCTGCCACTGGTGCTCTATCTCTTGTTGAACCATCTGCAGTCAACCCGGATGATCCTAGTGCAAACGTCAACTGGGGATTCGTTGAGCTCACAACAGATTCTAGCGGTATTATGGTCAATCTTAGCTATGTCGACTTCGTTGGTCTCCCGCTTAGTATTGAGATTCAGGGCAGTGATGGCACCCAAACAGCTCTCGGTGTGTCAGCAGATGCTTTATCATCTATTTGCAGCGACTTGGCTACACAAGCATCCTCAGATGGTCAGCCCTGGAACGAACTCTGCATGACTGACACTAGCGGCAACCTCCTCCGCGTTATCGCTCCTTACGACTATATAAGCCTAGAGCCAGATGCTTTTGATTCCTACTGGACGAGCTATGTCTCTGATGTCTGGTCTCAATACGAGAGCACGCCCCTGACAATCGATACTCAGGCTGTAGCTGGCCTGGTAAACTGCGCAGTGTCAAGCGGTATCTTGAACTGCGACGGTGACAACCGAGGCTATGCACAGCCAGTCGCCAGCGATATCTTTGGTTGCAATAGCGGTTCATTTGCAATTGAATCAAGCGACAATGAAATCCATCAAGCTGTTGTTCCGCGTCTCTGTGCCGCATTTCACCGGTCGACATTTTTAGTTGGCGGGGAATGTAGAACCGAGCCTCGATTCGAGCTCTTACTACACGACATCACCGACAGACTACTACAGCAAGAGTGTGCATCAACATGAGGCTGACGGGAAGGGATATGCCTTTGCTTATGACGATGTGACTCCTGATGGCGTGCCAAATGCCTCTGGTCTCCTTTTCGACCCGAACCCCACTTTTCTCACTATCACTGTGGGTGGAGCAACGTCCTAATATCGAATCGCAACTTGTGCAGTATAACTATACTGTCGATCCATTCTACAAGACACAATGTACATACTGCAATTTTTATTTTTAATATTTGTTCGTGTCATATGGTTTTGCAAATTACTTAAACTAGTAGCTGTCCCAATTAGAGGCATTCACATATTGTCAACGCATAGAGTGGTTAATTACCACTAGCGAACGATTGGATACACTAGAACCCATATTTCTTAATGTTTTGTATGGTAAATTGGTCAAATTGGCCATTCTGGTGTTGTGACCACCGGATATCGACACATTCAGAGGGGATTTCAACCTGCCATTGATTCCGTGTTTATTCCCTTCAATCGACCTTTCATCTTGGATTGATTCTATTTGATCTCATTCGTTCTGAATGAAGACTAGTCTATACGCCTTTATCCTCTTCTGATGCCTCATGCGAGGCAGTTGTACAATCAGAAGCAAGAAATTCAAGGCTGCACCATGACATCTTAACAGAATTTGCGACGGAAACGTGGAAAAGGGGTAAAATTGGGTCTATACAAAAATTTTTCGTGTCGATAGCGGATCTGTGCCAATCTAGGGCGTGCTACTAGGTAGTAGCAAATAACTGTACCGAAGGAATTAATTATAAGCTTTGTTCTCACTGTAGCGTAATATGTGAAAATACCCGTCGGGTAAAATGGGCTTGCCCCGCCCCGGAAACAGCCTCGGGCTCTTAACTTAGGCGAGAGGACAAGGGGATCCATTGTGAGATGGGGGGTTTGCGGATCAGTCAACATTGAATGAATATGAAGAAGTCTGTGGTTGGGCTGGTAGGTAGAGTAATGGGGAGAAGCGGTCGATATAGACAAATTTTTTCGATTGGTCAGATTTAGAATAGTAGGCTAGTCTCCATTTGGATTGCTGGTCGACATATTAGTTTCGAAAGGCAGGAATGGCTTCAAGACAGAGATTACACTCTCGCAGTTCCGTCTTCCTATGGTCTAGAGCTCTACGCTTTGATGGTGGTGGTTTCGACGCCATTCCCATGTTCCATTCGACCCGCACGTTCTAATCTTGCCGCTTCGAGGATCCCTCCCCGCTTCAGTAGTCAGCATTACTTTAATAGAATCTTGAATTGAATTGAATTGAACTGACTAGTAATTCCAGTTCAGTTCATTTTTGACTGCTGAAACTGAACTGACTGAACTGTGTAGAGCGCTGCCCTTACTATGGTGTTTTGAGGTGTTCGGCTCGCTTAGGTGTTCGGCTTGCTTGTTACAGTACATGGGGCTAAGAATGCGGGGTATGACCGGTGCCTCTATTCGGTACATCCGGCCTGTTATTCAAGATCATCAATAAGCTTACTTCAATCATTTTTGCCTCGTTCATCATCTCATATAATTTATCAACACCCATTCGTTTACGTTACTTTGCTCGTGATCGTCAGTCTATCTTGATCCTTACCTCCCTCTCTCCATCTCTTTATTCTCGAACCAGAATGGAGCAAGAAAGCGCACAACAGAGTCGCTCTCCTCGCCCTCTAGTCATACCGCTACCGGGCGAATTGCCTGATGTTAGGCGCGATGCTGCGAAGGCATTCGAAGTTCTTCGGTCCGGTGGGGTCATAATTACCCCCACGGATGTCGGATACGGCATGATGGCAGCTAGTGTTGAGGCAATTGAGCGAGCGTTCGCCGCCAAAGGACGTCAGGCTGGCCATTCTATGGGTATCATTGGCACTTACGAGCTCCATGAAAAGCTGCACAGCCTTCCACCCGAAAAGTTTCGTCTAACACGGACATTCTCGGAAGATTTAGGACTGACGATTGCTGTTGTTGCGAAAATGAAAGATTCTATCACGGATTTGTTACCTGAACATTTGCTGCCTAGTTTGGATAAGATAACGAAAGATGGCACATTGGGTTTAGCTATTTGTGAAGGACCATTCCAGCGAGAACTTGGCAGATTGAATGATGCGAGTGGTCAAGTCATGATTGGCAGTAGTGCTAATTTGACTGGCCAGGGTCAAAAGTTCCAGGTCGAGGATATTGAGATTGCGGTTCTCGAGGTGACCGATCTCGTCGTTAATTATGGAAGACAAAAATGGTACCTATATGGACGAGCTGGAACCGTGATAGACCTGGATAACGAGCGAGTATTGCGTATTGGTGCGAACTACGATGTCATCGGTGAACGTCTGGCTAATTGGTTTGGATGGTCTGTGCCCGAAGATCCTGAGTTTGACACAAAGGAGAAGAAGCGAGTGGGGGTCTCAATTAATTTGAGCAAAAATGAAGCCTGCATGTAATTCCGCTGATTTTCTCTCAGGAAGAACAACCGGTATAACTGAAAGTACAATGGCTAGGTAGTAATAGCCTGTAAATTCGCAGGGGGTTAGTAAGAAGCGTCGCCACATGACTGGCTAATTTACCTGCACACATAATAAAACGAGAGCATATCATGCTGTGGAATTACATTGTACCAAACATGTACATTATGTGATAAAATTGGCATTCTCGCATCTTTACCAGTCTAAGGCCTGACTACAATTTGACCCAATATTGATACTTTTCTTCTCTGGTTCTGTCAGCGCTTCCACGCGTCCATTGTTCCCATCCGATAGGCCGGTGCTTCCCCTTATCATTGATATTTCTATCCCAGGATATTTCTGACCTCCCATGGCTTCGCCTTCTGAATCCAAAGGCGTAGGCAATCTTGTCACGGGATTCGAAGTATGCGATACCCCGGACTCTCGAGGCCGATTCATAGGCGAATCCCCTTCCAGCCGCTTGCATATCGATATCCACTCGAGCCCTAGTGTATTCAAAGACCCCACAAGTATTAAGGATTCTTGATCTCTTCAAGAATCAGTCTGTGTATCAACTGTCCAATCTGATCTCTACTGTACGATATCCTTGCCTACTCACAGGTCTCTAGCCTGACAACTTAGTAACCATTGCAAAAGAAATAAAACTACTATACTTATAGAGTATAGAGACAAGATAGATAAAGTATAATGCTTAAAGAGAGACAATAGAACAAGTAATAGGATGTTTTATAAGCAGTATATTGATACTTTTATCTTAGTAGCCTTAGAAGATTATTTTATAAGAGGGAACATAGTTTTTTGTTGTTAGTACTATAGAACGAACGCTACTTAATCTCATAAAACGAAATAGTGGTCTTGTTGCTAAGACCTCCATCACATGACCCCAGGATACTGATGTTGAGAGCGAAAATCCCCATTACACTAGATATATACAATAAGTAGACAATCCGTCATGTTAGGGTGATGTATATGTTCGACTTACAGCCTACGAAACACTTCGTCAAAAAAGCCAATTTTGACCAAAAAGCGCTCCACAGTCGGCAAATCACCACGGTTGATGTTTGGTGTTTGTTGGGCCGATGTCACAAAATGGTCGGAAGTTTCTTTTGAGTCCATTCTGAACTAAAGAAACTTGGTAGGTTGGAGAAGTCTTGGAGGATCAGGGTGGCTTTTGGAATGAGTAAAGGAACTTAGGAGACTGGTTGAAAAGTTGGGCTGTCTCCAATGGATTGAGAAGCTAGACCGTACATAGTAAATCACAGGTACGATCTCCTCGACATTGTCAGTGGGGGCGGCTTTCTTGAAGTTGGGCACCTGGATATTACCGGATGAGGAGCCGGTTGAAGAAACCCCGAACTTCAACAAAGAGAAAACAAAAGGGTGCCAGTGGTGTTTCCCCTCTTTCTATTTCTAAAATCAAAAACGGCCCCGAGGCATAGAAGCCGATAAGACCGCTGGAAAAAGCAAACGGCTTCAAGTTCTTAATCTCCACGTTGGAACCTTCAACTTCCAAGGTTGGAACCTTCAACTTCCAAGGTTGGAATCAAGAACACCAGGGTCTGCCAGTGGGACGCGATATATCTTGATTAATACTGACCACCACCTACTACCCCGGCCGTGGACTAGGACTATAGCTTGCCCAGGTGGCATCATCCATGGATGATGTTCAGATTCAAGTTTTCTACCAGTTACTAGTAATAAATGCGCTACGATAAGATTTACCAAACCCTTATTTTGTTGCATTCGGGGTGTCTTTACTATTAATACATGCTGACGAGCACCAGCTATGGGGAATTGCCAGAGAGCCCTGGAGTGACTACTGTAGGTGCTTGGTAGATGCAAAGTATGACGGCCAAGCGGCGTTCGCTTCCAAACTCATTGTAAATCCAGAGACCAGGTATTCATAATTTGAATGAATTATTAGTTGGGTCAGATGCGCGATTATCCTGCATTTAAGATATGTCGTACCGGATTGCATCTACAATCTTGTCGAGGAGTAGATGGTTGTTCACTGGCTGATAGCTTTATCGCTTGTACCCGTCAGATTTGAAACTCTACGATGCTAAATTATGTCTCAAAGTTCTTTCCTCAATTCCTTCCACCCAGATAACCATCTCCACATGACTTCACAACCTGATGATCGCTTCGATGGTGGGCTTGTGTCCCCGCAATGGGGCTGTGCGTACATATCTCGACCTATCAACTCGCGTCGCGCCGCCTTCTCAGCTCGACTGTGGCGCAGATCCTCGGACAAAGCGACATTTTACGAGGACCTGCATTTCCCTGCATCTTATAAGCTTGTCCTTGCCCCTGCCTCGGTTGCAGATGATCCCCACCATATCACTGGGTACGTCATGGCAGCCCCAGGCTGAGTGCTGCTGCGCCGGAGCTTAACTTTTCTTTTAATTCGACCTAAACACACACTATGCCTGATACCCGCAAGCATCGGCGGCGGCGTCACAAGGGGAAATGTGGGAGGCATGAAGATGTCAATGAAGTGCCGAAACAAACGATTTATATGAATCCCCCGGGCGCATATACTGTTCAGGCCTTTCAAGGTGGAAATCCAACACCTCCACCTTTCCATAATCCCCATACGGGTGTCACCTCACTGGTTCACCTACCCCCACGACCGAACCAGGGTCCAGTACCTGTCCCTTATAATCCTGGTACGGTAGGGAGTCCACCCCCAGCCTGGTATCCAACGGGGTATCAAGCCCCGAAGCCTACCTCCGATCTTGCGAAATGGACATCTTGTGCAAATCTCAGCCAGTCGGTCTCAAACATCGTCGCACACACTGCAGAAAAAACAAATGCCACCATCTTGGATCTGGAGAATCTTGTCCTCCAAAGTGTGGGTGGAGGCGCAAATGTTCGGGAGAGCACATCGCGACTCTTGGATCAAGTTGTTACATTGATCGATATCGGGTCTTTCCGCGGGAAGGAGAATGAGCTTAGTACGTGACTATATTCTCTATTCCACTATTCATCCGGAATATGTATACTAACCGAAAAAAGTGGCTGCATGTGCGCTCCCATCCGGGTCCGGAGCGCGGAAAAGAGATCGTTGGACTCATGCGCCTGAGAAACAGAAACCTTCGTCGCCGGTCGACTATTTCTCGAAGGTCTATCTCTATGCAAATTCTCGAATGCCACCACATCTTCCTCACATCAAATTGTACGTTGATAGTATTCGGCATGGGTCGAACTTCTTCCGCTAATGGAGTGACTAGCTATCCCGCAACCTATCCATTGCTAAAGCTCGCGGCCCATTATTCACAACAAGTATACGAAAAGCCAAATGGCCCCGAGCGACAATCCTACGTGAATTCGGACTGGCGCCAAGGTACAAAGGCAATGGTCATCAAATCGCTTCCTGTCGATAAAATGAACACTATGGTATTCGCCATTCGGGGGACGCAAAGCTTTAGTGACTGGGCTGTAAATGTCCATGCGGCACCAGCTTCACCTGCTGGCTTTCTTGATGACCCAAGGAATAAATGCCATGCTGGGTTCCTGTCCGTTGCCAGGAAGATGGTTCCAGCTGTCGCCGCACGACTGCGTACTTTGATCGAGGAAGATCCTAGTCGAATGTCATATACGCTTCTTCTCACAGGTCATTCTGCAGGCGGGGCTGTCGCTAGTCTCCTTTACCTTCATTTACTTTCCGAATCATCGGATGTCAAATCTGAACTCACACATCTACGCGGTTGCTTCAAGCATATTCATTGCATCACTTTTGGTGCGCCCCCCCATTTCGCTTTGGCCATTGCAAAGGCCGCCAAGTGCCAATCCATCCAAATCAATGTTCTTCTCGTTTGTGAACGAGGGCGACCCAGTCACACGCGCAGATAAGGGATATTTCTTTTCTCTGCTGGACTTGTATGCTTCGCCAGCTCCTGGGTCTGTCTGGTCACTCTTCGACCCAAGGGGCAAACGGAATCCGTCGAAATACTGGCAAGTTCCCCAGTCAACGCTCTCAAATGCGGGTCGAATTATTCTCCTTCGTTCTCATGGCCAGGGATATGGTCGTCCATTGAGGAATCCATCAGCTGGTCCTGATGCCCCTCCGCCACTCCCACCCCGCGAGAAGGTAGAGGCGTGTGGCACGACGGATTTAGATTTGCGCGGTGTAGTGTTTGGTGACCCGCTTATGCATTTTATGGATCTATATGCTCGCCGGATTGAGACACTCGTAAGTGGTGCGACAAGGCGAAAGTTTCATTGAAGCCCCAGGACACACCTTGTAACGAAATCGAGCTGGGCGCTGTATATCTTAGTCAATTACGAACCAATTTCGATACATATTTCCAAAATTGCTTCATTTCGATATAGAGTTACGTATTAATTGTCAAATAAAAAGGCAGACTCGGGGCTTGATATGACCAATTATATTTACGGTTACGGTGGCGATCGCTCTCTACGAGGGTCTTGCACTTTGTACAACACAGACAAGCTCTTTCAAAACAAACTCTCACGAGGTGTAAGAGTCATCATGTCAGCAAGAACCATACTTGCCGTTCGTTCAGAATGACCCGGCGTCTAAACCAGGAGAAGCCTGTCCAAGTTTCAATTATATTGCTCGCTAAATTGAGCTTCAAGGGTGGATATAATTTCCGACAGTGAACTTTACCCTGTTCATGATCATGCGGACATCACCATGAGGCATAAACTTTGGTCAGCATTTCTCAAGAGCAGATAACGATGCTGGATGTGGCTCGTTTATCCTTCGGGCCCTCATATCGAAGTCCATAAGTATCCCGAGTTATCCTCTGAATCATCAAGCCTCTGTTTCCATTGAAGTTTCAATATATCATCCCTAAAATTCCATAAAATCATAGCTAGGAACGCTAAAGATGAAAGATCTACTCCAATTTCTCAGCATTCTGGCCGCAACATCCCCGCCCGTTACTGCGGTGGTAGTATCCTTGCAACAGGCCTTGCTCACGCAGACAAACCGCGACTGTAACGGTACTGTCATCGGCAGCCCGCTGACAAAAACCTTCGGCTTTGTTGAAATTGCTCACTCTGGGCCATCTGAAATTATCGCAGTTCCTGTCCTGATAGGGGCAGCGCCAAATACAGCTTACAATGTGCGCGTAATTCAGATCAAGGATGGACAAGCCGTGGATTGTGGATCCTGTACATCAGGGGGTGGGACGTTGACAACGAACAATCTAGGCGTCGGGAGCGCATATATCCAACAGGCTGTGAGCCCTGGAGCCACGGCGGCCTGGGTTGATTTGAATGAAAAAGATCAATGTACAAATTATTACAACATTGCCCCCCTGCCAATTGTTTAAGAGATTGGGACGGTTTGTGGAATTTTTACCAATGGTTGGCTTTTTGTTTATGATATCATGTTTATGACTTCCAAGGTTCTTACTGTATTTATCGAGAAAAGACACTGAAATGTTTGATTTCCGGATAATAAAACACAAGTCAATTAAATTTTGCAAAGTTAACTGCGTACTTAAAATCAAGTCCCCAACTCGAACGCTATAGACATGTTAAATTTACTAAATGAATGGATTGTTTTGCGAAACATGATAGCAAGTACGTTTAGTATCTACCCATGTCCCTTTATATTCATGGATCTCCAAAGAGGCATATCGAAGATCCATGGATATCCCACCAACTATGCAAAAATCCATATGTTACTGATAAAGCCTAAAGATACCTGGGAAAGAAGGAAGTTTATTTTTCTTCTTCAACTCAGCGCAGAGGTCATCATGAAAGAACTCCCAAGCATAAGGCTGATTAATGAAATTGAAATTCTCCTATGCCTGACGAAACTCCGGGCGCAGCTTCTTCCGAATAATAGCCTTGGAATCAACCTTAACCTCACCCATAGGCAACAGCAATCTCTTCCAGTATTCATCATAGCCAAGCTGAACACCATCACGAATATTGGGGTTATGGTAGTCGAGGCAGTAAAGGAGAATAAGAGCCTCAGCAAAAGATTCTGGCTTGAGAATCTATCCAAATCGTGGCTGCCGGTCTTAGAACAGTATGGATATTAAAGGCCTCTGAAAGGTATACTATAACACCCGAAGTCCAGAAAAACACATAATTTGGATGTCCCAGGGTTACAGCTCCAGAGCTATGCTCTATTCCATGGGTAGGACGCAATAAGATTAAGACTCAGACTCGGGATCCCGAGGACCGATATTATGACAATGACGGTCAATGGGACACCGATACAGAGCACAGATACTACTGGTACTTTGCTGAGCCTCGAATCCAAAGGAAGAAGATGTCAAAGAACACATGCGCCATTCTTTGACTTTGTTTGTTGTCCTCTCTGGAGCTTAACGAGGTCACCTACGAAGAGATTCCACCCCACCGGGGAAGTTGCAGGAATTTTCGATATTCCAATATCCTGCCCGTCTCTATTTCAATGATTGTACTATTAAGTCTGGGAAAAGACGATCTCTCATTCATGCAGTCGATCATAACTTCAGGTATGCTAGATTCAAAGAAAGGTATTTTTCCGGCTTTGGGTCCTCTAGATCCATGAACCCCGCATGTCTTTGTCTAAACGCCCAGGCTCACAGCTCATTGCTTGCTCGGGCGTTCCTAAGAAAAGGTCTAATTATCGTTGTCTCTAGTAAAAGATGTATGAAATCAATATCCGCTGTAGATGTAGTCTCAAACCTTCATCAGATGCAATAAATTCACGAGGAAATGCGAATGGTTACTAACCTTGCGCACATCTATACAGACCGTTGACAATAATCTCTATAATATCTAATCTAGTATCACGTCTATCCCTTCCCCGTCCGAGCTCAACATACAGTCAAAGCCACATTCATTCATCATCCATCAGTCATCACTGAACCTGAATCAAATCCCATCCTCAATCCCCCTATCAACCTCCAACCCCCTCCTCTCAAAATTAGCCCTCCACCACCAAACCCCCGGCTCATCCAAACCCAGCCCATCCAAATTCCCCGAGTCCTCAACGTCCTCATGCCACGGCTTCTTGGCAAAAATATAATGCACAGCTTTAACCTCCTCATCCCTCCAAATCGTTCCATGAACACTCTCCCACCGAAGCGTCTTGAGCGCATTGTAAACGTACGGTAACGTGACCCATCGATCCCGAAATACCTCGGAGAGAAGTTCTTGGTCCGGAAAGTCGTATTTGGATGTCTTTTCCGCGTCTTGGAGGGCAGTTGTTATTTCTTTGAAGATTTTTGCAGATGGGTGGATAACTAGGACGCCGCTGTTTAGCATGGCGACGCCGGCGTTGCTGGGTGCGCCGGTTCTTTGGGCGAGGGTGGGGTTTGCGTGTTGGGTTGTGAAGGCGCAGTTGGTCGGGACCCTGGGTGGGTGAGGTTAGTTATCAATAATTACTACCCAGGCAGATCACAAATAGTCCGACGTGATAATTGAATGGAATGGGAATGGGGAAAACGCCAGGATATAGATCATACCATGTCTCTGGGTAATGCGGTTTCTTCATAGGATTACACGCACAAGCATGCGATGCCGCAAAGACCCTTTCACCCTCACCAAGTTCAATTTCCATCAATTCGTCCATATTTCGTCGAACCAAGATGTCACCGTCTAGCAAGACGACTCGCTCGTATTCCGTCAAACTGAAGGCGACGAGCTTATTCCATGTTTCCGAGAACCGCGGGTCCTGGGTATATGTTTTTGTGCTGGCTGGCGTAACAGATGGGACCAATTGGGCGCTTATACCGCGGGATTGGAGGGCTTTGAGGCCTTCGGGAGGAAATGTGGAGGTGTAGAATGCGACGAATGGGTAGCGCGATGAGGTGGAGGGGAGGGATTGGTTGTTGTTGGACTCGGCGCGTGGGTCTGGTTTAGGGTTGTAGAGGGAGTGGTGGAGGGTAAGGAGGCCTGGGATGTATTCCATGTTTGTGATTAGGGAGGCCCATACTGTGTCAGGGTTGGTTAGCTTGTTGTTTGGGGTTTTCGTGGATAGGTGGGGGGGGAGATTAGATGTAGTGTACTCCGAGGGGGGGTTTGCGATTGCCATTGTGATTGCGTCATGGTGAGAAGGCTTGTGAAGATCGATGAATTGGAGACTCAAAGCTAATGCGACTATGAGCGATGTGAGTTTGAAGGGACGGAACTTGAGATTATGATAGTAGAGAGTGTTCAAGGTGGAAGAGGGGCAGTGCCCAGATAGCCAGGCACCCCGAGGTTCAAGTTGGCTTCCTAATTAGGTTAGCCAAAGTCTAGCCCACTCAAGATGACTGCAAGTATAACTTGAAAGCTGGCAAAGTAAGGCATTATTTCAATTAAATGCATATAACATAGTCATAGTGCAAATAGCTCAGAAATTCAGAATATTAAGCAGCCAGTCAACTGACTACAATAGTTTCTTAGCCTAGTAGTTACTAGTACTAGTAAGTAGTACTACAGGGAGGGCTGCCGATCTCGGGATCCATCGATGACTCAAGTATATCAACAACTTGAACTTCAAGTTGATACTGCACTCATACTCCCCCACACCTCAAGCTACCAGTAAACCTCCAACATAAATCCAACACAATAATCCGCACCAGTCCCATAAAATGCCAGACCCCACACAATCACCCGCCTTCCGCACAATCCTCCGCAAAACAAAAGTCCTCCAAGGACCCTTCCACCCGCTCAGCATAACCAACACACCCGCCACCCCACACACATTCTTCAAAGAATGGTATCAAGAAGCCCTAGACTCCAACATCCTTGAACCACACGCAATGACCCTCTCAACAATCGACTCATCAGGCTACCCGGACGCACGAGTCCTAATTCTCAAAAACCTCGACTCACGCGGTTGGCACTTCGCTATCAAAGCCGATTCTCCAAAGGGCCAACAACTAGCCAATAATCCGCGCGCCGCGTTGACTTTTTACTGGCCGGCTATGGCGAGGCAGATTCGTGTTAGGGGGGGTTGCGGTGTGTTTGCCGGATGAGGAGTGTAAGAGGGATTTTTTGGAGAGGGGGGTTGAGGCTAGGGTTTGTGCTGTTGCTTCGAGGCAGAGTGCTGTTTTGAATGATGGGAATGGGGGTGAGTTGGAGGTGAGGTTGGAGGAGGTGAGGCGGGTTTTGGAGAGGGAGCCGGATTCGGATTTGGGGGTGGAGGGGTGGAGGGTTTATGCTGTTAGGCCGGAGAGTGTGGAGTTTTGGCAGGGGGTTGATAGTCGGTTGCATAAACGGGTTAGATATGTTAGGATTGGAGATGGGGAGGGGCAGGGAGATGAAGAGTGGAAGAAGGAGATGCTTTGGCCGTAGAGAAAGTAACTTGAAAACAGCTTGAAACTGGTAATGATGTTGATTAGACCTGCTTAAGTGGACTCGGATGTAATGTCCTTGGAATTTGGAATATGTACTGAGGCCCTTGCAACATGCCTCCCCTCAAGCAACTATCTACAACTAACCCTGCAACCACTACTATTCCTCGCCTTAGTCCTCGCCCTCGCCCTCACCCTCACCCTCGCCCAGCTGGATAAACCCCACACCTTGTAAGAAAAAAAGAAGACAGATCAATCAATCCAGACCAGCAACCAGCAATGCATAAAAGAAAATCAGATGCCGACGCCATCCATCCCATGCCATCCCAACGAAACTTTTTTGATGTATGAAAATGTTAAAGAAAGAAAAAGCAGAAAAAAAAAGAAGAAACGAAGATGTCAAACGCAACCATCAAAGCTCATCTTCATATTTGTAGTTCAGACGACGACCACTAACAACACGTTCCTGTCGACTATCCTGTCGACTATCCCGACGACTAATCTTCGGCGCAGACTTAGCCCCCCCGATTCTGTTGTTCCCTCAGGACACGTTCGCGATTGGCAGCTTCACGAGCGAGTGTGTAGGGATCTTTCTCGGCTTCCTTGGGTTTATCCTTGGAGCTTTCTTTGGAGGTACGGGCTCGGGGGCGGTCGTTGTTTGGTTCACGCTTGGGTCGTCGGGGTTGTGGACGTGAGGAGTGGTCGCTTGCGTTGGCGGACGCGGATCGATCTCGGCGGGATCTTTTACGGTCTCGTTTGGGATCTCGGCCATTGCGATCACGATCACGATCACGCTCGTTATCGCGGTCTCGTTCGCGGTGCCGATCTCTCCCAGACTCCCGGTCCCGGTCTCGGCGGCGGTCTCGATCAGAATCTCGGTCTCGGTCTCGGTCTCGGCGGTCACCACGCTCACGCTCACGGTCACGACGACGACTAGGACGGGCTCTATCGGTATCTCCATCTCTCTCTCGTTCGCGGTCGTCATCACGACGAGAAGATCGCTCCTTGCTCGAACGGTGACTGCTCACTCGACTGGCTAGGTCACGGGAATCGCTTGTCTCCGATGTTTCCTTGAGTTTGTTAAGTCGCTTGTCGTCGATGGCAGGTGGGAGGCGGCTGGAATGGCGAGAGTCGCCATTCTTCACTGGACTGTGGCTGCGACTACGGCTGCGGCTGCGGCTATTGGCGTGACTGCGGTGGCCGTGGGATCGTCGTGGACGATATTCATCTCGGCGACCTCTTCCATTATTACGGTCTGGCCCACCTGAGGAACGATGACCGTTAGTATGGCCATTTTGAATATCGTCAGATCGCTTTAAATCATGCTCTCGGGAATTCATTTCGTCGCCGTTGACCGAGTTAGCTGCGGGTGAGCGAGCACCGGAAGATCGGGCTTGGGATGAGGATCGAGACTTTGAACCAGGCTGCTGTGTTTGAGATTGTGGTTGGGTGGGAGATCCCGGTTGTGTGTGGTCTTGGGGGGTTTCAGAATCCCCACTGGAAAGCATATTAGTTTCGAAGTAAAATGTAGAGGGTTGTTCCGCTAGACTTACCCTTGCGACAATACTGGCATCTTGTTACCCCCCGGCCCTCGGCCCTGCTGGAAAGCCCGCTGTCGAAGCATGCTAGTATTAGGAAGGCCTTGACGCATGCCTCTTGGGGCAGCCGGTGCCCCTTCAACGACCGGCGCTGCTTTTGGTGGCATGGGAGGTTGATAACCGCCGTTCATGGGCATTTGGCCACCCCAGTAGCCACGGCCGCGACCAGCAGGGCCTTGGAACCCACCACGGCCATACCCAGGGCCTTGCCAGCCGGAATTGCTATTTGGCATAGATTGATCCAGAGTTTCAATGGTGGGGATACCTTGTAGTTGTTGGCCTACTGCTCCTTGTTCATCCGACACAGGCTCTGGCTTGCCTTCATGTGCGGTTTCTTGGGATACTGAATCAGGACCGCCATTCTCGTTGGCATGAGGACCTTCTCCATTGAGAACAGGGTTATCAGCGTTATCAGTTCCATTAGATGTCACCGCAATTTCTGATTCCGCATTTGTGTTGTGAATTGCCTGGCCAGAAGCAAAGCCTCCGCCGCGGGCAGAGCCCTGGAAGCCACCGCGCCCACCTCGGTATCCTCCACGACCGTATCCTTGGCCGGAGTAGCCAGACTGGTAGTCCGGGTTAGAAGGGTAAGACATATTAGACCCGCCAAATGCTCCATGAGGGCCACCGCCATTTGCAAAAGCATTTGGATTGTAATTATCTTGACCATTCTGCCATGAGCCATCCCATCCTGACGATCCATACATGCTCTGCCCGTTGTAATTCATTCCCATGCCCATGCCCATGCCCATTCCAGCCATGTTCATTCCGTAATCTCCGAACATCCCCTGATTTGCGGCCATTGGGTCCATTGACATGTGCATGCCTAGGAGAGGTTAGTACGGTGGTGAGAGGGAACGAGCGAATAGAAAAACATACCCATTGGGTTTTGAAAGTTGAACATGTTCGACATGTTGGACATGAAGGGGTTCATCCCGTTCCAACCCATGCCTTGGAAGCCACCTTGGCCCATGTTCATCATGTTGCCGTTTGGTTGCTGAGGTAGGTTCTCTGAGGGCTGAACGGATTCGGACTCGGCCGTATCTTCTCCGTTGTTAAGCTCTTTGGCTTCATCGACGACCGGAGTAATTTCGGTGGGTTGGTCAATGGCCTCGGACTGGATGTGGAGTTAGTTGGTGATTGAAAGTCGAGGAAGAGCGATGGAATCATACCTCAGAGACCAGTGGGGCAGTTTCGGTGGCATTGTTTTCCACCGCGTCTGATGCTTTGCTTTCCGCGAGAGCATCTTCGATCGGAGGGCGATCCGATGCAGTAGCTTCTGCCTCGACCTCGCCGTCGCGTTGAGATGCATTAGGCACCTGGGCCACAATATCTGCAGTCCCATTCTGCTCGACGGGGGCTTCGATAGGAGGCTGCTCGCTTGGTGCCGGGGTCTCTACCGCTGGGGTGGGGGTAGCGGTGGCGGACTGGCGTTCCTTCTCGCGCTTTTTCTCTTCGGTTCGCAAAAAGACTTTCAAGGTGGTGCGCAGAGCTTTGTTGGGCTTGCAGAGGTCGGGAGAGACGGGGGTATGGGCGCATACGGGGCAAGTGTCCGAGAGTGAAGTTTGGCCTGTGCAAGCAAAAAAAAAGTACAGTCAGCTATCATGCATGGTGGGTAGGTGGGCTGGCTGGATTTGGAGGATCAGCATACAGGCCTCGCATATAGACTGGTCACAACAAGGCAGGCGAAACGCGTTCACCGCCAGCTTGTTGCAGATGGCGCATCGCAGCTTGAAAGGAATCTCATCCTGGGAGAGGGTGCTGTAGAGATCAGTTAGAGCGGGATATTCATGTTGCAGATATGGGTGCGGATGCGGATGCGGATGCGCATGTGTATGTAGATGCGCGGGGGAGTGTGGCACGAACCTGGCGATGTCCAAGAGACCAGCCGGCGGGTCCGCCGCAGCCATTGCTGGTGAGGGAAAGAGAAAGCGCACAAGGGCAGCCGAATAGCCAGGCAATGGGAAGATGGTGAAGTGGTGGGAGTGAAGAAAGTTGGATGGTCGGGGAGCTGCTGATGGAAATTGGCCGGAGAAAGGTTCGGCCGATCTACAGGGCTCAGCGGAATAGGCAGTAGAGTTGAAGAGATGAAATTGAGGAAATAGGTGAAGTAGAGGGAAAAGTAGATATGATATTAGAGAAGTAATAAAATAGAATGATAGAATAACAGAATAGTGAATAACAGAATAGTATGTGGCAGTCTCGGATTAGATCAAGTAATTTTGGCCATCAACAACAGCTACAGCGATACCATCAACGTGGTTTCTTCTGGCTGCCTCCGGAGCTTTGTTCTCGTCATCGACTGTGGTTTACAGGGAGTGGAATGAAAATAGAACGTGAAAGTGAAAATGGAAAATAAAAACAATTAAATTGTACAGTGTTGACGGGGGGTGAAATAATAGTGTGTGGGTGGGAGCTTAGAGTGTGGTGTAAGAGTGTAGTGTACGAGTAGGAGTAGGCAGGGAAATCAAGAAATGACGGAGTGAAAGCAAGAGTGAAAGTAAAAAATAAAAGCCAAACTAAAAACATTTAAGAAAAAAGAAAAAAAAAAAAGGAGCTCCACCTTTTGCGGGCGCTTTCGAATTTAAAAAGCCGCGACCGCCCGCCAATCGCCCAATCTGCGATTGTTCTGCTTCCCTTCCATCTTCAATTTATCCAATCCTCCACCACTCCCATGTCTACTTCTACCATGAACTTCACCTCTTCTGCTTAATTTATGCCCCAGCATGACAGAGGATAACTATCGACCTATATCCCCCAACCTCTCTTCTCCTTTCCCCTCCAATCCTAATCCGAATCCGATTCCTCCTCCGCACGCGTCTAGTTCCCCCCTCACTCACCGCGCCTCCTACGACGAGTCACCTTTCTTCAACGCCTATCAACGTCCAGGCTCAAGCTCTGGTCTCAGTCGCGTACCCCAACAGTACGTGCCACCTTTTCAAGCCGGCTTTGACGATATGGCCCGTCGTTCTTCTCGACTCCAACACGACGACGCGCCTGCGCCTCTCCCCGAAGCTCAGCTCTACACTGAAGCTCCTCCAGTGATGGCTGTCGCGCCACCAATGGAGATGGAGGAACCTCCGCATGCACCTCCCGCTGCTCCCATCGAAGTCAAGACCAAGTTCCCCGTTGCCCGCATCAAGCGCATTATGCAAGCCGATGAGGATGTCGGTAAAGTCGCGCAGGTCACCCCGATCGCCGTTTGTACGTGCCCCTCTCAACCTTGCAGCTCAGCTCAGCTCAGTCGAGTCAAGCACAAGGCTATTGCAACCCCTTTGTAAATTGTCGGAAACTAATTTGAATTTCTTTTTCTTCACTATAGCCAAGGCACTCGAGCTCTTCATGATCTCTTTGGTCACCAAGGCCGCCCAAGAAGCTAAAGACCGCAATTCCAAGCGCGTCACCGCATCCCACCTCAAGCACGCGGTTGCCAAAGATGAGGTCCTCGATTTCCTGGCCGACATTATCGCCAAAGTACCAGACCAACCCGCTGGGCGCAAACATGAAGATGGCGAAGGCAGCGATCAAAATGAAGGTCGCCGGAAGCGTGGCCCGCGCAAACCGAAGGAGGAGAGTGACTAGGAGTGGCAATGGAAATGATTGACGATGCTAGATGGGTGGGGGAACAGGCGCATTTCTTCTTTCCTTTTTTTTTGTCTTGTGAACCGGCGTTGGGTGGATTCGGATTGTCCTGGGGTATTATTTTGGATAGCGCATTTCCCTGTGAATAATATATTTTCATGGCAGGCGATAGTTCTGCGAAGACTCAAGTTGTCCATTGGACACGTCATATTAACTATCTTTCATGTACTAGCACTAGTATCCCCGTAGTTCCTGGCCGTGTACCTCCAGTGTCCTAGTGTATGTCACTGGGTATCAGCGCAGCCACGATCCCCCGAGTGTCCACCGCGGCTCCACTCAGCCTTCCCCCATCGCCTTCTCCCCCTCTTCATCTCCAAAGTTCTAGATTCCCCGTTGGATCATGCCGGAGAAATATGTCCAGTGTGAGTATCCTTGACCTGCGCTACCTTTAAATCCGCTTATACTCATTCGCCCAGTGGTTCTCATCCAAATGGGCTCGGCTCATCGCCGGCAAGAAGCCTTGGCCTCCATCGGAGCTTGAACGACACTCCGTCTTTATCCACGACTGCAATGCCCTTCAGGTATGTTTGCGCGTGTCTTCGCGTCGGCCCTGACTCACATAATGGGAATGTAGCATTTCTGGAACTCCAATTCCTCCCGCTCCGTCGAAGAGTCGATCGCTTTCGCGCGCACCTATCTCGAACGCCTGAACTTCCTCCTGACTGACGAGTCTCGCGGTCCCTCACCACACAACTGCGTCGAGACCGCTGCTAGCTCACGCATCTTCGTCACAGTTGCTCTCATCGCGCTCGCCTACCACGACGATGACCTGGTCCGATCCGCCGCGGTCTTATTCAACCACATAATTCACGCCGGGGTCCTGAAGACGGAAGAGGAGAGTGAAAGGGGAAGGGGAAGAGCAAAGGAGAGCATCTCGACGGCATTTTCTCGCGCCTTGGTCGATCTTGTCCGTCAGGCCGATAAAACATCCGACAAAACTGAGACACTGCTAGTGGAACTTCTCTTCGGCATCGCCAACAACATCCGCCTGCAGCCCGAGACCTTATCAACATGGTTCCGGCCACGCGTTACTCCGGTACGCTCAGATACGGAGTCAACAGGACCAAATGGTACGGAGTTTGCGGGTGCGACGCGCAAGGATGAATTCCCTCTCTTCTACATGCTGGTCGATTATGTCCACAGTGACAAGAGCGCCGGTGACTTTGCGCGAACGGGACTTTTATATATTATCGAGACGGCATCTCGCTCCAAGAGCCTTGAAAGATGGTTGATTGAAAGTGATTTGGCAACTTTGATGGCTATTGGCTTGGGTGCACTCTACAGTCAGTTGGGAAGGTGAGTACAGTTCATCAAACAGGTGACATTATTGAAAATCACGACCGAAACTAATGTCCTCTAGCCTCGAATACATCCCAACCGACGACGATGTCCCTCGGGTAGTCGCCCTCTCCGATCATGCGAAGGAGGAGACTGCCCTCCAGCCCACACTGAGCGAGGCAATGGACACATTCATGTCATATTTGCTATTCTGGCAGGATACCATCGACCATTGCAAGTCCGCTGAAGTCAACGACACTCTTCTGGACCACTTCCAGGTCCTGTTCCTCGAACAATTATTGTGATTTTCCCCCTTTCCAAGCCTTATCGATCGTTGCTAACAGCCCCAGATACCCTTCGTTACTGGAGTCATCCGATGTGGCTGGCGGCTCGACAGCTGCTGTTCTAACTTATCTCTGCCGGATCCTCGACTCGGTTGAACAGGGCGAGCTGGTTCACCGAATCTTGCATTTCTTGCTGGCTTCCTCCCCGCCACCCGAACAACAGATGGATATGTCGGCCAGCCGCCGCAAATCGATCAATGTGCTGGCCGCATTGTCGTCCGAGGCGGCTCAGCCCTCCCCCTCTCTATTCAACTTGCGTGATTTGGCGTTGCTTGGCTTGCAATCTGCCAATCGTCAAACTGTGCTCGCCACCCTACGCCTGTTAAATGTTGTCCTCCAACGCCACCACCCATTCGCACGATCTCTTATCCACACTATCCCCAGTCAGCCAGCACGACAACGGTCGATCGGTGCTTTTAATGCAGAGCTGGAGCAGCTTCTTGGTCTCGCTACATCTATCTTCACAGAATCGTCCTTGAACGAGTCCTACGATAATTACGTCGCTGATGCCACCTGGGTTCTCGAATCGCGGCTTTGCCTTCCTGTGTCCGATGAGGAGGCCGAGAAAGTGGTCCCTCTCCCGCAACAGCTTCAACAAGATGACCCGATCGTGCAGGGTCTACTCACATGTCTAGATACATTTTTCACAAATAGCGTGATTGTCAATCTTGCACTGACTGGGGTGTTCATGAGTTTGGCATCTTCACACTTATTCGCCTTGGATGGCTGGGTACTGGTCGACCCGGCATGCTACGACAAACCCTCATCAGACTCCTCCGACACAATCGATCAAGTTCGCCAAGCATACAAGGTCCCAACATGGCCAGAAACCGCAGCGCCCACATTGACTCTCGCACTGCAAAAGCTCGTCGAACAGGTTCGTCAGTGGCAGAAAGATCTGCCCGATTTCGACGTCCTTGTCGCTGCTAGAAGAGAACTCCTCCACCAAGGTGACCGCCCCCAGACACCTACGCCGGCTCGTTCTCGCGAGGCCTCTGAACCACCGGTTCCAGGGTCAGTGGATCGCTCGCGCCCGTCATTCCCGGGATCGCCTGAACCTTCGCTGCCTGGGTCTCGGGGTCGTTCACCTAACAATATTGGCTCTCCCGCTATGAATCCTAGTGCTATGGCTATGCGGGGGAGAGTCCATTGCACGCCCAGATGAGTCTCGTGGATCGTCAACGTCACGAACAGTCGCAGCTGAAGCCCTACGCCGACGCCTTGCCACGCCATTCCCCCCTGCAGCGACAGCGACGGAGGCAACCCCAACGGACGCCGAACCCGTCGGGGCCAGTGATGAAGCTAGCGGTGAGGCGACAGCGAGCGCGGAGGAAACAGAGTCTCCGAGTGCGACTCTGGGCCACGTTCTGACTAACGTGGTCATTTTGTACGAGTTTCTCCTGGAGTTGTCGGCGGTGGTACAAGCCCGGGGAAGTCTGTTTGAGGAGGCGGGATACCAATAGTGTATCTACGGTCTTTGTATAGTGTCGATGTATCTACTGTGTATAGTCAAATACCTTTTAGGTAGAAGAGGGAAATAGAAACTGACTTGTTACTTTACAGAAAAGCAATTATGCACTCGTATACGGCCTTCATAGTCGCAACCGATCCAGTGTTTCTGGTAGCCCTGCGTGCCACGCCCCCACCTCCGCCCCTCATCTCAGACTTTCTTAGTGCGATCTGACGGTATTTTCCGCCCTGTCTCGATAGGAACCTTAGTGTTCGGGTCAATCGGTCCAAAGAGCTTTTGTCTTGTCTTGTTTTGTTTCGTGAGTCACCCCAAAGCCACCATCGTCGGGTATTCCTAGGCGATTAGAGCCAAGTTCTTCAGCCACATCAACCGAATGGCATTCGTCAGGCTTATTCACTGACTTGACTTGATTTGATTCCAGCATGAACTTGCTAAATCTACCAAATGAGCTCGTGATAGACATAGCGGACTTGATCGAAGACGAGTATAGCATCAATGCACTCCACCAAACATGCAAACGATTCCACCAACTCCTGAACCACTCTCTTTACGAGTTAAATGTGCGCATCTCACACGCCTGCGCTCTCGAATGGGCCGCTAAAAATGGCTACCATGAATCCGCACGAAAGTCACTGCAAGCTGGAGCTTCACCCAATGCATCCGTCTTCGAAGAGTGGCTTCCTATGGCACTTGCTTGCATCCATGGCCATGACGCTATCGTTCAATTATTGATAGACTACGGAGTCGATCCAAGTTCAACCGAAAGCTGGTTACGGGAGCCTGCTTATGAGCCTCAGAGTGATGATGAAGGCTGCCCGCTTATATTAGCGGCTGGTCGTGACCGGGAAAGTGTTGTTCGGCTTCTTATTTCTCATGGTGTCGATCCGGATATTCGCTCTATCATTCTCGACGATATTGTTCTTTCTGGACTTGGTATGGCGGCGCGGAATGGGCATTTGTCGATTGTTAAGTTACTTGTCGAGCTTGGCTGTGATCCTTATATTAAGGGTTGGTTTGGGTCGAGTATTCTTGCGGACGCGGCTCATGGGGGACATTATGAGACTGTTCGTTTCTTGCTAGGGGTACGGCCTCCGATAGAACCATCCGTTGAGGCTAATTCGGCTCTCGATACGGCAGCCCAAGAAGGTCATGCAGACGTTGTGGATCTGTTACTGGAAAATGGGAAGACCCCAACGCCACTCAGCTCGGAGTACCCTTTACATCCTTTGATCATGGCAGTACAACGCAAACACTACTTAATTGTGGAGAAACTCCGACATGCCATGGATCTTGAAGCCTTTGTCAGACACGGCGAACCTGATGATGACCATCATCGGCAGCTACTCATGATAAGCGCTGCATGTGGCTGGAATAGCCTACTTGAAAAGCTACTTCAGCGTGGCTGTTCAACGGACTTTCTTCACACGCAGAGACTACTCTGGTCCCTAAAGGAAAAGCGACCAGGGCTCAACCTTTTCAAGTATGAGAGACACGCATCACCTCTGGCATTAGCGGCCCATCGCGGCCATCACGATTCTGTTAAGCTTCTTCTCAACCACGAAACCAAAGCCTCTGTCATCGAGCATTTGTTGAACGAGAGAGAGGGCACACCGCTGCTAGCAGCGATTGACGGCGGACACAAACGGATCATAAATATGCTCCTAGATAAAGGTGCAGATCCGAATCTTTTAACCCATGATCTTATACCTATATTTTTCAAAGCCATCGACTCGGATACACCAGAGATACTCGAATTACTCTTCGACCGGGGAGCAAACCCGGAACTAGAGGCTAAACATCGCGGCTCCTCTGATTACGGAAAATCGGTTTACGTGCAAGCGCTAGCATCTGGGAATCTTAGTACTGTGAAGTTCCTACAGCGGCGATTTTCTTTCAAAGAGCCCCAAAGGCCTACTGGCTCTTTTTCTTTGTCATATATCCAAGCAGCTGCACAAGGTGGATTCTCAATGATGGAGTATCTTCTCCAAAATGATTATTCAGTTATGCCCGGCAGTCCTAAAGTTGCCGAAGCCTTGCGAGTTGTTCTATCGAAAGCAGATACTGCAAGTTTGGCTCTTCTCTTCGAAAGACAGCTAATCGAAGGCTTGGTTTCAATCGGCGATAAAAGCATCATGGCATTGGTTGATTCACCAAGTCGGGATTTGGCTGCTATGGCCGCTACTCTCGACATGCTTCTAGCACATGGAATCAAAATGCAGATCGAAGAGCGAGATAAGTCTCCTCTACATGACCTTAATTTCCACCAAGATAGGTTGGATCTATTTAAACTATTATTGGATCGGGGAGCAGACCCTTTACGAAAGGATGGTAAATATGGCACAACTCCATTGACACGAGCCTCGGAGACAGGAAGCAAGGAATTGGTTCGACTTATGCTCGAAACACTGGATGGTCACAGTATCCCACTTGAGAAATTGAAACGGGAGCTGGGGCGGGCTGAGTATATGGCAGAGTTGGCGCTCGAAAGGTTTATAGAGGTCGATGTGCGTCCGCTTCTACGTCGATTTTATTGGCGCAAGAAGTATCAACATATATCGATGCCGAATCGGAGACAAAAGTGAAATAAATTTAAATCCAAGTATAAAAAAGTTCTTTAGGGAGCCTGAAGAGTTCGGAATATCATTACCCTCGTCAAAAGTATATAAATAAGCGGTGAATCCATACGACTAAGTCTACTCCTACTAGTAGTACTAGTTATCAACTTGGAGTCATGATAACACAACAAATCTTTCAAATCCACTATGCCGCCACAATTAGCGACAGAACATAAGTCTATTAAGAGCGCTGACATGATGAAGCTTGCTCATCCGGACAGCCAAAAACCTTGGAGATCTTGGCCAAATGGGCCAAGTATTGGGCGCAATGAAGTCAATGGGGAAAAGGGCAAGAAAGTTTTAGAAGGATTTATCAAGGCCGATAATTGAGACCCACGATGAATAAGGATCCTTGGGGGAGTATAACCCCGTACCATGCAAGGAGTATAAATGATTACCCGCGCGGCCCGCAGACATTCCGCAATCCATTTTCTAATTAGTGTTTAAGTGTATTTTTGAACGGTATCATAGTATGTTTTTGTGGAGTGATGACTGAGGAATAATTATAGTAGAACTTACCTTCCAACAAGGATTGGTATACTTACTCTATGTTCTGCTACTGTTCTGCCCTACGATCTCCCAGTGGGGCGACCCGCCAAGACTGCGTGACGGTTCCGCTTGCGACGATTGGCGATTGGCGCGCGCATCTGGACAACTTGACCTTACTCTGACTTTACTCCAGACACCATGTCTTCTTCTTCTCCTTTCTCCTAATTTTAACTTCAACCCTTGGATCATTGGAACACTCACTATCCCCCTCCTTATAACTATAGATCTTATAAATACCCCCACGGCATGATCGGCCACCATGGCCTCCGCCCCTGAATACTCCCGCTCCTCCCGCGAAGATGCCCCATTCCTCCCCGAAGGCACCTCCGACGGCACCACCACGAACACCCCTGCCGAACCAAAGTCCCCCCACCACCACAACGATGCGGAGTCCGCTGCCGCCGCGAAGAAGATTGGCTTCCGGCTGAAGCTGATCCTCTTCCTGATGATCCTAGCTGTGGACATCGGCTTCGCATTCCTGGAGGGCCCGATGGTCCGCATTTTGGAATCCATCGCTTGTCGACAATATTTCGCCGTTGTCGATCCCTCCAAGATTGGCGCCAATGGATACATCCCCGAGGACCAGTGCAAATTACCCGAGGTTCAGTCGGAGTTGGCCGCTGTGAAGGGTTACCATATGTTTTTCGATGGCCTATTGAGTATGTGTTCCCTTGTGCTTATTCTCTATCCCTTGTCTGGATGCATCTGACGTGAGCATTGCATTGATCTTCAGGCGCGGCCATGGCCTTTCCTTACGGTCTGCTGGCGGACCGGCGCGGGCGCAAATCTACCCTGGCCTTGGGTCTTCCGGGCTTTGCGATTAATTCCATCATTACCGTGGCTGTGATGTGGTTCTCGGATATCTTCCCTTTGCGGGCGATCTGGTTGTCCTCCTTGGCGTGGTTGATTGGAGGTGGTCCCGTTGTTGCTTTTGCTATCATTTGGACTATGATGGCGGATGTGACCACTGAATCGGAGAGGTATGCATTGTTCCGGGTAGATGGGGTGAAAGATAGACGCAATGCTAATAGAAAATAACCCCGTAATAGAGCCACCATGTTCTTCCAATTCGGCATTGTCTCAATGGGAGCAGATTTCGTTTCCACGGCTGCTAGTTCATGGCTCATGGCGTTGAATCCTTGGATACCGCTCTTCATTGGCTTTATCATCATCTTCCTTGGATTATTGTTGACCTTTCTTCTCCCCGAGACGAAACATGCCATCACCGCAAAGGACGAACCCGTCCACGTGGAGCTCTCAGAATTCGACGACGACGAGACAGAGCCGAAACACCATTACGTTAACCCCAACGACACAGATAGCGAAATGAACACCCGTCCATCCATGGACGCGCACATGTCATGGAGCTATCCGAAAACAACTTCGCGGGTTCGATCCTGGTGGACAAAATGCCGGACAAACATTCGCTTCTACGTCCGGCCGTATCTCTTCATCCTTGACCATAAACCAGTACTACTCCTGCTATCAGTCTTTCTAATTTACCGCCTCAGTCGCGGCTCGTCCTGGTTCCTTACCCAATATATCTCCACCCGCTATCATTGGTCATTAGCGGAGTCCAATCTCCTCGTCGCATTCCGACCCATGGTCACCATCCCAGTCTTCCTCTGGGGCCTCCCATATCTGAAGAAACACTACCTCAACAGCCGACACTCATCCACACAGAAGGACCTCTCCCTAGCCCGGGCTAGTATTCTCTGTTTCACCCTGGGCACATTGGGTATCGGACTTTCTCCCGCCATCGGCACCTTGATCCCGAGTATGATGCTCCAGGCCTCGGGGTCTGGCTTCGTCTTCCTCACGAGATCAATTATCACCACACTGGTCGACCGAGACCAGACCGCTCGACTATACACGGTCATTGAAATTCTGCAGTCTGTTGGAAATGTGGTGGCCAGCTTGACTATTACAGCGGTGTTCCAGCTCGGATTACGGCTTGGAGGGTTCTGGATCGGGCTCGCGTGGATGGTCACTAGTTCGTTGTTCTGCATGGTGGCTGCGGCTATTTGGGTCTTCCGTCTTCCTTCGGCGCCTCGGGAGGACTTTGTTGTTGGGGACTTTGAAGATGAGGAGTAGGGAATAGACTAGATGGATACCCTCGTCAACTTGTACAGTATACTACTATTTATTTATATGTCTATCATAGACCTGCACCAAGGGAGTTCCGGTTCCAAATATATCTTAAATTGCATTCTTTGATGATCTGTCCTGCTCGCTGCTTCGTTCCCGTTGGTGTTGAGCTCTGCAGTGATGATAACGACGTGGGCCCGTGGACGTTGGTTGTGGTGTCTTGACTGATGATGCTCTAACTGCGATTGCGAATCAGCACATACCTAGGTACTCGCTGGAGATCAAGAATATATAAGAAATTCACGAACGGGGAAAAAGGAAAATTTCAACGATTTACTCAACAAACCTTTCTAGGCCTTTGTGTATTTGTTCTGGCTCCCATGAAGAAAATCCCTCGAGGAATACCAAGGCGTGTGTAATATCGGAATCACCAACAACAGCATGTCCTTCATCCGAACACAGGTCCTCATAGATATATGAGAGAAAGAAAGTCATAAAGGTATCCGGCGATGTAACATGCTTGAGAGTAGCCTCGATAAGTGCCGCAGGCCGATAGCCTTTCCAAACAGTCTTCTCGAGACCATAATACTGTACAAGTCTGATCACCAGGATTCTTGCCGACTCATACTGTTGTAGTGTTAATAATAAGGATATTGAGAAATCCAGAACCCCCCTCTAGAGAGGACTGATAACGGTAATTCGCCATCGCTAGGAACCGTACGAGCTCTAGGTAAGGACGAAGAAGATAGAGGAGGAGGCATATGATGAGCTGCCTGTATATTTCAACAGCCCCGACGTCCCACAGTCCAGCCTAAAGTATCCAAGTTAAGCAATTTCTGATGGTTGGCCATTATACAGTCAAATTGAAATTCTGACGTTCTCGATATATGATATCAGAACCGTAGTCACCTGATAGGTTTTGAATATCAGGTGTCAAGCTGCTCAAAACTACGCCCACTTAAGACACGACTCAAATTCGCTCTCACACCACTGAGCTCTCAGCTATCGATCGAGCGTAGTGCAATACTTTCTGTGTCCTTCAAGCCTTTTCAAGCGCAAGGATCGCCTTGGCTGTGTCGGTGAATGTATCCTCCATGGGCCTTCCCCGAGCCAAGTCAGGAAACGCCTGTATCGCTGCTTCGATATCAAATTTTGGGAAGGTAGGTACGATTCCACTGTTTCTTCCAATCCTTCTTTCCAACTCTGGCATCTTGCGGAGATAATCGGCTATCTCGTCGAAGGATATCGCATGTCCAACAACGAAACGTTTATTGGCAGCAGCAGGAGTTATGAGTGCTGCAATATGGAGCTCGGCAAGGTCACGAACATCAATCTACCAAACAGAAGTCAGCCCCCTAATCTTGCGAAACACTCTAGGTTTCCCAATGCTCACAAATCCTGGGAATGCTGTTGCAGGTACTGTTCCAGAGCCGCTCTGGGCGCTATTCATGATAGAGTAAATTTGCATGGTGCTGAAATTTAATTTGGTGATAGTCTCGACTTTCTGGAGCGGTGGTCCGAATATCAGAGGTGGCATGAAGTTTGTGACACTAAATAGAGGTTTCTCGTCTTTGACAAACTTCCAAACCGCCTCCTCAGCAACCTTTTTGCCGACACAATAAGAGATCTGCGTTTTTCGCGTAATATTAGAACCAGAGTATGCTGATAACGTTGTAATGGAGCACGAACGTAGTTATTCTGAGCTTTAATAGCATCTGTTCTATCCAAGGGTAGCCACTGATCATTGTCTAGAACGCGGCTTCCCACGTCCTCGGCATTACCAAGCGTAATAGCGTTGATACTACCCGTTATGGCGATCGCTTTAACCTTCGAGTAAGATTTTGCAGACTTTAGCAATCCGATATTTCCAATGATAGACGGTTTTTCGAAGTGCGTGACAAAGTCAGTGTTTTGAGGGTCATCAAGTAGGGGCGCTGCCACATGAATCACGAAGTCGATTTCACTGTGTTTCTTAAAGATAAAGTCGAAGACTCCTGGCTTTGTAAAATAGGATACCACTTCAAAAGTTACGACTTTTTTCCATTCTGGATGTGTTGATAAGATTCGATCGGCCGAAGATGTAGAGCGAACAATTGCAATAACCGCATGTCCGTGTTGGATCAAATGGGCCAAGACCGTGGCACCAACAAAACCAGAGGATCCTGTCAAAAGCGTCAGAGGCATAATATAGTCGTGCCAAATTGTAATAATTCCTATGAGCGGCAAATGTAATTGTTTAGATGAAATGGATTTATGTAGAGATCGTAATTACTCTTGGATAAGGGGTATTCGTTCTCGCAATTGAGATGACGACAACATGATGTCTACACTCAATTGCCAGCGTAATGTTGCCAGGTGATTCTATACTCTTGGTTATGAGGAAAGATACCTCTTTGCTTATGTGGCGGTTGTAGACTGATCTAGCTGGAATGTGAAAGTCATTATGTCTAGATGAACCTATATTTCTTCTCGTCCCACGTCATAGGTTAGTATTTCGAAATTCCCCGCTAGTCTACCCTAGACTTATTATCCACAAAGGAAATAATGAATCTTTATCCTCGTGGTTCAGTAAAATAGCTATCTTGATATTCAGCGGATGATTAATGACGTCATTAACCATAGCGTCTTCATGCCAAACGTGGCTTTCATTGAAACGTGGCTTTCATTGAAGTGTCTAGAACCCGTCCTCGGAAGTTCCGGAAGTGCTATGAGTCCAATTTGATTAATATATAACTACCCATTTGTATTTATAAATAAATTGAGGATTGCATCTAGCAACAGCGAAAAAAAAATGTCGACAAGTCGAGAGGAAAGAACCATGATTCTGGTTCACGTATCCGTGGAGCCACGTGATATACCGAAATTTTTGGCGGCTTTTCGTACATGCTTTGAAGAATGCAAGAAAGAACCCGAACTTGAACGATTTGAGGTTTTCGATATTTCAGCTGAAAAAGGGGAATTTTGTTGGATTGAGACATGGAGAGGAGACCAGGGCTGGTTTTGTAATGTGCGTGAGTTTTGGCACAGAAGATATCACTCACACCCCTTCTTTGCGAACAATGTATATATCAGCTTAAGTTGAAGATACAAAGGGCTAAACATCTTGTCAAGGTACAAATGAATCGACCATATTACGAGCCCTACCTTGCAGAAACCCAGCCGTTGTGGACTAAACCTCGTGAGTACAACGCACTCCTCGAGAGAGTTATTCTGTACAGATCAGAGCGTAACCAGATAATTGTGTGAATAGGCACTATCAAGTTCCTTCAGCATATTCCAGGTTTTCCATCTTTTCAAAAGCAAAATTAGGACTGGTTTCCTCGGACAGGGGCTGTGGAATTATCCTTCTGACGATGTTATATTGACGAAAAACTAACTGGAGTTTCAACTGATGTTGGGCAGGTTGTGGGAAAGAGAATAGATTGGTACGGTCTTCTACTTTGCTCTTGTAGCCTACCATGTTCGAATAGGTCTCGGATAGCAAGCCGATGTGCGAGTGGCGTTTTCTTCAGCATCAATTGCTGCGTCGCATTTATTGTGCATCTTCTTTGTGGCTGATTACTTTTCTCTTTCCTCTAGAGAAGTGGTCGTCCTTGTATAATCAAAAGGTTATACTAAAATTCAGTTTCTGGCCGCGATCATAAGTGCGTTACACGACGTGGAGGAAGGCACATTTGAATGATTATAAGAATTTGCCTGAGCACGTATCTGATACCTAACCACAATGAAAAAAAAAAATAATGACAATAGCCCCAGAGGCTTGAAGCTCCTGCGAACATTTGGTAATACGCTCACTCAGTTCAGCTGTATCGGCGATTCAAGACGTGGTTAGCGACTGTCTAGGTTTACATCATATTGCGCATCACATATAGCTTTGAGAGGGGAATTTTGGTGTCGTATCGTGTTAGTTCATATATCAAAACAGGCTGGGATGGGTTACGTTACCATCCTACTCCCAGTTATCTGTAACCTGTCATCCCCGTCTGGTTCGTCCTAAGCTGATCACCGCATTAGTCAGCTTTCTTATTTAGGCTGAACCTGCATCATGACAGCACTCACGTGATATTCGCATGTGAAGGCCGGGGAACTTCCTTGCGAACCTCACCATTTATTATCTTCTACCATCAGCTTGATTGACCACCGGCTGTGATCACCCTCACTCTTTCTGTTTGTTTGCAAACAAGATGGAGAAGTTCTCGCAGTTCCGAGATCGAGGTTAGTCCCTGTCCTGATCCATCTCACTCTCACTTAGAAGGTTCACCCCCCTCTAACAAAAGCACAGGCTCCGGCATTGCGCCTTTTCTCCCCATCCCCTCAGAGCCTCTCGGTCTGCAGGCCCCGCTCCGCGTCTTCCTCTTTTGCTTCAGGTTGCCGCTGTTCATATTTGTCACTGTCGCCTACTTCGTCATCCTACAATGGCTGCCAATCGGGTCACTGGGCAAAAAGGCCGCACTGTGGTGCATCTTAGGCGTGCCGAGTATATGGTGGATTGATCTCCAAGTGGACGGAGTGCGAAAAGGGTTCGTCCATCTTTCTCTTACTTATGATGTGCGAAATACTCTAAGTTGAACCTAGTTAACCTTGAAGCTTTTCTTCTTAGCTCCCTTTCCAAACACCAACAAGCCCGCCTCCCACAACCAGGCTCAGTAATCGCCTCGTCCTTCACATCCCCCATTGACGCAGTCTACCTCGCCGCAATCTTCGACCCAATCTTCACAGCCTCCTACCCAAACACAAAACAAGTAGAGCACATCTCCCTCTTACAAGCCATCCTCCGCGCCTTCGCACCACCCTCGATCAGCCCGGCACCCGGCACAACTCTCGTGGACGTCTCATCCCTGGTCTCAAAATACCCCAACCGGCCTATCGTGATTTTCCCCGAATGCACAACAACCAATAGCCGCGGCATTCTGCCCCTAAGCCAGTCTCTCCTCGGCGTACCGTCGAAAACCAAGATCTTCCCCGTCAGCCTGCGCTACACACCCGTCGACGTCGTGACCCCGCTTCCTGGAAGTTATGTTAGTTTCATTTGGACGCTGCTGAGCAAGCCGACGCATTGTATTCGTGTTCGTATTGCGGAAGCGGTGCAGCGTGGGGCGAGTGCGATTGATCTTCCGCCTGCGAGATCGACGCGCAAGTCGACTTTTGAGACTAATTATCTTGACACGCTGGATCAGGTTGATGGGGAGGTTAGTCTGGAGGATGGGGCCTTGTTAGATCAGGTTAGTGAGGCTTTGGCGAGACTGGGTCGGGTTAAGCGTGTGGGGCTGGGGGTTAAGGAGAAAGTTGATTTTGTGAGGATGTGGAGTAAGACCAGGAAGAGTTGGTGATGGGCTTGAGCTTGAGCGTGAGCTTGGACTCGGTCTTCTTTCTTTCTTGTAATTCGATTTTATTCTATAGATATGGTCTAAACGATGTATGGATCTGATGCATTTCTATTTCTTTGAGCGATTGGTGTATTTGTCCTTACTATTCTTTCCCTTCCGACTTCTCTGGCCCCATGAGCAATAAGGGTGCCGCCAGTCCATAAGCGTATAAGAATAAATTAGCTCCCTCGGACTGAGCTTGTTTTGCCTGCGAGGTATGTAGGGGGAATTCGCCGCGTCTCCGCTTCGATGTGAGCATACCCGAGCCCTAACTAGCAATCGCGATATCTACCTCGATTCTCAAGGCAAAGTTTCGTTTTTCGTCCACAGATACCGATATTTCGCGTTTGATTCCAACCAAAGCCATCCATTGCACACGGATACATCTAATTATGTATGAGTTGTTAATCGGCGTTCAAAGTACGAGGGCAACTATACAAGTGAAGGCCACATTCCAACGCGGTCCAAAAATGCAACCACACCACCAAAACAAGAAACTCACCCCTTGAGAAAGAAGGAAAGATATTGATATGTTAAACATGCCAAATACATTCACTTTCTCTTCGCCCTTCCCTCGACAACTCAACGCCAATCACGCCAACCACCACGAACACCCCAGATCCAACGCCAACCGCCAAAATGCACATCACCATCCTCACCCTGCTAGCAGCAGGAACAAGCGCCCAATTCGTGGAATCCTTCGTGCCACAAGTAGCACACGCCTACGGCCTCGAAGGACCAGGCGAATGGCACCAAATCACCGACAACAGCAACAACCACAACCACCACCACGACAACCAGCACCACCAGCACCACATCAACCAGCACCAAGCAGCCACCCGGCCAACCGCAACCCCATCAACCATGATGCCCATGATCAAGCCATCCATCAAACCCTACGCCTCAAGCTTCCCCTACGCCTCAGGCATGTTTGTCTCTTCGAGCTCCGCGGCTCCGAGCTACAGTCCCAGCTACGGCTACGCCTATGACAACGAGTACGCCGGTGCTCCGACTCCCTCTGCCAATAACTACTACATGGCAAGCACTACGCCAACCCACCGCCCAGGCCATGATCTTCACCTGCACCAGGCTCCTCCCCACGCTGCTAATCCCAGACCAGCTGGCCACGGATCCGCCGTTGCTCCGGATGGACATATCGGTGTTCCTGCCGGTGGTATGGGCGTTCCTCCTTCCGCTCAAGCTCCAGAGCCATTGAATGCAGGCCGCTCGGAGTCGGAGTCAGAGTCAGAGGAGCAGTCGGAGGAGATGTCTAACCCTAATGCTGGCGACCAGAGTGATATCGCTCCAACTGCCCCTCTGGCTCCGGGTACCAATGTTGCTCCCGTTCAGGTACATGATACGTTTGGCGCTGATAAGGGCAACTCTTTCTGTCTTGGTCAATGCTTTGCTTCGGCTGAGGAGGCGCAGTGTGGTCCGCCTTATGTGAGTATTTTATCCGTGTTCTTTGCTTCTTTGATCGGTTTGTGGGAGTCAAATGGATGGTTTGCTAATTTATTCTTCTTTGTAGGGCTCCCCCGTTCTCCAGTCTGAGGGGTGCTATACTTGCTGCTTTTCACCCAATGACGACTTTTAAACTCGTTGGTTAGCGAATATGCGATCCCGGTAGTATTGGCTATTAGTATCAACGGTGGTTGGCTCTAGGGTTTCATTTTGGAACAGTGGGGGCTTTTGTGTTGGGCTTTATATTCTTCAATTTTGATTTCTACTTGTTATTTCTTGGGTTGGACTTTTAGGGCTTTATCAGATTTATATCCTTTTGCAAAACTTAGGCACCAGTTAATTTTTTTCCGGCTGTGACTTTCATAGTCTTCGAATTATTTTGGATCAAGGTAATTCTCTTATCATTTCTTATAGGGAATTTATGGTACTTTTCTATCTAGCCTTGCCGAGGCTAGATATGCTGCGGGGTAATCTAGTTCATAGTTCCTACTAGATTTGAACCTCAATCTAGTACTATCACTCCTAATCCGAGTCTTGTCAGCAAGTCTTACATTCGAGAAGTGTGTTTTTGCAAATACCCTTACCATATCTACTCAATTGAACCACACAATATGGGTCCGAATCCGGACAAGACCAAGTCTTACATTCCTTTATCCGGCGGCGCAGAGGACGGCTGGTCGAACAACGACAGGGCCACAGCTACGTGTTACTGTGGAGCTGTACAATTATCATTTGTAAGTAATTGCCAAAAGTCGAACTATTATACCATTTCGCAGTTGTCTCTTTTTAATTCTATTTATCGGCACCATACTAACTCAGCTTCTACAGCCAACCCAAGGCCCAGGACTGATCGATACATTCATCTGTCACTGCACAGACTGCCGCAAAATCACAGCGTCAATGTTCGCATCTAATTTTATTATTTCAGACGCATATCTCGAGCACGTACGAGGTCGTGATGTCTTGACTGAATTCAGTCAGTCGAAAACTATCGCCTCCGGCAAAGCTATGACGAATTTCTTTTGTTCTAAGTGTGGCTCGCTGATGTATCGCGTTGGAAAGGCATACTCTGGAAGCAAGATCTTGCGTATAGGGACTGTGGATGATTTCAATTTACATGAGACGAAATTGAAGCCTAGGGTGGAGCAGTATGTAAAGGATCGTGTGTCGTGGTTGTGTCAAGCGGATGGTGTTAAGCAGGTCGAGGCGTCGGCTTATAAGGCAAAACTTTAAGGACTTGTGAGACAATATAATGTTGTGGAGGTATTGTGCAAGAATTTATATTTACAAACCGTTCTTCTGGCATCAAGGCAGGTGGACAGCTAAAGGGAGGTAGGAAGCGGGGTAGGGAGCACGTGGGATCAGCCAACGTTGTACAACTCGAACCTCGTCTTATTACAGAATGTAATCCCTTGACAAATTCCGCTTCTTTAGATTCCAAAACGAATAATTGCATTGGGTACCACTTCCTCTAAAAACAATGGTTCTTAAACTCTATGGCTCTGCCATGTCCACTTCGCGTGTCTTGGTCACAATTCTAGAGAAGGAATTACCATACGAATTCATCCTCATTGACATTGCGAAGGGTGATCAGAAGAGCGAGGAGTACATGAAACTGCAGCCTTTTGGCAAGGTGCCTGTGCTGGATGATGATGGGTTTGTGATATTTGAAAGTAGAGCTATTTGCAAGTACCTTGCCAGGCAAGTCTAGGGCCACCAGGAAGGAGAGCCGGAATAACGCTTACTGGTATCTTGAGATAGAAAGTATCCTTCTGGAAGAAAGCTCATTCCGGAGGGAGATGACAAGGCCTATGGCCGCTTCGAGCAAGCTTGCTCTATCGAACAAAGCTATTTTGCCGCTGCTGCTGAGACTATAGGGACTGAGCTCGTCATCAGACCGTAAATATTTGCTGTTTTCTGTTTTCCTGGCACACACACTAATAATAGATTACAGAAAGAAAGGATTGGGTCCGCCTGATGAAGCAAGAGTCGCACAAGCCGAGAAAGACCTTAATACAGTACTCGCTGTTTATGAGAAAATATTGGCCGAACAGAAATATCTTGCTGGAGATGAGTTGACTTTGGCTGACCTCTTTCACTTGCCAAATGGGGCGGCTTTAAAATCAGGTAGATGGAAGGGGGCGTTCGAAAAGTATCCGAATGTGGATAAGTGGTTCAGGCAACTACAAGGAAGAGAGACTTGGGTGAAGGCTGCTGCAGAGGCGGGAACTATAGCATGATATAATGTGCTGTGTACTTCCAGCTCCTATAATAAGTGGATAATGGAAGAGATAAAATGCTCGTCAAGGTATACTATCAATGCTGAGAGCATTACCAGTAGCTAGTAAGAGAAAGCAAAATCATTTTTGCTCTCGATGTATATAGTTATGAGGCTAAGATATAGGCCAAAGAATTTATAGATCCAGGGGTCGTTGAAGCCTTGACTGATTTTGCTACAGCAATAAATCCGAGTGGGGGCTGCGGCAAGATATCCCAACACGACACTCCACCCAACAATCTTCAAGTTTGCATACTAATTTCAACTAGGGGATATCCCGGATCCCGGATCATAACTGCATGTGTAGCTCGCCGTAAGTCCAAGGAACGTCTGGAATACCTCTACATTGAATGATCTAAAGCTAACTACATGTCACGTAAATAGCGGTCGTCATCAATATAACCGTTGCAAAGCTGTGGGACACAGTTTTAACCATAGCAGGAAAGAAATGCGAGTGAGAATGGCCCCACGATATGAGAGTAACTACATGTAGCATAGAGCGCGAGCCGAAACAAACATTCGCATACATAGCGGCCTGGGGGCCAGACGATCGTTCCACAAAATATCTTCCATCGCCAGCTGATCAAACAAGACTTGGGGACCACAGTATGGTGTATAGGCAGATAATTGATCTTATAAACCAAGGATCCCCCGGGCGTCCAACAGGTTAGATATTTTTCAAACAAACACCACAATCTACTCAATTTCACCGAATATGCGTTTTGGTTCATTCATTGTCGCTAGCAGCCTGGCTGCCATCTCATCGGCACGCTTCACTTTCACTTATTATAATAGCAATGACTGCACAGGGGAATCCCCCAGCGATAACTCCCCCGCAGGCGCCCAGACTTGTGCAGCTTTCGAGCTCTCTTACAACGGATCAGTCTATATTGAGAGTGACAGCTCCGACCTTTCTCTGGCTTACTACGATGATAAAGGCTGCGGCGACCTGGCAATAGAAGGGACAGTGACTGGCTCATATTGCTTGTCCCTGTCTGGCGGCTACAAGTACTACTACATGATTACGAATGCTTGAAGGTAAGTGCTTACTCCCCCGAGACCTTTCCACTCTACGGCAGCTAATGCGCATGAAGAAATGGGCTCACATCGCGGGCTCCTATTTGAGGTCGGGGGGTTGTTCTGTTACCTTGGACATGTCGTTCAAGGCAATAAAGGCCGTCAGATTGAATGTACTGGTCAAGAAGAGGCGTGACTATGGGAGGAATGTGATGCGCCATCTCTAATTGCCGAACCCGCTCGACACTGCAGCTCGAGGCCAGAGGCTTCAAGCATGCGTTTTGCGCTGATCATCATTCCGGATGGAGGGTACTGTGTTATAGTACTACTACTGGTTATACCATTGCCGTTCAAGTTGTGACATGGCATATGGTTGCTGCCTTGCTGCCTTACCGGCAACCTCCTGCACCTATTAGTTCCTGCCTCCTCCTCCAAGCTTATTACTTTCGTCGAATTGTTATTACCTGTTGCTTAGTAAACTAGTATCTTAGCCCGTGTCGTACCTGACCATCCTCAGTTATTCTTATTTTGTTTCATCATCATCATTAGTAACTGGGATATTTACATCTCCCCCCCTCAGCTCAGGCTTGGTATAGCCATGTGCCGATCGCTTTCATTCCAGCTACCCAGCAGCCTATTTTTACATAGCAAAGCCTATTACCTACAAGAAAGATAATAGAAACTTGAAGTATTAGAGTGACCCAGCACATATGCATTCTCATTAAAAAAGATCTATCTAGCCAGATTTTCCGAAATAAGAAAAGAGTCAAATCCAATCCAGGCAAACCCTAGACCAGTCTAGCAATTAATCATCATCATAACCTCCCGCTCCGCTTGGAGGTGAAAATAAATAAATATAGAAATCAAATTTTGCAAACAAATAAAACCGCGACCGCTCGCTACTTTCAGGATACTTTCAGAATCATGTCAAGTGTCAACACTCAAGACCGGGCGCCAATAGAAATAGCACCAGGTCTAACCTTAACCTCATCTTCCCAAACCGAACTCGACGCCGGAAAGATAGACCCACTATCACTATCGCCATCAACCATTTCGACCCGGACGCCAGGAACAGAGCTAACATGCGGAACAACAAGTTGCACGCCCTTAGCATACGTTCCCGAGAACGAAGGTTTGTGGCGCGGTGGGAGTGGGCGGTGCTCATAGCTGCCGAGATAATCTGAGGCGGAGCTTGATACTGATGAAGAGAGGGATGGGGCACCGCCGATGCTAGTGCCAGTGCCAGTGGTGAAGCCGAGGCCTGGTAGACTTGATACGCTGTTGCGGGATGTCATTGGGCGGCGGGTTGGTTGGCGGTGGTTGTGGTGGTCGGGCCCGTGGAATTGGGAGAGATAGGACCAGGCTGTGGTTGAGATTGGGTTGGGTGTTGAGGTTGAGGTGAAGTTACCGCTGGTGGCGGCGTTTATTACGGGCTTCCATTCTGTGGGGTCGAGATCTGAGCCGGTCGTGGTGGGGGTTGTGCTTGGTATCCTTGAGTGAGGGGGGTTGCTTTGGACTCGGGTTGGAGTCATTGGGGCGACGATTGTTCGGGGGAGAGGGGTGGTGAGGCTGGTGGGGTTGATGGGGTTGTTGTCATGGGCATTGAGGGCATTGAGGCGGAGAGAGGTTTGCAGGAGTCTTTGCGGCGGCAGCTGTAAGGTTCGAATTCATGTTAGTATATGCATATATGTATAGGAATAATAGATGGAGCGGGTTGAGTACATACCCTTCACTGCAGTAGAGGAGTGTGTTGTTAGGGACGGTGATTTGTCTTTCGCACATGGCACTGGAAGAGGGTGTTAGCAGGGTTCTTTATAGTAAATGAGATCCGTGTCGCCGATATAGCGGTAAAGACGGAGAGATAAATATAGACTAGATTAAGATAGGGTAGACACAGCCTCGCGGCTGGTGGCATGTAAGGGGTGGTCCCTGCAGGGCAGAGATAAGGAAGTATGGATGGGATGTGAAAGGAATGAGGCAAATCGAGATAAAGAAACCAAAAAAAAAAAAAATCAAATGTCTTACCAGAAGTTCAGAAAGCTAGCCATATCGAATTCGCTCTCGTCTTCTTTGCTCCGAGAATGGGAGCGAGAGTGTGAGTTCGAGGTAGAGTGTGAATGGCCCGAACCCAGCTTGGAGATGGATAGGTTGACACTGGAGGTACCTCGACGATGTAGGACAGGACGAGAAGACTTGGGTTTGGAGGGATAATGGGTGGAAGAAGGGGAGCGACGATGAGATTGAGTCATGATGGCGGTGAAGCCGAAAAAAGGAGCCCAGCTCGATTGACGAGAGAATAAATGCCTCGTTCTTGGCTATCTTATCTTAGGTGATCGATGCTAGGATGGGATCCCTTTTGACTAGGGTAGATTTTCTCCAATGATCTGCTGAAGGTGGTGGAGCACGCAAGGCTAGCACGAGCACGAGGGATTTAATGACGAATGCTGGAATCCGCGGACGGTATGCTTGACGTGTTGATTTTTCTCAAAAAAAAAAAAAAAAGCAGGAAATTGAGATAATTCCTGAACGAAGGGATATGATATGTACCCCGGGAGTGACAAAGTAGTGGGTGAACGATGGAGCAGATAAGCCTAAGACTGGGAGGGGTCAGCGTGTGTCATGATTGGAATCGGACTAGGAGGGTTTCCTAGGTTATCTCTCCACCTGAGCAGAGAGATAAGGAGGGCCTTGCAGCCAACTAGAGTGGGTGGAACAAGTGGAACATACCTAGGGTAGGGAGGGTGATCTAGGAGTTGGGGAAAGAAACTCAGATAGAGATGTTCTAGCGTGGGATAGTGTAGAGTGGTAGAGATTGTTTGAGATAGACAAGCAGTAGCCTTCCAAGTTGGGGATGAAGGGAATAAATAAGAATCAAACGAAAAGAGCCCTACCTTGGGGAAGCACACACGTTCCCAATTCCCAACGCGGATCTTCGAGTCTAGACTTCCTCCCAAGTTGATTCCCCACTTGCCCACTTTTATTCCACCTTTTCCACTCTTTTTTATCCGGACGCGCAACCTTGACTCACACAGTTACACTCTGGTCGGATTTCCATAATTAGGTCTTCCACAAAGGGTAACCGGATTTGCCTCTGGGAGAGAGACAGAGACAGAGTGCGAAGTACTCTGTAAATATTCACATTCAATCGATACTGACCCTCTATTCCAGTATCGAGGTACTCATACTCAAGGTCCCCTGTTACCTATCTACACCCGAAATAAGGCCCGAGAACCCCCGTGCCCGCCCGACGCGCTCAGATTCAATTCTGCAGAGGGCCCTGCCCGGTTTACCTGCATCTGCAATTCCCGCTAGTCAGGAGTTTATCTCCTGGATCGAATCGAGTCGGGATGATCTTGCGTGCTAAAGATTCGTACAAGTATTACTAACACCTACAGCAGTAATGTACTGCCTACAGCCTGAGTACAGTATTGCACTCCGAGTCTATGGCACGACATAAGCATCCCCTACGGTACTCCGTACTCGTACTCCTCTCCTACCCCGGTACTCCACTGACCGAATATTTATAAAAATGACGCCAGCCTCGACAAAGGCCGGAGTCGTTCATGTTCTCGAACCCCCTCAAGCACGACTTCGGTGGGGCCCATTCTTCTCCACCGCCGTGACACCTCCTTGACACGTCGAGTTCCATCATACGTCGAGGGGTGACGACCGTGCGGAGGATAATGCCTGGTCTGGCCAGTCGTTAGCTAAGATCTTGTACATACAGCACTGGGATGGTCACGATGTCTGTGTCTGTCTCTTTCTCTGTCGCCAGCTCAAGTCCAGGCCAGGCTAGGCTAGGCCTGTGCTGAACTGAACAATGGAGGGGATGGTGGGGGACCTGGGCTAGCGCGCTAGTTTCTTTTCTTTTTCAAGTTTTTATTTTCTTTTCTTGTTTTTCTTGATCATAGGGCAGGGCTTCTGGTGAGTAGTCTAGAATCGGCATCGAATGATTCTGGTTCAAGTTGCATGTCTGCCAATGGCATGTTGCGTACGAGGTATCCGTACGAGGTATCCGTACCCAGAACTAACGAGGTTGACGTAGTTCAAGTTCACTGGCATTTACATTTTCCATAGTCATGTTACTATTTTTTCCCGAATGAATTAGGATTCACTATTTATTATCATTATCTATTATTTGTTGATGTGCTTCTATTTTTTCCAACCCGGTCTAGAATCACCACTGGCAGCTGGCACTGGCAGCTCCAATTGATCTACAGTTGATTCGTTTCGGGTCGATGGGTATACTCCAGTCTACACTCGTACGCAACTACAGACAAGTCTAGCCAGGGTTGTGTCAAGTTGTCAAGTGGACTCGGATTTACGTATGTGGATTCATTGGCTGATGCCTGAAGAATTGTTTGAATTTTTATTTTATTTTTATTTTACTCTGTAACCAACTCCCTGACGATCCGCGGTGCCAGTGCCACTATGAAGATCGTGTGGAGCAAGCAGCATCACCATAACATAATATTGCCCTACGCACTATGGGTAGAGTAAAACTCTGACAAGAATAAACTCACGTCAGACGAACGATTACTACAACAAAACAAACTTTTCACCCCCGAGTCAATTGAGCCATTGTTTGTCAATACTGTATTGACTCCCGCCCGCTTCCGTGGTGTTAAACCGCGGGTGAGTTTTGGCCGGCTGACATCATGTGGGTTTATTTTCAGCTCGATGATGTTTGGACTTGAGCCTATTTAGGCACTCTGTTGTGTACTGCACTCTGTTGTGTACTGTAGTGTTGGGGATATTCAAGTTGAATTTTGAGACATTAATTATCACATTATGCTATTGTACATGGTTTTCAGCCTTGTCCACTCCAGTCCAGCCAGCCCGCTTACGCATCCACTGCCATCGGTTCGGCTGCACTGGCACCAGTAGATTTGGCACTATCAGGCTTTGACGACTTGGTCTCCTCTTTTGATGAGGCCTTTGTATCCTTCTCCTTCTCCTTGACTTCCTCCTGCTTCACTGTCACGCCACTGATTGGTTTGCCGACAAAGCGCTCAGGCACGCCACGGGCGGCAGTCTCGGCAGCCCCGACAAAGCAGCCTAGCATCGAGCTCCAGATGTACCCTTGGGACAGCATCTTGCGGATTTGCCCATAGGCGTAGGAATTTGCGTAAGGGAGTGATGTTTCGGGATCACGATATCGCGATGGCAATGAGGTGATGACACATAGCGATGATGAGATTTCTAGTTTAGTTACGATGTTAGATAGCTAGATCACGAAAGCGAGGGAGTTACAACATTACAAAAGTAATGTACGAAAGTAATGGGCAAGGACAAGGGCGAGGGTAACTTACTGGTCAAGCGCGGAGGCTTCTTGGCATTGAAGTACATACTAAACTTCTTGCTGTGCGCCGTGCGATCGTCGAAATTCTCGAGAATCGTCAAATTGCGGCCCGTGTATTCGATAACTGGCGGGGGTGGTGGATGCTCTGGCTGCGCAGACCCCTCTATCACAGCGGGCGATTCGCCTTGTGATTGATGGCTGGGATCGCCCTGCATTGCGGGCACAACGGGTGGCGTGGTGTGCAGCGGGGCCGCATCGGGGGAAGACGCCAAAGGGGTCTTAGAGTCCAATGGAGGGTTGGTAGATGCAGCATCTGTAACATCGTCGGACAGGGGTTTCGTAGCGGTTGTTTCGGTGCTGACCTGAGGCACATCTCCTGAAGCCACTTGGGTATCACTGCCTGCCACAGGTACGTTTGCTTGCTCTTGTGATGGCGCCTCAGCCTTGGGGGGATCGGCTGGTGTCGCGGGTTGGTCGATGTCCATGGCTTGGTCCTCATTTGATGAGTCCGCAGGAGGTGCCGTCTGCGATACTTTGCTTGGTGAATTAGAGGCACGCGATGCATGGTTTTCGACGTCTGATACTGGCTGCTTCTCAGGCGATTTCGGGGTAGCTCCCGTGCTTTCTGGTTCGGTAGGCTCGATCAGCTTATCGGAGGTATTTGCCACTGGCTGATCTGATTTTGATTCTTCAGGATTGGCGTTCGTCTCTGGGCTTTGGCCGTCTTTGGGTGGTTCCCGAGGAGGTAGGGTAGATATGGGCTCTGCCGCAGTTGCCGGCGCAGATGTGTTTTCAGGTTGTGTAGTCGCATTCACATTCGCATTCGCACCCGCAGCTTGCGCTGGCACTTCCGCTGGGAGTTGTACAGGAGCAGTCGGATTTCCAGATTGTGTGGTCGCTGCTGCAGCTGGTTGCGCAGGCTGTGTTAATGATGTAGATGGCGCGGTGGTAGGAACACCTTCAGGCTGTGTGGTTGTGGGCGCTGGTTGCGTCGTCGCACTCTGGCCGGCTTGCGTTTCCACCGAGGGCTTCTCTTCCTTCTCCTTCTTTGCCTTCTTCTTCTCCTCCTTCTCCGGCTTGGCCTTGATATCGACCTTGCCAACCCGTGTCAAGCGGCCATTCACCCACGTAGCCAGACCACTCCAGTAGGACATGACAGGCCCCTCGAGGCGGCGATTTTGCAACGCTTCGATGCGCGCCCGCCGTTCCTCTGCCTTTCTCCGTTCGGTCTTCTCCCATCGGTTGAGACTCTTGCTATTCAGTCGTTCTATCCTTGCCGCCTCCGCGAGGTGATCTTCCTGTGACATTTTTTTCGGTTTCAAATGCGCCTTCCGTTTCTCCGCTTCCTTCATTGTCGCGATGATCCGGATACGTTTTTCCTGACTGTCTTTTAAGCGAGCATGTGTCATCTCCTTATTAACCATAGTTTGCCGGCGAGACGAGGATCGTACGGGTCCATCTTCGACGGTCGGGATCCAGGAGATTCGTTCTGATTTCTTCTTCGGGCGAGGCGGGGGTAGGGCGGATGGCGTGGAGACGGCCATAGGATCGATCTTGACTCGCTTGCGCAAGGTTTGGAATCGGAGGTCATTCTGCGCTCGACGCTTCTTGCGCTCATCCTTCTGTAGTTGCTTTTCACCTTCGTAGTCGTTGTTGGCATTGGGCCCTTGGTCGTCATCATCATCGTCATCGGATTCCAGGCCCATATCATCTTCCTCTGCGGCTTCCACATCCATCGCGAATTCGTTGTCATCTTCCACTTCCTCAAAAAGTAGGGTGAGGTCGTCATCGGCGGCGGCATCGATTAGGGCGGACATGTGTTGGCCAGCGGTGCTTCGTTTCGCACGACCTGAGACTAGTGACTCGACGATTTGCTCATTCTGTTCTTCAATCTCGTCCTCTTCCTCGGATGAGGAGACGAGCCCCGAAGAGGGGTCTTCTTCCATAATGTCCGTCATGGTTTGGGTGACTGAGTGTAAGTTGAGTGGGATCAGAATTGATGGAACGGCATTTGGTCGGAGGCGGGAGAAAGGTTGCCGTCGAGAAATCGAGGAGGAAGGAGCGGGGGGATATAGAGAGAAAGAGGAAAGAGCGAGAGAGAGTGGGAGGACTGGGAGGAGCACAAGGAAGGCACGCGTTGATCCGCGGAGTTGAAGCGGCGGGCGCGAACTGGTGAGTACGCCACACCTTCAGCCACACCAAGTGACAGCCACTGTGGCGGGTGCTGTGGCTGCTGCCTCAGGCCCGTGGCTTCATTTACCAGGGGTGCACTCTGACCTGCGACTACCTCTTGTTGTCCTGCTTTCTACTGTCCAATCTATACACTTTACACTTTCCACTCACATTCACACTCCCCCTAACAGTCTACTTACTCCACAGCCTACAGTCCTCACAAATGTCCGGGTTCTCAATGCGAGTGGTATACAGCCCCGGCCCTTCCGTATCCACCGGACTCTCTCCGAGGTTTGAGACAGCCAAAGGTCCTAAAGGTCCCAAAGGTCCCAGAAGCCTCGTTGATCTCTTGCTTCCCCGTCTCGACAGACTAGGAGGCCAGCATTGATCATGATCATGGCTTGATTCTGCCGGACTCTAGTGACGCTACCTACTCTCAGCTGCCCCAGTAAACACCCGGACAAGGACACGTACCTGACCCATCCCTTGCGCGCCACACCAAAAAACAGTATCCTCCGCGGTTTCGGATCAGGGCAACCTGTCAGGTCCCTTGCATGAATAATTGCATCACGCTCATCCCAGAGACACTGCCTGTGTCTCTCCATACTCCATCCTCCGTATGCCGTACCTATCGTGGGATTGCCCTGGCCGTTAACTTCAGTCTTTCTTGGCTCCAGACGTTATGAGGCATGACACACTGGGAATGCGGGGCCTCTGCTGCTTTGTTTCCACGTCGGAGACTGGAGACTGCATGCCAAAAATTGGACGCACTTGTCTCTCCATGACAGATAGGGCTTTCCTCCGAGAGTGTCCACTGGGTGCAGTGCGGCGTGTTGGCGGGAATGCCGGGGGTTCCTCTCGTTCCTCTCCAGTCGGGTGTTTTTCCCCCTGTCTGCCTGCCTGTGTCTGTCTCTTTATACCTCCCCTCTCTCCATCCCTCTCCCTCTCTCGCTGGAATCCAACCGGAGGACTCGTTGGGTCTATGACATCGATGGGGCTGTGTTAATCCACCGGCGGCACTGCCGATTCCCGAACGAACCTTGAGGATGATGTAAAAACAAACTAGAAACTGTAGAGGAAGAAAGGGAAAGAGATGTCAACAAAGCGTAGAAATTCCATAGCCAATGCCTATATATTTTAGTTGAGCACCAGTAGAATAGTGTCAATTGTATCAAAATGTGGAATTTTGGAAGCTGAACAGGCACTCCACCAACCACGAACTCCCTTGACATCCGGCCAGCTCCCCCAACATCTCCAGTCTCTCTCTCTTTCTCTCTCTTCTTCTCCTTCCACCCTCCCCTTGACTTACTCCATCCTCACCTTTTTTTTCCTTCTTTCCTTTTCTTTTCTTTCCTTTTCGACCTGCATTAGTTTCAGTGCGAGTTTAATCCTGGTTAGTTCCTTCTCAATGTTTTCCTTCTTCTCGGAGCCCCGCGTGTGGTTTCTTTGGTTCTTCGCCTTTTCCCGGAGCCGCGCAAACTAACTCTCTCTCTCTCTTCCCTTTCTTCCAGCCACCTCGATCCCTTCGGTCCCGTTGATTTTGAATCCTCAACACTCCTTGTTGCTGGCATTTCTTTTCATTCTTATGCATCTCCTTTTCTCACCACCCTTTTGACGAGTAAAAGCCAGCGTGTGTGAGTGAGTTAACAGCAAACAACCGGGGTTTCCTAACGGCTCGAATCCGTTCGGTTCGGCACTTGACATCGGACATCATCCTACTCTCAGCATAACCTCTTGAGACGATCATCTTTATCTCACAGGTCAGTTTCTCTTCAGAAGAAAGCGCCTTGTGATTTTCCTCACCACAATTCCCTGGATTCGATGCGTGGAAGCGCCTGGTTGACCCCTCCTACCCCCGTATCCGCAACCACGCTAGTCCGGGCCTTCTCTTGCATGAATACACAAACAGCCACCTTGCCTGAAACAATCACACTCTAACCTTTCTCTCCTTTCATCCTCACAGGCCTGCTCTGATTGCCCTATCCTCATCCGAACCCTATTCGTTTCATCCTACGCCACACTTGTCGGATCGAACCAACCATATGGTCACGACGAACTGCCGCGCCTAAACAGGACACCTACACTCAACTGATCGATTCAAACCTCACTCGGACATTCAGGAGAAGGGGGTGATACAACGAAAAGACTGATCGAGAATCTATCAGTCCGCGAGGCTCACAGACAACTCAATCCCGCAATGTTACCGGTCTCGCGCCCCGACAGCCAGATGAGTTATAACTACATCCCCACCTCCCAACCCTTGTCGGGTTCCTCGACAGGGCGGAGTTCGCCCAGCGACCTGCCCGGGTCTGGCGCCTCCAAATCACCCTTCGGACCGTCCGGCTCGATCGGTTCTGCGAGGCTTGGGGCTGGATCCCCTTCCCATGAACTGGGAACTCGTCTATACCCGAAGCGGTAGGTACCTTCTTGCCAGAATGAGTGACGGGGAATGTGGGCGCAGGCTGACCATTGATCGTTCAACAGTGCCCGTGAGATTCAGGCTCAGGAAGGTGTCTCTCCTAGCATTTGGGGTCCTCCGACCAGTGGCCACTCAACCCCACTTCGCGAAAACATCCCCGAATCGCCCAGCCAGGATAGCTTCCCCGACTTGATCCCGACTACCAATGGGCAAATGTCTGGCTCTGGACGCCGAGCACGAGCAGGCACCGTCCCTTCCCGCTTTCCTCCCATGACCACACTCAACGAGATGGAGCTTCAACAGCCGTTCATATCGCAGACCTCCCGACCGACCCCCCTCCACCAGCCCGTTTAGACCCCCAGGTGTATCTGGTATTGATCCTGGCGTTCAAGTCCCGACCTCTGCCGGCGCGCCCAACCCGGCCATGATTTCACGTCTTCGAGCTGGCTCGATGCCCCAGCGGAGCAGTCTTCTGGGTGGAGGCGGTCCTTTTGGTCCGTCCTTGTTCTCCACGAACTGGTCGACTGGTCGTGAACGAGCCACCACCTTGACCAGCATTCGATCATCCGAGGGCCCGACCTCGCCAAGCCAGTCATCTTTCTCGAGAGACGGGCTGACTGACTCGGATGTGAAGACCCTAGATTACTTGGGTCTCGCCGAGACTCCCCAGCAGGCGAGGGCGACTCTTGCGCGACCATCGATGGAGGCTCTTATGCAACAGCAACAGCAGCAGCAGCAAGCATCTGCTCTGCCGCCGCTCCTGGCTGAGCTGGCGATGATGAAGAATAATAATCGATTCCGATCATACTCAGTGAACGCGAAGGAAAAGTACGCTGATGACGAGGACCTGGAGTATGAGAGCCGTTACTCTCAACTTCCTTCGGGCACACTTACCCCCTCTGCCGCTGCGACGGCTGCCCAACTTGCTGCCACTCAGGCGCAAATCCACCAACACAACTTGGCCGTGCAGGCCTTTACTAGCCACGCGAGTATTAGTAGACCTCGTGCTCGTACTGCCGGTATTTTGGAGGCTCCCCCTCAACGAGCATCTATCCGAAACTACCTTGCGACTCCCTCCCGCCTTGGTGACAACCCCTTCAGTGCTGCCGATCTCCCTATCTCAGAGAATGGCGAATACGATGAACTATCTGATGCGGTTCAAATGATGCGCCTTGGGGCTGGTGGCCCCGGCGTCGGTGTCCGCCCAGGCGAGATGGCCGATGAGAACAACCAGGACGGCCCGACTCGTGCCCTGTGGATTGGAAGTATCCCTGTTTCAACGACGGTGACCTCTCTCGAGGCAATTTTTGGCATGTACGGGAAGATCGAGTCCACCCGTGTGCTCACTCACAAGAACTGCGGTTTTGTCAACTTTGAGCGTATAGAAAGCGCTGTTCAGGCCAAGTCGCTTCTCAATGGCAAGGAAATCTTCCCAGGTGCCGGCCCTGTTCGAATTGGTTACGCCAAGGTCCCCGGTGCTTCTGCTACTGGAACCCCTGGTGCCAACGGCATCCAGTCATCTCCCACTCCCGACCCAACCTTTAAATCCAAGCTTGGTTCCGATAACATCGACCAGGCGAACAACATCGGCACCGTGCCCCACATTGCTGACCTTTCTGAGCTTTTGCCCGAGATGTTGGAGATGGTCAAGGAATTTGGAGCTAGTGATGATGACACCCTGAACATTACCAACAGCATCCAGAAGGCTATTGCGTTCCAGGCTTTCGAGGATGAGATCCCACCAATTCCAGAGCCCAGCCAGACTCGCATGTTTGATGCACCTCGCCTACGCGATATTCGCAAGCGCATTGACAATGGCGCTTGCTCGATCCAAGAGATCGAAGAAACTGCCGGCGCGATGCTGCCAGAGATTGCCGAGTTGGCCTCTGATTACCTTGGTAACACCGTCGTTCAGAAGCTTTTCGAATTCTGCTCCGAGACTACCAAGGAGCAGATGTTGACGCAGATCTCTCATCATCTTGCAGAAATTGGTGTCCACAAGAACGGAACTTGGGCTGCGCAGAAGATCATCGATGTTGCAAAGAGTCCGGCTCAGATGAACATGATTGTGGATGCTCTCCGTCCTTATTGTCTCCCGCTTTTCTTGGATCAGTACGGGAACTACGTGCTGCAATGCTGCCTGCGATTTGGCACCCCGTTCAACGATTTTATTTTTGAGGCCATGCTGAGCCGCATGTGGGAGGTTTCCCAGGGTCGCTTTGGTGCCCGCGCGATGCGGGCCTGCCTGGAAAGTCACCATGCCTCAAAGGATCAACAACGAACACTTGCCGCTGCTATTGCTCTCCACAGCGTCCAGTTGGCTACCAACGCCAACGGCGCTCTGCTCCTCACCTGGTTCCTTGATACCTGTACCTTCCCTCGTCGTCGTACTGTTCTTGCACCCATACTTGTTCCTCACCTGGTGCACCTGTGCACTCACAAGGTTGCTTACCTCACTGTTCTCAAAGTTATCAACCAGCGGAACGAGGCTGAGGCCCGGGATATTGTCCTCAAGGCCCTTTTCTTCAGCCCTGGTGACGAAGTCTTGGAACAGATCTTGAGCGACCAGACCTCTGGCGCTACTCTGATCTTCAAGGTTTTGACGACTCCATTCTTTGACGAGTCCATGCGCGCGGAAGTGGTCAAGAATGTCTCTAAGGTTTTGACCAAATTGAAGGCTTCCCCAAGCCAGGGGTACAAGCGCTTGATGGACGAGGTGGGTCTCTCCTCTCGTGGCAGCGGACGTGAGCACCATAGCCGTGACCACGGCGCCAGCCACTCCTCCACCCCCGAGAAGTCGCAGCACCGTCAGTCTTCTCGACACGGCAGCCAAAACTTCCCCTCCCAGCCGACTTTGGAGCGACAATACAGTGGACAATTCCCTACTGGCATGCTTGGCCAAGATGGCTCTCGCCCAATGTCCTCTGATCAGAACAACGGCCCGCCACTTGATCCGTATGCTAGCAACGGCATGAATGGGTTTGGAAACTCTCTCAACGGCCTCGGTGGTGTTAACGGCGGTTTCCCGCAAGACCCCAACCTCTCTCTCTCCCAGCAGCAACAACAGCTTCAGTACCAAAGCTACATTGCTGCGCAAGCTGGGGTGTATCTCCCGGTGGAATGTACCAAGGCATGCCCGGTGCCAATTACGGATACCCAGGTGGATCACCTTCTGTCGAGAACCTGCGTTCGCTGCAGACTCAACAGGCCCAATTATCTGCGGCTCCGGGCCAGATGAACCCCGGCGGTCCTATTCTCGGCCAGTCAAATTATGCCCCGCAGCAGTTCAGCCCGGTTGTCAACCCAGCCCAGATGTACCAATATCCTCCCCAGTATTACGCCCAGGCACAGCCAGTGCAGGGGCAGTCTGGTGGAGGCCGACGTGGTCGGGTGAGTTATTTACCCCCTACCCCAGAAATTTAACTTAGCTTGGAAAAAATACCCTCACTAACCAATCGACTCACTTTAGCGCTGATCTTCGAGTATGATTTTAATTGAATTTTTTCTTCTTTTCTTTTTCATTCTTCTTCACCTGCTTCCATCTACATGTATAAATTCATCTTGCTCGTTTTCAACATTTTCTCTTTTTTTTTCTTTTCCTTTATTTTCCTTTTCTCTTCGCTTTATTTGTGGCCATTTCTTCTCTGCTCTTTTTTTTTCTATCATGAGATTCAGCGGGTTTTTAGCTATGTGACGTGGATAACCAAGTTCGCCTCCCCTCCCCTCCCCACTTGCCTCCCCCCCCTCGTCTCTGCCCCTCTCTTGTTTGGACGCTGGATCGCCAACTCGATGTGATTGATGTAGGGGAAGGAAGAGAGCTAGGGGACCTAGGACTGGGGAGACTAAAGGGGAAACTCTTGGTTGGAAATGGAGGAATTCAAAATCTGGGAGGGGGAAAAAAAGTTCCTAAGAAGTGTCCGGGTTAGGATCGGGGAAGGAAGAGATGAGATGAGATGAGATCACAAGACACATACTACCTACTATCTATCTATCTATCAAAGCCCCATCTTTTTCAAGTTTCCTTTGATCGTGAAGAATAGGCTATGTTCTGCTGCTTGTTGCCCTTCCAAGGTTCTTTGAAAGGATGGAATGGGATGGAACCTTTTTTACTAGTCCCTACCTACCCATTCGTTCAGGACTTTCTGATCTGCTGGGGCCGCCCAGCCATCTGAGAGAATTTAGATTGGCGGCTGCGTGTAAGCACCATATCCGAAACCACCTGGGCATTTGAGGTGAGCTCTAGTCTACTCCAGGGCTTCAATCAAACATTACCAAAACTCCGTTGGGAAAGGTAGAAGCGGGTTTCAAGAAATGCAATCGATTGAGAAAAAAACGCCATCTTGGTCTAGAAAATAACTAGTGAGGTCAGACTTAGAGCTGGGGCGCTGCTTAAAGCTCATGCATCAACAACAAAATCAAAAATTTCCTTTCAACCCCTAATGGTGAAAGTAAGACTGGCGCTTCAATTCGATTCCGCCATGGCTTGCATGTTGTGATATGAGCCATTAGCGCGAGGTATGAACTCAGACCCTCCGTTTTTCATCATCTCAGGAGTGATATTGGCCTTCCTGACTCCATAGCCACCTCCTCCTGGTGTCATGATGCGCATGCGATCGCCGGCTTTGACATTACACTGGTTCTTGCCTCCAATGTTCACCACCAATCCACTATTTTGGATCCACAAGTTCAATCCACGAGCCCCGTCTTCACCACCAGCCATCCCATATGGACGGAAGACTCTGCGCTCCGAAAGGATCCCTACATGCATATCAATCTGAAATTCCAGCTCGCGCGCAACACCATCACCGCCCCGATAGGCTCCCTTTCCGCCAGTGCCTGGGCGGAGGCTATATTCACGAAGCAGGACAGGATATCGGCGCTCCAGAATCTCGGCATCAGTAATCCGCGTGTTCGTCATGTGGCAGTGGACTCCATCTTCGCCTTGCCATGAGGGCCCTGCTCCACTACCTCCAGCAATAGTCTCATAATATCCGAAACCATTATGTGCTGAAAGTCCGAATGTGAAGTTTGCCATGCAGCCGTTACTTGCGGCGCAGACTTCGAGAGCTTTGAATATCACGTCGACGATTCGTTGGCATGTTAGGCCGTTGCCGGCTGCACATGCTGCCTCTGGTGATGGTGAGAGGAGCGATTTCTCGGGGATCTGCAAATCAATTGGAAGTATGCAGCCTTGATTCAGTGGGATTTCTGATGCAACAAGACAGCGTAATGAGTAAATCGTGGCTGAATTTGTGACTGCCGGGGGTGCATTCCAGTTTCCTGTACCTGGTGTTAGTTATTCATTGCCCACAAGAAACTGGGAAAGCTCCTACTTACCATATGCTTGAGGACTTGTGCCATCGAAGTCAAATACCGCACCTCCTGTTTTGGCGTCGATATCAATCTTCAGTTTTATGACCGATCCATCGTCCATAAAGTCTTCTGCCTCAAATACGTGACGGCCCTTGGTCACACAAATGGATTTGAGAGTTTCCCGAACTGCGTTCTCGGATGCCTTTTGCACGGCACTCATATACAGCTGTTCCATAAGATTAGCGCGAATGAAATTGTGGTTGACTGGGAGACATACCATGACCGTTTGCAAAGTGTACTCTTCAATGAGTGTCTTAATCAAGTTAATACCATGATGGTTAGCTGCCGCTTGAGCCTTGATATCAGTTAAATTATCCTCGATGCAGCGCGCGCCTTCGCAGTTAGGATAACGTTTAGGTGCGTGTAGCAATGCCTCCACGACGGCATCCTCCTGGAAGACACCATCTTCCACCATCTTTATCGCATCAATCACAGCACCTTCCTCCCACAGCTCGCGGGACGTAGCAGGCATAGACCCAGGAACAATACCACCTATATCTGCATGGTGACCCCTTGAAGCTGTCCAGAACAAGATTTTCTCTCCTCTTCCGTCAAAGATGGGTGTGATAACGGTGAGATCTGGCAAATGAGTGCCACCGGCATTGGGAGAGTTTGTCAGGAACACATCACCTTGCTTGATGTCATCTTTCCAGTGTTGTATTTGCCATCTCACTGCAAATGCCATGCTTCCAAGCATTGCAGGTACATGGGGGGCATTTGCAACCAGACCTCCATCCGCTGAGAAAATGGCACAGCTAAAGTCGAGTCGTTCCTTTATATTCGTGCTAACACTTGTCTTTTGCAGGGCTCGTCCCATTTGCTCGGCAATTCCCATGAAGCGATTTGCAAAAACAGATAGGCGAATGGGGTCCACTGTGACATGACTGACTTGAGTGGCTGATGATTGTAAATCAATGACTAGCATAGAGGAGAGCAATTTGACGTCCGAATCAGGAGAGATCACAATTGTTTGAGTCTTATCAATTACAACAGCCGGTCCGTTGAAGGTATCTCCGGGTTGCATCTCTGGGAGGGAATAAAGCGGTACGTCGACCATGCCCACATCTGGGAAGCTGACTCGGGTGCTTCCAACGGGCTTCACGCCGGTCCTAAATTGAAGAGTATGTAGCTCCGCTAGACCACCAGTCACATCATGGCCTGACTTGGCCGTGGTGCGAACACGTAGGTCATCGATCAAGATGCTTCTTTTGGTTGGTGTGAAACCGAACTCTCGCTGGTGGTGGGCGACAAAAGCACTCTTGAAATCCCAAGATTCCTCTGGCTTTTCAATCATGAGGGAGGTGTCGCTACCCTGATATCGAAGATTCAAGAAATATGACGAGATGGTTTCGGTGCAAGACGGATCCATCTCTTGGATAGATTTAACCGTACTCTGACGCAATTCTTCAAATAGGGGATTCACAATATCAATACTTTCATTGCAAAGTGTTTGCGCAAAGGGCATGCGAGCTTCTTGGACAGTATCGGCCAGCGCCATTCCATACGCCGACAAAATTGCCGAGTACTTGTGAATTAGAACGCGGGTAATTCCCAGCTTCTTTGCAATTTCACAGGCATGCTGACCACCAGCTCCTCCAAAGCATGCAAGATTGTGCTCAGAAGTTCGATACCCTCGAGCCTCGGTGATAGCTCTTATTGGTCGACACATGGATTCATTCGCAATGGTCACGAATCCCTGGGCAACGTCCTCAACTGACATTTGAGTTCCCTGGTCATGATTGATCTCGTCGCGGAGTATCTTCATCTTTTCGTAGCTAGCATTGTAATCCAGAGGCTGATCCTGGTTTTCTCCAAAAATAGAAGGGAAGAATTTTGGAATAATTCGACCCAGGATGAGGTTGGCATCAGTGACGGTCAATGGTCCACCTTTTCGGTAACAGGCTGGACCAGGATGCGAACCTGCGCTGTCAGGACCAACGGTGAGAATGCCCTTGCGCCAGGAAAGGATGCTTCCTCCACCGGCTGCAACGGTGTTAATGTCCAGCTGTGGAACCTGAATTGGGACACCTGCTGTGACCGTCTCAAAAACGTGTTCAAGTGAGCCCGCATATCGAGATACATCGGTAGATGTCCCACCCATGTCAAATCCAATGACTGGAGTGGGATCATCTGACACGAAGCAGGTCTTGGAATACCCAACCACACCTCCTGCCGGGCCAGATAACAATGCATGGAGACCAGATAATTTGGATGGGTGGACCAAGCCCCCGTCAGATTGCATGATACGCCAGTTCACAGAGTTAAGACTTTCTTCTGTGACGCCAGATGCAAAATCTTCGAGGTAATCTCTGATCTGAGGAGTAAGATATGCGTCAGTCACAGCCGAACTGGCACGAGGGAGTATCCGAACTGCAGGTGAGATGCGACTTGACACTGATATTTGCGTAAAGCCAATATTCTCGGCCGCGGAGGATATTGCGGCCTCGTGGTCTGGAAATGTGTATGAATGAAGGAGACAGATGGCAACGCTGCGAAAACCCTCATCATAGGTTTTCTGCAACGACTTCACAACAGCTGGAAGGTCAAGTTTCTGAAGAACCCGCACTTTCTCTCCAGAGATACCAGTGACAATGCTGGTCTCGGAATTATCGTGCGAGGATGCATTTGTATTTACAATGCCATCATTGGAACCTCGTTGATATGAGGTCGACTCAGCCAATGTGACGCGTTCATCAACCTCCACAACTTTGGTGTACAGAAGGCCTGGTCTTTGCACGTTCAAGGCGAACATGTTCGGGCGGGACTGGTTTCCAATTTTTAACAGGTCCTATTTGTTGTCAATTCATCGATTTTTTGGTGATCTGAATTTGGCGTAACTGACTTTGAATCCCTTGGTGATGAATAATGCCGTTCGGGCTCCCTGTCTCTCCAGCAAAGCATTCGTTGCCACAGTGGTGCCCATGCGGAGTGAATCTAACTGAGTAAGTATTCGAAATCAACCGGAATGATTTAATGGGCCCACCAATATTTTTCAGATCTAAAGGGGCCTTCTTTGCTAGTGGCCTTCCCTCAAATTCTTCCAGAATGCGCCGAATTGCCTCGTTGGCGGCATCGCTATAGTTCTTGGGATCGGAGGATAGCAATTTGAAAATCTTCTCACTTCCATCCGGATAAAATGCGATCACATCGGTGAATGTACCTCCGCGATCTGAAATATTCATTGTTAGTAGGTCTTTGAAGTCGGCTCTTTGCCGAGGTGCTCACCAATAGCCACTCTGATGCCATTTTTGGCCAGTTCGCATTTCAGGTTCATCTTCACTTGAATATATTGTTGTTGTATTTCTTCTAGTAGCACAATCCCAGACACGGCCTTAATATATACGATCTCCAGAACTGGTCATAAATTGGAAGGAAATGGCCCTTGGCTGTTACGGGGCTTCGGAGTTGGTGTCCGAACCTTATCAACTCTCGGACGAGGACCGAAGTGGTGAGGGGTTCGGAAACTAAAAAAGCCACGGACCAAACAAAAGCTAGAAATTGGACAAAGAAAGGCCTTCGCTAGAACCTCAACCCTCGGGTGAACACCGGAGTAGTGAGGGGATTAGAAACTGAAAGTCACAACAAAACTTGAAAAATTGACCAAAGAAAAGCTCTCGCTAGAATTTTTGAAACTGCTCGTAGAACAACCATGGTTCATCAAATTTAATAGGGCTGGGAGCTGATGCCGTTTCAAACTAGTCGGCTCAAGTGATAGTTCGGGGCTAAGAGATGATGATTTCTGACGCTTTCCGGTGGTTGTGCTTACCCATTCTCCATTTTCTCAGCTGCATCTCCCAAATTATTTTGGACGCGTTTTTCATAGCAATACTTCCTACTCCTCTATCAAAAAGAGATCTCGAAGGGCTCGTAAACATTATCGCGACTGTCTACTTTGGATCCGTCTCCCATAAACCAGAATCATCTGTTTATGTCGGCAAAATTCCTACTAGTAACGGCCGACTTGATCAAAATCCCAAATATCGCTTGGTTAAGTTGCCTACGCCATCAGCTTGTTTTACGAGGTAGGAACAGGCCCCTGTAAGATTGTTGAGAAACATAGATACATGAAATGAGTCAAAATTAGCAAGTCAAACTGTGAAGCATAATCACATCAAGAACATTTCTTGCGGTGGCTAGACTCGATGAACATATTCCTAGTACATTGAATTCTCCTTGACTGATAAATCCACCTCTTTCAATGCCTCCTCCCGTCCTTCAATAACCGCCAATTGTCTCTGGGACTCCTTAAACCGTCTCATTTTCTGTATCGCAAACCCCTTCTCGCCAAATAGATCATCCATTTTCTCCAACGGAATACCTTTGGTTTCTGGTAGAAAAAGGTACACATAAACGCCTCCTAACACTGTCATGGATCCAAAGAAGAGAAATGTCCCATACGTTATGCTCGCAAACATATATGTCACGGCATATGAAGTGTAAAATTCGCCCAGCCAGTGCGAGCAAGTTGTGAGGACGAGACAGAAAGAGCGAATTCGAGTGGGAAAGATCTCCGAGGCTACAATCCAGGGAATATTCCAACCAACAGACTAAGGCAAGTTAGCTTACGAATGGTCTAGTAGCAAACTTGAACAGATTTGATACATACATAGCCGGCTCCAAATATGTAGATAAAAGCAACGGCGGAGTAGCTGGCAGAACCAGGTTCTTGTGACGAGTGGAAAGAATCGGTGATGGCCGAGAAGGCTGCAACATAATACATAGAAAATGCACACATGACCGAGCCCGCAAAAAGAAGAGCGCGGCGTCCGAAGCGGTCGACAAGGAACAGGAATGTGATGGTAGCTGCGACACCTTTCACGATTCCGTAGATCCCAGTAGACAGCAGTTTGACAGACTAAGAACCTCAAATCAGTATATGAGCAAAATGCGGCAAAACACGAATTTAACTACCGTTCCGTGGAAGCCAAGAGTAGCAAAGAAGGAGACTGAGAAGTTATTCATAGCGTTGATGCCCGTGCTGTTCTGGAAAATCATCAATAAGCACCCATGGATAACCCGAGGGAGTATCCTGGGGCTAAAGGTTTCTTTCACAATAGCCCGGAAACTTTCATCTGGAGCCAGATCTGCCTCATGCTCCAATTGTTTCCTATAATCTTCCAGTTCGTTGGCCACGTATGGGTGCTCCGCGGGCAATTGACGCAGCCAAGTTAGTGCTTTCACGGCCTCGGCGTTTCGGTGTTTGGAGAAAAGCCAACGGGGACTTTCGGAGAGCATAAACAATCCAACAGCCATGAGACCAGATGGAATGAACTGGAATGCGATGGGAATAAACCATTGCTTGTCTCCAATTGGGTCAATCTACGTGCAAGGTGTGGTAAATTAGTTTGCGACGACAATCTTAGTAGGGGAAGAAGTAATACTAACTGTTTGCTGGACCCCGTAGTTTATCCAGAACCCAGTGATTGTGCCAACTTGAGTGCCAATTTCGAACTGTCATCTCTGTTTATTAGCAACAGCACAATATTTTGCCTGAAGGGGGTGCCGTACACAACCAACTATGCCTCCTCGGGCACAAGCAGGGGCGCACTCGGAAAGATACTGAGGCACTGCAAATGTGGTAGCTCCAACACCCAAGCCGCTGATGATGCGCCCGACATAGAACAAGGGAATATTTCCCAGAGAGGCCATGCATAGTATAACTCCGATGTTGAAAATTATAGATCCCCAGAGGAGGGCAAATCTCCGACCGAACCTTTCATTCACGACGTAAGCCACCATGACGCCAAAGAATGCGCCTCCTTGAACTGAAGATATTATTAGTGACTGTAGACACAGATTGGGTAGTTAACCTACAGCTATTCACCATGTGAGCCTGGATAGCCGAGGAGTCCTGGCCGTCAAGATCGAATCTATTAATAAAAGAAGGGAGAGAGAAGACCCCCCCCCGATGAATGCTAAGTCATAGCCAAAAATGATCGAGCCACAGCTGGCCACCAGAATGACCAAGAACAGCTTGCTGTTGAATACCTCGCGAGGCGTTATTTTGTCGCCGGCATTGAAGGCAAACCCCATTCTGGGTGGATATTTTGACTGATCAACTCTCACTGGGGTTTAAATGAGAAACCCCTGATGGCTCAGGCACTTTAAGTACAGCGATATCTGGGATAAACAGCAAGATAACGAACTTGACTATCAAAGAGATGGCTGAGCGATATGGATATCTTCTCATGTTTTGATTCGATGACGCTACTGATAATAACTGAGAAATCCTGGGGTAAACTCTATCCCCACTCTTGCGTGGCGTTAATCTACGGACGTCCCCGGGGGTCAGCTCCGAGCACTATCTTCGAAGGTCAGTACTCCAGCCCTGGAGACTATCTTATCCTCGAGCTTGACTAGTATCAAAGAATAATATAGGACCTCTTCCTGCTAAATACTAGTAAATCGTTATGATTCTATTGATAGTAAAATAATATGCCATGTTTAATGAATTTTGACTTCAACAGTCTCCATTTTGGAATATATTGAATTTGGAAAGGCTAGAAAATTGTGTTGAAAATGAAAGAGAATAGCCTCGTTTGATTGGAGGCGAATCTAGCCCGGTTAAGTTAGCGTCGGAGTTGCCCTCCAAAAGTTGCGGACGCCTAGTCCGACACCTTTATCTTCCCCAGAGACCCCGCTCCTTTGAGTCGGAGTTCCTCACCGGAGTCGAGAATCATGGCCTCCACATCCTCGGCTTCGCTTTATACAACCCCAAAGGCTGCTCGAGCTTCTCGGGGCAAAGAGCTGGCCAAAGTGGCGTTAGTACATTAGCTAATACGCAAATGGAATCAGACTAACATCTATCCAGATGCTATACATGTCGTCGAAAGAAGGTTCGCTGCTCAGGAAATACACCATGCACCTATTGCAGCAAGCGTGGCCTTGATTGTGAAATCCCTGAACTAGGCCAGCGACGAGTCTATTCTATTCTGTACAATTCCGCTTCTCCCTCCGCAAACTTATCAGTTCTAACCCTTATATATCAAAGACAAATCCGGAAGCTTCGTGAGAGACTATCACAGTATGAAGATAATGCCCTATTAACAGATTCCGGTTTGTCTATGGAAGCCCTAATCTTGTCACCAAGCTAACGGACGCTCGGAGATGCAGCCAATATTCAATCACCACCTAATGTCAACAATCATTCCACCACTATAACGAATGGTGATTCACCGTCACATGTCTTACCCCTGGCTGACATTCAAGAAGCTACACAACTGTCTCCAGAATCAGGTGGGGTGGATCCCGACATCCTGATTTCCCAAGCTAATTGAATAAATCAAGTCATTCAACCCAAATCTTGTTTAACATCTAGTCATATATTCGGTTCCCGAATACAGACCTTGTTAAATGATTCACAATCCAGGCATCATAATAGGAACTCAAACACAACCAAGAATTTAACTGCGTCAGGATCTAACGTGCCAAACATTCCCACCGAGAGTCAGTCTCGACGACTTCTAGAGGTTGTCATTTTTTATATTGGAGAAACGCAGCATCACTTTGATATTCGCGAGTTCTCAGATCGCCTTGATTTGTTCTATGCCAACCCACACGACGCGGCGCAGCAGCAAACACCATGGTTTCTTGAGATGCTACTCGTCCTCGCCATCGGGAAGTTATTTTCTGGTGATTTCGACGATCATAACGAGATACCAGGAAGCGAACTATTTAGCTATGCGTACAAGAATCTCCCCACCTTGGGTGAACTTTATACACATGGTGTGTTGGGCGTGGAGATCCTTGCTCTGGTAGCAGTATATCTGCAGAACCTCAATCGAAAAGACGAGGCTTACCTACACGTATGTGATCTAACAGTTTGTAATTCCTGATAATTAATTCGTCTCCAGATAAGCACTGCTTTGCGGCTTGCAATCTCCCTAGGTTTACATCGCCGTTCTGGGGCCAAGCAGTTTTTACATTCTCAAAAAGTCCATGTGAATCGACTCTGGTGGACAATCTATATGCAAGAACGGTACGTTCTTCCCAAATTATACTTTATTCATGAGAAACTGAGAGGTTCGTGTTTCTCAGCCGCTCAGCCGCTGCTACCGGCAACCCGTTCAGCATAGACGATGACGCAGTCGAGTTGGATATGCCTACAGAGTGTGTTGGATACCCGACGGCTGGTCCATTAAGAACCAACTGCAAGGTTTCGAAAGTCTTGGGGTCGAATTATTTCTGGTAAAGTTAACTCCGACGTTCACGAATAATAAGCTGGCTAACCATTTTGAAAGTCATATACGGCCCTCGTCACCTCGTAGAAGATACATTTGTTCCAAATGTCCGAGAAATTGTCAAATCAATATTTAACATTGCTCAAGAGATTCCACCGGTGGCAGCGGCTAACTACCCTGGTTTGAGTCCAGACTCGTCAATGAGGGCTTCAGCATACCTTCACCTTATGTTGTATCAAGTACATGTCATCGGCAATCTATATTCAAACAAATACGCCGGCTAACACGTTTGCATAGGCTCTCATTCTTACGACCCGTCCAATAATGCTGCATGTAGCAAAGCAGATTTTAAGCGGCGAACCTATAGAAAGCGCTGAACTTCATGCTTCCCCACTAGGTCGGCTCTCTCGCAGTTGCTCAGAGGCAGCTCTGCGACTATTGGATGTGATCGTGGCGCTAAGGAAGAAAGACATGCTGAGTTCGTTTATCTTTCTAGACAGGCGTCGCATTTGGACTATGTTTACTAACAAAAAGCGTAGTAATATTCGGGTTCTTCGACTTTGACGCAGTCTTCAGCGCCGCCTTCGTGATGATTCTCTCAGCAATCATCGACTCCATAGCCACATCCGACGGAAGTCGAAGGCATACTATTCAACCGCCGGGTCTCCGAGATGCAATAGAGACAATGCAGTACCTCGCTGATCGAGGTAATGGCTTCGCCAAACGTGGATACGAGGACGCAAGTCAGACGTGGGTTCAGTTATCCGCCTTTCTTCAAAGAAACCCACAAAACGCCAAAGATTCTGAAGCGGAATTCCCGTCGGAGGCAGGTTCTGGATCTTCAGACACATTGCCCTTATCCTTAGACACTTCAAGCGCGACGCGAAATATGTCCTCTACTGCGGTTAATGCTTCCGACTCGTACTCGCCGGCACCTCTAGCTCATGATCCTCATTTCGACTCCACCTTGGGTGGCTTCAGTGAACCGCTACTCCTAGACACGGAATTATTGGATAATTTTGCACATTTCTGGAGTGGGGCAATGGTCCATCAATCGGGTAACAATCTTCCTGATGTGACTGGGTATGGACCTTGGTCGACTGATGAGCTACACCAGTATTTGTATCCTCTATATAGTAATCTGGATTTAGATCTGACTGGGGGCGACAGAGAGGATTTCATCGAGTTTCGAAGAAGTGTGTTAGATTTGTGATGGCCGGATTAATTATTCTTGTAATTCAAAGGAATGATTGTTGCTCTGTTACTTCCGAGGGCGTACAACTCTAAAAGTTTGGTAAAATGAACGTTTCAACTGGGGCTTGATATAGCTGTTCTCGGCGTGCAATTTAGTCTACTACATTGTTTCAACCTTGGAAGCTACTCTAGATAAATATATTTGATAGGTCGTCCGGGAATACAGCAAATCTGTTGCATGTCTGATTCAACTTGAAGTTCCAAGGCTTTCAATTTGCTAAATATATAATTTATACTTCGAGTTGGGATATGATCGGTCGATCCGGGGCTGTTCTCCGAAAATATACAACTTTCCCCAGGTACCCAGCAATAAGATACATACCTAGGTACTACCGACGTTGTTTTGTTATGCGATTTTTGCTTTCATTCCAACTAAACCTTTTTTTTTCTTTGCTTTTTGGCCATAATTTCAGGGCTTACACCTTGCGGTGGCTTCCATTCTTGGGGACACGGCGCTAGGCCAGGAGCACGCACGGAAGGCCAATCAGATTCCATGTAATCCGCTTCTAGTGGCCGGGACATTTTGCCGGAATTTGTGCGCATACCATCGACCCCGATTTTCCTGAAAATAGAGTTATTGTCATTCTGGGAAAATGGGCAAGCATTTTAATAGTAGCCCTGTAATAATAATAATAATAACACTTCAAGTTATTAGACAGTTAAGGAATGGACGTGTACACACTGTATAGGCATCTCCGCTAAGACGGCAGCGCGTATTGTTTTTCATAACGACGACTAGTACGACCGGTGTAAATTGATGTTCTTTCCTACAAGACTCTCTATCATTTGAAGAAAACGCCCTTAGAAAGATGCGTTTCGCTCTTCTTACCCTTTCGTGCTGTGCTTTTGTCATCGCCCTCTCTGGAGAAGATGCTCTAGAAAAGTGAGATGGACCGAAGGGTGGGCACAAGATCTCTCACGGAGGTAACAATATCGGTAACGGGAATGGTGGTGGGATCACCCTTGATACTGGGGGTGGCAGTATTGGAGACATCGGGGTTGGGGTTGGGGTTGGAGGAGGGAGTTGCGACCCGTCCAGTTGTAACGCCAAGGTATGATTTGTGTATATGCAGAGGTTGATACTAATATACTGTAAAACCTGCTTAGTACGATGTAGGTTTAGTGCGATATCCCCCTTAGTGTGATAAATTTTCGGCTAAAAATTGGATCTACTATACAAATATCGCTAAAACCTTGATAAAGCGGTATATTGTAGCCTTCTTTATTCTCTTCTACCTATATCGTACTATTGAATTTATTACTAAGCCATATTATAAATCAATATAACTAATCAGAATGCCCCGTCAAGTAATTTCAAACTGCTAAAAGACTACTCTCAGGGAGTAACATCGATAATTTCCTTCTGCTATACAATAATAACTGCCTTATTGGTTTAATAAGAAATATAACCATCGTCATATATAATATACTTTGTCTAATATTCTATTATTAAAATACGAATATCTGGATACTAATCCTTCTGACTATATTATCAATATAGAGCAACGATGTACTGTAAAGTAGCCAGATCTTAAAGCTATATTAATCTATTAGATTATTCTTGCTGAAGGAAATATTCTAATATCTTAAGAAGTTGTCTAAGAAAAAGCTTAAGATTATTAGACTAAGCTTCTAATATATACTAATTAACTAATTCTAACTTTTAGTAATAGATAGTTGTCACGAGATTCCGAGTATACAACACCTCAGGCACTCAACGCCGATCCGAAGCCGAATCCCCTTCGAGTCGCCTGCATATCGAGACCCACCCGAACCCTAGTGTATTTAAGATCCCACAAGTATTCAGGATTCTTGATCTCTTCAAGAATCAGTCTGTGTATCAACTGTCCAATCTGATCTCCACTATCCGATATCCTTGCCTAGTCACAGGTCTCTAGCCTGACAACTTAGTAACCATTACACTACAAGGCTAGTAATCAACTACTTCTGGTATTATAAAAAGATATTAGAATATATATTAGAAGAGAAATAGTTATAAAATACTTCTGATTCTTATAGCTTTTGGACAGGATAAAATTAAAGAGCTTCTACATAAAGAAAATATAGAAGAATATACAGCAAATTTACTATAAAAGAGTATAAAATTAGGTATTATAAAAACCGGTAAAATAATAAAGAAATATACATTATTTTATATATCCCCTACAGATGCTATAAAGAGAAAGGTATAATAATTTATGAAATAAATAGGATTAATATAGATCCTATAGGACCTGCCAAGACTCCTATAGAATAGGATATGATTAATAATCAGTCCTATAGGCTTTTGGCAAATAGGATAGGATTTGATTTTTACTCCTATAGGAGTCCTATGCATAGGTCTACTTATGAGATATGACTGTAGTCTGTAGGTATGTTGTAGTTATTGAGTTTTGTTAACTATCCTGTTGGAAGTGGGGCTCCTCATCTATTTATCCGTCTCTTGATGATCCCTACCATATGCTTTGACCATTATGATACTCAACACAAATTGTTTTCGAATTCGAATAGCCCGTTCGAGATTCTTTTCGATTTCGAATAAGGAAAATCCTTATTCGAATCCACCTCTACTTCTTACCAATAAAGGACTAGTTTATTAATAACAATGATTTTTGATCACAGGCCTCGGCCCAGGAGAAAGTATGATGAGGCCTTGGGGGTTTTTGGGGGGAGCGGGCGTTTATGCTTGGCACGGCTATGACTAACTATCTAACTAACTAGTGAAAGATGGGAATGCTCATAGGCTGTCTGCGTTGGCAGACGGGTCGATCACAAAGAGACAACACCACCACACTCGCAGAGTGTAGGAACGGGATAGGCAAAGCGTGACGCTATAGAGGATTAACAGAACGAATAAGAACCTTTCATAAGCAGTATACCGATACCACAATCTCTCAGCAGCCTCAGTAGAACATTTTCATAAGGGGGAACATACATATTGAATTAATACTATAGAGCAAAACTATTTATCCTCCTAAAACTAAAGAGCAGCCTTGTTGCTAAGGCCCTAATTATATAACTCTGAGATACTGATGTCGAGAGCCGGAATTCCCACTACACTAGTCAATTTACCAGTGGCTCAGTAATTGCAATTTGCTTAAAGGCGTTGCTTTCTCGCTTCACAATCCAGAAAGAAACCCTCAGAATCCATGCGCAATGGAACCACCTCTTTCGCCGACATGGCTTCAGGTATGTGTTTCTAGTTCCCGTGCTGCCAGGTCTATTCTGATTGTCACACAGATCGAGCAGGCCATTGGCAAGAGGCCACAGTTCACAGGAAATACACTGTCTATGAGACAACAATATAAAGCATTTGCAGGCCAAGCCAACAGTTCTTGTACGGAGTCCGCAAATCTCAGGATTGGTAAGTGATGACATGTGAGACAGCTTTCGGTGGTGATTTTAGTACTGGTGAAACGATAATACACACAGAAGATATAAGTATCTCGCCTCATCTGGCAGCTAGGGCGTACCACCCTGTTAAGTCGGAAGGAAGCCAGCCACTGCCCGTCGGCGTTTATTTTCACGGCGGTGGATGGTGCTGTGGTGACTTAGACACGGAAGACCCTTTCTGCCAACTCATTGCCGAACATTTGCCTTGTATCATTGTCTCAGTGGAGTATCGATTGGAACCTGAACACAAAAGCCCAACTCAGCTTGAAGACGGTCTTGAGGGCTGGAGCTGGGTAACTAAAATCCTCCTTTTGCTCTATAATCTAAGAGGGCTTGTTTTAACCATGTTGATCAATCCCAGGCATTCAGAAATGCTTCGAAGCTGAACGGGGATAGCCAAAGATACTTCGTCGTTGGCCAAAGTGCTGGAGTCCACCTCGCTCTTGCTCTAGCAAACAAGCTTGTGAGCTTGGATCGCCAGGGCGAGGTCCGTGGTATAGCTGCTCTCGTGCCAATTGTTGCTCTTCCTCTACATATTCCCACTGAGTATCTTGGTATCGATCATTCAACGATTGTGCAAACGCACCGATGAATACAGTCCATGCTATGAACGAACTCTTTGGTTTGTTCTTACTCTGCGAATTTTGTCGTGTTCGGTGAAAACTGACCCACCGTACAGATTCAGTGGGAGCCAGCCCTCAGGACCCAGATTTCTTCATAATAAACAGCAGTTATTTGAACAGGTTTCCTGCAACCTACTTAGCCATTTGTGATGTCGATCCGATTCGTGATGACGGTTTAATCATTCACGACGCTTTAAATAAGGCCGGGTAAGTCCTGGTCCCTCTGACCCCTACTCTGATAGTTGGCTTATAACATGAGGCAACCATAGTGTTCCAACAAAGATCAACCATTACGTTGGACTACCGCACGTTTTCTGGGCGTTGGATTGTCCCGCGCCAAGTGGGAACTTTTTGGGTGATGTGCTCGATGGCATTAACTTTGCAATCAATGCGTAGGGTTTAGCCGATAGGGCTGATATGGCTCAGGATAGTACGGAGTTCATGGTTGGCGTCCTCTGGCTGCTTCTCAGTCTCGCGTAATTTTCGTACCCTTGAAGCTCAGCCACGGCTTGAGTCACATACCTCCAAAAGATCTCAAAGCCGCCGTCCTTGCCAGAAATCGATAATATTTAGTTAATAATGAAATTGGGACTTGTTATCCGAACTAGTATGGATTTGTACCAATACCGCCGGGTTCGGCTGCCCCTTTGATCAAGGTTTGGTAAATCCTAATTCAGTTTGACTAGGCACTGGGGTTGATGTTATAAGTCTTGACCAAACTACGTGCCAGCAGTCGTAGCGATATATTCAGCTTTGAGAGCAAAGATTCTGCATTTAAAGGTACTAATCCAGCTGCTTTGAAGCTATTCTGGATAGTTTTTGTCTGAAAGGCGTTCGTGTGTGCAATTTGGTAGGCAGCTAAGAAATCTAGTTTGTCGATATGGTCGATCCCTACCCGTATCTTCTGATTCACTAGCTGAATCCTGCTTGGATTTCTTGCGAATTGGCGGCATGGTGGTTGGTAGAAAATCAGACTTACGCGCGGAGACGCGAAAAACAAAGCGGGTGGTCCATTCGCTTGGGTGGTCCCACTCGCATTGGAATTACGTTACCGTAAATCCACCTCCACAAAGTATTATTAAGACCCGGCAATGCTCCTAGACAGAGAAACGAGGTCACAAGTTGATTACATATTCGAATAGACGATGAGTGATCACCCCAAGCCGAGGTGCGATTTTTAACTTCATTGGATGACAAATATATCACTTCGTTAGTTTCCTCGGTCCGGTCCGCAATTGATTATTGATTCAACACCCGCCTTTTCCGAAATAGGCCCACACACCACCTCCATATGCTTTTGTTGCCGGAATGGGAATTAGTAATGTGGCGAATATTTTATAGGCCATTGAAGTTTGCGCGGTTTAGTAAACCGTCTAGGCAGAGCAATAGCCTTTCGCAACGCTCTTCGTCTCTATGAGATGCAGACGCCTTAAACGCCTGAAGCTCCCCATCCTGGTACGGACACCATCTTTATACGTCTACATATTATTTCTGCTCGTTTAAGTTTATTTGTTATTGCATTCAACTTCAGGCTCGGAAACAATCATGTCTCAAAGAGCTATTTTACTCCAGGAAGTGGGCAAGCCACTGGTTGTCGGGAGCCGTCCAATCCCGCAGCCTGGTAAGGATCAGTTACTAGTGAAGGTTCTTGTTGCCGGTCGTAAGTTTGCAAACCATTCCGTTCCGAAGGACAAGAGGACTATAGCACTAATTGGTGTTTAGTGAATCCTCACGACCAAAGAACCCGTGATGTTGGCCTTTTTGTCACGAGCATGCCTTACGTCCTTGGAAATGATCTGGTCGGAGAAGTCTTGACTGTGGGAACCGGAGATCATTCTGCCAAGTTCATCGTTGGTGAGCATGTTTTTGGTCACACCTTTGCCGAAGGGGGCTTTGATAACGATTTCAACGGAGCACAACAATATGCTCTTGTCGATGCGAGGTTCGTAGGCAGGGTGGCCAGTAGTGGCCTGAGTGGTGACGAGGTATCTACAATCCCCGTCATTGTGTTGGCTGGGTTTATTGCTCTCTTCGCGAGCTCGGGTCATGGGCTTCCCCCTCCATTTTCACCAGAAGCAAAGTCCTTCGGATACGGCAATGTCACAATTCTTGTGATTGGAGGCGGCTCCAACACAGGACGAGCCACAATTGAGCTCGCGGCCTTGGCAGGAATAGGTCGAATCATCGCAGTCGCCGGGCATCACAATGAAACAATGCTAAGGTCTGTCGGGGCCACACACGTGATCGACCGACAAGCCCCAGATGCGCTGGACCAGATTCGTGCCATCACAGGGGATGAATTAGTCTATGCAGTTGACACGGTCAATGCCGGCGTGGAACAAGAGCTTGGTGTCGCGGCGCTGTCAAACACGAAGAAAGGCACGTTGATCACTCTTCGTCGACCTGAGGGAGACTTTGACGCTGCTCGGATAGGTTCCAAGTCTGCGGGGTATGAACGCCGCCTTGTTCTTGGCGTTTCTCCGATGCACTCAGAAGTGACAGTGGGCTTCTGGGAAGAGGTCCCTCGGTGGCTCAAGGAGGGGAAAATTCGCCCTAGCCGATTTGAGGTTGTCAAGGGCTTAGATGCGGTCGCCGTCAACAAGGCATTGAATCAATATCGCGACGGGAAGGGGGTAAAGACTAATATCCACCCTTGGGAATGAGCAGCAAAATAAAAAATATTATATATATTGTAGTGGGGGAATCGCTCTGGTGATGTCAGGTGACGTTGTAGGCCTTACGCCTTACCTTCATGCATCTGGGCAGTATATAAGCCGTCGATGATAGTTAACTTACACACCTTTCGGGTCACAAATGTTATCTTCGTTATTCGGATGCACGCTGCGGTCATGCTAAGGGTAGCATTCATGGTAAGTTTTGTATTTACATAAAAAGCCCAACCGCAGGTAGGTGGAGACATTTGAGACGGTAAAGTCTTTGGTTTTGCTTCTATTAGAATATGTTGCTTAACGTGGCCTTTTCCAGAAAGTGGCAAGACTTTTTCTCCATTGACGAGGGTGACGCCGTCGTCCACATGTACTTCAAGCACCCCGGCATCGTAGGATGAGGAGAGAATACATCCTTAGAATGGATGGACCCGGCGCCTCCTATTTCTGTCATATTTGGTAAGGCATACTGCTTCGAGATAGCCGCTGAGGTCTCGCTATGTTGGGCCATCTCTAGGTCTTTTTTTTTCGCTCTTTCGGCTTTTGTTTCGATCATTGTGCTTCTCTGGGGAATTCTTGGTCCTCTTCATGTCTAATTGCAGCATTCGCATGTTCAGAGCTTTGTGACATTTCTCGTGACATGAAAAGTGGCTTGGAACGTTCAACAGGCTGCATTCCGTTACTTGGGTATTTTGCATTGCCCCCAAATTCGGTATGTTGGCTCCCATCGACACCATACGTTCGCTGACCTTGTGTCGGGCGGAACGCAAAGCTAGATACTAGCCGACCTCGATAAATGGAAATACCTAATTAATCTCTGTCGGATTTGTCCTTCTTCTGAACCAACTTCTCATATTCGTTCCTTACTGTTCGGCCGTTTCCGGTGCGGCTATCCTTTGCTGCTATCAATCCTTCTTTGCAGTAGGAAGAAGCCCTGATAGAACACTCTCCCTGATAAAAATTTAGTATGTACAGTACAAGTTTTATTTGATACCTAATTTCCAATAATTAATACTTTTGCACTTCCACCGTATGAAATCTACTTAGCGCTCTCAAACTTTCACCCCCAATGAAGAAAACCCAAGGAACAGGAAACAATAGGACAGCGATAAACCCGAGTAAGTTCGAGGCCCATACAATCCCGAGCTTCGTATACACTACGCTGGGAGCCACTATTGCTTGTCATGCAAAAAGGCAATTGGAAGCACCCACTCTGAATTGAGAAGAGACGGAAGCAACCTAACTTCTCAAGGACATTTTTGAAACAGGCATAACGACCGAGTTTACTAATTACAGCCAACGGGGTTTAGGATTCCACTGTGGATCCCGTGAGACCGCTTATTCATCGTCCGCCAATTTCCCCATAGTTAACAAGTATTTGTATTGTAATTCGGACTAACTGCGAAGTAAGGTGTTGGAACACATCGGATGGTTACCTCTGAACAGATCCTCGCATCTTCAATCAACACAGTTTCAATTGGACATGTCGAGTACTAGTCAATACACCAGAATCCAAGGTCGACATTTTCCCTTGCCCTTCCGGTTTAGCTCCTAGTCAGTCCCCCAATAGGAACGCGGTGTGCGTCCAGACTCTCACATTATTAGTATCGGTACGTAGAAGCGGTGAATTTAATGTTTAGTACTCCGTACTTCTAGGCATTTTTCCTTCTGCCCCGCTAGCAGTGCCGCACTCGTATTACAATACTGCGCGCACCCCACCTGGCGGTGAGGGTGCGCGTCACAATTAGAACAATTGTCAGAATTAGAACAAATTGAAACTATTTACAACGTTTTTCAACGCACTGGATTTGAATCGAACCAAAAAAGTAATCCACCCTCTCGGGCAGCTTTTTCCGCATCTAATGATGCCTGCTTTGCCTGTGAAACCTCTGTTGCTGTTGGTTGGTTGAGCTTGTGGCCTATTCGTTTTGCAGCTTGTTTTGCGACCTTTGTTGCTTCCTTCTCCTTTCTGGCTTTAATTGAGTAGTTGGCATCACGTACACTCAGTATATTAGAGCCAGAGAGTGGCTTTACCTGTCGCTTGTGAAACTGGCGTTGTAGAGGACGACGTGCAGCTGATATACGACGAACAATATCTTTGGTTAATGCTGCGTGTTCTATGATAACACCCTGATGTTTCAGAACTCGATTTAACCCTCGCTGAAGCTTTGGGGATATTCTCTCTTTTCTGAATAGCTTCTCCAGCTTCCGATGATTCCTTTTGGCAGCTTGTATTGATTTTGGAGGTGAATTCTCAATACTGGATGATCCAGGTTCAGGAGGAGGTGGTGTATGCTCTTCTCCGTGTAGTCGTAGCTGAGATGTATCGATATCAAGGTCCTCAGAACTTATTGGAAGCTTCATACGAAGCTTCTTAACAATATCTTTGCCATTGACTGGGAAAATACCACGTTCTTTAAACGAATCTCGGATAATTCGAGTGTTGAAAGTACGGGCGCGTACTCTGGTGATGACTCTTAAGAACTCTGATTTACCAGCCGGCATACCTGCAAAGTACGACATCTCATTATTAACCACCTTGAAATGCTGTTTATAAGCCAAAAAAGGCTTGCCATCAAGAGGCTGAGATATATGAGTTGTATGAGGCTCAAATGCGATTGGTAAAATCTCATATTCCTGACATTTTTCGAGGAATTCAACCGTAAGATGAGAGTTATGACCATCAAAGATCATAATACGCTTCTCATTAGGTTCTACTCGCTCTTTTGTTGCTTCCTGGAAGTGACCAAGCCACTCAAGAAGTAGTTCATCAGAAATCCAGCCATTTGGAGAGACTGCTGTAAGTGTACGTGGTGGAAGGCCCTCGCTGTTGTCATACCAAACTTCTTGGAAGGTGGTACCTTTAAAAACGAACAACGGGTCCATAAACCAACCATCTGCAGCAATACACTCTAGAGCAGTAATAGTCTCTGAATGCTCGTTTTCTCCAAGATCAGGCCCTCCTTCCTGCCCTAACACTTTTCGATTCTTGCCTTTTCCTGGTTGGAAACCACATTCGTCAAAGTTGTATACCAACCGTGCTGGGGTATTCTTTTTGATCACATTTTTCAGCTTCATATACCACACATCGAGCTTCCATGCGTCCTCTGCCTTAATACGCTTATACTCCTTCGTTCTCTGCTTCACTGGCGATAGTTTCACATCCTCTGGCAAACGCTTAATAAAGCGATAAGCCCAGCGATCGCCTAAGATATGATCTGAGCCTGCGCGAACTAACGAGAGCTGCGCCATCTCATGGAGCAACGCCGGGGTTACTGGCATATGATATTTGTTCAATTCCACAATCCACAGAATCAAGGCTTCCTCCTGAGTATTATCAAGAGCTCGATTTTCAGGTTTTGGTGCTGTACGAGGCTGTTTACCCTGGCGGATGCGTCCCCGCAATACCCCATATGAAACACCATATTGCCTCGCGATTTGCGACAAATTCGGGTTTTCAAGGAGACTGGCGGCTTCGCAAGCCTCAGCCACACGAGATTCGTCAATTTTGGGTCGATACGGCATAATGGTGGATGGTAATAGCTTCACGAAGGCTGGTTGTGTGAATTTGTTCTAATTCTGACAATTGTTCTAATTGTGACGCGCACCCTCACCGCCAGGTGGGGTGCGCGCAGTATTGTAATACGAGTGCGGCACTGCTATCGTCGACGTAGCCACTGCCGAAACGGGCTTATTCCGGGAGTGATTACAAATCGCGTGTACCCGTTGACTCTCGCGACGGCGATGCAACTCTTGCCACCATCAATTGCGGAGAGCACAATGGCATCCGCCTCGAGTAACATGCGGCATTCCAGAAGAAGTACCATGGTCAGTGCGAATGTTCCGTCTACAGAACGGACATCGAAGCGCACTACAAATGTACCCGTTTCCGAGGTAGGTTTGAGAGTGCTCAGACAACATGTATACTCGTGGCCGGCGGGATTCTGAAAGATTATAGCACCGAAGAACACAATTACGACTGGCACAGCAAGCCTATCGCTACCGCAAGGAGACAGTAACCCAGTCCTTGAAGAATCAAGTTGAACGTCTGCAGACACAGATTCAAAACCTACGTCGGACGTTCCAAGCATACAACCATGAAATAGAAAGATCCGGCGTGCTATCCTTTGATTCTACTCTCGAAGGAAATCTGCAACAATTACGAAAGCACTTTCTTGCAATTTGTGCCGCTGCGAGACCTGGTAAAGAGGACGGCAGTGCATTTGAGACGAATGAAATTGTGTCAACTATGACCCTAGCGAGGAAACAAGGGGAGCACTCACAGCAGATAGAAGATGACCTTGAGTCAGCCACATCAAGGCTAGTCAATGGTGGCCTCCATCTAGCTCATCCGAGGTCGTCTTTTAACAGGGCCGACCGCGAAGAAAACAACCCACGAGGCAAAACATTAGCCCAAAATTATTCATCCTTACCAACACCTGCCCTGGAAACTGTCAACCATTCAGAGCCAGTGCCATACGCTGTAGATGACAGCGCACTCAATATTCCTTGCCCTTCGCATCTCTTTTATTCTTCCACTTCCCCCTTCCGCGAGACTTCTTTTGAACGCCGGTTGCATCGAGCCTGTTTGAACAATGGATATCACTTGTTGGTAGATCCAACCACCGATCCAGACAATGTAAACAGGGTGTTCAGGCTCCCATTGACTCTGTCAACCCGAGATTCCATAATTCAACAGGTAAAAGGTCTTCTTGAAGGTGGCTTAGATGAAGCCCCAGAGATGTGGGAAATGCCTTTCTTCTTGCTAGGCGGTGCGGGGACTCATTATCCTCGAAGGGATCACACAGGAAGACCTATCCTTCCTCCGAATGCCTTGCCGGTGAGTAAATTTATCAGTGCTTTTGTGCATGAAACAACAGCGCCACAACCCTTCCACAGCGACCATGATCTTCTGGCCGACCTTGGTCTCGATGGTGAATGGCTTGATTCATATGACGTGGAAGGCTATCTTAAGGAAAAGGGAATCTTCTTGAGTGCGGATACTACATTCTGCAGAGTTCCTGCACGTGCATTCTCAATGGAGCTCCGGCCTTCTGACACAGTAGGTGCCAATGCTCTGCATGTCATGGAAATGGATGAATCAACCCAGGGACATATGTATCCTCATAATGTAGATCTTCTTGAACTACAGTCGAGAGGATGGAGATCAGAAATACAGGTATGTTTTTTGTTTTACCACCATTCACCAAGATATGAGCGACTGACTCATGTCGAAGTTCTCACCCGGCACAGGATGTAGATCTACTTCGAAATTACTATTCCGATCCAAACGGGTCTTGGGTCTTAGATGTGGGATTATTCATTGATCGTATGCCCTCAGTGAAGCCAAATTATTTGCTATTACCCACTGACAAGAACAGATCTCATTCAGTCTGGCATTTGCCTCGGACGCTGCCCTGCGTTTCGCCGAGAAGACGTCGAGCATACATTCCGCCTTGCAGTGTGTAGAAACTTCTTGGATCCTTCGATGTGATGTATTCATATTCACGAAATTAAGCCTGTGCCCACAGGATGTGCGCAGTTCAAGGCTGCTGTATACCTACCATTCTCCGGCTAGTTTGTGCTGACAGCTATTTTGGACCATTTATATCTGTATATTGTTTGTTATCAATGCTTTCCACATGCGAACTGGTGGTACTTGGAATAGGGTTGCGACAGTTTGACGTTAGCCTAAGAAATTCATGACTCATTTGCATAATATTTTACCAAATACGACGTATGATGACAACTGTACTAACTGATATACAAGTTGCGAAAGTATCCTCCGTTTGAAAATGGAGCCCCTATGGTCGGGATGCACATGAGTCTTAGTTACCGCTCTGCCATCATGATAGTCATCCAGCAGGTTGTTGACTTTAACCGCGTCAAGTCCCTCTATAACTTTGAAGTCCAGTGGCTTCAGCTGGCCGTTATCGATCCCGCCTGGCAGCTCCGGCCAGAACTTGGCAGCCAGTTCTTGGTGCAGATCCCTAGCTCCGAGAACTTGGTTCTTCTTGAAACTAGCAGTCTTTGTAGCGGTAATTGCAGGTCAGCTTCTCCACGCACTACTGTAGTGTTGCCAATAATCCTTTTACCATGACCGACAGAAGCGAGAGTGTTAGCTGATGGCTGACCCCCGCCCCCCATCGCTGCGGACATTGGCTGCTATGATAATCTTCCCAAAGCTTGCGAGACAAGGGAATTAAAGTGCAAATTTCCCGCTGTTGGAGCCTCCTCCAATAATGACAATCGCTTCATTGGCGTAGTCCGCACCCAGGCCCAGGAACTTTGGTGCTAAGTTCAATCCCGGTTAACTGAATAGGGTGATGAAACTCGCAATAGCATTGACAGTGAATGTCGCTGCCTGGTCAAAGCTAGTATAGCTTAGTATGGTAGCAGCAATTTTGCGTCAAGGATGCAGAACTCCTGCAAGCCAGCTTGGTCAGGGGAACCCGACAGGATATTTGACTGCCCAACAATGCTATCTCCAACGGAGAACCTCTGGAAGTCTGGTCCAATTTTCTCGACAATACCGCTAATGTCGTTTGCTAGGATTGCGTGAGGCAAGTAATTCTCCACAGGTAGACCTCGATCCCGACCGTACCGGGGACTAGGATCTAGAAGAAATGTCAATTGTTTTGACAACTCTTGTACGTGGCATACCTTTTGGTCATGAGCGTTAAATATGCGCTGTTGGATTGCCTCTTACGCAAGTAAATGCATCGACAGATCATGCTTCCGGCTGCAATGGTTCTTATAAGGACTTAATTCCGTGTTGGCTCAGCGATAGGTCGCCGGTTTAGCACCATATACATCAAACTCACCCTGCTTTACGTAATGACTTTCCACCGAAAACGTTGGGTATTACTAAGTTAATTAGACCTTTGACCTCGGCCAAGCACCAAGTTGATCGCTCATCTTCGTAGTAGACCCTATTCCATCGTGAACTATCGCAGCCACTTCGATTGGTCAAGGTCTAAAAGGATCAGCCCGTAGTTGGGAGGGTCTATTGCTGAGGTATATACATAGAAACAACTGCTTGGCGAGACGTTCCACTTCAGCCTCGGCTGATCAGCTCATCGCTCATCGACGATCTCGCTGAGACAGTACCCACCTTGAGACTCTCTCCGATATGACCACTGTGTACTTTCGGATAGAACGATCATGGAAGGGGAAATTTCGAGCATCCTTCATTTCATTGCTTGAGAAGGGCAGATTCTTCCGCCGCTTAATAACGGCTTCAATTTGTAATCATAATTTATCAGCCAGTACAATTATCCGCTCTCCATCTAGGGAAGGAAAGAAACGTGTTCATTTGGGAGGATCAGCTGTTAGATAAGCCGATGAACGGTATAAGTAGTAGCTCCAGGGCAGGTGTAGAGTTAAGGACCACTAGAAGCTATTGATCGCCATAATCTCCCACGTTAAACATGATCAAGTTTTGGCTCCAACTATTAGCTGCCAGTTGTCTGCATGGCTTTACGCACGCGGCCCCTCTGGTGAACGATACGTTCGATCTGCACCCCTTTCGCATTGATCTATCAGCTAGGGTACCTCGAATGCTCGATCAGATCCGAAGTACTCGGCTTCCTGAAAGATTTCCATATTCCGGCATTGACTCGTCCTTCGGGATCGACCTTGACGTTCTGAAAGCATTGCAAGCAAAATGGTTGACTGATTTCAGCTGGGAAACAGAACAAGATTCAATGAATCAGTTTGTATAGTCTCCCTGATAAATAATCTTTTTTTCTGACATAATATGTAGGTTCGATCACTACACAACATCAATTGAAGACTTAAGGGTCCACTTCGTTCACGAGAAGTCCGCTGCGCCGAACGCCATACCGCTGCTTTTGGTCCATGGCTGGCCAGGATCGTTTCTGGAATTTGCTCCCATCATTGACCAACTTACTAAAGAAGCAACGACCTTTACAGGAAAACCTGTTTCATTTGATGTTATTATACCTTCCCTTCCCGGCTTCACTTTCTCGTCCCCTCCTCCGCTCAACTGGACGATCACAGACACAGCCCGTATATTCAACACACTGATGGTAGATGTCCTGGGATATAACACCTACGCCATACACGGAACGGACTGGGGCAGTGCTATTTCTTATAATATGTACGACCAATTTAACGAAACCATCGGTGCAGCACATTTTGCATTCCTCCCCTTCTATCCGCAGACCCCAGATCAGCTTGCTGCTGGGAATATCACACTTTCCAAAGTGGAGCTGGTCGAAGAGCAAAATGCAATGAATTGGGCTAACACAGGTGACGGATATTTCATTGAACAAACTACCAAGGTAAGGAGGTATTCACACCATTGTAGGGTGGAAGCATACTCTGACCCCCGCTTATTGCAGTCCAATACGGTCGGCCTGGCACTTCAGGATAATCCAATAGGGCAACTCGCTTGGCTTGGAGAGAAATTCATGAACTGTGAGTACACTTCGTTTACATCAACTGGCTGCCACTAATCCAATTATCGCGAAGGGTCCGATCCAAATTCCGGAACAAGGCCTTCCGTACTCAGCCGCAATGAGATACTCCGCAGCGTGTCTCTGTACTACCTCACTGAGTGTTTCGCCTCGTCTGTTTTGATATATTCTCAGAACCCCAACACCTGGAAAACAAAGTACAGCAAGGCGCATAACAACGCACCGCTGCTGTTTAGTTCATTCAAATACAATGTTGGCTTTTGGCCCGCAAGGCTCGTTTCGAAGGTTGGAAACTTGGTGCTATATCGAAGTTAGTATACACGGATGATCCTCTGAAGGTTTGCACCTAACACGATGTATTAGACCACGATTTCGGAGGCCACTTTCCTGGCTTGGACAACCCTCCTGCTTTCCTGGAAGATCTTCGAGAGATTGGGTCTTTTTGGAATAGATGAGTGCTGGTGCTATTTGTGCCTCAATTAGCTCGAGAGTGCTTAGTACCAAACCCGGCGCCTTCAGAGGGCTAGCTTCTATTTCAAATCTCACCAAGAGTTGTTGCCATTCTGGCACCTTTTGTGTACCTATTGTACTCTTAGATTTTGCACAGCTCTTTCCATCACCTTCAATTAAATAAGGTCCACACATACAGTAACTCGCTTCCACTTATGCCCCTCTATTCGGCGTCAATTATGCGTCTCTCCTCGTAGTACTCAGCAATATCAAAATCTAGCTGAATGAACTTCGTTTTGTCCTTCTTTATTACAGTACCACCACTATAGCCATACTGTCATGCTTTATTGCTATGGTATAACCAGTTCCCAACAACTAACCGGTTGCTCCCTATGTTTGTGAAGGTAGCAGCTAGAAAGAAAAGCGGCCCAACTTCCTACTGTAGTTGGCTATGGTCTTTATTATCAATCTGTTTCGACTGCACCAAGCGGCGACCGTATTCTTATCTCTCCCGACTTCTTACCACCTCGTAAATCCTTCGTATCCCTAGAGTCCTACTAAAATGTAAGATAAAAATATAGTGAAGGAGAGAATTGGCTTAATATGTGGAACACCAGAGGTATATCAGTGAAAAATGGAAGACTATCGAAGACAGACAATTTGACCCTATTACTTTTACGCGAAGGGCGCTTCATTTTCGTTATCGCTAAAGGGTGTACATTAAGCATGATCGTGCAGCCTGAAATAGCGCCTTCCAACCCTCACTCAGTTGTTCAAAAACAGCTCAAGATGCTGTGCGTAGAGTTCCGGCTCTTGGAACAGATGCCCATGTCCCGAGTCAGGGAAAATGTGCAGCTGAGCCCTAGTGATCCTCTGCTGCAAAACGAAGCTGTTCGCCGTAGGTGTCATAATGTCTGCGTGGCCGTTTGTGATAAGGACTGGGGCGCTGATATCGGCTAGTCGATCGAAATTACCAGTATCAACGGCGAACTTGAAAATTGCTGCCACTTGTGACTGAGGCCCGGCTCCAACAAGGAATTCTTTTCTCTCTTCGTCTTTGAGTTGCCGTTCATGGATTCTCTTATACCATTCATGGCCAAGGCTCAGGCTGGTCTCTGAAGAATAGAAGAATAATCTCATCAAATCATCCTCGGTTGGTGCCTGATCACCGTTTGCGCCGGCGCTTGCGAGGACATCTCGTGGGGGAAGAGCCACACCTTCTCCGACGGCGGATTGGGTGCCAGCTAGAACCAATTTGTTGACAAGTTGGGGATACTCAAAGCCCAGATATTGAACAACGCCACCACCCATAGAGAATCCAATAAAATCAGCCTTTCGCACACTGATTGCGGCGAGGAAGTCCACAACTACCGAAGCCATCCCCTCGATTGAGTCTGGTATGGTACCCTCACTATGGCCGATACCAAAGCTATCAAAGAGTATTACCTCGCGGTTCTTGGCAATGCTATTGAACAAAACTGGATCAAGCACATCCATAGTTCCACCTAGGTGGTTGACGTAAACTAACGGCAGAGGGCTTGGTTTGCCGAACCGGCGATAAGCGATCATGGTGCCGTTGACAGAGGCAAAGCTGGTTGGGACAGTTTGAAGGGAAGTCATGTTTGCGGTTTCTTTGCAAAAGATGAGAAATGACAGAAGTGACCAATGAAATGAAGTAGTCCAGATTCGGTATAGAAATCCAAGGTATAATGAGGTAGTTTTTGCGAGGAGGATAGGGTAATTTATAGGACATTCTCACCACCCAGAGGGGTAAATATGTAATACAATCCGATGGTATACCTTTTTCGCTGCAATAATGATCCGCATGAATTACCATACGGAACCAAAGAGAGAGTAGGTACGCGACGAATAACCCTGTCCTTGGTGGTAAGTACCGCCTTACTGTTTGAATTTATGATACAGACCGAGGGCGCATATCGATGTTGTGATGGTTGGTAATCATGTTTCTAGAGCCCGAGAGGCGGTTCGTGTAATCGCTATTCCTGGACCCTTCGACGACTAACGGCCCGAGATCGGAATAGATTACCTCGGCTGTCTCTTTCTTTTGATTACAGCATAAAGAACAGTTTACCAAAATCTAGTGCATAATAGTTTTTCTGATCAGCATTCAATGGTATGTGCTCCCTTCCAAGGACGTTTGGAATATGGTCTTTGAAGCCCAAAGACCGTGTTTCTCTAGAAACAGCAGGACATTGCACAACAGCGGTAGCTAAAACTAAGATGGAATAATGTTCTGCGATATCTTCTTTTCGAGAACCCGGATTTGCGAGAGTATCAGATAGACATGTGAACTGAACCTAGATTGCAGGTAGGGGACGTTACGTATTCATGTCCATAGAAGAGATGCGTTGCACTTCATTACTCTCGTTTCTTCTACGAGCGTCGCGCGCTTCGGATACCCCTAGTAACCGTATTCGATTGCCACCATACGGCCTTTGTGGATTTGACCGCCCTACCTACACCGCTTACTACTTTCCTACCTATAAGTTACAAGCTCCTATAAGACCAAATCGCCATAAAATGGCAGATTTTGACCCATTCCGAATACCTATATCCCCATTATCTTACCTACTGACATTTCTACGTAATGTATAGGGGTTAGAGTAAGCTTAGCTACTAAGCATCACTTAGTAGAAATGGATTACAAGTTATCATTCTGCATAAATAAAGTGGGGCCTCACTGGTGCAGATAAATGTGATATGACTCCAGTTTCTGAGGTTTGGTTTTGCAGAGGCAGTTAGCGATCATTGTAATGTTGCCTGTCATGAAACTGACCATGTGGAGGCCACCAAATGAGAGATTGGGGTTCGGCGCTTTTGTAGCATGACCTGGAATGAGCTTATAGTTTTATGGCCCCTTGTCACTCAGTTCTATTACCCGATATCATGGCCGAGGAAGTTACATGTTTAATAATCCGAATTGTGGACATTCCTCGACTGATTAATGACTTTACGATAACTGTATTCGTACTAACCATATGTACCACACAGGACCAATCAGCTCAAATGCTAATTCTTCTTCTGCATCCTCATTCATATATCCGGTGGCTAGGTAATCAAACCCGTCTCATCCCCAATGGAAAGGTCCTTGCCACCAACGTAATTCAAAACGTGGTGCCTTTATTCTTTGAGACCTTGCCTTCCACAGAAAAAACGAATATTGTATTGGGGCGGTATTAGGGGTCTAACGGACGATAAAGATGTGAGATACCTCGGACCTGAATCTTGTGATTACTCAACATGACATTGGGAAATTTACTCAAACCTACTTGTAAGTATTACCGCAGGTTGATCAAGGCATGATTAGAAACCAAGCAGCACCATTCTGTAGTGCTGGGTTGTCTTGCCGGGGAAGTTGCGGGGGCAGTTGCCGGGCCGAACAAAACGTTCTGGGGATTAGAAATATTTTTGAAGTGACGTATATAGTCAATGAAGTACATTTGATCAGATCCAGTTGATTCTTGCCCATAGCAAATTCCCCTTCTTTCCCTCTCGCCTTTCCCTCTCGCGTATGCTATTCACTATGACTTGGCCCAATGTCCCTATCAACCCAGCCGTGGGCATCTCTTACTTCACTCCGGCTCAAAGTCCGCCAGCAGGAACTGCCCGCAACCCCCAAACAAGCGGCAAGCCGATTCCCAAGCTCTTCCAGCCCTTTACCATCCGAGGCCAGACATTCCAAAACCGCCTGGGCGTACGTTTTATCCCTTATTTCATGCGGCTCTTCTCGAAACTTGTACTCACCATGCCATCTTCAGGTGGCCCCTATGTGCCAATATAGTGCCGATGATGGCCATATGACTGCCTGGCACATGGCTCATTACGGTGGCATCGCCCAGCGTGGTCCGGGAATGATCATCATCGAAGCCACCGGGGTTGTTCCGGAGGGCCGTATTACACCCGCTTGTCTGGGTCTGTGGAAGGACTCCCAGATCGCACCCCTGAAGCAAGTCGTTGAGTTTTCTCACAGCCAGGGTCAGAAGATTGGTATTCAACTGGCCCACGCGGGGTGCAGGGCTTCGACTGTTCCCCCGTGGCTGGGCGGTGTCACCGCGACCAATGCGGTAGGGGGCTGGACGGAGAATGTTAAGGCCCCGAGTGCTGTACCCTTTGCCGAGGGTGATATTGTTCCTAATGAGATGACCAAGGAGGATATTGAGGAGGTCAAGAACGCGTGGGCGGCTGCTACTAAGCGAGCTTTAGCTGCTGGCGTGGACTTCATCGAGATCCACAATGCCCACGGATACCTGCTTTCTTCTTTCCTCAGTCCTTCTTCCAACAAACGCACCGACGAGTATGGGGGTAGCTTTGAGAACAGAATCCGTCTACCTCTGGAGATCGCTCAGTTGACCCGCGACGTGGTTGGACCTAACGTCCCCGTTTTCTTGCGTGTTTCCGCCACTGACTGGCTTGAGAACAGCCTGCCAGAAGAAAAGGGGTGGAAGCTGGAGGATACCGTGGAGTTAGCTCGAGTTGTCGCTGCGCAGGGAGCGATTGACCTAATCGATATCAGCACTGGCGGCGTGCACGCCGCTCAGAAAGTGACGTCGGGTGTCGGCTTCCAGGTGCCATTCGCGACAGCCGTGAAGAAGGCTGTTGGAGGCAAGGTGCTTGTATCTGCCGTTGGTACCATAAACAGCGGTGTTCTTGCTGAGAAGATACTCAACGAGGACAACGTCGATGTTATCTTGGTCGGGCGTGCTTTCCAGCGTGACAGTGGCTTGGCTTGGGCTTTTGCAAAGGATTTGGATACTGAGATTGCTATGGCTGCACAGATTCGCTGGGGTTTCACCAGCTTCCGCAATGCGTCGGAGTATATCCAGCCGAACTCGATGAAGGCATCGATTTTTGATTAAGTGACGATGTCCGTATACAATGTTGATGGATAAATGGATGACGTCATTCACCTGTCTCACACACGCTGGATCCCAGATCATGTGATGGAATATGCAGTATGATAACTTGATAGTTATCCATTGAAAACGATGCATTTTCCGGTCCTCTGAAGTTTGCCGTCGTGATGTATAAGCTGCAGTGGTTGGCCCTCGGCCCCAGCCGCGCAAGAGTTTCTGATGAGTGATCATAGCTTCTTCGCTGTGAATGATTCATAATAGAGATTTGAACAGATGGAGTTCGTGCCTCAGTTCTTTCTAGGTTTCTCACGCGAAGTTTATTAGATCCATCGCCGTCTAATTCATGATAGCGAAATATAAGCGCACATTTCAATAAGTTTCAGATACAGCTGCTGGAGAGTGGGTTTCCGGTTCGGTAAGACCACGTCATGTTGGTCAGCATGGCATACATATACACACACACAATTTATTAACGCCCGGCGGCTGAACCGAAAGGGCAACTATCACTGATCTAAATGTACATGCCTAAGCTAATGCTGTGCCTCCTTGGAGCCCATACAGGATTCCTTTTAGTGTATGTTATCTCAGATGTCAATATCTAAGCGGGTCCTTGTGGGTTAGTGTTTAGTTAGTAGACTTGCTTGAAGGTGCTTCTCTAAGTGTTCAACATCCTATCGGCAATTGAAGCGCGTCTATTATCTCTGGTACAAGGTAGATGGTGGGGGTTAGAATAGGGTTGGGGCGGGGTAGGGTTAATATGTGTCGGTAGACACGGCTAAGCTGCGTCGAGTCGGCCCGTTGCGATTGCAAACCGTATTTTGGCTCGCACTGCTTCTTAAGTTCGGTTTCCAGTTCTGGTCATCCAAAGGCGACTTTCCACCTAGGAAAAAATATGTATTTCCTCGGTGAATGTGAGTACATTGCAGCATTTCTGTTCGGTGTATGGTCTACCTCTGACATCGAAAGAGTAAGTGTTCCACGGTCTCTCTTGCTTGTCCACATGTACACTGATCTGACTCTGCGACGTTGATTCGACAGAGGTATCTATTGAGTCTCACTATGCTAGTCCGGAGTTGGACTAGTACGCTCGCTCCTTTCTACGATAACCGATCGTACAGCTTCCGCGTGTGTTTCCCTGGGAGTGCTGCATCTACTCGTTTGGAGTGTTTCCCTATATTTTCTGGGAGGCAACTCTTGGGGACTGCTTGGGTTCGTGCAATGTTTAGTGTTGTCGGCTTCATCCTAGGAAACTGTACCTGGGGGATCGCACCTTCTTGCGTCGCAGCCCTGGCCTGCTCTTTCGCCAGGCCCAACAATTGGTTCTTCTCGCTAGTTGGGGCCCAGCGGATGTCTATCCGGTTTTCGTGTCTCCGTAGCCTCTTGATCAGCTTTTATGTTTGACAGATGTGTTCCTGGCCGGACTGCTGTCGAGGATTCTTCAGCGTAAGAGCCGCCGCTTGATACATATACAGCATGGATTGAAATCAGATTCACCACCTACACACAGAGGTTCTTTCTCGGCCCCTCTTTCGAAACTGCACTATACCTATTACGGTAACCGACCCTCGACCCCCTTTCTTGGCAGTATTCCAGTACGGCTGTAAGTAGACCTGTGCACGGGACTCCTATGGGAGTAAAAATCGAATCCTATCCTATTTGCCAAGAGCCCATAGGGCCGATTATTAATCCTATCCCATCCCATGGGAGTCTTGGCAGGTCCTATGGGACCCATATCTGAGCATCGCCAGAACGCATGTCAACCATGACCTAACCCAACCAAACCCAGCCCATCATGGGTTTGGTTGGGTTAGGTCATGGTTGACATGCGTTCTGGCGATGTTTAAGTTCGATTATTAAAACAGTTCTGAAAAGGCCAGGATTTTTACAAGGATAGTATCTAGTTTAAATAAATTAATTTAGTTGTTAATAAATCTATATCTTATATCTTTTATATAGTATATAATATACTAGTAATTCATTACCTTTTTGTCTATTTTTTGATTAATACAGTAACAAACCTTACTACCCTAAATTACCAAGATTTTGTATAATCAAAATATATATCTGCGTGGCGAGTTCCCACACCACCACTCTGATATATATTTTACTTAAATTTATATTGATTATCAATTAACTTATTCTCTTTTAATTAATACTAATTTTATATAAAACCAATTATTCAAGAAGTCTTGACAGGTCCCATGGGATGGGATAGGATTGATAATTAGTCCCATGGGATCTTGGCAAGTGGGATGGGGATTGATTCTTACTCCCATAGGTCCCAGATGCACAGGTCTAGTCAGAACCAAAGAAAAGATCAACTAGAGGCCATCGCTATACCGGAGAACACAGAAACATGCACCTTTCATTGCAAAAAGTAGTAAACTGTTTGGTAAGCGCTACCTCTTACAACTTAGGAAGGTTCTCAGATTTCGCATTCTGCCATTCCAGCTTTCTCAGTTCTGCCCTCTTGATCTTGCCGCTGGTGGTCCTGGGCAAGGATTCCTGATTGACAAACGCCACTTTCCGCGGGTATTTGTACGGCGCGGAATTTGTTTTACAGAAAATTTGCAGTTCCTTCGTAAGCTGATCTCGGGGCGCTTTTGCGTATTTCGAGGTCAGAACTATGAAGGCCTTGACCACCTCTCCACGGACCATGTCAGGGGAAGATATCACGGCACATTCCGCCACAGCGGGATGCTGTTTCAGAGTGGACTCAACTTCAAATGGGCCTAGAGAGAAAATATTAGTTGCTAGCTCCCCCGATCCTGTTAGGGGGGAGAGGAGGAGAAGGGAAAAGGGGGGGGATTACGAACCAATTCGATAGCCAGAGGAGTTGATAACATCGTCTGCGCGGCCCACGAACCATAAATACCCATCCTTATCCCTCTTGGCCTTGTCGCCAGTCAGGTACCACTTCCTGATCTTCCCGTGGAGTGTGCTGATTCTCTCGTTGCGTGTCGCCTCACCGTTATCATGAACATATCCGTCAAAGATTCCGAAAAAATTCGATGGAGAATCTCCATCGGCAACCAGGAGGGCCAACTCCCCCTCTTCATTTGCTGGAGTTTCTTGACCAGCTGGGTTGATGACATACAGAGGCACTCCAGGAATCGGCTTGCCCATCGATCCAGGGCGAACTTCAAAGCCACCATAGTTTCCACACATTAAGGTTGTCTCAGTTTGGCCGTAACCTTCGCAAATCGTTAATCCACTGAGGCTGCGCCACTGGTCAATTACTGTACTATCCAGTGGCTCCCCAGCTGAATTGCATTGTGCGAGAGCGCGCGGTGCATTCTTGCGGTAATATTGTTGGCACTGTTGCTGGACGAGCTGCCGCCACGCTAACGGAGGGGCACATAGTGTCGCGATTGGAAAGTTATGCAAATGCTCTAGGATTGTGGTTGCATTGAATGGTCCTCGGTCGTCCCAGACAAACAAACTGGCGCCACAGTTCCACGCTCCGAAGTAAGAATATGCCGCTTTCCCCCACCCTGGAGACCCAAAATTGTCAGCACCATTTCACTAGAAAGGGGATACTGTCGGCATCTAATCACCTTGCTCAGTGTAGTTCCAGCAGAGCTTCCCAGGCGATAAATTGAGCCAATATTTGCCGGTAAGGAGATGCGCTGCGTCAGTTGTTAGTCCAATCTTGCTTGCGACCACTGGTTCTGTTTTTGATACTTGCCGAATGGATAAGAGACCTGGTTATGGCGCACCATCTTCGGTAGACCGGAAGTGCCTGATGTGAAGTATAAGATTGCGGGAGAATTCCAAGGCCGCCGAATCGAGGAATACCTCGCGGTTGTCTCGATCTGTTCTATGGCCTTGTACAGGCCCGTCACCCCTGCTTCTGGCTGGCCCTCTGTCTGGATGATGACCCGGAGAGAGGGGCATTTGTGGCGGACCTGTTGGATCTTGCGGACACTCGTGGCATCACCGACAAAGACGGTTGCCTTGCTCCTTTGAGAGCGGTACTCAATGTCCTTCGCGGTCAATAATGTCGTTGCCGGAGCAATTAGAATGCCACTGCGGAGACCGGCTGTAGCAACCTCCCACCTAGGATGCTGTCAGAAAATTTGGGCCACCCAGTGACCAAAAGAAAGGCTTACCATGCCGGAGCTCGTGGAAGGACCATCAGCATAACATCTCCCGGACGTGCACCCAGTTGCTCGAGTAAGAGAGCAATGCGCTGTGACTGCTGGGAGAAGTGTTGATAAGTCAGCGACTTTTGGGTGGCTTTATCGTGAGACACCCATAGCATGGCCTCCAAGGAGGGTGACTTGGCCGCCCAGGTATCAACAACATCAGTGGCGAAGTTGAAATGATCCGGCCGTTGCAAAGGAATGTGTGTAAGGGGTGCCATATCGATCGCAATGATGAGGTTCGTACACTTGAAGCCCCGAAGCTGAAGCGACGAAAGCGAGGTACTTATATTTATTTGGCACTCCGGTACAGCCATTGCCCCCAAGGGCGGCATGGCGCTTCTACCAACTATCTAACCACTATTGCTGCTGACAACAGCGGGTAGCTATGAATCGGGCCGAGTAAATGATTAACCAGTACTCACACACCAAGTCTCGTCATTATTTTAGGCTACGGCAGCCCTTACCAGTCCTAGATGGCGGCCGGGGCGACCGACGGCCCGAGGTTGGCGGCCAGGGTGAGAACCAAGGACTTAACCGTACCAGTATTCCGCCTCGGCTCTCGAATTCTGGCTGCATTTTTTTACAGTCAATTTAACGTGCCTGATCACTTGCGAGCCGAGCTTCATTTGGCGAGAAAGCTATTCTGAACAATCTCTCTCCTGCGTCTTGCATCTCTGCGGTGAAACCAGAACCTCTACATCTGAAGTTTTTTGGGGGGGTTACAGACCGCGAAGTGAGTGCTCCTTAACGACAAGCACAAGGAGCTCATAACTGATATAGCGGGATCGAACTGGTCAAGATGGCAGATGAACTTGGACTGAGCTTCATCCAGCTGCAGGCACCACGGAATGGAGTTTTATTAGTGAAGTACAATAGGCCTGAGGCGGGAAACTCGTTACATCCTAGACTAGTGGCCGACTTGCTCAAAGCCGTTCGGTGGGCGCGACAAAACGACGACGTCAAGATCATTGTCTTTACAGGAAACGGCAAATTCTTCTGCACCGGGATGGAATTAGTGACCGATGAGGAGATGTCATTCGCACCAGGGTCGGACTTCCATCAACTTAACAAGGAACTGATTTTGTCTGAGAAGATTCTGATTGCCGCGGTGAATGGGCCTGCTGTTGGATATGGCGCCAGCAGCCTTGCGCTGCTTGATTTAGTCTATTCCGTCCCGGACGCCTATTTCTTCACACCATTCGTCAAATGGGGAATGGCACCAGAGGCTGCTTCGAGTCTGACGTTCGCAAGGCTAATGGGCCACCAGCGGGCATCATTGTTATGTCTGACAGCGGAGCGGATCCTAGCTCCAGAGGCGAAGGAATTAGGTCTGATCACCAAGATCCTACCAGCCACGAACTTTCTGGACCAAGTTATCAAGATCGCAGAAAATCTTGCCCTGTCACCAACTGGTTCTCTCCTGGGAACAAAACGATTAATGAAACAACCAGTTATCAAGGACTTACTGGAAGCAAATGATCGGGAATGCCATCTTATCCATGAGGAGCGGATGCCAAGCGGGGATCCTGAAAGGGCCAAAGAGCAATTCCAAAATGCGCAACGCAAGAAACGCAAGCTTAATGAGCAGGCCAAGGGTCGTCTGTAACGTGGCTCAGGATAGATTATCGTTCTACATTAACATCGCTGAGTTCCAACTTCGTTTTCAGTCATGTCCTTCTAGCAGTAGTTACATGAAGTAGATTTTGGGAGCTTACTTTGGAATAGCATCCGAACAGGTTCGGGTGATTCAATCTGCAAAACCCATCTATTCCTCACGTGGTTCTCAACTGCACTAAGATGATGAATCAAACTCCAATACTCTCTGCGCCAGTATTTTAGATAGCGGATAGTACATATAAATCTAACATTTAAAAAGTTTGAACCAGGAACTAGTTTCCCCCAAATCTGTGTTATCGCGTCTGCAGCTTAACTTGAAACAAGGAAGCTTCACGACCTACAAGTTTCATAAATTTGTTTTCCTGGCTGTCAAAAATAAGTTATGTATTGAAAATGAGGGCAGGAAATTATTCACGAAGACAATGGTTGTTGCATAACCCTCCTGGCCGTTCTATCTCAATCTACACTCTTCACTCTTTGAACCACAATTGCAGTTGCTGCCCCACCACCGTTACAAACAGCTGCGACGCCGTACTCCCCGACCTTAAGCTGATGCAGCAGAGTGGTGAGAATCCTGGATCCCGAGCTGCCGAGGGCGTGGCCCAAAGAGAGAGCTCCTCCTAGCAGGTTCACATTTGCGTTTTCAAGGCCGAGAATCTAGGAACGGATTAACATAGATGTACCACATGACAAGCTCTTTTTGAAGGGTACCTTTGCGTTGGCCTTGATGACCGCTGCGAAGGCTTCATTGAATTCCCACACTGCGATATCCTCTTTCTTTAATCCTGCACGCTCTAGAGCGATCGGCACTGCCTTGGCCGGGGCAATGGTAAAATCAATAGGATCAACGGCAGCGTCCGCCGTTGAAATGATCTTTGACAAAACCTGGCTCTGAGATCCGTACTCTTGTGCAAGAGCCTTGTTGACCAACACCAACGCGCTCGCACCGTCGTTAAGAGGCGAGGAGTTTGCAGCTGTCACAGTCCCAGTACCATCCTTGGTGAATGACGGCTTCAACTTTGGCACCTTTTCCACATTAAGCCTCTCAAACCCTTCATCTTGACTGATTACAACATCCCCGCTTTTTCCCTTCACAGTGACTGGAACAATTTCGTCCTTGAACTTCCCTTCAGCCCACGCCTTTTGTGCTCGTTGAAAGCTACGGATGGCATATTCGTCCTGAGCCTCTCGAGAGATATTGAGCTTTTTGGCTGTGTTCTCCGCACAACTTCCCATGTGTATCTGGTTGTACACGTCCCAAAGTCCGTCCTTAATTAGGCCATCCACGAGCTTGATATCTCCCGGTTGACTGAAGCGGGGTGTCCTGGGAAGGTAGAATGGGACACTGGACATGCTTTCCATCCCGCCAGCAACCTGGGCGTCGGATAGCCCTAGCTGGATATTTTGGGCGGCCATCACAACCGCCTTGAGACCAGATGCACAAACTTTATTGATGGTGACCGCTTCGGCCGTAACGGGGATTCCGGCAAGGATTGAAGCTTGACGGGCAGGTGACTGGCCACCAGATGCTTGTAGGACATTGCCCATGTAGACATCAGTGATCCTGGCCGACGGCAACTTGGACTTTCTAAGTGCCTCTTTAATGGCGTATGCTCCTAGTTCTGTCGCGGGCACGTTGGTGAATGAACTACCGAAGCGAGTGGTCGGGGTCCTGGCGGCGCTCAGGATATATGCATCTAGAACCTCTTTTCGCTCCGTGGTCGTTGGATTTAAATGCTTGCCCACTTGGATGAGACGCTCAGCAGCGGTCGAGGAGATGTCAGTGGGCCCCGAAGTCTTGGAAGACATGATGATGTAAGAGAACCGTTCCCACTTATTTGCGCTGGTAAGGTGGGTGAAAAATGCGGCTGGAAGCAAGTGACGATATAAGTGAAGCTAGCTTTTGCTCGGGGAAATATAAGCCCAGGAGAGTAGGAATGGTTTCAATAAAAGGGTAGAGTAGAAACGATAAATAAGTAATTATATAAATCAGGAAGCATGATGGTCATTCGATCAAGGTAACAAGACCATTACGAAAGGGTCAGTTCCGAGGCAGCCGACACTGTCGCGGGATTAAGCCATGGGCAGCGTCGGTCCGAGGAAGAACGCTCCTAAATCGTAAACCGTCAATGATTTCATCACGCGTGGGACGATGTAAAGATCCTTGCCGAACATAATATTCCTCTGCATAATAGTACATCTAAACTCCCGCACGCAGGCGAAAAGTGTATATATACTCCCCAATCCCCTAATTACATATAGCGTCCGCTCCCTTGTAGCAAGGCAATGTGTCCGTAAATTGCAATGTTTTCTATGTACAGAGGGAAGGTAGGAGGGAAAATGTCTAGTGTTGACCGGGTGAGAGATGACAAGCTACCTGCAGAGGCGAGCAACTACTCCTATGAGACAGTTGTAGAGGGAAGCGCTGGGGTCAACGTAAGGCAACCCCAGTAAAACGGTCCCAGACAGATGTCGGGGCCTGAGGCATCAAGGTATGCGGAGATACTGGTTATCCGAGGGCGCGCGGGCTGTCCGTACGGACAACCCTGCGGTACGAACGGAGTACAGGCGCATACGTACAATTTTACATAATAAATGACAGTAACAGTCACCTTAGGCGGCATCCAAATATGCGACCTGGAGGTGACTGTTAGTACAAAATTGCCCCTCACCCACTCTACCACTTCGACCGCCAGCTTTGCCACCAAAATGCACTGTCTCTGGTCATACGCGTGAGAACCAAGAGGGCAGGATATTACTTGCTGACAGGCCCTAAAAATGATAAAATTTGACGGTACGCGGCTTAGCACGTATATTCCATGTCCCCGAGTCTACCGTCAGGTCGCGTCGCAATGGCACTCCACTCCTGAACGCGCCACCGCGCGCGCCAACGGCCCTATTTTTTTATTTAGCGCCTTCGGAACGCAGCGAGTGCTGGAGAAGCTTAATTTTAATCTCTATACACCAACTCTCCCTGGCAGCAGGGGGAGGAGGGTCTTCAACCACTGGCAGCAGCAATTATATCCCCTGCACCTGTAACGGGCCCATGCCCGTATATAGCCACGAGATCATGGCCTTCTTCCCAATTCGGCAATACGTCAACATACATCAACGCGACCGCTCCCTTTCCCCTCTTCCCTCCTCAAGATTGTTGTAGACAGTTCGTGGCCTTGCTAGTTTGAATCAAATCGGCATTAGCCCTTCACAGCACCCTTCCAAAACCTAACCTATCCAAATTGGACGACAGGCAAGGTCGATTACTAAACTGCAACAGTAGCCAGAACCGTCAAATATTATAGCAGCGCTGGCGCAAATTGAGCAGCTTGCTACAGCGACCCAGCTGGGCATACATAAAGGCGCTCTCAATTCAGCCAAAATTTTCCGCTATATCGACCAATCAGAGAGCCCCCTACCGCGCTGTTCAGGCAAATTGGTCATAAACGGACAGACATCATTGCCGGCATTGAGTGGTAATTTATTTGCAGTTTTGCTAGTGGGTGGTAATCTAGGAGGGCCAATTCAATTCTGCCCGGATTCTCAAAACTACTCTCTTTGAACCAGCTCTAGAGCTTTCCGGCCGTTATCCATAGGTCACAGTCCCGGCTTTGCAAGTACAGTCTGAGAAGCATTGCCGATTCTATTCTAGTCTGAATTTCGGGATTATGGACGTAAATAATTGTCACGTTGGTCTAGGAGACGTCTGCTACTTATGACCATTTCGTAGAGCTGGAAACACTGATTCAAAGCAGCCTCACCTTAAATATATTAAATATACTCACATCGATCGAATAAGAATTGTTATCAGAAATTGTTTCAGCCATGCGCAATTCGAAAACAGACACAGCCCTACTTCTCTATACTCACTATCCAATGGAGGGGCAAGAATACTGGAGAAGGAATGAAAGTGTGTCGAACATTGGTTGGGCGTCATCGGCATCCACTCCATTGTCACTGTAATATGTCTGGGGATCGACAGAGAGCACGGAAGCAGAATTTGTTTGGGATCCGGCCCCGGCATGCTCATGCCCAGGCGGTGGAGACTTCTGGGGATAGGGATGTGGCGATAATCTCGGAATCGAAAGCACATTTTCCCACTGTTCGTTCGGTGGACAGTCAAAGGGAACGTTTCGCTCGGGTACACCCGGAAAAAAAGAACGTAACATTGCCGAAGAAGAGGCTAACTCTCCAATTTCCGGTGTAGCTTCCAGTGACCAATTTGGCTGGGGAAAGCATCGCCCAAGAGACCAATCGGGAGCTTCCCCTGAAGATGGTGTTTTCCCGTAGGATAGGGAATGGTCCAGAGAGAACAAGAGCTTGAAATATAGTTCCGGATTTTGTAAATAGATTTCACTCCAAGTTTGAGGTCGGTGGTTTGATATTGATGAGGTCAATCCGGACGTATTGTCGACTGGTGGAGAGCGAAGAGATCTTGACCACGATGTGTAGTCCACAAGCTGAAGGACTTTACGAACTATTTCGGAAACAAACTTGGCGAAGCTGAATCGGCTTTCATATTGTCGCATGGCCGCTACGCAATGTGAGAGGTCTCGCATACGGGTTTTCTTCTGGTGATCTGATGGTGACAGCCAGACATCGAGAGAGCCCAGTAGCAGAGGTAGTGCTGTATACGCAGATCTGAAATCGGTCAGCATTTGTAGCCTTTCATGACAGTAAAATGAAAATCGACGAGATGAAGGTGGCGTACGCGCTAATCGGAAGATGGCCAGCGAGGTTGGATGTCACTAGCCTCTTGAAGACACCCTTCAGGCCCGTAAAGGCAGCCTTAAGATCACTCTTGCTGGTATTTAACTGCATCATCCAGTCCGGATTGACTGTATGGCTCCTGCTGAAAGTATATATAATGAAATGGCCCAGCGCCATCTGAGCGGAGCTAAGCGGAAATGAGCTGACTGAAGCAAGCGACCGGTTATGCGTGTCACTTACTAGTAATAAAGTCGCAGCAGATCTGCATACAGCGTCACAAAGTCCACACGCAGAACGTCCTTCCCCGAGTTGTGCTTTAATCGTGCCTCCGCGGCATCGAACCACGTACTGAGGTCCTGTCTACAACTTTTCATTTTGCCGGACAGTCCCACTAGATCTGGGCTCGTGTGCGACAGTGACATAGGAACACTGTCCAGCGGATAGATAATCATGATGGTTGATGTGAGCGCGGCTGCCAGTTCACACTGCGTAACGAAGATCTTGATGAGCGACCGCTTGGTTTCTGAATCATAGACCCTAGATCTTCCAATCTCGCATGCTAGATCTTGCTCTGCGAAAGGTTCCCGATGGTGATCAAATTGGTCCGGGGTGATCTGAAGCGGCCGGCGCACCCCAAGCGCGATGATTCGGTCTCGTACAAGGCAACACCACCACAGTCTCTTTTTATCCTGTCGTTCTCGTGCACTTAATTGGGGAAGAACGCTGTAGAGGTGGGCACGGTCTGCACGAGCGCATTGAATAGCGGTAGACAAGAATGATGTATTGTTTTGAACATCGCGGGCGGACGATTGGAATGACAACAACAAGGATGCCTGCGCGATGGAGGCTAAGTTTGATTCCGATTGAAACTGATAGAGCAGCTATTGAAAAAGCATCATTAGCAATGATAGTAGAGGGGGCTCAGTATTCCTTACAGCAGCACGTTGGTGAAGTCTCTCCCGAGCCTCATGAGAGTCTCTGAAACCACAGGCTCGTAGCGTGCGCAGGGGAACGAACTTTGAATTGTATTAGCACATGCACCAGCATCATGATATGGAACAGGGTTACATACTGCGGATGCAGCAAACAGCATGGCTTGGAGGACCAAGAGGGAGACCTTGGAGGCACGAATCATGGTATCCATTTGCCCATATAAGTTCCAGAAGTCTCCTTCGTTGAGAATTGGCAGGCAGGGGTGGACGTGGAGAAAATACTCTTGCATGAAATCACCCAGATAACTATCGCCGGGGACCCGGAAACACCCTTTTGATTCGAGGTATTTGACGTCCGCTGAAAGCAATTTGGGGAGTGCCTTTAATTCTAGAAATTCGTAGTAGGAGAAGACGACACTTTGGTCGGAAATTCCCTGGCTTGGTTCGGATGCAGTCTCGCTCAGCATCGAAGGAACCGGAAAGCCCCCCCCGCTAGACACATTCCGCCGAAGTGCTGCATACTCTGACATACGTTCTGAACGCGGATCCGGGCGAAACAGTCCTCTGATCGATCCCTCATCCCCATGTAAAAAAGCGCCGTGGGGAGATGGTAGTGAAGTAGGAGGAAGAGGAAAATCGATACGGCTGGGATCTGGGAAGTTAGACATAGGTTGTAGGTACACATCCAGCGGACTTTGAGGGCCGGTCACGGTCGCGGTGGTCACTTGATTAGTTTCCGGCGTGGGAGCCTTGCCGGCAACCCTTGTCTGATGTCTTTGATGACCCAGTTAGGTCCGTTCCTCTTGGAAATAGTTTCTAGGTTCTCACTTCTTGCGCGGCTTCCAAGCGAAGCACTTTTGCTTATCAAGGCGGCAGTTTGTACAGGGCATACCGCTTGAAGTGAGATCACATCTCACTTTACGTGCATGGCAGGAATCACAGGCTACCCGACCTCTTTTGCGCCGTGGATTGGGGAGTTCGGTGGGTGAAGAATCAAATGAGGCATTATGACTGTCACTCATGTTGGACCTTTGTGTGAAATTCGGATTTCTTTACCACCAGATAGTAGTTGACGGGACGTCAGGCCAAGATAAAGAAGTCGAGCTGAGTTGTGTAGGGGACGTTGAATGCATTTGCAGGGGGCGGGGCGGGGAAGAAACTCCGGAGTTCAGCCACCAGAACATGGGGGTGGGGAAAGAAACTCCATATCTCAGTCACCAGAACATAGATCCACGTGACATGGTGGTGGCGGGAGGTGGCGGACGATGGCAAACCCTGCAAAGAGATAATCGCAAATGGCAAACTTGAGGGAGTGGTAAAATACGACTAGCACCCTTCAGGATATGATTATTCAGCGAATATTCGATCTACCGATGGTTTAATAATAGACGCCCTGAATCCTCTCTTAGTTCTTCAACCAAACATCAACCAATCATTATCTCGATTGGGCTGTCCTAGTACTAGTCAGTACTCGTTTTTGGTAATTACTGTTAGGGTAGAAGGCCTGTCCATCAAGAACTCAAAAGCATATCCGGAATGGGCAAAACTCGGTAGGTCCAATTGTACAAGAACTGAATCTTAGGGGCCTCTCGCAATGCATGATGGGGTATCTATAAACTACCCCCCGCGATTAACTGCCCATTTGGGGGGTTTGGGTTTGGTGATACAACATCCAGATGATGATGATACACTATGCAGTCGGAAGGATGTCCCCGATGATCTGTATGTAACTTTTCGGGTCAACCAATCCACACTGCCAGAGGCATCGGTATGTAATTGGCTATCAGCTCCCGGGCCGAGGAAATACTCGGGCGGCTTACCGATAACCTTGGTCCGGAGCTCCCGAATCTTCCGAGGTTAGAATGAGGCGCTCTACTGAGAATCACTAAAAACACACCTCCCTTCACTATTTCCACACCCTTCCTACCGAATAGAGTAAAGCGTAATATACGTAATACTCAAATGGATACTCTATTCCCTCGATTTTTTCAAATCGTCAAATACACCGCCCACACACGTCCTAACATCTTCAATCTCGCTATCCTCCCTCCCCTGGAGAATCTTCAACGCCCAAAATCCTCATCAACTCAGTAGTCTAATTTGGGAAATACATGGTAATTGGATTTTATTGCAGAAATCACGGAATCTCACTAGTCCAGCTTAATTACTTGTCATCTTCGCTGGAATCCCTGGATATTGCCCGGGAATGCGCTTCTTACCCCACCCTCGCCGCCGACCTTCCTGTGTATCTTGTTGTTGACCTTGTCGATGACCTTGCTGCTGAAGGGTTATCCTCTGGAGTGCTGCATCCTGTTTCGAATCAACTATCTCGAATGATGACAGTATACGCCGTGCTGTTTGCTTGTCACCACAATTAACAACGTGGGGCTGTTGAACTAGCGCGATTTGATCGCTAAACTCATAATCCTCTATCCCAATGAGGTGCCAATGAGGATGAAAGTGGCGTAAAGAGAAAGATCTCTGCGCATCCCAGTGAAGCTTGATAAGGTGGATACACGGGAAGCCACTCGTTTTGACCGAATGACATTAGCAGCCCTCGAGGATTAGAGGCTTTTTGGGACTTGGTGGTAGATATCTTGCGAATAGTCCCATAACCCTCTTTATCGCATTAAGGAATACTCGTTGAAGGACCTTCTGTACCAACACTGGGGTTTCAATAACCTCATCTGTAAGCTTTCCCCGTATTCTCTTATATTATAGGTATACTGTTCGGTCAAAGGACATCATCGCCGTTAAGAGATCTCCTAAGGGACTAACGAGGTTGCGTTTAAGATACTAGTGGGCCGATTCGACTCTCGAGGTTGTAAGCTCGTCAAGATGGAGGTGTTTTGAGGTATAAGGTCGTAGGAACTGGCGCCCAGAATCAACTAGCCATTTGCTATTGATGTATTTATCAAAGTTAATAATATTCACTCACTCTAGGTATTTTAGCTTAGTCCAAAAAATCTTTGAATAAGGGCTCCGAGTAGCGCTGTTTGAATTGGCTCCATCGTTGGTCCTTATCCTCAATCGTGTTCGCCTGTAAAACCCGTAAAACCCTCTCCCAGCGCCGTAACATATCATCCCAGCATTTATCTGCCTCAAGTTGCATATCTTCGATAACTTCAACTGCGGCGATTGCGGATTGGATCTGCTGGGCAGGCATGCTTCTTGATATTTACATTGATATGCCAAAGGCAGAGCATAGAATCCGTCTCCGGGAATACATCGTGTATAGCATTGATATTTGCAATATCTTTATCCGTGAAGATTGTTGACGGTGACCCATCTCCGAGAGATTTTTTCTCGTATATCTCGCGGAGACACCGAAGGGCGAGTGTAACGATTCCTCCTGTTGGCTCGAAAGATTTGCAAAGCCAACATAGAACGCAAGTCCCATAAATTATTAGTAATAAGTATGTAATAGGTACGGAAGTAGAACTAAAGAGGAAAGGAAGAGAAATACCAGTAGATGTTGCGCCCACGATATCAAGAAAAGGCACCTTGAGGCGATTGGTCTTGAATGTACAATCCATCCCGAGGATATATGGATTATTCTTCAGCAAGCGGAGGCTTACTTTGCACATCCCAAATAGACAAGATAGACTATCATCCTCTCGAAGTTGATATCGGAGAACCCACTTCCTCTCGTTAGGGAGTTTGTGGAGGAGAGCTTGTATAGAGGAGCGTCCACCAAGATAATCCGTTACCATCTGAGCCTTTTTATTATAGAAGTCAGTTGCAGATAACCATTGAATACCACTTGCATAGAACCCTGCTATAATCTGCCTGGGTAGGATCCCTACATTTAGCCGGTCTGTAATCTCATTATCGAAATCCCTCATGACTTCTTGACGATGAGCTGGATGCACTGAGGCCGGAGAAGCAAGATGGTTATATGTTGCGATAGTAATCTCAAGCCTACAAGGATTCTCACCCCCTCTTAAAGCGAAGGACAGCACGAAATGGGCACTTAGTTACCCGTGATGAGGTCTTCCGTACCCGCGGTCGATCCTTCGGCCGACGGATAGTCCTACCCTGGTCGCAACAGAGATAGACCGTTGAATTCTATCGATTCTTCTTATCCTTCTTCAAGCGTTTAATGCTCACGGCGCAGCCATACTGCCGTCCCCATTAGTTAACATCGGATATATCAGCTTGGATAGAGACGAATTGTTCTTCGGTAGGAGGGGGAGGAAGGTCATCGATTATTTCTTCAGGAACAGGAGATGAGGATAGAAGATGAAGATTTCGAGGAACATGTTGAGTCTCGGTAAGTTGGTGGCTTCGGATAGGGAGATGAACCTCTTGGAGGCTATTTGTAGTAATATCCTCTGCATCTGCATTGGAGGATTCAGGTTCAAAAGCATTTGAGGCTAATAACTCATAAAGAGACATAAGAGTAGTGATTCATATATATCAATTCTCCTAATTATCATCTAGTAAGAGATCGCGCTTCTATGATTAATCTTTGATCGGGGTCGGCTATGAAGCTATTGCTGGATAGGTATATAAGCCTCACCGCTACAGAGGGAATAAGAGGGGTAGGTCTAGCGAGATTTGGTGATTTCTGCAATAAAATCCACTTATCATCTATTTTCTCAATTGATACTAATGGATTGATGAGGATTGTAGGCGTTGAGGATTCTCCAGGGGGGAGGATAGTGGGATTGAAGATGTTAGGACGTGTGTGGGCGGGGTATTTGACGATCGAAAAAATCGGGATAGAGTATTCATCCGAGTATTACGTATACTACGCTTTACTAGATATTCGGAATTAACGGTGTGGAAATAGTGAATGAGGGTGTGCTTTTAGTGATTCTCGCTGTACTGACTCTTGTTTAGGTCAAAGACTCTGTTTGGTGGTTTCTCCTTGGCGTTCTGGGCCCTCAAACCGATTGGCTTGAGATATTGAAATTGAGTTCAATGTGGTACGAGCTATGTCCAATCCTCCGTGGGGTAGTAGATGATCCGCCAGAACCACGTAATTCGTAAAATTAGGACAAGTAGTTAGAGTTGCCGTGATTAATATAAAGTTGGCACACGACCTCTACCTAATCCCTAGCAGATTATCTATCTTCTTCAATTCGTGAAGGACCCCCAAAAGTCAATACAATTATTCTAGATACCGTTTCTGTCTTACCCAATTCCACACGATGTCAGACTCCGTGACACCTGTTTCAAAGAATGCCTCCGACCACATTGAGCGTACCAGTACAGACGGCGGTCATCTAGACCACAATCCGTGCCCTAACGTTCCAGTGGTCAAACACACCTTTGCAAATACTGCGCCCCTAGGATTACTCTCCTTCGCTACTGGTAACATATTCCCTTTTCGTTTCACTGTAAGAAGTAAGCATTTACTGAGGCGGATTAAAGGTATATTTCTCATATCTATCATGGGACTTCACGTGCGTTCAATTCATACGTCGAATATACTCCTTGGAGTTTTGACGTTTTTTGGGGGGGTCTGCCAATTTATTTCCGGGCTTATAGAATTAATCACCGGCAATACAGTAAGTTTATGCTGTGATTTTGTGCTGGGAGGTTTTCTATATTTTCTAACTCTTATCGGAATAGTTTGGTGGTACCTTGTTCTGTGCATATGCCGCCTTTAACTTCGCCTACGCGATGATTTTCCTACCAGGAACAGGGATCATAGCTGCATATACCGATCCCACGACGGGAGAGATTTCAGGCGAGTTTGAACAAGCCGTGGGTGTGTTTCTTCTGGCATGGTTTATCTTGACAGTGATCATGTCTATTGGGGCGATGCGCTCTTCCTGGGTTTTATTTGTCGCCCTAGTCTTCTTGAGCCTTTGTTTGTTGCTTCTTGCCGTTGGGAACATGACTGGCAATACTGCAGCGCTAAAGGCTGGTGACTCGTTTGGCTTAATTGTGGCATTTCTTACCTGTGAGTCCGAATATGTTTCTGTTCCCCTTTGTCAATGCGAAGTCGGTAAAGCGGTACTAATCAACATCGCAGACTGGGCAGGGGCTGCCGGGCTGTGGGCAGGAAACACCACAGCTATCAATCTCCCTACCTTTGAGATGTACAAGGGTGGCCAAGCGGCCTAAGTCTAGATGATTGTCCGAGCTATACGCTATGTTGGAATGCGTTCAGGAATTAGCCTTGTTCTACCGCTGACTCCCTGCAAAAGATTACTATAACTGTGTACGTTCAGGTATTGCCCTGCAGGACTGGTTTACAGTCTTTTTGAATTGCAATTAGTCATTCTGATAAGGAGGTATAAAGTACGCTTTAACCAGGGGGTGATTCTTATTCCTAATCTCTAATATCTTTTTTGGCTGATCATCAGCACCCTACGCCCTATATATCTCCTCCATCAACAGAATCACAGGGAAGAGTTGCGATGTCAGAATTCAATTTTATGTTAGGCTTCAAAGAGTCGTTTGGGCGCGACGTAACTCCAAATCCCTTATGGAATATAGCCGTGCAGAGACATGTAACTGCGCAACTTCTAGCAGTGAGCCCTTTCCTAACCTTTCCACCAGTTATCTTTGCCTTCGTTATAGACCCAATACTTCTTGATCGTTGATTATTATTTAAATTTCCATCTTTCCCCCACCGTCCCACTTGATCTCTAACCTTATCAAATCATCGTATTGACCTGATAAAAAGACCCTTCTGGTTCTGATAGACCACTTGTGTACCTTTCCCGCCTGCTAAGTTCATCTTGCAGCTTAAGACAGCCAGTTGCACAGGCAGACAGGAACTTCCACTCTGATGAAATCATTCACGATTTACTGGGAGAATGGGATGTCATTGACCTGGGCTGATGGTTCTTTTGTGAATAGTAAATGAATTTGAGCATACGGTATATCTCAGTCATCGGCTCCCTACGCATAGTTTCTTGTATCCTATGGTAAGCCTGCAAACATTCAAATCGCAAGCCACCCCAAATCTTCCAATGGTCCAGTCACTGCTTCTAACGTGTTCCATAACATCATAAAGCATACGTTTTACCTGTTTGTTGAACAAGTTGCATCTCAAAACTGCCACTGCTGCAACCCCCAATTCGACATCAAAGGTGCCAAGATTGGTCCCAGTGATCTCATTGTCGCACTCGCCTCCTTCGCCCTCTGGGCATCGAGAGCCATCGACATCTCAGAATTCGTCTCATCAATAACCGCTCGATAGGAGCTCAGTAGTTTTAGAGCCGGCTTCTCAGCCACATTCACATTGAGCTCTGCAACCCACGCAGTAAACTCAACTGGCTCGACTTCGTATTTTTTCTGAATGGCCGGGATGAGTGATGACCACTGAGTGCTTTCGGGATTGGTGAGATGGAATACTGCCAGAGGAGATTGATTGATCTCTGTGTCGTGTTTGTTATACCTCAGCTATGATCGACGAGAGAGTATCCTGAATATCATGATTAGCAAAACAAAGCCTCGTAACGAATCTGGGCAACTCTCTTACAACTGGAACCCAATCAACAGCCATCGAGCTCAATCCGTTGGGGATTTTCCCCATCACTACGACGTGGTGATGATTGTCGGGAGCCAGTCATGAGCATTGTGTCGACTCCTCAGGCTATAGTCCACCAACCGACGAACGCCTTTGATGTGAGTGTCTTCGAATGACTCTCCAGGCATTGCGAATGGTTGTGTCAACCGATTCCAGCAGTTCAGGATATTTGTGTTCGTCCAGGCCGAGTCATGGTTCTCCAAAAAGAGGCCTGAAGAAACTCGACCTTAGCTGACCAGTTATCAGGATCCACATGTAATCCCTTCTCGTCCAAAAACTTTTCTATCAACTCTCGGCATCTGAGCGATTCAGACAATATACATTCAAATTGAGGGAATGCTGAGCAGGCTGTGCATTAGGAATGTTTCCAGGGGTGCCAGCCAGTAGCGCGGGTCAGTATCACGATCAAGGGCGAATTCGGTCCAACTTGAGAGAATATATATTGCAGTTGCAAGTAATATCAGATGCGCAATTCTCTACTAAGTGCTGGATTTTCTCCCCTCAGGGGATTTTAATCTGTATATTGCGTTCCATGTTTGCATAAATGACCTCAGTCAGATAATGCGCCGTTGGGTTACCGTAAATGGCCGGAGGGGGTAATAATACCTGGTTTTATCTCAGGTCGGCGCAGATGGATACCTCGCTCTAACACTCTGGGGACTTGGATGGTTATCAGAGAGTCCAACCCAATGCTATATAGGTCTTGATTAATGGGAATGCGAGGCTGCTCGACGATGCAGGTGATGGTCTGATGAGAATGTTCTGTGATGCTCGCTTGATCTAGAGTCTCTGGGAGAAAGTGCTCCGGATTCTTCAAGGGCAGTCTCATAAATCGCATTGATCTCCTTCTCGTAGGCTTGAAGCATGGAACGTCGCTGGATTGTGCCTTTCGGGATTTCTTGAATGGCTTGGACTCTTGAGGCAATCCTAATCTTGCTCTTCATTATTCGGTCATGGGCGGCGATGGTCTGGTTTGCGATCTATGCTATCTGCCAGATGTATTCTATGAAAAGCTTCTGAGTCCATCTCCGGCATGTTTAGGTTCGGCTCTACCAGTAGACCAGCCTGAAATCGGGATTGGTTAACAACCACCACTTTTGAGATGAGTGGGTGCCCCTCTATGAAGGGTGCCCCTCTATGATTATTTCCATTGTGAGCGGATTGAATTTCTCTCCGTTGCTCAGGACAATCATGTCATATTGCTAAAAATAGAATATCCACAAGCAGAGGTTTGTAGGATGCCGGATGCCGGACGTAAAGATCGTTGGTTCGATTGACGTTTATGTCAGGAAGAGAATGGAAGATGCTGCGAAAATCCCGCGAATGGATGTTCCGCGAAATAATCATTCATATAGGCTATTGCCAGGACATCTGGATGCTCTATGATGGGTTCCACTCAAAGTAACTCCAGTTGGCTTCATCTTCCGGCACTAGCGAGGGGATCTAGCTAGTCTTATGGTGTGTTTTGCGCAGTCGATCGCCTGTCTCCTGTGGCAAAGGAGTACTAGCACCCCCGAAATATACGAATTTGTTTAGGCATTCAATGGACTCTAGCGCTATCTCAGAATGGCGAGAACTGATGGAGGGTAGAGCGCACCCGTTGGGCAAGTAAATTGCGCGAGTAATTGCATGAGTTCGATCAGATGTTCCACCGACAGTGGCTCATCAGGGAAGATAACAACAGGAACGCCATGGAAGATGGAGAATACAAAGGATATGAACCCCATCAAGTAGAAAAGGATGTTGTACGAGGACCCGATCCTGGTTGATCATGTAGAAGAACACGCTTGGCCGGCATCCTGTGCCATAGCATCCATGGTCGTAAAAAAGCCATTTTGAAGGGGGATAGGCTTTGGTATACCTGCAGAAACTGGAAATATTGAAACTACTGTTCGTTCCCGAATTGGATGAAATAGGTCGTTTCATCTTCAAGGTCGGCATAGGACTTTGTAGAGTAGTATGAACGCATCCCACTCTCACACTCAAGCATCCGTGTCAACGCGGAGCCCGCAATAAGCAATGCAGCAGCATGGGCATGGGCCCTACTCACCTTAGATACTGAGTGTTCTCTTTCTATAAAAGTGGCATGGTGCATGACTAAGTTCCGACAGCTCAATTGGACCAAGATAGATTTTTGACCAGGGAGAAACACGTGAAATATCATGCCACGCAAGAAGTCGCCGACCGACAGAGGGAGAAGGGAGGTCACGTTGACATGGGAGACATTTCGGTGGCGAGCTCCTACCAATCGCCGCGTAATGAACTTCGGGCATCACATCACCTCGCCTCCTCAGAGCCGAGGAGGTCGCAGCAGTTTTACCGAGCTTGCCTACCCGATAGCCGAGACTATTCCCTTTTAAAGCAAGCATACGAGATATGTATACTTCTATAACGTCACCTGTTTTGCTGTGGTTGTTATTAAGTTAAAAAAAAGAAAATGAGAGTGCAAGATAGAACATTCATTGTCTCCGGCGGGTGGGTGTGATCACACAAACATCATTAAAACCGGCTCAAGGTCACTAATATTGTTACATTCAGATCCTCCGGACTGGGCCTGGCAACTACCACAGCCTTGGCTCACAATGGGGCATACGTTGCGGTCTTTGATATTTCTGAACCTGCCAAAGCCATCGTGGAAGAACTCCCACCCAATTGGGTGAAATTCTACCAAGTAAACATTGCATCCACGACAAGTGTTGCAGACGCAGTGCAAGATACTGTCAAATGGAGTAAGGAGACGAACGCCCCCTTGGGAGGCACAGTTTGCTGCGCGGGAGTTCTTGCCCCGGGGAAGGTGACTTATACTCTTCTCGTCCTCAACCTCAGCAGAGGGACGCTGTCTGACAAGCAACAGATAATCAACTCTTCTTTCGAGCCGTTGGCTCTTGCAACCATCCAAAATGCCATCAACATCAATCTTGTCGGGACCCTTAATCTTATCCGTCTACTGGTCTCCCAGATTGCCCAGTTACCAGAATCAGTCGACCCGGAGAACGAATCCGAACGAGGGGTCGTCATCATGGTGTCTTCAGCTGCGGCTTACGATGGACAGCCGGGCCAAGTGGCATATTCAGCTACGAAAGGGGCCATCCGGTCACTGACGCTACCCTTGGCGCGAGATCTGAGTCGTTACGGGATCAGAGCCGTCTCTGTTGCTCCCAATATGTTCTCCACTGCTATGACCGCGAAGGGGACAATGCCTGAAAAGGCACGCCACGCGATCGAGCGCCATTTTGAATGGCCGGAACGAGCGGGGGAAGCCCGACGAATTCTCAGAGTTTGTTCTAGAAATATGTCGGAACCGGATGCTGAATGGATGTTGTTTGAGAATTGACGGGGCAATGAGGTTACCTTCTAAGTTTTGATCCCGGCCTCATAGACCTAGAGGGTTATCTAGTACCCGGTAATAGAGTTGATTTGGAAGTCTGTATACCCGTTTGTAGGTCTTGCTCAAGGGAAATAAAGAGAAATTGTTGTAGCCGTTAAGGATCGCTAAACGCAGTTGGAACTGCGCTAAGAGAGGTCTATTTTTATCAGTGTTTAGACGTTTTCAACTTTGATCCAATACTGCCGCCAAAACTGCCGTGAGCTGCTAATGCTTGACACATACGCCGTCACTCTACGATTTAAAACCATAAATAGCCATTCAAAGGAAAAGAGGGATCGAAAAACACTTGGCAGTGAATAAGTTGTATCTATAAGTGGGACCAGACTGGCTTTTTCTTGGCCGCGAAGGCGGCCATTCCTGTAGACATGATCAGCAACTGCGCAGGGTTTATACTTGATCCACGGCCCTTATTATGGACAGGGCTGACGTACCGATCTTTTGGTCCGCTGTTCCAAAAAGCCCGTGGAAGAGTCGTCGTTCGTACTCCGTGCCCTCTCTGAGCGGCAATTCCTGGCTCTTACCGACCACCTCCTTGGCTGCCAGCACCGCAACCTGGCCGTAGCTGGCGATTTTCTCCGCCGTCTTGATCGCAGCAACGAGCAATTCTTCTCTCCCACCGTCGACCACTTTGGCCGCGACTCCCCACTCCCCTGCCTCCTTGCCGGTGAAATTGTCGCCTGTTAGGATCAACTCCATCGCCTTGCTCTTTCCAACGATTCTCGTCAGACGCTGCGTGCCTCCAGAACCGGGAATAATCCCCAACTTGATCTCCGGCAGACCAAATGTTGCATCGGAGGTACAATAGAGGATGTCCGCCATGAGCGCGAGCTCGAAGCCTCCACCCAACGCGTAGCCTTTGACTGCCGCAATGACAGGCTTCCGGATGTTGTTCGCGAGGTGCGACCACAAGGCAACGATATTTTGCGAATATGCGCCCGAGAACGTCAACTCCGCTATCTCCTTTACGTCCGCGCCGGCTACAGTTGGACATGCAGGGGCACCAGATCAGCCCACCGTACTGGACGACTTTGATGCCCATTTTGGGGTTGGAGGGAGTGTCAAGCATACCAGCGAAAGCCTTCTCACTACCGGTTAAGATCATCGCACCAATACTCTTGCTTTTATCGAAGCGAGACAGCGCGTCGTTGAGTTCAGTAACCAGCGCATCGCAGAGAGCATTCAGCGCTTGCGGTCGGTTAAGGACAACTGCGATCGGTGGTGAGCGAGGATCTTTACTACCATCTGGCACGTCTGGTCCACGATCCGCCTGACGAATAACAATGGAACTGGTAACCTACTCAAGCCTACCCCAGGACTCGGAGTTGAGCAAATGATGTGCTCGTACACTGGCAGTACAGTTGACGACGCCATTAGAAGCTTATTCACTGCTAGCACTGGGCACAGGAAATGACGAGAATTGGGGCGGCGTAGCGACCTCTCTTTTTGGTTTGCTTGAGAACAGAGTGAAACCAATCAGCTCGCCCTGTAAACCATGCAGACGGATGACATGGAAACTAGAGGGGATTGTAGGAAACTCAGTCAAACCGGAGTAGCGGTCCCAGCGCGACCGAACAGAAGAGCGCAATAGCAGGGAATGATATCTCCGCCTTCCTGTCCACGTTTTCTTCTCCGCAATCCCCACAGCGAGTGGTGACCTCGGGAAGGCTTGCCGCGGCTCATCTTCGGTAATTTTTAGGTTGGTTGGAGCGTCGGTTTTGATGGTATTGTTCGGTAACCCTCGGTCCTGTCTTCACTGACTTTATGCGCAAACGGCTTCGCGTTGCTAAAATAGTCAATACAATTCTTTATTCCTAATAATTTGATGCGGAAGGAGTGATATTGATGGCATTCATCATGAAGGGTCCAATACTGGTGTAAAAAAGGATTCATCATGATAAGTCGGCAAATTATCCATCCAGTTTAGGCCAAGCTTGGCAAGCTGGGCAAAATCATGCTTGCCACGGCACTGGGACATTCACCATTCCAAAAATATTTGGAACAGGCTTTCTTTTCTGCCAACAGAACTACGGAACATCAAGGATAGAGAGACTACCAATAATAGAGGTCAGTAATGGCCAAATCCGTAAGGAAATTGGAGGAATCCTCAATTATTAGGGTGTTTGTCACGCAACGCGCACGAGTAGGGCTCCGAAAGGAATATGATTATTCGTGAATAATCATGAATATTTGCAATATGAATAATATGTATTGAATAATATGAATATGAATAAGCCCTGTATTCATATTTGCGATATTCATGAATAAATGAATAATTTATATATATTTATATAATAAAATACCATATATAACCATCTATTTTATTATATCCCAATACATCAACTAAGCTTATATAATCTGGTCCATAACAAGTTATATACAAGACTTTAGCTCTGCATCAATGAATTTATATGTATGTACCACTCTAAACTTATATATAATACTGCCCTCTCAATAGTATTAACCATCGTATAGTCTCTGTGTTGAGACAGTGTCTTCAGAGGCCTAAGATATCTCTAGCGTTGCTAAACTTGTATTTAATCCTAACCTCTGCAGAAGTAATAGATAGATAATCATGAGCAGCTTTGGCCATAAGTAGGAAATTAAATACGTTCGCCTTCTACTACTTTAGGACCTATTCTGTATCTATATTACTAATTATATAGTGGGACTAGTTGACTGGCGGGGAATCTAAATACTTATTAATATCCGACAAAGGAGCCTCTTTAGATAGCTAGACTTTGTATAGAGTTCTCTACATTGTTTCTGACATCTCCAGCAGACGTAGATGGTTAATCTTACGTAAAACAAATGGCTCCGGGGGATATTCCTTTTTTAAGAAATCCCGTACTTAAAAAACGAGAAGCCTAGAATGCTATTCGCTTATATGAGATATAATCAAAGACGACTTAATGCGCAGATCTAGTACAGAAGCTATATAGTAAAGAAGGTTATTGTTTATTTTTTCTAGCAAACTTATTCATCTTCTGAATCTCTCCTTCTACTGTATTACGAATTTTAATGTTTATATCTTTAAAATCCCCCTCCGTATTTCGAACGTTATTTAATAAGTCGTCTAAGCTCTAGTAAATTCGTAGGCTTTCTATAATTATTAGATAAGACTTTGAAACAGAATTTATATAATCCTAGAACAGCTTAAAGATCTTAGCTACTTACTAAAGTATCGACTATTCGTCACTAGTAAGCTAAAGAACTTAAACTTCTGGATATATCTGAACAAATTTTCCGAGCTGAGTTTATAGCCGAAGGGCATCCTAAATTATGATATAAGTCGAATTTTATCGGGTATTAACGTTATAACTGACTTATTTACTGGGTAATACTTCTTTCTCATCTTAGCAATGCTGTAGGCTACAGATAATCTATAGCGTTAGGAGCCGGACTTTTATAATTATACCTTTTATACTGTAAAAGGAGTTGAATACTATACTAGAATAAATAGCTATATCGTTAAGTATCGTCTTTGCTTTATAAGCTAAGCTAGCCCTTAAAGAAGCTAATACATCTCTACAAATCAGATTAAGGGTATAGGTAACAGAAAGAAATAAAGCTCTGTCGTCTATAGAACTGTATAAGAGGCCTAATACGAAAGCGGTCTTCTTTATTATTATACTTCTTAAGGAGCTAATCATACAGGCTATTGTAGAGTATCCTATTATTTTCTTTATTGTACCCTATAATAGTCAGAAGCTTTAGCGCAATATCTAGTTTATTAAGCATCTTTAATATAACTTCCGCCAGATTCTCTCTAGAATATAGTCTATTGATTTCAGTAGACTTAAGAAGTTTATCTTACTTTATAAACTTAGGAGAGATCTAATGGCTAATAATACCTATAATCGTAATCTGATTTTCCGATGTCTAAATATTAAGGGATAAGATAAGTATCCGGCTGCTCCTTGTAAGCTTCTCTTTTACAGAAGCCCTACTTAAATAGAATTCCTCCTTGATTCGGTTAAAGAGGGTATCAGCAGTCTTAATAGACAAAGTAGTCCCTGTTGCTTTAATAAGTACCCTAAAGCGCAGATACTCTACTACTGTAAAAGGTTGTCTTATTTGAATAACCTATTAGACTAGCATTTCTTCAACACTATATATCTTTCTCAGGGACTCCAAGAACCGGTCGAGGCTTCCTTTAACCACAGGTAAGAATATAGAGTTAGCCCCCGACTTAATACGATGCTTGGTCTAGAGATATATTAACAAATTCGAAGTAGAACTATAGCGCGCTGAATCTCTAGAGGACCAGCTGCAATGTTTACAAATTAGCAGTTAGACTTTTCTTAGTGGGCCACCCTGCCGACATTAAGTATTATCCAGATCTATAGTCTAAATGTGCTCAATACTCTAACTAGAATATACCTTGGGCTTTTGTCTTTTATACGGGTGCGGACTACTCGTATTGCTCCTGCTTTCTGAAAAGACAGGATTAAGCAGAGAGGGCGAGGAGCTAAGTAAAGAGTAAGACTGCTTCGATTAAGGCGTGTCTTCTAGGACCCTAGATAGAGAGGGCCCAGGAGAGTAAGGGCGTCCTGTTTCACAGGTAGATTCCTCAGATTGCTGTAAAGGCAAAGAAACCAGGCCATTGTGTAGAGCATTATAGTCCCGATGTGGAAGACTGTGTGTCCTCCGCATGGGCAGATTGGGTGTAGATGCCATGCTACTATTTCCTAGTATCAGTATATCAAAGTGGTATCGATAGTGGTATATAACATACCTTAAGCTATCTGGGCTGGGGTTAGAAACTGATAGGTGCTTGAAGATAGGATGATCGTTGACATACCTATTCATGTTCACGCTTTATATGCCCTTCTTGACGTGGAAAGTTGATAGGTCTCTTTTGTGTTTTCTGCAACGCGATATCGATTATTTTTGTTGAACGTAAACAAAATGCAGCTAGGGTCGTCTGAGGCTTAGGATTGTGAGGCAAACGCGTTTTTACGTGCCATTTCTCAGGACTATTATACGGACAAAGTTTGAAAAGAATCGAACTTGAATGAGGAGGGTGAGCAGATCTATTTAATTTATTGCCCAGGTTTATTCGTAATTGCGTTTTTAGATATACATAATCTTCACGGATCTTTGTGGTCGGTGTTAAGTTTCTATGAATAGGCACTTACAAATGCGTATCATATCTTAAAAAGATCAACTACGGTACATTACAACGTTCAGAACCTATACGAGCGGGTTGTAACTTCCAACGTATATTCGCAACGGAGATTCACAGTCCAGCGGTGCTGATGAAGTGATGGCATTGTGAAATCGACCTCTAAGCACATTTCGGTAATACGATAACCGCTGTACCGGACAAAGTATTAATGCGGCGAAATTTCACGATTTCAATAATATGAATGCGAATATGAATAAGGCGTGTATTCGCATTCCTTATTCCTTTCGGAGCCCTACGCACGAGGGCAAAGGGGAGTGGATAGCTTGGCAGACGGAATGGAAAGGGCGGTTTGCTCCGTACGGAGTACTCCATTCGAAATACTTTTGAACAGTCACTCTGCAAAGGAAATCTGGGTTTCACTGCAACCAATCGGTTGCTAGCGGTAAGTCACTGCTGCTGCCCTCGAAGACTCCCCAGATCCTACTCAGCGAACTATAATAGAGTAACTTAACGTGACGCAAGCCTTCCTTCGCTGAGCCAACTAATCAGTAAAACGGGTGACTGGAGTGGGGCTGCCGGGGCCGAACCGAGGCGAACTCGGTCCGACTAAAACGCCGGTAGCTAAAATTAAAAGGCGCTAGTGTCGCTTTCGCGGGGCAATAAGGTTTTGTTTAACTGCTAGCCTCGAGAATCCGCCGAGGTACTTTTGTTTTGAGTGACTTTTTAGGTAGTCTCCAGAACATTCAAAATGACGGACTGAACCCTGGCGGAATAAATGAAGGTCGCCACCGACTACGATCGAGGAGATGTTTTATTATCTTCTCATCATTCCATTGGCTTACCTACTTCATCAGTGGATATCAATGAGCGATCTTACCTTCACTACGGAACATGCGCTTTGTTCGCCATCAACGTTTAGTCCTCCACCAGTTTTCGGTGCTGAGATTACCTCCATCAAAACACATTTGGTTTCCAATTTCACGGCAATTGTACCGGCTGAACTGCTCGTCAACACGCCTACTGCGAATGCAACCGACGTGAACTTTTGCAATGTTACAGTTTCCTACACCCACCCGGGTCAAGGGGACAACATCAGCGTTACGGCTTGGTTGCCGATTGACTCGTGGAACGAGCGGATGGAAGGAGTTGGCGGCGGAGGATGGGTTGCTGGTGGGCCTATCAGCCAACTGGCCTACCCAGAACTCATCAGTGCTATCAGTTCTGGCTACGCCGGCGTTACAACTGATGCGGGCTTGAATGTCGGGGTGGATGTATCTGCCAGCGCATGGGCGCTTCTCGGTCCCGGCAACGTAAATCTTTATAATCTGCAGAATCTAGCTTCTCGCTCGCTACACGACCAAGCAGTCATTGGGAAAAGCCTCATTAAGGACTTTTACGGCAGACCGCCAAAGAAGTCGTACTGGAACGGTTGCTCCCAGGGCGGCCGTCAAGGCTTGATGCTCGCACAACGATATCCTGACTTGTATGACGGCATTGCTGCTGCTGCTCCAGCCATTAACTGGAATGCCTTTTTCACCGCCATGTATTGGCCTCAACTCATTATGAACTTGGCTGGGAAATATCCTCACGGATGCGAGCTGGATGCAATCACTGCGGCAGCAGTATCCGCGTGCGATGCTTTGGATGGCGTTCTAGATGGTGTAATCTCGAATACAGATGCATGCATTTTTGACCCCTTCACAGCTGTCGGCACCGTCTTTGACTGCTCCTCTACAAATACGACAATGCAGATCAGTCACATGGCAGCAGTAGTAGCCAATGCTACGTGGTCAGGCCCACAAACTGCCAAAGGAAACTTCCTCTGGTATGGGCCTTACCGAGGGTCAGATCTTTCAGGCAGTTCTACCGATTTGGGCCTTGCTGGGACACAATGCACTGGCGAAGTTTGCGTTGGGGCTCCACTCTATCTTGGCACAGAGTGGATGACACTATTCATTGAAAAGAACCCAGATTTCAATCTCACCAGCATCTCCCGTGAACAGTACGACGAAATTTTTCACGCTGGAAGGCAAGAGTTTGCTAGCATCATCGAGACAGCCGAACCAGATCTTTCGCAATTCAAGTCTCACGGGGGTAAGATCCTAACCTTCCATGGCCTAGTAAGTAACTTATTATCTATCGTCTCCACTCCACTACAGCAAGAAGCTAATTATATAGGCTGATCCCGTCATCCCTCCCAGAGGCACGGAGCGTTACTATAATGCTGTCAGGGCATTAGACTCTGATATCCATGATTTCTATCGATTGTTCCTTGCCCCCGGAGTAGCGCACTGTATTGGGGGGGTTGGTGGTCAACCTCATACAGTCCTAGAGGCCTTAGTGGAATGGGTTGAAAATGGCACTGCTCCTGAAACGCTACCCGTTAGCTTCACTAGCGCCAAAGGTCTCACCTACAACCAAATCCTCTGCCCATATCCACAGAAGTCAGTCCACATCCGAGGCAGTGACCCGACTTTGGCAAAGAGTTACCTCTGTATCTAACTTTCTGGTTCCTGTGGCCTGTGGCATCGATCCAACCGCCCTCTTGGTCATGTCTTCTCTCTTGTCTCATTTCTGCTCCTGCTTTCTCTCTACGGAGTTCCAGAATTGCCATCTATAGCGGGAGAACTGTCTGATATCCTGTCACATGCCCCTCGCCTTGTTGCTTAGTTATTGCATAAACCAGCAAGACTTCTTGTCGAACGCACGATAATTACCGCTAGGACTTCATTTATTCAGTATCCGCTTGGTCATTCAATATTCCGCAACTTCATAATTTAGTTAGATTTTTACCCCTTTGTTTGATGTATTTAGTCAAGCATCTTACTAGATTAGAATAATCAGAACTCTATACAAGAAGGCACGCAGCAAAGGTTCGGTGCAAGTCAATACATGGACCGCATCTCCGACACTTCTTTATAGCTAGCCTAAGATAGAAGAATATCAAGAATATATTTTTATAAGTTATAACCTCTCTGGTTTAATTATCTTACTTTTAATATCCCTCAACAGATAGCCCGAGTTTGTCCGACGTGAAGGACCGACACTGGGACCTGGAAGGAGGAATAGCGAGCATTATGTTCTTAGTCTTCTAGATTCTGTGATAGAGCGACCTTGGGTCATTATTGAAGAATTCAGCACTCTGACCAGTTGCGCTTGTCCATCATTGTTATCAGCGAATGGAACTCTATCAGGTATTTGCTGTAGGATCTCACTTCCTACTTGCCCTGTATCCTATAATTTCAACGATTATGTGTAATTTCTAAACCAGGTTATCCGGGTTTGACCACCCAAAACGATACAGTTCTCTGAAGCTGCAGCATTAATTATCATGACTGATTGCCAGCCTTTAAGTTCAGACAACCTTCAAACTTCAAGTATTAGAGCCGACGAAGGTCAACATCCTGCCTGGTAGATGAACATGATTCGGACGCAGACACCATTCGGATGAGCTCACCTGAGCTCTGGGACGGAGTGAATGTGGAGAATCTCTCTGTTATACCTAACAGCCTATTACTCTCGGAATGCGACGTGGTCAGGCCCCCGGGCTATGAATGGTGATGTCTTATGGTACGGACCTCGCATGGGGGCAGATCTGACCGGCAGCTTGGGGCTTGCTGCGACAAAATGTGCTGACGATGTTGGTGTTGGGGCACCGCTTTATCTCGGAACGGAATGGATGACGTTATTTATTAAAAAACACCCCGATTTCAATCTTACGAGAATTTCCAACCAGCAATATGAGGAGATTGTCTACGCTGGATGGCAAGAGTTTGCTAACACTATCGACACAACTGACGCTGATTTCTCAAGGTTCAAAGAGCGCTGTGGTAAGATCCTAACGTTTCATGGTCTTGTACGTAGTTTGCTTTCCATACCGGTCTCCAACTAACAGGGAGAAGCTAACGATATATGTATAGGCCGATCCCGTCATCCCAGCGCAAGGCTCAGAACACTACTATGACAGTGTGGCAGCATTAGACCCCGGGATGAATGATTTCTACCGCCTTTTTTTTGCGCCTGGAGTGGCGCACTGCTTTGGTGGCCCTGGAGGTCAGCCCTATACGGTCCTAGATGCGCTAGTCGAATGGGTTGAGAATGGCACTGCCCCTGACACTCTTACAGTTAGCTTTATAAGTGCCGCTGGGATGACATATTATTAAATCCTCTGTCAATACCCATTAAAGGCTTTATGTAGTCAAGGAAGCGACCCGACTTTGGCAGAGAGCTTTTACTGCGGTAGGAGTTTGATGGAGAGTTCCTCTCCCTCTGGCGGAAGATTCCGCAGTTTCGTCCAGGACCAGCGCTTGCTGGATGTTTCCATTTGAGGCCTATATTAGACCTCTCCTTTGCCTTCTGGGTATAAAAAGTGCTCTAGAAGATACGTTGTAGCTTCTAGAGACTAATGGCAATATTCCTAGGAGCTTTGCTATAGTCCTAGGAGTAATTTACAGTGTTCCTAGGACATATTTGGCTCTAGGAGCTAATCTGAAAGGTTCTAGGAACGGTGGTTAATGGCCCTAGGAGCTTTGACTATTGCTCCTGGGAGAATATATTATGCTATAAGATACTGTACGCTGTGAGTCTAGGTGGATTTCTATTAAAGCTATACTGTCTGTCTTTGTGTTCTCTCATCAAATCTTGAAACAGGATAAAGTATGTATGGGTATCTAGGAGATATAGATTCTAGACGGATTATCCTGATGTCTTTTTGCTTCTGGGAGGTATCTCCTTCGCTTTAGTATTATAATACTGCTAGGTACTCTAAGAGGCTGTATAAAGGATTTTAGAGATTATATAGGCTTCCCTAGATATTTAAAGTCAGACTGGTAATGTTCTAGAAGTAAATTTTCTAGGTCTTGTTATTTATTTTTAAGATTATGAAGAGAAATTATAAAAACTAGGGAATAACTAATATTTCTATAATATTTGATCCTTGGATACTAAACGGTTTAACGACTTAGCTGCTCTATAGCCTGAAGATAATTTAAAGTAATTACCCTTATGCTACTGGTATATAGCTAATATTTATTAACTTCTATTATAGCTATTATAGCTATTATAGCTTATAGCTTATTATAATGAGGAAAATATAAACGAATATAATCCTAAATGTGAAAGTAATAACGCAGATATGATCCAGATAGACTTGTCTGAATTCCGGAATACTGTAGATAATTTCGATCTACTGGCTATTCTAGATAGTGTGAGGCTTTCAGAATTGTAACAGGCCCAGGCCCGAGGAGATATCACATAGTATCACGTAACCTTTTCCTGCGGGAAAACCAGACAGAAGCTCACATAGATAACTCTTCTTTAAGATTATTGTAAACAGCATACAGGCCTAGCCCTCATTAAACAGTTGTCGCTGCAGCCCTTCACAGTCAAATCATAACACAAAACAGTATCTTGCTTAAGGCAGAAAATAGGCAGCTACATAATGAAAATACTATATAAAAGAAAAAGTATATTCGTACGACTAGATAGATAGCTTACGAGGATAGTATATCTGTTCAAGAAGCACTAGAGCTCAAGGAAGCTTATATTACGTTCTTTCAGGCAATACTAGGTCTATACGTACCGCTAGCACAGGGTACACAGAGACCGAAGGTATGGGCCCTATCTGAATGTGGCAATTACAGTAAAATAGGGCATAAGAAGAATTCTTGTCCAAATAGAGAATAATGAATATAAAGGCGGGCGTTTTGGTTGATACCTAGGTATATATATATAAATGGGTAGAAGAAGTAGGCGGCTGCGCAGCTCGCTTACCAACCACGTTAGTTAGACATTCATGCCTGAAATATACGGCAACAATATGCCAAATCCAAATTGTGTGTTGGCGGCAAAAAGAAACGTACAAATATCCAGTAGGGATGTGGCTGTATTATCTATCTAGCTTATTGTCACATCTAGTCTCCGATTGAAAGTAATAATAAATGGTGATGGTTGGTGATTGGGTATTCCAAGGTTCCCTGGACTTCTTGTAGTGTTTCCGCCCGCTTCTAAGCTTCCCGCCCCATTCAACTTCAACCCTTCAAAGCCCGAGCTGATCACCAACAATGCAGCAATAGCATGATTATGTCCATACAAGAGGGGTCTACAATACTCCTCTCAAATGACTCCCAAACAATCTTCGTTCTCGACACCCCGCATTCAATCGCGCAGGCGCAAACTCTGAGCTCCCATCAACTAGCATCGCACCCACAATCAAACGGGTCGTCTGAGCCCGCGGCAGGAGAGGAAAGCAAGCAATCAAGAAAAAGATATCTTCTTTCAACGACACCGCTCGAAGCTCCATATCCATCGACAACGGAGCCCAAAACGGCCTCTGCTCGCGCAAAGGTTCTGGCTCGGATTCCGGAGAGCGAGCGTGTGTTCCATGCAGCTATTTTGCCTATTGTGCAGCATGCTTTGGGGGTCATTCGGGAGCAGTTTGAATCTCCTGGAAACTACTGGTCTCTTCCCCGGCACATTGATCAAAAGATTTCTCCTGTCCGTGTGAAGACGGACTCCGGGGTCTGTGATTCAGCTTCAGCTTCAACTTCCAAGAAAAGACCGCGGACGGACTCAGTGTACCAAGAAGATCTTGCGCATCGGATCAAGGCTTGCGATGCCTCATCGTTATACGAACCCGAACTAGGGGTAGAAGCTCCATTGATCTTATCTTCTACTTCCCCCAATCTCTTTTCCTCGACGTCGGAATTGGACACTATCGTGAAGAATCCGTCATGTGAGCCTGCGACTCTATCAGTCTCGTCACGAGATGAGACTCTTGTCTCAGCCTCGACCGAATATACTATCCCACCAAGGTCAACATTCATCCTCTGCGATATTCCCTTGTCGACACCTAAAGAGTATGAACGACCACTGGAAGTCATTCCCGGCATGCCGGAAGATCAAAAGTTCAACCTATTTCTCTTCGACCCACCCTGGCCTAACAAATCTGTTCGACGAAGCCGACATTATCAAACACACCCGTACGCGGAGATGGAACTGCTCACGCAGCGGCTGGCAGATATACTCCACGCCCATGCATATGAAGCAACATCGCCCCCGACGATCTCACAAGAACCCGGCACAACACAATTCCAAACCCAAGACTCTATCGCTGCAATATGGATCACAAACGCTGAAAAGGCAAGACGTACAGCTTATACTGTCCTATCTAGCTCCGGTTTCCACGTTTGTGAAGAATGGATATGGATTAAAGTGACTGCTACAGGCGAGCCAATTTGCCCGATCGACGCACTGTGGCGAAAGCCCTATGAGATCCTTGTCATTGGACGCAGAGATCATAATGTGACCAACCAATCTTGCTTCTCATTCCATGGTTCCTCCGACTCTGCATTGAATAATATGCACGCGCAGGCGGACGGAGGAGGGGCCTTCGGAACTAATTCGGAACCCGATTTCCAGACCCTGCCTCCGACTGGCAAAAATATTACGAGACGGGTAATTGCAGCCGTACCGGATATTCACTCGCGCAAACCGAATCTGCGAGAACTTTTCGAGCGAATTTTCTTCAAGAATGTGGTTTCTTCTCCGTCTTCTCAGGCTCAGGACCAGAATCAGGACCGGGCCCGACCGTACACTGCGCTTGAGGTGTTTGCGCGTAATTTGACGGCGGGTTGGTGGGCATGTGGGAATGAGGTGCTCAAATTCAATGATAGGAAATGTTGGGTTGATGAATAAATTGGTGAATAATTCTGTTTGGACGATAGTGCCACGTCAATCAACTACCGAAGCAAGGGGGGGAGGTCAATCCTTGCCCGATCATAATCGTACACTGGGAATCCTAGACTTGAGCTCGTGCAATCGGGGAGTTCCCCACAGATCAAGGTAGATCTTATCTATTAGAATGACAACCATTGGACATTAAACGGATTTGAATGGGGCCCGGTCCAAAATTGAAGCACGTCAAAAAGCGCGGAAACTGGCCGCGGCTGACTCACGGCCGATTGTTCAGCAATTGCGGTGACAGAACTTCGCATCTACACAGATATAATGGGAACGTGGTTTCAAAATTTATTTTCCATCTATAATTCAATTCAGTCTTATTTTCCATCTGATCTGATCTGATCAGAAATTATTCGCAAAAATCAACTAAGGCGGCTAAATTTCGGCCCATCGTGAGTCGGATCGGGGATTTTCAGCTTGATAAACTCGGCTTTTCCGTGGTCGGTCTTTTTTTTGCTTGCGTGGCTGTTCCCCTGTTTGGTTTTTTCGTTTTTCTTCTCTTCTGCTTTTGTTTGGATTTCCAGCGACCAGTCGCGATCTCAGTTTGAGTCGCTCACTCACCCCCCTCACCCCCCTCCCCCCTCATAATGGCTCCGTCCGCGCCAATCGATCAATCCGACCAGGAGAAAGGCCCGAGAGTGGCTCTTGCGGAGAAGCCCGCCGCTATGCGCCCGGCATGCTTCAGCTCGACCCTTCAAGAATGCCTGTTCGTTTTAACGGCGACAATGGCTATTGGCCAGCAGTCCTTTTTCCAGGGATGTATTGTCGGCGTGACAGCGTCCATCGGCGCAGATTTGAACATGAACTCGGCGGAGATTACTTGGATCAATGCCGGTGCATCGTAAGTACTCTCCCGAACTATATGTTCAAGCTTTTTGTTTAAATACTCCATAAAATACTCCATTGCTAACTAGATCACCTCAATATAGTCTCAGCAGCGGCGCTTTCCTACTCACCTTCGGCAAACTAGCTGATATGTTCGGGCGCAAATCACTCTTCATCATCGGTATGGCAGGATTTACCCTCGCCTTGTTAGTCGCAGGTTTCGCCACGAACGCAATCTACATGGACGTTTTCTCCGGAATTCTAGGCCTGTTCGCCGCAGCCGTTGTCCCACCCGCCGTCGGGGCTTTGGGCGCAGTCTATGAAAAACCGTCCAAACGAAAGAATCGCGCCTTTGCCTGCTTCTCCGCGGGTAACCCGCTCGGTTTTGTTGGCGGCATGATTATATCTGGCGTTGCGTCGCATGAGTATAATTGGCGTGCGTCGTTTTGGGCTCTAGCTGTCGTTTATGCTATCTTTACCGTGTTGACGATCTGGACTGTGCCGCCAGATGCCTTTGCTCGGACGCCTCTAACTATGAAGGAATTTCAGCGGTTTGATTTGCTGGGTACGGCGCTTATTATTGTTGGATTTGCTTTCTTTTCCAGCTCGCTTTCGTAAGTTGCGCTGGCCCTTGTTCAATTTAGGTACTTTGGATTGCCTTCTAATTCGTTATCAGATTGGCCGGCGATGCTCCCGACGGCTGGCGAACGGGCTATGTCCTTGCCCTTTTTATCGTCGGTATCGTTCTTCTCGTCGCATTTATTTACTGGCAATCAGTGGCAAAGAACCCATTGATGCCGCTATGGGTGTGGAAAGATCGCAATTTCTCCCTCGTATGTTCTGTGGCCTAGTTCTTCTACTAGCTGAGAGACAACTAATTTACCTTCTTACAGCTTATGGCAACTTTCTGTCTCGGCTTCATGGGCTTCGCGGCGGTCACTTTCTTCCTATCACTATACTTGCAAGAAGTCAAACATCTCACCGCACTCGATATCACCGTGCGCCTGCTGCCTATGGTAGTCAGCGGTGTTCTGGTCAACGTGGTCTGCGGCTTGATCCTGCACCGGGTCAGCAACAAGCTGTTGACAGGCATTGGCGCATTGGCGTACACGGCTTCCTTCCTGATTTTGAGCTTCATGAAAGAAGACGCCATCTACTGGGCATATATCTTCCCGGCGCTGATACTTGTGGTGGTGGGCGCTGATATCCAATTCAACGTCACGAACGTGAGTGCCCCAGAGCGAATTGATTCCTTTTCCGAATGCTGACAATAATAGATGTACGTCATGTCATCGCTACCACCATCACAACAATCCATCGCCGGCGGTATTTTCAACACTGTCAGCAAATTGTGCAATAACCTAGGCCTTGGCATAGCGACTTCGGTGAATAGTGCCGTCGCTCATCAAATGACCGCATCTACCCCGGCTATTCGCCCCTATCTAGCGACGTACTGGTTTGCCGCAGCTGGCGCGGGTATCTCACTTTTTATGGTCCCATTTCTGACCATCGGTACCCAGGGCGGAGATATTCCTGATGAGCAGGATCAACAGGGGACAAGAGATGCGGGTGATTACAGTGAGAAAAGTACCATTGTGAATCCTCCGGTTATTGGGGATCCTGTGATATCTCCAATTTTGTCGAGGGAGGTTGTCAAGGAGTGAATTTTGCAACGAATAACATACATAATGGAATGCATAAAAGCGTTTGAATTTAATGCAGCGGATTCTCTACTTTTTTTGCTTCTTCTTTTTAATAGGCGAACGAAGCGATATAAATATTGGAATGGTTATATTTTTCGAAGTCTTATGTCAGTTGTTTTGAAATTACGATGAATTTTGGTCCAATTGAAATGAACAGTATATTCGAAGTATCTATGCCCAGAAGAAACAGTACTCAGTACTCAGTCCCTAAGGGCCCATCTTCTGTCTCTTCGTTGGTTCTCGTGTCTCCCTTGTGCCAATCCGTAACGCAGCCTTTGTCATCGCTCGTGCGGTCACAGCAGTCGTAGATGAATTTGTCGGGATACGCGGCTCGGTTGTCCTCAGTATCCATAGGTCCGTGAGTGCATTCATCGTGATCAGCAAACGCATCCTCATCCACTTCGGCTTCGCCTAAAGATAAGGTCAATCATGACGATCCAAATCGTAGATATGAATCAAATATTCAAAGCAAAGCTAGGTGATTGCTGTTGCTCTTTAGTACGTACTCCAATGATATTGACAACTCTTCTTAGTGTTCGCCACGACGTCAAACTCCCTCTCGCAGTTTATGCAAAGAGCATAGCGCGGTCGAGACCTTTTAAACCCTGTCGTCTGTGGGCTTGGAACAGGATGAGGCTTGGGTGGATTTCCCTCGTCGCCCTCGTCGCTGGCTTCGCTGGGGCTAGGCGTGCGGTCGGGCGAGCGAGGTGTGCTTGGTCGAGGAACGTCCTCTTCATTCACGAAAAGTTTGCTCCTGTAGAAATCTCTGGCAGCATCATTTTTCTGGCACAGAACTCTAGTCATTTGTACTAGTTTTGGCCATGATAAGCGGCCGATTGCGTTATTAAGTTTGGTCGCGTCCTCGTCGACGCCGGTGGGGTCTGCCATGGCTAATGCGAAGGTTGGAATTTTTGAAGAAGTGCAAATGGGTTTTGGACGGAGGTTATAACAGAAATTGGCTTGATTTGATGATTTGGATGAAAGATGGAAGTAATGGGTTTTGAGATCTATCAATTTTATTTTCTCGCGACTCGCGACTCGCGACACGACGCGTTGACAGTAGTACTGTACAAATATACGGGTACTGTAAGACCTCGTTATAACGAATTAATTCGTTATATCGAGGTTTTTGTTGGCGGGCGATCAATTGGGTTAGTCTAGGACTGCTAGCGATGTTTTACATTATGATCTCAGAGCAGTTACTGTTGTTGGAGCTTCCCATCAACCACCTTATAAATTATCCTTTCGGCCCCTCTGTAATTTGAGCCAGGATGAGACCTGCTCTAATTGTCAGAATAGTAAGGCTTGCCGCGAGGCCACAATTCGTGAAGTATCGGAACCCCCCCCATACTGAATCAGTCGCCGTTTTGCAGCTTCGGGGTCTGTTGGTTCGTGCCAGTCCTTGATACAGGGGTCTTCCTCGCCATTGTGGTCGCAGCATTCGTAAATAAAGCCATCTGGATACTCCTCCCGCATTTCGTCCGTATCGATTATTCCGTGACAGTCTTCGTCGTGATCAGCAAAGAAATCCTCATCCGGATGAGAATTGTCTGTGTTAATATTAGTGTCAGGGTTCAATCCATACAAGTGAACCGTCATGGGACATGCCAGGATGATAGGTACAGCTTTCCGACGTGTTTTCAGCGACGTCGAATTCTTTTTCGCAGTTTTTGCAGACGGCAAAGCGCGGTCTGGTCCTTTTCAGACTCCCAGGCTTGAAGGCGGGCTCGCTTGCGACGGAGTCCCCATCTTCCTCGTCCTCCGCGTCATCTTCATTCTCATCTTCATCGTCCTCATCCTCTCCATCCTCTCCATCCTCTCCATCCTCGTTCCTGTGGGCTTCGAGGAAACGGGGGCCGGGACGGGGTAAGTGACCAAATGGGCGCCGATACTCGGGCTCAGGAAGTTGTGGACCAGGAACTTTCTCTTCTTCCACGAAAAGACGAGATCTGAAAAATTTTCTGGCCGATGGATTTTCCTCGCAGAGGGTTTTGCACAGCCGTGCCAGCCTTTCAGTTGATAACCGGGTGATCGCATCTTGCAGACGCTCCGAGCTATCGATGACCGGGTCTGCCATTTTGGGCGTGGTAATTGGAATGTCCGCAGAGACGCAGAATGTCGCGGACAGACGAGTTGAGGGTGGGCAGTTCCAGTTCAAGCTGGCAATTCACGCGGATAAAAGATCGAAAGTGGTGGGTGAGGGTTGCGATGTATCTCGTCTTGCTTCCCGCGACGTGACGTGACGCGTTTGCCAAGTTGGGTTGGCCTAATGTCTACGCAGTGTTTTAGGGCGCGTGGAGCTTCTCCACAGTAGCAATGGAAATATATTAATTATAGCATTATGAAGAAAATATAGCTATAGAGTTGGCACTAGAAACACTAAATTTTTCTAAACAGCTGGAATGCCGAGCGTCCAGTGCCCAGGTGGATTTATAGGTGATTGATAATGCCACGACTAATTTCCAACCAGACCCATCCGATTCCCCCAAAGCTCAAGATAAATTTGAATTTGGAAAGATATGTAATCAAAAATATATATATTGGTATTAATAGTTCCATAGACTTCAATGGTTTTCCAAGCTGGTAGGCCCGAGTTGTTAAGTACGAAAAAAGCATACACGCTAAGGTATGGATGAGTATGGTATCTAAAAGTTTTATCCTCAAAGATTAAAGTATTAGCGGTTCTCATATTTCCTCAGATTGTCCGAGTCCAATTCCGGCGTCTCTGCGCCCGTAGGTAGCTCCACTAAACGTTGTTGACCAGACAGCTCCACGAATCGTTGTTGAGCAGGCTGTGAATATCCTGTCGGCATCTCGATTGGCCGTGGAGGTTGGTTCTTCGACCGTCGTCGTCGGATCAAGAAGAGCGCTAGGAGTGCTATCAATATAACTGCTCCCGCTGCGACTCCGACCCCAACACCTGCTTTGGCTCCTGTTGAGAGTCCTGACGAGCCTGATGAGCCTGACGAGTCTGTGGAGGTCGAGGATGTAGTAGACGTGCTGGTTGTGGCGGCGGTTGTGGCGCCAGTGGTGGTAGTGGCGGTATTCGATGCAGGTGTGCTGAAATCGGTGGACTGCCATCTAATATAGACGCCGTATGCGTTGACGTGCTCTTCGAGGCTCAACGCAGTGCTTGAGCTCGACGTGGAATCGCCTTCGGTCCAGGTGTATGTGAATTCGGTGGTGACATCGGGACCTGGGCTCCATATACAGTCTATCGACTCTGAGGCGGTTGATGACTTTGACGGTCGGGTCACATATGTGTGGCCATCGAGTCTGAAAATCCCAGGTGCGTGAGTATCAATGCGGCATGAAGGGGGTCTTTGACCCGCGAAGAGGACTTAGACTTACGTTGGACAGCATGTTGCCGCGGTTTCGGTAATGCTTCCATCAATCACTGTGCCACTGGCAGCAATCCCATAGCCCGAGGGGCATATCCCTGGAGAATAATAACTCGTTTTCGCCCAGCCAGATGGAAGGCATTCAGTGTGGCTTATAGGCCCCAGGTTCATCCATGTCTTTCCGCTAGTACTGCCGAGCCACAAGTCACTGACGCATGAATCCGGAGGCGTGAAGTTCGTTGTCAAGGGAATATGCCCTGTCTCGGTTACGCTTGTGGAGACTATCGTTGTGCTCATGGTGGCAGCGCTGCGGTCTTGGCGTCGCTTGCGATAGCAACAACGAACGCACTCCGCAGGATTGAAAGAAGAACAGGGGATGTGAAAGTGAAGACCCTGAGCGGATCGAGATTGAGCTCTCCAGTTGAGATGACGACCCCGTCCTAGAGTCCTGGGGCCATTTCTGGCAGCACCAGACACTTATCGCTCCTTATAATGAGCCCGCTTAACCTCCTTCATTAGGCCTTAGCGTATTGTATGGCCTAGTATTTTCCCTCCACAATTTGATAGATCCCTTCCTAATGGGGCACAAGATATCTGTTTCGTATTTACGGCTGAAATAAGAGTGGAGGCACGGAAGGGAGATCTACAGGTTTGTATTCTGCTTGAAGGAGCCCTAGAGCACTAGCACGGTTAATTCTCGCCCCCACGTTTCATCGACGGCTTGGAAAGGCAGAGATCTTCTACCTGCACCTCTTTTCTGGAAATAAGTGCGAGTTTGATTTCTGTGAGGCTCTGCCACACTGGCGTCATTTCCGTACTCACGGGTCCGGCATTTATCACAGTCAATAGTACAATTTGAACATATATTCCCACATGTATTATGCTCTTAAGCATATCCGGACTTCAACCTTTGACTCCATTTCCGAATCATTTATCTACTACTACTGCTCAATTGAGATGTCGAATGTATGGATGCTTGAGGCCAAGGCTAGTAACCATTCCAAGTTCAAGTTGCTAGTATAGTATACTTCCGAGTCGTACACCAGTACTAGTAGTATAAAACAACCCCCTCCACTTCCCGCAGGTGACAGTAGGCCCCGTTCAGCGATCCTGCAAGCCCCCTTCTCAAAAATCACAGGTAGTCAATTTGACCTTGAGAAAAGGTAGTTCGTCCCCTGGTCCAATAGAAATCATGAGATATAGATTCCAGGGCTATCTGTGCTGGGCGTACCCTTAGCGTCTCAATTCGCCGAGTGAATAGCTCTCCCATTTGCTATGCGCCTCTTCGTAGCTTCAAAGTTAGACCCTTGGTGCCAACCCGTCGTACAGGGCGTTTCATCACCATGACGATTGCAGCATGGGTGGATAAATGCTTCTGGGAATTGTTTCTTATTTTCCCCTTCACTCGCATTGCGGAAGTTTGGGTCATACAAGTCAAGTTCCTCATCCTCGTGGGATTCTTCTAAGATGAGTTAGCCCCAGTATATACTACTGGCATATTTCGCCTGGGAATAGCTAAGACTAGATAGTTCTGTACATACCGGGGTGATAGGAACAGCTTTTCGGAGTATTGTCGGTAACATCAAACTCCTCCTTGCAATTTACGCAGAGATCATATTTTTCAAGCTCTCGAGACCTTTTGAGATTGATAGTCTTTGCGGCAGATGTAATCTCTCTTTCGATCTCATTGTTGTCTGTGGTAGAAGCTCCAGGTGTGTGGGTTGCCCCTGAGTTGGGAACCTCAGACTCGTCCACGAAGAGGGAATCCAGAAAGAGCTCTCTGGTAGCGGAGCTTTTTTCACAAATAGATTTGGTAATGGAGACCAATTTGTCGCGTGATAGTCGGTCGATTGCAGCGTTGAGTCGAGACGCGTCGCAAACAGAGTCTGTCATTGCGGATGGGAGGGAAAAATAATAACTTGAAACTTGAAAGTGCCAGGCAGGCTGATGGGGAACGATTGAAGCTGGATACTAGTTTTTGACAACTTGGATTGATGGTTAGAGTTTTTCTGGCTTTCTGTGAGGGCCCCGGGGATTGTGATCTTTCGTCTTGTTTGCTTGGGGGCGCTAGCGGGACTTGAAGCTACGCGTATTGGAGAACTCGTCAAGAAAAAGCAGCCTGACTTCAGGACGTATCAGATTAAATCAGCTCCGGAGTGACAGGCTATCGAAAAACATACGAAGATTCTTGGAAAAAATGAGAATTTCCGGTATTGTACAATAGCTTCCCAGCTTGAAGATTATACTACCTGAGCAAACTGCTCGGTTGATGCTCAAAAAATTCCATATATTTTATATCTTGCCCAGATGCACTTTGCACGTGTATAAACATCACCTGGGCAAGCTTAACTTCAATACTAGTAGTAGTAGTACTAGTACTAGTACACCAATTGAATCTCAGAACTAGTACGTAGGTATGTTATGAATGGCACCTGTAGTATGCAAGTGTACCCGGCGATATATCTCAGATTCCTTATAGTCCCGGCGAGATTTCTGAGCAATACTAAGCCAATAGGCCGGGAACTTGAAGTATTATGATCTGTATCATCAATGATTGTGATCCCGACAAGAGAAAAAAAAGATAATATTCCAATATCGTGGTCTTGGCTGTATCGTCGACATGTGTACTGTAGTAGCTTTGGCCAGGCTGCCACCATCTAATCAAATAACGGGCCCAGACTAACAAGACTAAACCGCAAATCAGGATTACCCCCATCAGCCTCAGTCTTCAAGAATCGACGCACTCCCAACGCCAGCGCAGCCTCACTCAACGCATCTTCATCCTCCGCCAACTTCCCCCTCGCAAGTGGACCCCTCCGCCTCCCATCCAGCTCCCACAAAGTCCCATCATCCCCCCCTAACAAACGCAACAAAGTGCAAATCAACACTATCCTCCGCCTCCGGCGCCGCAGTATCCCCCAACTTAGCCGCATCCGCATGGGCACTTTCCAGCGCCTTGCTTTCGTAAAGAAGATCCGCACGCTGGGCCGGTGCCAGGTTCTGCGCATCACGGAGGAGCTGATCTAAGTCCGAACCGGGGGTGATATGTTTTTTGCTCTCGCCGTTCGAGACGGCATGTAAGAGGCCGATGAGGCCACAGGCATTGCGGATTGTTTGCTTGAACCATGTTACTGGTTCTGCGGGGCCGGAACCAGTGTATTCGGGGAGGGAGCTGTCTTCGGCTGTGCGAGATTTCTCGTAGGTGGCTGAGACGGGGAAGACGAGGAGGAGTGCGTGGGAGGGGCGGGGACGAAGGCTAGGAGATCTGGTTCATCGATGGAGAAGACGTCTGTGAAGCCGATTGTTTTGGGAAGGCCGAGTTGGTGGACTAGGTGGGACATCACTTCTGGGTTGTTTTCTGGGATGGGGTTAGCTTTGGTTTTGTGAGGGGTTCGGTGGTGAGAGGGTGGGGTGTACCGAGGGGCACGAAGGCCTTTTGGGTGTTGGGGACATCTGGATTGTCGGTCATTTTGGATGGTTTTATTTGGAGATATTTGGATGTGGTGAGTGGATGGTCACTGGGAGGAATGAAAGAGTTGAAGAGGTCAAGTTGGAGCTGGCGGGGAGTTTGGTGGCTGCGGGGTTGTAATCTTATCGCGCTTCTCCACACGAGCAACAAAGCCTAGCTTACCCTAGAGGGTTGAATACATGGATATACTACATCAATGTAAATATCTAGAAGGTTACCATTTATTGCAATATCTCATTCATGTATAGAGAGAGTTTTCTATCGTAGTATCGTCAAGGTGTCATTTCGTTTACGGCCTTTATTGCGTCTTAGATGGCTGCGCGCCCTGCTTCAACGGCGCAAAAATGTCTGTCCATAGCTCACTCGCTTCACCTAGATAATAGGTCAAGTCGACATCAGCCATACTCGTATTCTCATCCCCGGACATTGTTTCGAGCTGAGAGATGAGGTTCTCCAAACCAAAGGCCTTTCCGGTGGACTGTGTGGCGCCAGCTTCGAGCATGACATTGACAACATGGATATGGAAGTGGTAATAAGTAGGTTGATCTGACACGGATGATTAGCCTTTGGCCCTTTCGAGAGAACAAAAGGAAGATACTGAGTCCACTTACAATGCACGTAGAGCTTAAGCTGATCCTGCTCTAAACCCGGGTAGATCGATACCGTCGCCTCTAGAACTCGCTGCCGCAGATACCGCAGCCAAGGGATATGGCTCTTTTTAAGATCACGCAAGCTCCAGATATCCCGTCGGTCTATCAACGCGAGGAGATGAAGAGAGCTCAGGGTCTTCCGATCCCAATTGAGATCCGGTAGCATGAGGAATGAATCCTCTGGGCCGTGTCCGGGGTCTCGCATAATAACATCTTCCTGCTCAGTTCGACCTTCCAGGATATTGAAAACCCAGTTCAATCGTCCCTCCTCGCGTTTGGCCTGCATAAAGGGCCTGACGTGCTGCTTGTATATATCCGGGGTCTCGGTAACCATGCGGACTTGTTGGTCCGAGTATTTTTTGATGTGTTGTGCCGTGCATGGCCAGATCAGGTTGACCTTCAGATCTTGCTGTGTTTCCTCTGATGTTTGGCTCTTGCCATTGGAGGAAGCAAGGTACCATCGGTAGATGTCATTGTCACCAAGGTTTTTGACTCGAGTAATGGCGGCGTGGAAGGCTTGGAGGACTTCGAGAGATTCTGTGGCGAAGGCGGCGCGTTCGGCTATGAGGATTCCCTGCTCACCATCGATTGTTCCTAAAACAGTGATGCGTCGGCCTTGCTGGTCTGCACTTTGGGCTTTAGCTGATTGTATACCGCCGGGGGAGGGGGGGGGAGTAGGCAATGCGTGGGGTACCTTGTTTGAGCAGTTTTCCAACTTGAAATTTGGCGATGAGGCCTTCAGCGGCAGCCTTGGAGCCATTGTGAGCTCCAGCCATCTTAGGCCAGTCGATTATCGTGAAGACGTGGGGAATTGACAGGGCTTGTGAAAAAGAAAGCCGCGGAGAGTTGAAAATCGCCAGTTCGACTTGCCGCGCCAACTGGCGAGTTACGTAAGCAACGGAGGTCGAGTTCGGGCAGCTCGGCCGTCTTTGTCTTCGCGATCCTCCGACCCTTCGACCCTTCGACCCGTTCCACCATGATTGTGAGCTATTGATGCTCAGCTCGAGCTGACTTTCACATTCACTCGCGCCACAATCATCGACCATAAGAGCCTTCTCGTGAAGACCTTCATCCCTCGCCCCCACCTTCGCCCTGAAGCTCTTCAGATCTCCCCGCCAACCCGAAACCGAATTCTTTCAGCACTTTCAGCCAGTCCTCGAATCCTCCTACGCGATTTGCAATTCGAAAGACCGTCTTCTCTACGAAATCTCAGCATCTCTCACCCTCTCTGACGGCAAAATGAGTCATTCCGTCCCCAACCTCGACGAAATTGGCGTGAAAGCCGAACCGGAGCTAGCAGACTCCTTTCGTCGCGAAGTCGCCCAACTTCTCGGACGCAATAACCTTAATTTTCCCGGCGCGCAGCCTGTCAGCTTCTCGGCCAAACACTTAGACGAGCTTCAAAAAGAGGACTACTATGTCTGCGAAAAGACGGACGGTATTCGATGCTTGATGTACTTTGCGCGCGGAGACCCCGAGGCCAAGCCCGAGATTCACTATTTGATTGATCGCAAGAACGAGTATCGCTTCGTTGATGGCCTACACTTTCCCATGCCGGGCGATGATACGTTCCAGTCTTTCCATGTCGACACCTTGGTTGATGGCGAGCTGGTCAAGGATACCTACGAGGATGGAACCCAACAACTCAAGTTTCTGGTCTTCGACTGCCTGGTGCTGGATGGACAAAGTCTCATGCATCGCACCTTGGATAAGCGACTGGCATATTTCAAGGAAAGGGTTCTGAAGCCATACAACAAGATGTTCGAGGCATTCCCCGAAGAAAAGCAGCATCGCCCTTTCGCCGTGGAAGATAAAGAAACCCAGTTCAGTTACGGTATTGAGATGATGTTTCGGGATATTCTGCCTAAAGTAAGGCGCATTCACGGGAATGATGGTCTCATCTTCACCTGCCGCAGCACCCCTTATCGTATTGGGACAGACGAACACATTCTTAAGTGGAAGCCACCGTCTGAGAACACCGTTGATTTTCGCATGCGTCTCGAGTTCCCCGTCCTTGAGCCCGACACAGACGACGAAGCGGACGGTGTTTTCGAACCCTACCCAGATTACGACGCTACTCCCATCTGCCATCTTTTCGTCATGCTGAACGCCGGCGAGTATCGACACTTCGGCGAACTGTTCGTCACTCCAACAGAATGGGAAGACCTCAAAGCCATGGGTATCCCATTGGATGACTCAATCGTGGAGTGTTTTAAGGATTCCGACTCTCGTTGGCGCTTCCATCGTCTTCGCGACGATAAAATGGATGCCAATCACGTCTCGACTGTGGAGAAGGTCCTTGAAAGTATCGAGGACCGTATTACCGAGGATGATCTTATTCGGATTGCTCCCACTATCAAGACTGCATGGAAGAAGCGCCAGGCGGGTGGTTCTTCGGCCCAGGGCCGTGGTGCGCCCCCCGCCGTAAATGGCAACGGCGTGAAGCGGAAATTCGAGGAGTGACCGGTCAAATCACTGCTCTCTGCTTCATTGCTTCTCTCTTATCACATATGCAAGGTGTCCGGAGTTATGCTTTTTTTTTTGTCGTCCTGCAATCTAAATCGCAGGTTTCCTTGTTACCTACAATATCCGTGCATGGTGGAATGGATCGGATTGAATGTGGAAGAAGCCTTTCGGTGCAACATGGTGTTCAGGATTTGTCTCTGATATTTACGTCCCGGCTAGTTCCGAAAGATGAAATATACTTGTACTATTTTACCTCCTAATCACTCTTTGTCTCGAGGTCGTGTTTGATACTAGTATAGATTTCAGAAGGGGTTGTTTGGGTATATTCTCAATTCAAGACTTCGATCTCTTCATGTTCGCTTGAGGACTTCCGAGGTTCTTCTGATTGGTTTCAATACTTTTCAATGTTAGTTGAGCTTGAAAAATGTTGACTTCCAGGGCTCGGCTTTGAAACCAGTTCGCAAGGCGCTCTCGGGTTCTGCGGCGTGAGATGTTGGTGGCTGCGTCTGCTCCAACACTCCCTTCTAGCCATAATTGTGAATAGGCAGACCCTTTCTATCAAGTAGAAAAATACCCTCTTTCATGTATTAGCCCCACGGCAGGCATACACGAAGCCAATGGTTCAATGCCACACCTGCGCTAAAAAGCACGCTAAAATGTACGAGCTCTACGAGGCTGTGCCTTCCGCCCCTATCATGTAGGCTTACGTAGGCAACATCGATTTACAGTAAAAGATGGATTCCGCTAGATAGCGCTAAATTATACGAGTATACAGCGGAGGCATTGATAGATTTTGGATGCTTGGGGTTCGTAGGATGATGGAATTGCGAACCGATGAGTCTATCTGAAAGAGTATAAAGGCTTGATATTTGCACAGTTGAAGGTGTCCTCACAACCAAATCATCATCTTCAATCACAATGGGATTTCATCACTACCTCTTCGTCAGCACTGCTGGCCTGCTGGCTTCTGTCAATGCCACCAGCATTCCCCGCTCCAATCAAGGCTCGTCGGGCTCAACATCATCCTTGATCGCCACTCAATTCGGTACAGTATTTGACACATCTATGGTGATTGGAAATCAGACATTCCAGATGCTGGTCGATACTGGTAGCAGCGACACATATGTTATGCGAGATGGTTTTGATTGCATCAATGCGACGAGTAACCTGGTCATCCCTGAGGCAAATTGTCTCTACAAAAACAAAACCTACCATAATTCCCGAACTCATCGCCACATTCCTGGTCAAATGTTCGGCATACAGTACGGAGCTGGACTTGCGAGTGGAGAAATGGCATACGAGGACGTCACTCTCAGCGGAATCACCGTCAAGGGCCAGAAAATCGGCATTGCCAACATTTCCAACCCGATGGGCGACGGGGTGAACAGTGGTCTGCTTGGTCTGGCATATCCCTCACTTACTTCGGCACACCCGGCAAACCATTCTTCCAACGAGACCTATTGGTTCGACAGGCTTCCATATAATCCACTCTTGTACACAATGCATGAAAAGGGACTCATTGATCCCTATTTCAGCCTCGCATTGGCTCATACTCCCCAGAACGCCTCTACTGCCTTCGGTGGATACCTGACCGTCGGCGGCCTCCCACCTGTAAAGCACAGCTCCGAATTTACTACCGTTCCCGTGGAAATACTGAAGGATATTCCCACGAGCTTCACGTCTGGGAAACGCACTAGATCCTACTGGGCAACCTCAATCAGTGAAGTCAAATACGGTTCTTCCACCGCAGACCTGACCACAAACTCGACTTCTTTCCGAGTATTCATCGACTCCGGCAACTACATCCAGTTCCTACCGTCCGCAGTAGTGGAGCCCATCAACGCCCTGTTTGATCCACCCGCGAAGTATAACTCGGATTTTGGGGCTTACGTCGTCGATTGTGCTGCGAAGGCTCCAGAATTTGGACTGACACTGGGCAACCAGACATTCTTCCATAATGGCGAAGACCTAATTTATCAGACCGGCGAGGGATTTTGCATCACAAATATTGCTTCGTCAGAGAGCGTTGCGCTCGCGAACGGGATAACACTGAATATCATCGGAGTGCCCTTCCTAAAGAACGTTGTTGCCGTGCACGACTTCGGAAAGAATGAAATGAGGTTTGCGAAATTGTTGGATTCTAACTCTACCACCTCGCAGAGTGGCCCAGCTGGAACCGAAACTCCTTCCTTTTCTCTGGGCTCGAAATCTGTCAACGGGGTTTCCTGGGTCCAGATTGCAATGGCGTCGGCTGCGGGTCTATTTGCTATCTTCTAATTGTTCGTGATTATGCGTGCGAGATTATTTGCGGAGTAATTTGTGGCATAGACTAAAGCTTAGTTAGTCGTTCTATTTTTGATGCATAGCATTCTTTCAATTAACTTCATCTTCAATACGAAGAGCACAGAAAACCTCATCTAACCCACAACTGGTATCAATAACGTCAGAACCAACATCTTCTAATCGCATGTCCGACCCCTCCTCGCTACGGAGAGAGTCCTTTTCAGAAAGGACAGATTGAACTACCAAGAATGCTTTTCTTGAATCCCAGAGTCCATCTCGAGCAGAATAGAGAGAGCTATTCATCATGGATAGGGCCTTTTCCAAGAGGTTCCTGTCTCTTGTTTTGAAGCAAACGAAGTAAAGCATAGCTACTAAATTTGTTGAGACAGTGAATTCTCGATGCTCGGACTTGGAGCCATTTGATGATTCGAAGTCGGAAATGAGAAACGCAATTTGCTCCAAAGCAAATTCAAATTTGCAATAGGCTTCCATGGGTGTCTTTGTATCTTCCTCGTTCAAGATTATATTCTCAAGCAACACACCGTGGAAAATGAGCGCTTGGCAGTGCAATAACATGATCCGTTGGCGATCTTGGCTATTCATCGTCTGCCCATCATTTTGAAGCCGGAATCGCTCAATCGCAGCCTCGAATAATTGGAGTTGTCTTTCGAGCTGTAGTCTCTCTTGGGCGATCTCAATTGGCAATTCTTGCAAATGGGCTCCTTTGTGAACCACTGTCGACATGAGATGGTTTGTCTTCCAATTTTGCAGTGTGACAAGTGTCTGCTCTATGTCAAAGATACCGGAGAATTGCTCTGGGACCGCATCAGACAACCCAGAAATATGATCCTGCGAGGCGAGTTTGAGAACAGGCATTCGTTCCCATGAGAAAATGCTCGCATGGACATCGAGATGACAGAATATGATCTTTAGTTGAGGATAGATGGGATCCATCTTCGCAAGTAAATTTGGATCATCTACCCAATAGTTTTTCAGAAGCTCCAATCCGCGATCTAGATGCCATATTGCCTGTTTGGTGTTACCGACAAGACATTCGAACACGTAAAAGATCAAACTGCAGACAAGTGCAGCCTCGGGCGAAGCACCCGGTGTGAGAAGGTATGTCGAAAGTTGCTTATGAGATTTGGCCATAAGCTGAATGGTTTTTGGTGAATTTCCCAGCTGATTCGATCCGACTTTCAGATACTCTCGATATAGCGAGCTTAGCGCTACGAGGGAATTTCGAATCACAGGCTGGTGCTGACTTCGCTGCAGAATAAGCTGGGTCCAAAGAGTTGAGTCGGAAAACCGCGATAGACACTGAGCTGCCTCAGAGCAGTAGAAATGGAGGAGCTCGCGATCTGTCCGACTGCCAGGAATCTTGAAGGGAATATTATATATTTGGATAGTGCTTTCAAGTTTCGGCCAAACTTCGAATGGAATACCCGGTGCATTGCCAGCCTGCTGAGATACAGCGCTTACATTTCGGTCGCTGCTCGTCGCACTTGACTCGGCGCATCCTAGACTAGTCAGATAACTGATCGCTTCTACCGTCCATTCCATCGGGCCAAAAACTCACTTGCAGACGCTACATCCCGTCCGGACCTTCGGGGTACTTCGGCGTGGCTTTACAACTTGACCCGGCATTTTCGATCGAGTCTTTTTGCAGCCCTAGATAGTTTCCGCCGGGGGGAATTTTACGGAGAAGACTTCTTGGTTGGCTAAGAAAATGAGAAAGGGGGAGCAAGGCTGTAAGATTTAGGACTCTCGTAAGCTGCCGCTTAGTTACCATGCAGGGTGGGGGCTGGATATTTTAGCTGAGCCACATCATGTACATAACTCAAGTATCTTGGCTTCTCAGGAGTTTCAGTGTCTTTTTTAGCTCTTTCCTATGCCGTTCTCAATATCTGTCTATCATAATCGAACTGGAATCGCCTACATTAGACTGTCTATAAATGTGGTAACTTCTATCGGGACCAATCTAAAGGAATGCCCAGGTGGCCGAATAAATTGGATGGGGGAGGAACCGATCACAGAATCCAGCCTTTGTCAGAAATACGGTAGTCTGTAATTTGAAAGAAGAGATCATTTCAAGTAGGTGGACGACTCTCTCGGGGTCAGAACAGCTAAAGCCCATCTGAAAGAAAAGTGTGCGAAGAGACGAATTCGTCCGCCTGTTTATATTTAGCAACTCAAAGATCATCTCATTGTACATAGGACAGATGAATCAGTATTCCCTGTATTTGTCCCCCAGTGGATGACAAGCCCCATGATCAAGCCAAAAAAGAAAGGAAGAAACGAGTCGATGGCTCAAGACGCAAAGGGTTTGGAGAAATGTCACTTTGAGATGAAAAAGGGCTAAGTGAAAGCTCAAAGGTTGTTACTTCGGCGTCCAATTATCCTTTCATTCTTTGAGACCGAACTCATTATTTGATATATGCCACCATCAGCGAGGGCACACCCGTAGTCGGAGCGTTAGACGAATTTTCAAATTCTTTGTCTGGACGCTGTATAAATCGAAAGTGATCATAGCCTGTCCACCATGAAAGTTCTAAGTTGTGGATTGATTTTCTCGTCCTGAGGGTTTATACAATAATTAGCTCCGCTTTTTACTTTCACTCTCAGTGGTCGAAAATTCCGCTTTGAGAAAGACCTCCACAGACGATACATTTTCAATATGCCACCTCGCAAGACTAAAAAGGGCAAGCAGCCTGCTACTCCCATTAGTGGAAGGGTTGAAAAGTCGCAAAAGTCGAAGACTCAGAAAAATACCAAGTTGAGCGATATCGCGCAAGAGGTTCAGCCTGCAGGGCAGAGTATAAAAGGTGGATTAACAAAATTCAAGACTAGTCCATCCTCTCAGTCTGTCTCTAGCGCAGAAAATAGATATAAGGTCCTTGATCTTGACACGTCTTATGTTGGAAAGATCAAAATCACTAAAAAGGCCCCAAAGCCCCCACGTCACCGTAGATGGAAGCACAAGGGAAAGGAGTCTCTAGAGAACCCGGCAGAGCTTCCCGATGATTGGACTGATAGTGAGCCCGACCTAAGTGATGAGTAAATGATATATTCAGATATTCTAACGGTAAAGAATCTTGCTAACTGATATAGTGATTATGATGCTCAGATTGAGCGCTGTCAGGAAAGAATCAAGGACAATATCATGGTTTCACGGTTTGAAGCAAAGTTGGAAGCTTTGAAGGCGGATAAAGCTGAGAAGGAGTAGGTTCTATCCACATCATTATTTACTGACCGAGCGCTAATATATAATTAGATTTTTGGTTGACTCAGAGCCTTACGGGCTTAGCTGGCCCGTTATCCAACGCCTAAATTCCCTCAAGCAGATGGAGCAAGACCTGAGCAAGAAAGACCCTTATAAACAGCTGGAAACCGTGCGAGCTATCATGCGGGCATACCGATATAAGGATCTTCAATGGAATCACGGCTTGGTCACGTACTGGGTCAAAGCTCGTCAGCTTTGTCAACCGCGCCCATTCAATTGGGATGAGATGGACCAGGTAAAGGAAAATAATGCAAAGGGGGAGAGCTTTTGGATTGAGGGGGCAAGTTAAATCAACTACATGGGACAGGGAGTATTGATGGTCTAATATTGGGAATTTAGGGAACCAAACCGGGTCCAGTGCCTCTGGAACTTAAGATGTCGTTGCCCCCAGACGCCGTGAATATGCACTATGTAAGTGTCGTGGCTCTCACCGAAGTCAAAAACTCCTACTAAATCATCATATCATCTAGAAAAAATTCACATTGCGACTACCGTCACCTGACGGTGGCACTCAGATCACTAGCACTCTCAATATGATGGAAGATAGTGGTGCCTCGATTGCCACACTTTATGAAGATGATATCAAGAATATGATGTATCCCCGGCCTCATGATATCCCCGTGGAGATGGTAATTGGAAGAAGTATCGTGACAACCTCAAATGGACAAATAAACCAACCATTGATCAAGGTTGAAATCTGCTTGCCTCATGAGGGCGAAGTTTTAATACCTTGGACCCCCATACAGGCCTTGTTGGTGGAAGGCAGACTCACTTCAAGAAGTGCCGACCGGCTCTTGGGCCCGGTTTTGCGGCGTATGGCATACACTGCTACCGCCCCAGATAATAGAGATCGAATTTACATTGCCAACAGTCGGAATGATTTGTTAGATTTGCTTCCAGAAGCAGATATCTCCAAGGCATTTGTGCCAGAAATACCCATAGATTACCCTCAGGAGCCAGGTCATCCAGTTTTTTACTGAACGCCGGGGGAAGTATTTCGATGTCTTTCAAGTTATAGAGTATGGTTGCAGACGATTTTGGTCGGAGGAGGTGCGAGTTTCTAGTTTCTAGTACCAGTACGATGGGTTGCGCAATTGATAATTGGCTTTACTTCAATTTAAATTGAGTCTTCCTTTTTGGGTTCTATTTTTGCGCTGTACTACGTACGATCGGCCTAACAGAGTAGATCATGCTACATATTTTACCACGCTCAAATTCTCCAGTTTTTCGTGCGATTCCAATATGTACATAGGCTATAAGATCCCGACCGCGAAAAGGTGTCTCCGATGGAGTCATTTAAGATTGAGTTGTCCTTTAGAGTCGCCTATATCGGCGCCGCACAACCTGCCCCTTATCATCGGCATTAATATGGGGGCGGATTATTGTTGGGAATTGCCAGACTTTCACATGCAAATTCCCCTCTCACAAAGTGGGGCAGGTTCCACGGGGAATAAATTATGGAGCAAGCGAATTATGGAGCATCGTGGAACATCATGGAGAAAGCTGTCAATGGGATGGGACTGGCATTCCTGTTCTGGGAGAGACTGCCAAGGCATAGTCATCACCATGACATATAGGCAACCACAGGGTGCGCACGAACCTGGTTCTAACCATGCATGAGGCGTTGTGATCGCTGCGGGATGGCCTGAATTCATCTCATGCCGCTTGGCCAGATGAAAGCGCTCGGGTGCTTACAGTGGTTCGGATAGGACGATTAACTCTAGACAGTCCCTTAGACCCCAGAGGTGCCACTGAACTGTTTCTCGCTAGACGGCTTCGAGTTTAGTGGGAATGTTTAGTCTCCATCCTTGCTTGCTTTTTGCTGTTTGCTCTCAACAGAATTACGATGCAATGGCGGATGAAGCGGTAGTCTCGTTCCTGCGGCCGATTTTTCCTGCGTTTATATTTTTGCGCCTTGGACATCACTTAGCCCTATAACCAACTCTGAAGAGGGAAAAAACTTCAGTATCATCACATTCGATATTCAAACTACCAGATATTGTTCACCCCGCACTACGATTGCCCCTCGCTTCATCCGAGCTGAATTACAAAGATGACCATCCTCGACATCGACAAGGACCTCCCAACTCTGTTCCAGCAGCAGGCGCACGCGACTCCAGACGCGATTGCGCTAGAGGATCACACCACAAAATATACATATGGCGAGCTCAACAAGGAGGTTGAGTCGCTGGCAAATCGTCTCCGGCTCTACGGAGTGAGCCGAGACACGCTGGTCGGCGTATTGCTACCACGAAGTGCCAATTATGTGATCGCCTGTCTGGCTGCCCTTCGTGCTGGAGGTGCATTCCTGGTTCTCGAACTTGCATATCCTCCCGGTCTGCTGGCAGATGTGATTGACGATGCAAAGCCCGCTGTGGTCATCACTGACCGGGCCGAGGCCCCCAAAATCAAGGCCCAATGCCCGCTGATTGCCCTCGATGAACCAGTAGCTGAGCTGAACGGACATGCTAAAGAAGCTGCTCCTTTCCCTGCCCAGAATGATCTTGACCGACTGGCTTTCGTTTCTTACTCTTCTGGAACTACCGGCAAGCCCAAGGGAATCGCAAACCCCCAGCGTGCTCCTGTCCTCTCTTATAATTTGAGATTTGCTGTGCAGGACCTGCAACCCGGCGATCGAGTTGCCTGCAATGTTTTCTTCATTTGGGAGATGCTTCGCCCGCTACTGCGAGGTGCCACAGTCGTTGCTGTGCCCGACGATGTCAGTTATGACCCAGCTGCGCTGGTCGACTTACTTGCGTCGAAGAAGATTACCGAAACTCTCATGACCCCGACCCTTTTGGCGACTGTTCTCTCACGTTACCCCAACATTGCCACTCGTCTGCCTGATTTACGAACCCTCTGGCTGAATGGTGAAGTTGTTTCAACCGACCTCGCCCGCCGATCCATCAAAGCTCTCCCCAACACCCGCCTGCTCAACTGCTATAGTGCTTGTGAAACACACGAAATTGCCTGTGGGGATATTCGCGATATCATCGATCCCGAGTCCATCTATTGTCCCGTTGGCCCTCCGCTGGACCCTGCTCATACATATATTGTCGACGAAAACGGTGAAGACGTCGGCGTGGGAACTGCAGGTGAACTCCTCGTGGGAGGCGACCTGTTGGCTCGGGAATACCTCAATCTCCCCGAGACAACAGCGAAAGCCTTCACTCCTAATAAGTTTGATTCCACCCCGGGCGCTCGCCTGTATAGGACTGGTGATCTGGCACGCTTGCTACCTTCTGGTCTCTTGGAAATCACCGGTCGCGTTGGTGCTATGATCAAGCTTCGCGGATATTCCGTCGTTCCGGCGAAGGTCGAGAGCGATATTTGCCAATATATGGCTGTGAGTCACTGTGCAGTTACTGCCCATGGCGAAGGTCTCGAGAAGCAATTGGTTGCATACATCGTTCCCGACGAAGCTTCCGAAGATCGCCCGGCAGTCGAAATCAACGAGTCTGGCCACAGCCCAGCTGCTCGTCGCATTCTCGAGCCTTATCTCGCCCATTACATGATCCCCGCCCTATGGGTTGAGCTGAAGGAGCTTCCAACCAATGGTGTTTCTGGCAAGGTTGATCTGAAGAGTCTTCCCCCTCCTCGCAGTTCTAGTCCTAGTGGCAGCGAGAAAACACTAGACAAGGACCCCATCAGCATCGGCGACATCGCAGCCATCTGGGCAAATGTTCTGAAGACCTCAAAGTCGCTTCTTAAGCCAGAGGACAACTTCTTCGATCTTGGTGGTCACTCTTTGTCGCTGGCCGACCTGTCATCTCGACTCACCAGACACTTTGGCTTCCGTGTACCCATTCCTCGTCTCGCCGAAAACACCACTCTCGCTGCCCATCTAGAGACTGTGCGTGCTGTCAGAGATGGACATACTGCAGAGGTTCAGGCAGACCTCCCAGCTTTCCTGCTCGCTGATTCTACTCTGGACGACGACATCAAGCCTGCTGAAAACACAACGATCAAGTCTATTGCATCGGCTGATACGGTTCTGCTGACGGGTGTTACTGGCTTCTTGGGAGCTTTCCTTTTGCATGATCTGCTGGAGAACACATCAGCTAAGATTATTTGTCTCGTGCGATTCAATGACCCCGAAGATGACGACCAAGCTGGCGGTGTTGCCCGAATCCGACGCAACCTTCTTGATCTGGGGCTTTGGAAGGATACTATCATGGAGCGTGTCGAGGTTCTTCCTGGAAATCTTTCTCGACCCCAGTTTGGTCTCTCGCCCGAGGCGTATGAGGATGTTGTTGGCCGTATCCAAGTCATCGTGCATGCGGCTGCCACTGTCAACCTTGTCTATCCCTACGCTGCTCTCAGGGCTGCCAACGTCGGTGGAACTCGAGAGGTTCTTCGTCTGGCTTCCAAGGCTGGCGCGACCGTACAGTATGTTTCAACAAATGGTGTTTTGCCCCCGTCTGAGGAGAAGGGTTGGCCAGAAAGCACCATGCTGGATGTCGCGGATGTTCCCACCAAGCTGCTCGATGGATACGGCCAAACCAAGTGGGTTGCTGAACAGTTGGTCCTGAAGGCTGGTCAGCGAGGACTTCCTGTGAAGATCCACCGATGCGGTACTATCAGCGGTCATAGTTTGACTGGCTCTGCCAACGCTTGGGATCTTTTGACTGCTCTCCTCGTCGAGTCTATCCGACTAGGATTCGCCCCTAACGTCGAGGGATGGCGCGCCGAGATGACCCCTGTCGATTTCGTTAGCAAGTCCATCATTCATCTTGCCACTCAGACCGACTCCGTGGTGGACCAAACGGTCTTCCACCTTGGTGATCCCCGTCCAGTCAACACCAGCTCTGTCTTTGAGAACTTAAAAGAGCTTGGATATCCCACCGAGTCGCTTCCATGGGACGAGTGGGTGGCTCTGTGGTTCGAGAAGCGAGGATCAAGCAAGGGTGGTGATGGTTCTTTCACTGTCGACATTCTTCGCAGTGGTATGCCGACTGTCGAGTTCCTGCGTGGCATTGTCGTGCTGGATAACGCTTTGACCAGACCTTTCCGTGAGGTTGTTGAGCGTCCCAAGGTGGATAGTATTCTCCTGGAAACGTATGCTCGCCACTGGTTTGCTCGTGGTTGGCTTCCTCGGCCTCCTTCTCGTCAGAATGCCCTCGGTCGCTCGGTGCAAGTCTCTACCAAGGGCCCCCTGAGTGGTAAGGTGGCTGTAGTGACCGGAGCCTCTTCGGGTATCGGCGCAGCGGTTGCATCTGCGCTGGCCAAGCAGGGCGCAGCAGTTGCTATTGGCGCCCGTCGTCTCGATGCGCTGGAGTCTGTGAAAAGCAAGGTCGAAGCACACGGTGTCAAATGTATCGCCCGATCAACAGATGTCACCAATAAGTCCCAGACTGAAGCTCTTGTCCAAGCGGCTACCGAAGAGCTGGGCGAGGTCGACATCCTTGTTGCATGCGCTGGTGTTATGTACTTCACGATGATGGCCAATACCCAAACTGATGAGTGGGAGCGAACCGTCGATGTCAACTGCAAGGGTCTGCTCAACGCCATCGCTACTACTGTTCCAGGAATGCTGTCGCGCGGTCGCGGTCACGTCGTTGCTATCTCCTCCGACGCTGGACGTAAGGTCTTCCCTGGTCTGGGCGTTTACTCCGCCAGTAAGTTCTTCGTCGAGGCTACCCTCCAAGCTCTTCGCCTGGAGACTGCTGGTCAAGGTCTTCGTGTCACAAGTATCCAGCCCGGAAACACTTCCACCCCGTTGCTGAACATGTCCACCGATACTGAGGCCGTGAAGAAATTCGGCGAGCCATCTGGTGCGAAGATTCTAGAACCTTCTGATATTGCAAACTCGATTATCCATGCTCTGTGCCAGCCGGAGTATGTCTCTGTCAACGAGATGTTGGTTGAGCCTCGCGATGAGCCTATTTGATACTTTTTGCTACATTATCTAGATCTATATACCTTTTCTGCTCGAGTCTTAAGTCAATTTAATCTTTGCGTTCTATTATTATAAAACTTCAAGTTGTTTCTCGTAGACGTATACTGTGCCGAATAAAGCACTGGCTAGGCCGGGAGGTAGTTCGCACTGCCCAAGCGTTCTAAAAAACAGCTTGACCCGAACTGTTTTCGCTCGAGCCCCCGGTGTTATCATCGCCTGCAATCTGCGAGTATTTCGCGATAGAACGGACGACCTATTAGGAATTAGTCATCTAATACCAGCAGCAGGATTTCAACTTCAGAGGCCTCACCTTTGTTAAGACGAAGTAACTCATTCTCGTACGGGCCCAGTTCCTCTTCCATTAAAAGTGTGTCTGGAGGCGCATGTTCTTTCGGGCCGTCATACATCCATCCCCAGCCGGATTCTTCTTTTTCATCTATCGCTTCATCGAGTTCGCCATAAGAATTCAGAGTTTGTCTGGTTGATCGAACAACGTAGCGAATTCTGCGGAGCGACCACGGTCCCTTTTTAAGAAGCGCACGACATTTGTATGGCCCCAGGTCATCATATCCCAGCCCTTCTAACGCGAGACGAATGCGAACACTTCGATGGATTTTCTCATTTGTATCTCTCAGGAAATAAGGTGTGGCTTGTCCCGTATCACGAGCGACGACATGATACATGCCAGGCGTGCGGGTCGTTTTCCCTGCCAGGCGGTATAATCCTGTTTCCGGCTGAACAATCTCGCCCAATGCCCAGGGACGAACTGGTCGGTGTTCGTCGTAAATTGAGGCGGACGCCCACTGTGTCATCCTCTTTCGTTCCGGGGAATCAGGTCGAGGCTTCGACTGTTGGCCACAGTTGTAATAAAAACGAACGCTCTCGTCGAATATCCGGTCGATTGTATTTGACTGGAAGGCAACACCAATAGATGCGAGTTGGTCCATCATCCAGGCCATGGTGATATTTGCGATTTCTTGATCTGGAAGACCTCCGCCGACGTTGGAATGCGCTCCAGGGAACCAGACTTGTCGTAGGTCGGTACGGGATTTGGGCGGTCTTTCCCAGACTGCTGGAGAGAACGAGGCGCGATCTTCATCAAGGGCGAGCGCCTGGAAGGCATATTCAACGTCGTTGGAGAGTGATGTGTCATAGAATTTGCATGTAAGAGGTTGTCAGTGTTATTTGCGCTTTTTTAGAATGGAAGGCCACTTATTCTTTTGTTGAGCGGGGTATGTCAAGCTTGCTGGTGAGGCTTATTTCCGGGATACCTAATTCATTCAAGTCAGAAGGCGGTTTTTGATCGATGGAAAGGTGGACATACCTGGACTTCCTACCGTATCCCACACCGCAACGCAGCGAATTTTGATGTGATATCCATCTGGATCATTAAGTCGTGTGAAGCCGCCCTTTGAAGACTATTAGTATAGTAAAGTTTTTGAAAAGTTGAGCCTAAATACCTCTTCAAGGCGTTGTCGATATTCTTTGCCTCGATCAGGCGATTTTGGCTTGTTCGGAAATGGTACAGTGGGAAACTTGTCCTTATAATTGGTATTTCGCATGTTCTGAACATCCTTGAAGATCGGATAAAACACTTCCATTCCTTTGGAGTTGAGAAGGCCGATCTCGGATATCATGCTCTACTATGATGTTAGTTCAAATTCCGCTCTCATTGACTCGATCTACTTACTGCTACGGCACGCGCCGTAAAAGCACCGCGGGAAAATCCCATCAAGATGATCTCATCTCCAGGCTCATAATTTGCAGCGACAAAACTGTAAGCCTCTCGCATGTTCTACGGGATTTGGTTAGACGCTATTCAACCGGGGTAAGGAGTTAACACGACCGACTTCAGAAACCCCGGCTCCAAACACTCCTCCGGCTATACTATCAGCGATTCCACCAGTACTACCAACACCGGGTTGATAGTACGAAATTTGACACGTTCCATCCCGGTCGCGGTTTCTGAGTGCGCGGTAAACACGAGTCACGTTCGATGGAACCTGGAGCGTCGCGTTTGGCTGGTCAAGGGTGGGCCGGTTGTAGCCTTTGTCACTATTCACCCAAGTTCCATCCAGACAGAGAATTATGCGTTTCCATGGCACAGGCATCGTGCACGATGGCACGGCAGTAGATCATAGAAAGGGCCAACTTGAACTTGAATTCGCCCAGGTGGTGTCAGCCCCACGTTGAAAGCGAACAGGCTCCGGAGAAAGATGAGTGGGTCGTAAAATGACCTAAGCGGGTACGTAAATATAATAAACAACGATTCGTCGCTGGGACTCCGAGACCTCGGACTAGTTAATACTAGTACAGACTAGGGATAGTCAGTTCCAAAGCGCACAAGTTCATGCATGCTTCACAGCCGACTTACAGTTCACGTGTCTCTGCCCTGGCTGACGAGGCGCGCCAATCAGCAAGCATTAGTATAGACCGTATATGCATGTCAGATGTCTTTTCAGGCCCAGTCTTCTAATCGAATCCTTCGAATTGGCTTCTAAATTTTCAAAGCAGTAAAAGAGTCGGTGATTGAAGTCAGTTTGTCGGCTCGACCGATTTTCTCAAGAGATACCAAAGAATTATGCGACTAACTTTGAATCTTTATGGGGCTATCTGGGATACTCCGTCTAGAAAACGCACACACGCTCGAGTACTGAACCGTCAATCATCCCGAGAAAATAAAGCCAGTATCGATCGCTTGTGACAAGAAGCTGCGATATCCAATGGAGTCTGTCCTTGCCTGTTTTCCTGCCATGGACTCAGACCAAGATTAACATATATTTGCATCAATCTAGCATCATCACCATCAACGGGGTAGCTCCACAATGATCCCTAGCATTCATGTTGAAAGAGAAGGGTGGCTGGAGGAGATGTTCCAAAAGTGTCAAGATGTCCTCGTAGCCTACGAAGTTTATTTCGCGATACCCCGAGTCGTCCATTGCTGCTGCTAAATGAAGGGCTGTTCGTCCTTGGTAATCAGAAACATCAACTTGACCACCAAGCTCAATGATCTTAGCAGCTGCTTTCTCGATATTTGACCATTCACCGGGAGCTGCGATGATATGATTGAAAATCGAGCGGCCAGCATAGTCTATTGCAGTTATATCGGCGCCAGCACGTATAAGAAGGTCAATTGCTTGAACTCAAGGTTGATTAAACCATCCGAGTTCGCTATTATACTCAAAAGCATAATGAAGTACTGGCAGGGTAAGCGATTGCTGAACCGAGAGTATCTGGGAGCAAAAATACCTGATCGCCCCTTAATGTCTCGGGCATTTGTGTTTACATCTCGTTTCAAAATCTCCCCAATGAACTCCAACGGAATTTCATCGCTATATCTGTGCCATAAAGCAAAATGCAGAGGTGTCCGGCCGGCATTATCTCGAATCTCAAAATTTGATCCACTGTGTTGGCCATTGACGCTTTATTGCAAAACGTCGGGTAGGAAATTCTTCCATGATACAGAACGGCATGTAATGGTGTCATTCCGCGATGATTTAAACAGTTATCTTCTTTTCCTCATGTCCTAATCGATAGGCAGGCTAATTTACCACGTGCAATGGGGACGACAACATAGTCATTCAATTCCTCGCTGGCATCCATGCCGTGCGTTATGCCCGACTTCAACAAGGAATTTTCAGTGATTCTTTATGTGGACACTTCAAGATTTGTCATAGGCCGAAAGTTCCTTGCGATGTGAGTCAACTGAAAGATACTCGGTTTGCCCAATGTGGGTGCGGAGTAACACGTCATGGTGTTGTGGGGGCCAGAAAGAAAAGAAAGAGGCATTGCCAGCATCAAGACACAACATGCTCACATTTGAGCGCATCGTGATAATGTTGAAGGTCTATCTAGCAATGTTGTAGTCTGACCATCGGAACGTGAAGGATGCCATGGAAGGGCCATGGAAGGAGCACAGCCTAGTAGGCTTCAAGGCACCAAGACATTAAGGCATCAAGACACTGAGATATTAAGGCACCAAGGCGTCCAACCCTGGATTTGTTAACTAGTGTATACTCCATAGCTGTTAACTAGTATACAAACCATGATTTCAAAGCAACCTCAAATATGACACCCTGACGTAAAGTAACCCCCAAAATAGCTTGTCAAACAGCTCCAACTCGGCAAATGTCCGGATGGCAGAAAGGAGTTACTTGAAATTTACTCGACTCGAGCACAACACGCAATCGGCGCAACGATGTCGTGATCCTCGGTCCACCAAACACCTTCAAAATCAACAAATTCACCCCTCGAATAACTCCGATTCCTTTCTTCCTATAGGCTAAAATTGCTGCAGAAACTCTGTCTGAATTTTATTATAACGTGTTCCGTCCTAAATAGTATCTGTCAACGCAAATCCCCGAGCGGTAGTACTCGCCAGGTCCCGCAAGATACTACATGAAATAAACTCGCCCTCTCCACTGCAAGCTTTCTGTCCCCTGGGACCTCGTGTGGGGTCCATGGTGTGCATTGCTGCGGCATGTCTTCTCCACATGGTCTCTTCTTAAATGGATAGAAAAGTGGGAAAGGATGTGGGTTGGGACCACATGGCTGATGGTTATAAGGACTTGCTCTTATCCCGTTGGAGTCGGCGTCGTGTCCCAGCAAAATTTCTGACGGCCGGCCACAATTAGGGAAATCGGTGGTCCGCTAACATTCTTTTTTCTTTTGGAGAGAACAGTTGCCAATCCGAGGAGGAACCCACGGCCTGTCTACATGGCTGAATTGGAGAAGAATGTCGGGGCGGCTACCACCTCGCCGCCCATCTCCTCGATAGCGTCTGAGGATCGCGATGAGAATTATGTCTTTTATCGTCAGAATCGCGGCCTTGAGTATACACCCGAAGAGGAGAAGAGAACCCTTAGGAAAATTGATTTGCAGTTGATTCCGCTTTTGTTTGTGATCTATATGATTCAGGTGAGTTCTGTGCCGTATGGCGCCTTGCCTGTGTTGCTAAGCTGGTCAGGCTGACGTGACATATCCTAGTACTTGGATAAAAACAGTATCAACTTTGCTTCTGTTTATGGGTTGAAACAAGGGACTGGCCTGACCGGGCAAGACTATTCGTGGTTAAGTATGTTGCGTTCTAGCCGTTTTGTTCAGCGTCTCTTTCGCCTATTGTGCTGATTGTTAACCTGCCAGGTTCTATTTTCTACTTCGGCTATCTCATCGCCCAATGGCCTGCCGGTCTAGCCTTGCAAAAACTTCCGGTCGGAAAGTTTCTCGCATATACAACACTAGGTATGTTACAGTCGAGACCTGGAGTTCAATCACGTGTGCCAGACACTGATATCTTTCGACTACCAGTATGGGGTGGTCTCCTCATGACAACACCCGCCTGTTATAATTTTGCCGGAATTGCCGTAAATCGATTCTTGCTTGGCTTTGTCGAAGCTGTCGTGAATCCGGGCTTCGTTCTGTTGATGAGTATGTGGTATACTGCCGAGGAGCAGCCTCTCAGGTTGGAGGCTTACTACTGCACCAATGGTATCGCGACGATGTTCGGAGGGTGAGTTCCTCTTATTTCTCGTACAGACGTAATATCTGTGCTAAAAAAAAGATAGACTGATTGGTTACGCTGTTGGTCACATTACCACCGGTCTTCCGAAGTGGATGTACGTCTTTCTCATCTTCGGCGCCGTCTCACTTGTCACTGGTATCTTTGCGCTATGGCTCCTCCCAGACCTTCCATCCACAGCCAAATTTCTTACCGAGAAAGAGAGAGCTATTGCTGTTGAGCGTGTAGCAATCAATCGCCAGGGCGTGAAGAATCAGCAATTCAAATGGTATCAGGTCTCGCAAGCAGCGAGAGACCCCAAGACTTGGCTCTTATTTATTATGGCTATCGGGGCACAGGTGCCAAACTCGGCCTTGACAAGCGTATGTGTCTATTGTTTCTATCATCCTCAACGACTACGATCCTAGGATTCTAGGAGCAGATACCCTAACAATAATTACAGTTTACATCCATCATCGTCGGCTCCTTCGGTTTTGATACACTGGGCACCCAATATCTTCAGATCCCAGGTGGTGCGGTCCAATTTTTGACGTTGCTTTTCGGAGGCTATATTGCGACCAAGTTCAACGGGAAATTTCACTCGCGAAACGCGTGTATGATCGTTGCCAATTTGACATGCATTCTCGGCGCGGGTTTGTTGGTCGGTTTACCCGACTCGAATAAATGGGGCCGTCTCGTTGCGCTTTGGTTATGTTATTTCCAAGGTCTGGGCTTCAGTATGAGCTTGACTATTGTCAGCTCTAATATTGCTGGATACACCAAGAAACAGGTTACCGGTGCTTTACTTTTTACCGGCTACTGTGTTGGTAATATCATCGGGCCACAGACATTTAAGGACAGTGAGGCTCCTGGGTACCACAGTGCCTATATTGCGTGAGTGGTTCATTTTTTACTTGATGAGATTTGGTTTACTAATTGCTGAGCAGTATGCTTGTCGGTTATATCGTCAAACTCACCGCGATCCTTGCATTGTACTTGTATATGTACCTTGAGAATAAGAAGCGGGACCGTGAGGCAGTTGAGAATTTGGAATCCGATACGGATGGAGTTGAAAATGGAATGCTGGTAAGTCTTTCGCTAAAAGACTTTACGGTGATGATTTTCGGCTGACTTTCCCAATAACAGGATCAAACGGAGATTGATAATAAGGGATTCCGATACGTGTTATAACATGTTTGCGCCAACTTCAAAATTACATATTGCCGTTGTTCATATTAGAGGAATGCACAGTTAGTATTGGATCTGTCTTTTCACAATGTCTATATCTTTTATCTAAATTATAGTACAAACTTGGAGATTATCGGACAGTCAGGTCAGGTCTCAGACTTTAAATGCCCGACACTGACCTAGACAGAGAACTATCTAACCGAGACTTTGAAAAGAAGCGAACGGAGCCGAAATCTAGCTTTGTGAGCCAAGTCCATCGCCCAACCGAAGATATCTGGTTTATGAGCTTTCAATAATAGCTTGAGAAATCTTCTCCGCAAGCATATCTAGCGATTGTTAGAGTTGCCACCACATCCAAAAGGGAGGAGAAGAAACTTACAAACTGTAGACTGAGGATGGCCGGGCGGTAGGAATGGGAAGGCGCTA